GCGGCCGAAGAAGTTTAGTTACCGGAATCGCTCGCGCTGCCGAAACAGCGCTCGCGCCTGCCAGGACGACCGGTCGGCTAGGCCGACGGCGCCCTGGAGGCTTCCACCTTCCCCCTCTAAATTCCCCAGAGCGCACCGTTCACCGCGCTGTGCCCCCGGAGGGGTTGCGTGGTTAGGGGGCCCCAAGAGGAGAAACTGACCCCGCGGCTTCAGCTATTCAGCGTCCGACCGCGGGCGTTTATCTCCCGATGCTCAGTGTAAGTATAGCCAGCGGCCATTCATCCACAGAGCCCATCCTTCGGGACTGGGGGCCCGAAGACCCCTAATCCCGCCGGGCAGCCCCAGATTGGCGGACCGCCTGGGCGGCCACCGCAGTGGGGGGCGACTGCTGCTATGAAACTCTCCGCGACCGAGGCCTGGGGCCTACAAGGCTGTACAGAGAGACACCACGTAGTAGTCTGAAAGATATGGGACGGTTGTGCTGTATTTCTACAGCACGCACCCGCTTTGGGTGGAGTAGTTGCGCTGCGCCGCCGGTTGGCTGCACTCGCTCTCTTCTCATAGGCCCTGCGACACTTTTTGGGCCCCAGCTCCGCTCCACCGGGTTTTCCCCCGAAAAAACATTTCCCGAAAAAAAGATTTGTATGGGAAAACAAAAAAATCGACTCACGGCCACCAAAACCTTATCCGATTTCGCACGCATCCCGGCCGTATGCCCGTCGGCCGGCCACGTCGTCGCCGTCGCCAATTGCTTCCTGGCGCCGCCCGCCGTGCCCGCGGCGCCCTTCCAGGGTACCTTTTTCTGCCCTTCCAGGGTACTTGCGCGCACCCGCCCGACTTCGTACCGCCGTATCTCGGGCGGTACGACGCCGGCCTCGCTGCTGGCCCGGGACCTTCCAGGGTACCTGTTTTCCTTCCAGGGTACCTAGACTCCTCTGGGGCACTCGGCTCTCCTAGGGCACTCTGCTCTTCCAGGGTACTTCGCTCTTCCAGGGTACTTTTTTCCCTTCCAGGGTACCTGCTTTCCTTCCAGGGTAACTGGACCCTTCCAGGGCACTCGGCTCTTCTAGGGTACTCTGCCTTTCCAGGGTACTTCGCTCTTCCAGGGTACCTTTTTCCTCTTCCAGGGTACCTAGTTCCTTCCAGGGTAACTAGGCCGACTTAACCTAGCCTTAAGGCCTTATACTATAAGGACTAGTATAGCTATAAGATTATAATACTATTATTAAAGATTTGTTTTAGTTAAAAGTAAAAAAAAAAAATTTTAAAACTCTTAAATATAATAAACCTTAAATATTAAGAACTTAAATAAAAAGATAAAATCCTTTATAATATTATAGTAATTATTAATAACGTATTACTTTTATTTTTTTAAAGTATAATATTAAACCTTAATATAAACTTAATAATTCTTTATAAGTTAAATTTAGTTTTAAATGAAGTATTATATAAGTATAAATAACTAAAAACAAAACTTTTTATTTAAACTGTTATTGTTACCCCTCTAGTAAGGTAAGTCCTTTAGAGGAGTAGTTAGATCTATTATATAGTCTAATAGACCTTATGGTTAATATAGTAAACCTGCTTTACTAAAGATAAGATCTAGAAAATAAAGGTAAAAGAAGTTAATTCCCTTAATAACCCTATAAAAGGTCTACCTTATATAATAGTAGACCTCTCGTGTTTATTAGTAAGAGTAACACTTATCTTATTTAATTATATTTTTATTTTTAAAAAGTATATAATTATATTTTATTTTTATTTAAATTAAATAAAATAAAAGCTTTATAACTATATATAACTTAATAATATATAAGATATACTTATAATAATAACTATAGTTTAAAAGAGACTAGGTTAAAATTAAGTTAACTATAATATCTTATTTTTAGATCTACTTAACCTTAGATTCTAAAAAACTAAATCTTAGATTTTAAATATATTAACTAAATAATTATATTAATAATAAGATATTAAGAAAAGAAATATAAATTAAGATATTCTTACCTTTTAAAAGTAAATAATAATAAGAAAACTATATATTAATATAATAACCTTATCTTTTTACTTTTATTTTACTAAGGTACTTTACTTTCTTATAACTATCTAAGAATATTACTAATATATTCTAAGTAAACATATAGATTATCTTACAATATTTCTAAACACAAAGCCTATTTCTTTAGGTCTCATAACGCTTACTTTAACTTACTAAGATCTTTTAGATATATCTTAACCCTAAAAACTAGGAATAGTAAAGTATTATCTTATAATCACTAAAAACAATAGCTAACGCTTACTTATATTATATTAAGGTCTTTACTATTTACTGTTCTAGGCTATATAAATAATAAATCCTTAGTAGATTTTTAACCATATTACTAACTAACTATAGAAACATTACCGTAAAAACATTTCCGTCTACTACCCTTAAGGCCATCTCTTATTAGAGAGCAAAAGAAGAAGCACGCAAAGCATGATGAGAAGATGCTTCTACAGAAGAGTAGCCCCGAAATATACGATTAATCACCCCTAATGCCGCGAGGCGTAAAGTACGTTCAGAGATGTAATCGCTAGACCGCCTTAGGTTGTAATCTAAGAGAACCGACACAGCGGTAGCTGGTAAACACACTTGATAGTTATACGACAACCTGTCTTAGACGGGGACAGGTATGCTGGCACAACTCAGGACAGCTTGGCGAGACTGAAAGCGTCACTTCTCCGCACAAGAGCAGTATCTTTAGATCAATACGCATGCGGACAGGGGAGAGGGACAGTGGATCATTCCCCCTTCGATCCACACGATGGTTGATGCAGCGCACGGGGGATGCTTCAATGCCCCGACACACAGAGACAACATTTCCTTTTATTTAGGAGGAAAGACACCATCCGCTGAAGAAGATGATGATGATAATAAATGGAAGCCAAACATACAAGCAATTAGAGCTACAATACGCTTCGCGAGGCCCACGGGCCGACTGAGGAATGCGTGATCCTTGACAAGGGCCCAACACGCACGCAATCCCAGTACCCTTCCCACTAACCTAATCCATGCCTATACGATAGAGCTTCAGGTCTACACGAATACAATGTCCTTCTATCGATGGCGTATTGCATCAATCATGCAACGAGAGTATGGCAATATCTCAACTATACACTCATTCTATTGTACGCAGCCATGGAATATAATTATATTGTGGCAACTAGGGTCTAGTAGCCTGCCAGAATTTCGGCCGAAATCTTTTCGGCCAACACGTAAACGGTACTCTGAGGGTGACCGGGAGGCAACAAGGCAAAACTACTAGCGTCCACAACTCTTAGGCCGTCAACGCCAATGACCTTGGCATCCTTGTCGACAACGGCCATAGGGTCGTCTGTCTTGCCCATCCGGCAAGTGCAGCTTGCGTGCCAGATTGTCATGACAGTGTTGCGGATGTTTTGGAGGATTTGTGCGTCTGTCTCAACTTTGGAACCGGGGAAGTACTCCTTGTTGTCAGCCAAAACCGGGCGCATGGCGTTGCTGGCGAATGCCTGACGAAGGCGTTTAAATGTCGCGATCGCAACGGCAACGTCGGTCGGATCAGTCAGCCACTTGGGGTCAATAAGGGGCAAATCCTTAGTGTCGGCCGATGCAAGGGTGACAGTACCCTTGGAGAGAGGAGCGACCAGACCACCGAGGATGGTGGCATACTGATATCCGTCTTTGGGTTGTGTGAGTAGAAGATTGGCAAAGTCACCAACGTAACCCGGCGCGGTCAGATACTCGATCTCAGGCCAGTCGGGAGGGAACTCATTGTCGAGAACAGCAGCGGCTTCCGCAGAGATGAGATCGCGAGGCGTCTTCTCCCAGCCAAGGAAATCGCAGACCGGGTTGGTAAGTGGACCCTGCTTGAGTACACTGTAGGGTATAGCGAACTGAGCAGCAGTGTAGATCAGGTCGTTGGCGAGACGGGTCAGAGTCTGGACCTTCACACGCCACGTAGGACCAAAGAAGACGTGGTCCTCCATGTTTTTGCCTACACCGGGGCGCTCCGCAATCACGGGAATCTTAAACCTGTCGAGCTGCTCCTTAGGACCGACACCAGATACCATCAGAATCTGGGGGCTCTGGAAAGCACCGGCTGATAGGATGACCTCTTTGCGGGCCTTAAGAATGTAAGTGGTCAGACTGGGATTGGAAGAGACAACGACGCCTGTGGCTCTCTTGTTATTGTCAAAGAGAATCTTTTTAGCAAGAGATAACTGGTAGACCTTCAGGTTCTTGCGGCCGATGGCCTCGCTAAGGAAGGACGTCTGACTGGATTCACGCTTCTGAGAATCGGGTTGAATGGTGTCAGCACAGTACTGGGCGCCCATCAACTCGCCACTGTTGAAGTCTTGGGCTTGGGGGATGCCGATTTCGTTGAGCGAGGGCTCGAGGTAAGTACTAAATGGCTGGGCATAATTGGCGTAAGAGACATCAAGAGGTCCTCCCGCAGGAGAGAAAGCGTCGGGGTTATAGCCTGCACTGGCATTGGGAGAGCGAGAAGAACCGGGTGGTGTGAACTTGACGCTCTTCTTGAAATGCGGCAATAGCGCGTCCCAGGTATAGCTGTTATCACCGATAGCGTCTGCCCACTTTTGATAAGACTGCTTAGTACCGCGTTGATAAATCATGAAGTTACGAGCAGAGCTAAAGAAGTTATTAGAGACGTTCTTAACTTGCATTGCCAAACAACCCATGAACTTACCTCCCACCGAGGCATTTGCCACGAGCATAGTGGATGCGACGGTTATTGGCTCCGGCTTGGGCTTGGGTAACGAAATTCCAATCGACGAGCGGGTTAGTGTCGAGCGGACTGGACCCAGCAAACAGGGTATCGCCAGCGGGCGTGTTACCGATGACAGGGTTGGTGATCTGGTAGAACGTGCCGGCTTCGATGACAGCAACGGTGACATCGCCCTTGGCGCTTAGCCTATTGGCCATCACGAGACCAGCGGTGCCACCGCCAATGATGACATAGTCGAAAATCGCGTCTTTCCCAAGTTCTCCAGCACTGCTGCCCAGCTGGCGTTTGTGCTCGGCATGTTGACGGGCTTCGTCTTCGGCAGGGGCGGCGCTAGCTAGGCCGAATGCGGCAATGAACGTGGTAAGAGTGTGAGAGATACGCATTGTGAAATACGGATCAGTGACGGTCTATGTGGACGAGAGTGGAATATAGACCCTTAAAATCCTGGAGAGCCCACGTGGTTCCTCGAGGGATCAACAAGGTACTTATATGAAGCCCTCCGCACCAAGCTCGCACGGCATTCCGCAGGTCTCGCCTGGATTCAAACAATCTCGATTCCCATTTAATAGCCCCTAGAGAAACTTTCGCTTAGACTGGCGAAGGACTGGCGCAAAATCGTGGCTGTCCAGGACTCTTTTCGACCTGCTGGACGTATCGTATGGCGTTCTAGGTCAAGGTTGCCGGCATTAGCGTGCGAACAGATCTGACTACTGCAGGTTCTGGGGGGCCTTCCCTCCAACCACCGTTCCTAGGCTCGTTCTAGTCCGACAATGGCTTGTGGCTTGGGCCACCTGGAAAAGACCAAAGACGGAAAGAAACGATCATTGTCAGGTGCAAAAGCATGGTATTTGCGGGCATACAGGGGCAAATGACGCCAAGCCCTCTAGTGACTTTCGACAGCCGATTCAGGGAGGAGTCGAAGTCAAAGTTCAAAGACCCAGAGGCTTGTTTGTCCCAACCCGGAAGGGTCGGCTAATTGTAGGTAAGTCAACAACGACTAGCTTCAGGACGATAAGTTTGCCCAGAAAGGAAACGCCACGGCCCTTTGCAGGGCATGGTAGCGAGACTAGACCCCATACATCTTTGTTCCGCTTAGGCTACACTTTGAGATGTTTATGTTGAAATCACAGGGGGTTCGATATACCGTATACGGTAACCTGGATGACGAAGGGATAGAACTGTTGTTGTTATTATTATCCTATTTTTGCGTGAAGAAGGGAGAAAGCTATCTAGGGGCTGGCAGCTGAGGTGAGGTTAATGGGCTGAGGTCCTCCGTTTCGGCCGTAGCTATCCCGGGCCCGACTTGAACCGACCAGCCGAACCACGCTGGATAACTGATATTCAACAATATCCTACTCCGACAGATCCGCATCGCGGTCCAGGTCTGCTGGCGAGGTTCTTACCTGTACAAGCAGACATAGCATTTTCCATCCGCATTGACGGCATATTTGCAGCATCTGGCGCCAAAGTCTGACACAGACGGAGCTATTCCCTGTGGGAGCCTTCAAGATCTTGCCCGAGTGTTGGACAACCTCGGGGATGGGAAAGCCTCCCACCAGCTCCGGGCTGGAACCAATTGACAGTTTCGTTTTGCCGGGATATCCGCGCAACATGAGAGGGTTTGATGGAATAAAAACACATTTTTGGTTACTTTGGTAGCTATGCCTGCTATTTTGGAAAAAGGCACAACGGAGATGGACCGAAGGGATTGAAATTGAGGAGAGTCTGTTACTGCCCAGCCGAATTCGAGGTGCATCCTTAAATAGTTATCGCGACAGCGGCTTTTAGTAATGAATCCAAATCAGGCCTTGGTGATCTTGTGCGCAACATAGTCGCAGTCTCACGATTCCGTTGGTGCTGCGCATCGATTGATTGGCTATCAGTCACCCCTTGCTCCTTATGTACATGGGTCCAAACAACGACTACAATGTAAAATCCAACTGTGACTTTGGCTGACTCTCGCAACATTGCCGTACTTCAGTGCCGTCATCATGGAGACGCTCCGTCTAATGTATGAACTGTCGTCTAGATTGCCTCGAATCGCATCGGAAGAAGACATCGTATATAGAGAGACATGCACTTCTCAGAGCACAACAAAAAGAGTCAACGTGATACACGTGATCCCTCGAGACTACTCCATGGGTATGTTGGCCTACCTGGTTCACACGGATAAGCGTCTGTACCCACGAGGAACAAGATTCATCCCTGAACGGTGGCTTCTTAAGTACGGAGGAAGAGAAAACATCTCGAGCGGTGTCTCCTCACGTTTTTAAGGGGTAGTCGACATTGCGTTGGCATGCAGTACGTTCTCGCCGCGTCTCCTTTTGCAGCTCTGTGTCAGGTGCCCAGAGAGGGGGCACCGGTGCAGCACTAGTGGGATCTTCGGCAGTGGAGCTAGAACCACACAGGCACATAGTTATGGGAGTACAAAGGGATTCTAGCTAAGCGTCTAACATTGACTTCAACAACAAAGGCTAGCTATCAAGACTAACGTTAAAGAGAAGGAATAACATAACGCTACTAAATTAGTGCCTATAGCCTAAAAGAACTAAGCTTAGCTAAGGGGAAAAAAACCTAAAAGGTAAACAAGGAAGTTGCATCTGCAGTCATTGCAACGAAGGAGGATTTAAGATTGCAGTAATACAACAGTGAGAAAGCTCTAACAATTTTGTATGGAAAAGTGGAGGCGTTGCATGCTTGGAGCGAAGCTGCACTGAAGAAAGAATTGGAAAGGTTGGAGAAGAATGAAGAGCGGGATGAACAGCAGCAGAGAGAGGTGACGTTGGAGATAATGAAGCTGGAGAATGAGCTTAAAGCTCAAGGATTGGAGATCGGATTCGCATCAGCGTCCTCTCGAAGCACAGCTTCCGGTGGAATCCCGCAGAACCCCGAGGGGGCCGCAAAGCTCATTGCAAAGTACCACGATTGCAAGAGGGAATTGGATCTTTGTCAAAAGCGACAGGGTATTGATAAACATCGAATGGACACCTGTCTAACCCGGATTGGAGTTGGGGCTAGTGTTGTAGGTACTGCTTTTCAAATCGCATCAGTGGGAGTTACTGTGGCAGCTTTTACTATTATGTAGCCTACTTGTTGGCAGATACTTAGATCCGAAGAGGTGGTGATGAAGAACAAAACGATTGAATTTATTGATAACTTTGACAAACCAAAGTCTAGCATATTGGCAGCAACACATATCGTAGCAGGGTTTCCTTAAACAGGGAAATTTGAAGACTCCGTCTCGCCACGTCGATTCATTCCTTACTTCGCCACATGAATCTTAAGACTGTCCCACATTTTCTGGGTCGAGCTGCCACATGGCCCACCTCAACAGCTGTAACCGATTATCCTGCTCTGAGACGCCCCAATATACATAGTAGTTATCATCGCCAACGCAACTCGATTTCCAAAACCGGAATGTCCTTCGCTTGCCCCTGCGCTGACTATCAATCGCGACTGCAGTACCTCATTCTGCCGATGTAACCTTGTCAAGCGATAGGCCTGTTCATTGAAACCCTTTTTGAGCTTTCTTATTAGCAGCCGCTGCGCGTCGATCCCAGCAGCCGTTTTCTGATAAGAGGCGGCATGAAGCAAGCCGCTGCTAGCTGCCTGACGGCTGCCTAACAGCAGGCTACAAGCAGGTTCTCTTGGCTAATTATGAAGACCCCAGTCTCATCCAATTGTTTGAGTAGGCCTGTCATCAGATGAGCCATGTAAGGCGCTAGCGGCTTTTGCCACATGTTGTGTAACACACGTCTTGTACCCCAAGGTCAAACAGACGGCACTTTCGATTTGATTATTCACCAGTGGCGAGTTTCTTTTTTACCCCGAGGGGGAGCTGTTTATGCATGTTACGGCGACTCTGGTGCTTGAATACTTACCAATTCCTCAAACCTACAAGAACGCTGCTGAAGCAAGGTAGGCCGGCCTGCCGGCCTGATTAGGTATAGTCGCCTACAATGACAGACTTATCGCTAAGGATGCCGGTTTGATCCCTGGTAACCCACATGAATGCGGCTCACTTTCGCTATTGTATAACAGTGCAAAATGCTTATGCAGCCTGGGAGACGAGTTGGGCATCACACTTGTCTGAGAGCCTTTTCCCGGTAAGAGTATAGTCCATTCAAGCGGTTCTGCCTTGACTGAGAGAAGGGAGGTATTAACAATGATAATAAATGCTGATACCGCCATATGAAACCCCGGTATATTTGTAAACTTGTTACTGTCCTCAACCCATCCATCAAATACTTCTCTGTCAATCCACTCCCTTTCAACCCGACAGGGTCTCCATTAAAGTACCAAATGAAAATTTGCCTTCATTCCTCTCATCTTCAAACAGCAGGTATTAGTAGGAACAAAGAATTACCAATAGAAACACGCAGCCCGTTTACCCACCTTAGCTGGTCTATGTACCACATTGTCATGCAACCAGCCTTACACTACACGTACACCTACCACAAGCGATCACCTCAAGACTAATCTTACTGGAAACATCAATGAGTTGTATAGTAGAGTTGAAGGTATCTAAATGTCTAAGAGAGCTAAGCTTTATCGCTACCTATAAGTAGGCTACAGACTAGTTAGTAGATACTTTATCATCTCTTATATACAAGCCGAGTGTTGCTCACATCTTAGAATCCTTTTTCAACACACAATCAAGAACTAGCTACGCTAACCCTCGAAGACAATAAACAAATGTTTAAGATCAGCGGTAGTGTCTTGGTCCTTTGGATGCAATTCTCCGGGAGTGAGCAGGACCCAAGTCCGCTTCAGTCAATCAAGGAGGTTGCCAATTTAGTAGTCATGGTACCAGCGTGTTTCCTAAGTATTTGTTAGTCTTGTAAGGAATTCTCCAAGCCGTCATTTCTCATGTGAGAACGCCCTCTCTTTGTATTGTGTAAATGCTCAGTGAGTATTGCAGGGATCTTTGAACTACGACTAAAGGCGACTGGAACCACGCTCCTTGTTCTCAGGGACGGCTGTGCCTCGATAGGCTGGCGGCAATATTCCTTCTAGAGCAGCTTTAATCTGTAATGCCACGGTGCGTGAATGCCATCGCTGAACCCGGGTGTCACCACCCATAATCCAGTAATTGTCAATGCGAAGCTGGCGCTTCCACATTCCGCGAATCTCTCCCTCAGCATCAACACCCCACGTAGCGTCAAGACGAGCCGCGATCTCGCGAGGCCCCATGACATCTTTGCTCCTAGTCGCCGCTGTGTGGTAAGCATTGTTCGGATTGGTAGGTGAAGCTCCTAATATCTCCGCTGCTGTAGCTCGTGCATCTTTGTCGGCGAATCCTGTGCACCACACGATGGCGTCGGCATCAAGCGTGCTGCCATCCGAGAAGCGCAGGCCCGTTGTGGTGAAAGCAACAGGCTCGACCCCGGCCTTTACACCGGCCTTACCCTCTGACAACAATGCAGTGCCGCCTACGTCTACATAATGCCCTCCGCCCTTCTCATACAAATTGCTCAACAAGACACACCCTGGCGTACGGCCATCCATGACAGGGAACCCTGATTCTGCGAGAGCTGCGTAGCGATCTGGCTCTTGCGAGGCTGAGTGGACAAAGTGTTCCCGCACAAAATGAGCATCGATGTTTGTGGGTAGCGCCATCGCTTCCTTATCTGCTTCAACTCCGAGTTTCTCATAATTTCCGTGAGCGGCCGGGTCGCAGACGTATGCCACTGGGAAAATGAATGTCGGGGACCGAACTACCATTGTTGTTTTCAGACCGGCAGCACAGCAATCCTCGAGAATGTCGAATGCCGTGTTCGCTGAGCCAATCACCAGGGCGGACTGCATGCATGGCAGTATAGTCAGCTCCACGACCATAGCCATTGCTCAGACGGACTTTTACCGACCTTGATACCCAACATCTTCAAGTCTTTCGCGTTCTGGTAAGTAGCGGAGTGGACGCTGACGCCTTTGTAGAGATGTGGATCACCCATGGACGGTAAGTATGGTTTTTGCGACCCAATTCCTGTTGCTTGAACCACGTGCTTGGCCATGGCGGTTCGTTGACCAGTTGGCGTCTGAAAGATGACTGTCCAAAGCTTTGTGGCCTGGTTGTATGTTGTTGACGTGATTTTGGCTGAGTTGACAACGTTCAGATTGAATGTGGCTACGTATCGTCGGACATGGTCTGCTAGTTCTTCCCGTCTGAGGAAATGTGGAAATTGTTGTTGCTTTGCATACTCTATTCATTGCTCTCATTATCAGTAAACCTTCAAATTTGGAAAACATTAGGTGTATGAGACAACACGTTCAAAGGCAACACTTACCTAAATACGCCATGGTGCAGATTGCTGCGGGAATATGGAATTTCATTGCGTGATACCGGAGAGCCCAATTATCTCCAGGACTCGCATTGCGATCAACCATGACGCTTTCAACGCCTAAAGTCTTCAGACGGGCAGCAACGGAAACGGCACTGTATTGATTAGCTGTTACTCGGCTATTGACAGCTCGGGCGGCTAAATACGATCACCTGAGTGCTCAAGGTCGGCTTACCTATTCCCGCCACCAATGATAAGGACATCTGTTTCAAACACTTTTAGACCACTGAGGGGCTTTGCAGGTCCTTGTAGAAGGTTTATATCTTCCGGATGGGAATCATAGCTGTCAAGCCTGGTGCTCAGAACCCAAATCCTCCAGCCTACATCATTAGCATTTCCTTCTCTGCTCTTGCTTGGCAAAAGCACAAGCTTGCCGTGGCAAGTAGCAGCAGGTGTCTTGGTTTTAAATGTAAAGTTGCAGTCAATGAATTGCTGGCAATGAAACGTTCGTTAGTTGCACCATTACCGCTCTCTAGTCCAACCCATCGAACGAGGATAAACTCACAAGTGTTGGGCCAACTGTTGCAAAACGAGCTTCACCATCAAGCTCAATGTGGTAAACGCCACGGAGGTTCTTAGTCTCTATAAGACTAGCAGCAATAGGACCGGCTTGGCGAAACGTTCGCAAGTGATATGTGAGTGCCAACAGGTCTTTCCAATAGGCCTGGTCCGCGTAGAAGCAGCCCTCTAAGGCAGTTGCATTATTGGTTTCCAAGGCTTGACTGAATCGCTTTATCGTATCTAGCGCCAGGATGGTCGACCTGCCCTCGTCCATCGAGATAGCGTCTACCGCCCCCTCGGCGATGATCGGTAGCGGCGTCTCGGCCATCATGTCGAGCAAATTAGCCCGAGGGGGGTATTCACTGCCGTATTCCAACATCTCGCTACCTGAACTCCATGTCAGCTGAGGAGAAGGGGAACGAAAAACTCATGGTAGTCCTACTGGTGGCCTTGGCGCTTTATAAAGCAGGAAATTCAAATTGTGATGTGATATCCGAAAGGAAACAAAGAAACGAGCAGAAAGGACTTCTCGCTTCCTAAGTAGCAGAAACTTTGGCTAAATCCGAAAGGTCAGTTCGTTCATTCCGGTTGAGAAACTTTACGAGTACGCCCAGTGACGTCTTAAACGTCCGGCGTGGGAACATCGATTCCCCCACAACCCCACAACCCCACAACCCGCTATCGACACCCATCCACCGGGGAAAGTTCCGTCCCGTATACCGCGCGGTTCTAGACTGGAATGTACGAGGCAGTCGTATGTGATAGTAGACTGTAACCTCGGCAGTGTTTTAGTGGTGCCCAATGTGACCTGAGGTCCCTACTTTGCTTTCCCCACACGGAGAAAGGGGGGCCACAATCGGTTAAACCGGGATTTCCGGAACCTTGTATACCTTGTCTTATTGACCAAAGCGCACCACCAACTGAGGAAGTTGTGGTTTCATGGATCCTCATAGGCCAGGCCCACGTCTCATCCGAAGCTGATTGAGAAACTTTAATTGTTCGGCAGAAATCGCGGACCGGAGGTGTGGAAAGAATCGGGGCATCCATGCATTTTGAATTTGGAATCTACTGCTCTTAGTATACAAATACGTACATAGGTCCATAGGCATTATTTGCATGAATAACAGAGGTTGGAATCAAATGGCACCAAGGTACAGCAGTAAATAGTGATGGAGTATCTGCAATAATGGAAGCAGCGTGATGAAACAATCGCTCAGAATATACTGGGTTTATCCGCCGCCGTCCAAGGAGTCCTTTCTTGGCGTCCTGAATTCAGCTAGGCTATATGGAGTAGGAATAGGAAGTTTCTTCATATCGACATGCTTTATGACTTAGACATCTCAATGTTAAACGGACGATCCCAGTATTTGCCCTGCGGGCTGACAAAGCTTTCCTTCTCAACTAAAAGTAAACCTAGCGACCCATTCCATTTATAATACGTTGCAATCCTCTTCCAGATAAGCCGTTCCTCTTGAAATATTTTCGCCTTTGTTCTGTTTTTACTTTGCTTCATTTTTGATGTTTTCTCTAATCTGCATAATGCACCTATGTGGGAGTAAAGTTTGAAGGTTACATCCCTTTCTTATTGCTCGATACGCATTTGAAAGCATTGACTTGAGAGCCTGCGCTATAAGGTGATTTCGGCATAAACGAAAAAGACAGATACACTCGATTCCATAGTCGATGGTCCTACGACACAGGTAGTCAAAAAGTAATCAGATTTAAGGAGAAAAGACGTGCAGCGACTCTGCTATGTGTGGTAAGTTTTTAATCATAGCCTCTGTGGCTTATGAGATCCCAATGGAGGGTAATACATCTCCTTTGGAGCGATTTGCATAGCTTTCGGTGGCAGGAACAATTTGATCAAGGGCTGACGGAACCTCTGAGTGTCTGACCCATAGCAGTCTTGTAGTTGGCCTAACAGCTTGAAGGACCAATCTAATCGCTGGAACACACCGGCTCATCGCTGAAAAGCCTGATTATCTAATCGATGCGCATGTGTTGCCCTTTCTTGGAGCGGCTGGAGGGAAAAGTAAAACGTTGTACAATGGTTCATGCCCCGGACCGCTGTTGTTTTATAACTGTAGTAATTGAATTTAGACTGTTCTTTGGGTAAGTAATTCCAAGCCTGATTTTTTTAAAATAGAACCTCTAATAACTGTGCGTATTCCTTATGAGGCTTTTTCGCCTGGATTTAATCGAGAGAAGAGTATGGAACAAAGAACAAAGGAGGAGTCTTCAAAACGGATTAACAGTTTAGAGTTCATCCAGCCCGTTTGTCTACACGACTTGTTGACTTATACGCCCTGTCTCCTACTAGCCAACGCAACCCGCTCATCAGTCAACGCGTTTCTTACGTCATCAGCGGTAATCTCTAGGGTTGAACCTGGTGCCTGTATTTCGTCAAAGCTATCGCAAATTCAGTCCCGTTACCCTTCCAAATGATGGTATCACGTGGTAAGCTTACTAGCAGACCGCATAGGGACCACGCTTGTTCGCTGCCTTCGCTGCCTCCCCGCCGTTCAGCTCCTGGTTGCCGCTTTGGTCACTAGTAGTAACCTTAATAGAGCCACTAGAGGTGTTCCAACAGTCGTTATGAAATGTTGTTGAGTCTGCAACTCTAAAAGATGTACTATTGGTAAAGAGCTCTTTGGCTTCCAAAAAACCATTAATCAAATAGAACGTAGGAGCCAGGTTAGCAGCTAAGCTACCTGCCATCACTGTTTCATCATTAGACTGGACAGGTGTAAAGATGGCTGCGTTGCTCAAAGTATCTTGTAGACTTGTTGCACATGTCTGTTCTGCCCCCGACGTAGCAAAGAGCTTCAGTGGCATTCCCAGAGTCTATGTTGGAGAGTCCCTCTTGTTAGCTTGAATTATCCATGCAATAATAGGTCAGTAATAGGAACTAGTTGACTGACCTATTCTGTAGTATTGCTGTCTGATTGACCATGCACTATCGCGACTGATAGTATAACAACGAGCAGCAGGCTTAAATAGACAAACCTCGACAGACATGGAAGACATGCGCATGGGTCGACTGCATGTGTTTGGGGTGCCATGAACAGCAGAATTGAACCATGTCTTCAAGAAAGCGCATCGGCGATTATTTGAATCGCAGACACATCCCTCCGCCATGCCAAGTCTTATCAAGAATAAATACAGCGAACGGCGGGCCACTTTAAATGATAATGTTAAGAATCCTGCTAAGTGAGTGACAAGAATTCGTTTTTTCCTAACTGTGTTACGGTCAGGTATCCGTCAGTAGTGTTTTCTGCTAACAGGTAACTAAGCTCAAAATTCAATATCAATAACTGTAAGTCTAATGGTATTTTTGCTTGTCTGTCAAGTGCCCGGTGATTGGTTGTACACCCTAAGACGTAGATAGCTCGTAATTACAGCTTTACAACAGAAGGATAATCTATGAGTCACATATGGGAGACTGAATTAGGAAGTTTGTAGCTGAAGAGCTATGTAATGGCCCCAGAGCGAAGATTAAATGCGTATACACAATTCTCTACTTTCTGGCAGCGATCTTCGGAATATCGCTTCAGGTCGTAGAATAGCAATCTAAGCATTTCGCTCCGAACGCCAATCCTAGCCCCTAAGCCCTGCAATCGTGCATATATGGTTCCTACCGTCCTCTGCTCGGCTCGAGGGAACGTTTCAAACCGTTGCTTTCTGCAAGAGTGAATTACAAAAAGGCGCCCGTAGTGAGACCGTACATGATGGCTCTCAGTTGCTTGAGCTCTTCTTCTCCTTGGTAGGATAGCTTCGGTGAAACCATCTCTCTAAACTCTTGGTCCCATTCACCAGGGCCCTGTCTCGCCAAAGCAGCTTGCTCAAAACCAACCAGATAAACGTCGCCCATTCCGAAATCGATGAGGCATAACTCCTGATCCTCGTCTCTCACAATGAGATTTCGGGGATCAATGTCCTGATGCGTAAGGACCACATCGTCGAATGTGAACATCCGAGTATCTTCGTGCGTCCGCTTGATTCGTTTGCATACGTCTAGTTTATGATTTTACCAATTTTCCAAATCTTTTAGAGTCGGAAAAGGTCCGGTTCCGTATACGGTAAAGTAGGGACCTCGCCAAGGTTCGTCTCTTTAGTCGAGGCGATGATAATGCATTCAATTCTCTGATAGTCCGCATTGCTGTTACCGGCCTACAATCACTCAATTCGTGAAGTTTCAGACTTGTGTATGCATTGAACTTTCGAAAACTAAATTGAAATGGCTTCCTACATTCGCGCCATTCACATCACATTAAAACACTGCTTTCCGGCTTCAATAGTTATCCGACACAATTGCCATCTTGTTTTTGTACCCGGTCTAGAACATAGTATTCTAAACAGCGTCCTCACTAGTAGACGTGAGATTATCGGCGATTTTAATCAGCATGACTAAGAGGCGCTTTTAAGAATTTGAGGTGTCATTATCTCGTACCTAGATGGGCGGCCTTATAAATTCGGGCTAAACATGCGTCTTGAATACCTAATAATAGAATGACATCTAGCTTTTGTTATTTGTCTAAACAGCTAGCTCGCGATTTAAAGTGGAACTGTTAGCTGCAGGCTAGGCACTATCCGTGACCTGAGCGAAATCATATTGCTAAGACCAAGTCATGTATGAATGCTTTGCTTCTGAGGGCAAGCTATTCCCGATCGGGGGCTTAACACCGCTTCGGCCTCAACAATCAACTGTTGAACCATCATGGTATCATTGATGATGCAGATAGTAGATTTGGCTTGCATCATGCCAGCACTTTTACCAGGCTTGGACACCAAATAAGGGGCGGGGTAACGCGCGGCGTAGCAAACTCCACTAATGGACAATTGGGCAGTTTAACAGTCGGACACAATAATTAAGACTGAGCTTCCTCTCACGAACGGCTCTCGAAAAGAGGAGTGCAATTCCTTGTCGTTGTTTTCCAACTCTTCTCATCCTCATGTCCCACCCCCTATGACATAATGCCTACATACACAGGGAACATCAACATTGACACAATGGGCCATCAGGGTGAGGCAGACAATACCTCGACTCAATCTTTGCGCCCTGCAGACAAGGGAACGCCTTCATGGCTGTTCATTCTTGCATCCTTTGTTGCAGAGGCTGTTCTTTGGGGTATGTCACACACAAATACTCTCCATTGTGGATGCTTACATATTCCCCAGGGTTTCCACTATCCTACGGCGTCTTCCAAGACTATTATTCCAACCACCCCGTCCTCAAGAATGACCCTAACATTGCCGTCATTGGGACTGTCGCCACCAGTGTGTATTATCTTGGCGGTCCGTTGGCAACATCCTTTGTTGCACGGTTCCAGGCGTGGCAGCGACATATGATCATCATTGGCTGGCTTGGTTGCTCGATATCACTCCTAATGGCTTCGTTTTCTACTTCAGTGCCGGGCCTGATTGCGACTCAGGGATTTCTTTACGGCTTTGCCTTCCTTTTCGTTAACTATCCCCTTCTTCGTATGCTTAACGAGTGGTTTATTGAACGAAGAGGGTTGGCCTACGGTGTTATGTCTACCGGTGCGGGTTGCAGCGGAATTGGTTTGCCCTTCCTTCTGGAGTCACTGCTTTCGAAGTATGGATACAGGATCACGCTGCAGGCCATAGCAGTGACGCAGTTTATCACCCTTCTTCCCATGATACCTCTTCTCAAGGGACGACTGCCTGCTTCAAGACGGGGAGTACTGAAGAAAGGGGACTTCCAGTTTTTCAGAGAGCCCCTGTTTTACTGCTTCGCCTTGACAAACTTCCTCGAAGCACTGGGCTACTATGTTCCTTCACTCTATCTACCAACTTATGCGACATTCCTAGGCTTGTCGGGAACTGTGGGGGCGCTGATACTCGCCACCAACAATCTCGCTACAATCTTTGGCCAGCTCGCTCTCGGCTACATCACTGACCGTGTCAACAACGTCTGCATCCTCGTCTTCGCCTCCTCGTTTGTCGCTGCGGTCGCCAGCTTTACCATATGGGGGTACGCGACGTCACTCGCACCACTTCTTTCTTTCTCGCTATTGTTCGGACTGTCAACAGGCGGTTTTCCATGTCTGTGGAATAAGTTCGGATCCGCTCTCTCGGAGGATCCAGGACACATATACAGCTTCATGGCGTTTGGGAAGGGCGTTGGCAACATCCTGACTGGGCCAATTTCTGGATTGTTAGTGAGGAGCTATGTTGACTCCGGGTATGGTATAGGTCGATTCGCCCCGTTGATATTGTACACTGGGTCGATGATGCTGTGTTCGTCACTGGGGGTCTTGTGTTGGCCTCTCATGCGAAAAGCTGCTAAACGCTGAATGTTTGCCTAGATTTATGCGCCGTCATGTTTGTCACTAACTTTGTGAACGACGGGCCAATTAAAGTTACCATACATGTCACTTTGTACATTCGACTATGTCGCTTAATTAGGTGCGACCAAATCTATTGAAGTGACGTGGGCAATGCAGCAGCCCAACCAAGACAAAAGCGGTGCAGTCTGGGCAATTACAAGTGCCAATCATTTTGAAAGACAAAGCACACAGGCAGAACAAGGCGGGCCAGTCCTCTGGAGAGGAGCATGAGCCCTGCCACTGCTAGGCTGCCAGCGCACAGCTGCATGTGGTGAAAGCGGCCGCCGACCACTATGACCGACTTCATCCATGGCAGTGCTACGAATTCAGTAATAGCACTTCGGTGCATCGTCTACTCAGCGACAGGATAGCCAGCCACCCTCGCTATTGACCCTCTTACTCAATCCTTGATCGAGCACAGACCCTGCCTCCGAACAATGGAGTTCGGGACGGCTCAAAGCCCAAGGATGAATAAATATTCTGTCACGACTGGTCGTTATCAAATATCAGACGCAGAGGCGTCGCTAGACTCCGCAATGCTGTCTGCTCTATATAAAGAGCTAGTCGATCCAGATGAAACCGCAAACCTGATCGACTCCAAATCCATGGCCGGTAACTGCACTTTTGAGGACAGGAGCGGCAACGACTTCTTCTCTTCTTTCGCCATATGTCACTCGTGCGACGACATCGAGTCATATAGAACACGCAGGACAATGACTGTAAGGTACAGAAAATTAAGTAAATGCCGATGGCTTTTAAACTTGGTTTCTCTCCCCTGCTTGCCCTGCCTGCCTGTCTAATCTTAAAGTAGGCAATGCGGCAGCACAACCAAGACAACTGTCGGGCAATCCGGGCGAATGTTGGGTGCATCCCTGGGACGGATTTTGCCAGCCAAGTACGCACAAGTCGATGGCACGTGCATTGGGCACCTGACAAAAGACAGGCCAGCAGAGTAGGGGGAACTTTCCAAAGGCACAGCCGATAGTCACAAAAAGGATATCTTGTCGATTGACGTACCTTGAAATATACCTCTCTGATCTTACGATCCTTCGAGGTTTGAAAATCTTCTTGGCAGCCGGTCTGTCGCCATAACCCCGCCCCGCCCGACGCATCGCCACTTGCCAAGGTTCTACCTCCAGGTCGCAGACAGCTGACCATTACTAACGACCTTGAGAACTACTACGGCCCTACAAACTGGAATTTTGGAGAAATTGGTGGTGAAATGGAGTGTTCAAGGCGATTTTCAAGCAAGAGCTAAAAAAGCGTGACTTCCCTTCCGGAGAACCCTGCGGTTGAATGTCAAGATGACGAGTTTGATTATAGCGAGCACAAGTGTTGTGAGAAGAACCAGGAGGTTTCCCGTCGTTTTAGCAAGAGTTAAGTGCTTAAATTCCGCCTTTGTGGCTAATACTAATCGACATGTACCTGTTGTACTGCAACGGATGTTGCCATGCTTAAAGGTGTCAGACTGAATCTCTGCTTATCAGTGCACGATATTGCACACACTGCACATATAGGCTTTACTGAGGTGTAATATTACCGCGGTAGGGTAGGAATGAGACAGGGTTGACATCAAGAATTGCGAACAGACTACCATAGAGGACTTTTGGGAGCACATCCGAAGGTGGCGTTATGGCTGCCCGGCCTTCATCCACTCTGCGACTAAGTACCTGAGTTCATGCCTGAATCAACAGATTTGACGCTATATCTAGCAACTAATCCTTTACAGCACTTTCTACGTCAGCAAGCTTTTACTGTCAAGGTTGAATTTGTTTGGGTACAATGTTTTTACTGCGCTTGTTGAATCTTTATTTGCCTTGTTAACTCCCTAAAACACAGTAAAGCCGAGAGTAATGAAGCCCCAAAAAGAACTCAATTATCTCAAACGCGAACAGTTCGGTCTCGAAATCAGTGACAGTCACCACTTAATCCTTTCTGTCCCTATGTGCATTCCTCAACTAGCCATCACTCTCTCCACCAGCTATGCTCTTCATCCACTCCGCCTTCCGAAAAATAGAGCCTGATTCGTGGAAAAGTCATTCCTTATTCCCCTCTTGGTCCGAACTTGAAATTTGAGACGGCGTTTGGCGACGCTGGCGCTGGCTGAACATGGTCGCAGGCTGCTCCAAAGTGAACCTGGAGGAGCTGAGGGGGTGAGGTCGGTAGGGCTCGTGGAGCTGGCTGGGTTGATCATTGTCCTTGACTGTCAGGTTCTCAAGAAAATCGATGGGCTCCGGAGCTTCTGCTTCAGGGTGAGAGTCTTGCCCACCTGAAATTCCGGCCAACAGTTGCGACTGTGACATCCAGTTGTCCAAGCGCTCAGCTACAGCCTACTTCGTCTTTGTCATGTAGCTCCGAGTGATATTCAACAGCCTCCACCTCCCTAGGATGGGTGGTTGAACCATGAGCATCCTCGGCGGCCGCCACCGTCCTTTCCAGCAGGTCAGCCGGAATAGGCGTAGTGGCCGAGTCAACGCCTTTCTAAGGCTGTCCCTCGGGCACGGCGCCGGTCGGCAGTGTCTCAGGGACGAAGGCGGCATACTCCGGGTTTTCCGTCAAAGGACCGAGTGTTTCAATTATCCATTGTCGAGCAGAGGCGCATCATCGATGTCCTGAGTTAGGCTTCGCCATGCGAGAGGGATCCAACCTTTGAAAGGATCCAGTCTATGCCAGCCGAATCGGATGACTGGGTGGTGCTTTGTCGGGAACTGCTTCCAGAACCTAGCAGGCTCTGTCCGCAGATCGTCGACGAGTGCGCGTCCGTAGCCTACCAAAACAGCCCGGGGTTCCTCTAGCGGTTGACCTAAGTTTCGCATGGATACGATCACATTCTTCGAATTCGGTCTTGGTCAGTGCTGAAACTTGCTGGCGCTGAGCTGTCCGTATAGAGCTTGACTATCGTCGGAATGAGACCAGTGGGCAAAAATAGATCTTGCAGGCAGACTCCCTCGACATACTCGATTGCGAGAACGGCAACATGGCGAAATTGGTTTGCGAATGTTGATTTGACACTCGTAACTTTGGTGGTCCATCATCCATAGAATTCTGGAGCGATGTTGGAGAATTCAGTACGCCCACATTCGTAGAGGAAGTGGTAAGCACCGAACTCGTCACTGAAAGCCGAGTCGGCCTGAATCGTGACTTTGAATCGACGTTTGGTGATATCGACAACCTTGTGCCAGAACAAGGCATCGAAAAACTTCAGAAAGAGGAGCTGCCCTTTGGTCGGGATCTCCTGCTTTTGCTTGCTGGGAGAGGTGGTTGGCGCATCGACGACGCGACACAAGACCTTCTAAGGACCAGGGTTGTAGCCAGAGACAGGGTTAGCGCCAATTATTTGCAGTATCTCGACCCCCATTTGAGCATCCTCGTTATGTTGATTCTTTTCGTCGAAGTTCAAAGGCGTGTTTCTATGATCGAAAACCAGTCGTGTGAATGAGCACACCTTCTCCTCCTCAGACGGCATCATGTGTGCCGATGTGAAGCCTTTCGGAAGGGGATAAAAATGCGAGCCGTAAGGAGGAAGCGGTGTGTGAGGGCTGAGACGGAGACACCGGCCTTCGGAATAAAGCTCATTGTGATCCAACAGAATGCATTCATCCTCAGCGGAAGAAGAGGCACCTGTATCTTCGGAGACGAAGAAATTGGAAGACATGCTGAACAGCGTTCAAAGAACTGTCTCCTGTTGCCCTCAATAAGTTGACAATTAACGGAGTATTGAACTGGACGGGAGTTGCGCATAGAATTGTGAGGTTGGGAAGCGATGCGTAAGCGATAACGACGTTGGGTTCGCAGACAGCCCAGCTGAAAGCTACAAGGTTGGAAGCTACAATGATATAGACCGCGGGAGTGTCCCTAGTCCAGACAGTCTCAAAATACCTATCCAGTGGGTATGGAGGTACCAGACCTTACGTGGGTGGCTACTGACTTCTCTTTGATACCTTGGCTGATACGGGTAGGTAAACGTGGCTTGGCTACCACCTCTGCGTCTTCAATCACGTCTGGGTGCAGCAGTCTTCAGATAACGTTCTACTCGCGTTGATTTTCAGGTCATTTGTCTTGAGCTGCTTCGAACAATTTAAACCAAACACTTTCTAGCCCAAATTTGCGTGGGTTACCACCTCCTTCTAGAAGGCTATTGTCCTTGTTACCTGCTCCACAAAGTGCTTCCACGACCTGACCAAAGGCATTCGAAGATAAAATAGTACCCAACATCAACGAATCCAGATCCACATTAGGCTTCAAGTGATCAAATCCCTTCACCCACAATGTCAAGATCTCTCTCCAGCAAGTCACTACTTATGCTGTCGCGGAAGGAGCCCCTAACGCTGGCCTTCTGGATCACCACTCATTAAGCATGTTCGAGTTTTCCGAACTGAGGGCGACCTTGCACCTAAACGACGCTGAACGGCTTCGAGCTGGACCCGGAAGACATTTTCGCGTGCTTGCGCTCAAAGACAACCCGGGTCAGATTTGCCGCTACATCATCAGTGCCTGGACCAAGAGGATCAGGGGTTCCTGATGAGGGGTTGTATTTAGACTGTTGTGTATACCTTGGGGGCTGGGCACGAGCTTCTTGTTGATTCATGGATAGAATAACTATGCAGCCTTCTCGAGAAGAGGATTGTGTATCATGGCCTTTGTGTTTTGACTCAATTACTATGCTAAACCTGCAGAAAGACTTATATGCACGCTCTTGCTGCCGTCACCTCCACACCATAGCAACACCATGAATCCCGCCCTTTGAACTTGAGTGACACGCATGTATAGAATTGACAAACGTAATCACTCTATGCAGATGGACCGGTCGTAACGGTTTTCGAAAGCGGATACAGCCACTTAAAGGTACCCTCAAACGGCTCCGACGTTGGTAGGAAGTCAATTGCTTCCGACTTTTGAATCTTTGGCGACAAGACATATGTGATGAACAGCTTTTGCACAAAGCTCCACGACAAGACGTACCTCGCCACGATCCAGTTCAAAGTCGAAGACCACGCGTGCATTCTGGTCACCAGAGCAGAGTGCTCCATGTCTGACACCAGCGCCTCCTGTCTCTCATGCCGGTACTCCTTCAGTCGACTTTCCAATGCCGTGAAGTCTAGCGACTCTCCATTAGACGACAAGACGAACTTGCGCAGCTTATTGCAAAGAGTCGCGACGTCTCGAATACCATTATTGAAGCCGAGACCCGCGTTAGGTGTGAACTTATGCGCTGCATCGGCAACAAGGACAATCCTACCGTTCCAGCTCCAATTGCCACAGATACCCTCCTCAAGACCCGCACCGCCAGCGTTGTAACGCTCCTCCCAAACGTCCTTGACTTTCAACGTCTCCGTGATGGGCCAGTCCAGGAATTCCCCGGCAAATTCCTCGACTTCGTTACCGGTCAAGGCAATTCGCTCGGTAGTCGGCTCAGGCAGCTTCTTATAGAGAAAAATCCACCCACGCTCTTTGCCGGTGATGTACATGATGGATTTATCCTTACTATGCGTCTCGTAGCTCTGCCCGCACTCGGTTGGACGGGGGAATGAGGTCCAAACGCAACGATAATTAGTCTTGTAGGGCTTGATTGGGTCCCAGGTTGTCTCGCGGGACGGATCTTCTTCGATCGCAAGTCGGCGCATTTCCCGCCGAGTCATTGAGTGCACGCCATCGGCACCAATGACAATGGAGCCTGAGTAGGACGAGCCATCATCGCAGGCTACCACTACACCGGACTCTGTGGGTGTAATGCTGGCGAGCTTCTTTCCTGTAAAGTAGCGCGCCTTTGCGGTCTCGGGGAGGTTGTCGTACAGAGCCTGGATAAGGTGTGCCCTATGGTATGCCAATGGTTCTATCCCGTGACTTGATGAGCAGCACTCATTGTTAGCGAACACGCGATGCCGCCAGAATCTTCATGGACATGGGGAAGGTGAACGCACTATTCTTTTAGGATGCCATACGCATCAGCATGCATAAATAGATGCCCATCGACCGTAAAGGCCTTGTTCTCCTTTACCTTCCCCCCAATTTCCAACAGCTGGTCGAGGATACCAAACTGATGAAATATGCGCAAGCTCGCGGGACTCAGGACTAAACTTGCTCCTAGATCCTCGACCACATTTTTTCTCCGCTCAAGAACAACAAAGTCGATTCCGGCGTGATAGAGGGCGTATGCAGCCGTTATACCACTGGGGCCCCCCCGATGATGATTACCTTGAACGGTTCGGCGGTCATGTTGAATTGGTAATAACGGCTCGAGTCGATAGAAACGTAATCTCAATGTGAACCGCGACAAGCCCGCGCTGAGCTGCTAATCAGAGGTTTATAATGCCCAGTTGATATCCACTCTCGGATCCAACTTGACCCATTTGTCTTATCGATCCCGACGAACTCCCTGCATCGGGGCAATTCGCCGGGGCCGCTTTCCAATACTATTGGGCAGTTGCGCGACCTCAAAGTGGGTTACGTTGCTGTTGCATGGGATGGCCTCTGTATGATGATGATAGGCCAGGTCATGATCCACGTCCAGCGAAATTGCTGACCGAAATCCACACTTTGTTCCCGCTCTACCTGTTCTATAGGGGCCCTTGACTGGGGCTACCACATGGACTGAACTTGGGTGCAACTCCACTTCATCAAGCCTGTATGCAAAGTAGATTACGGCAGTTTCTCATCGAGTCGGTGGCAATCATGTTAAGAAGATACCCTTCGTACTCCTACGATTGCTGCATATCTCTTCACCTTATCGAGGAAAACTACATAGTGATTGCCGTGAGTCTCGAAGCGGCACAGGCATTTGTTGAAGTTGGCAATCGGTGAGGTGGTGCCAGGTGGGCACTGTCCTGCCATCTGGTGGCAGGTGTTCCGCCTAGCGGGCAGTCACGCAATGGCCTGTGACCGACGGTGAAAACCCCAGACTGCGTTACAGTTGCGAGTTAGCACTATCAGTAGTTATGTGGTTTAACCATTCATTTTTGGAGAGGCCACCCTAATATGTCATATCAATGTGTGAAGACCAGCCATAGGTGACAAACTAACTCGCTTTATTGAACTAACATTCACTTTCATTACGTTACCAGAACATGATGACACCAGTCAATATTTCATGGGAACATTGAACTCACATTTACTCTCATGCGCGCCATAGTCCTTGTCTATCAAATTAAGATCCGAGGCTGAAATAGTGCTGCCAAAACCACCAGCACATAAAATTAAGGTTACCTGTAATACAGCTGATTGCGCCACCATGAAGCCTATTGTTGGTCTCCCAGGCGGTGACACTCGTAGAGTGATAGCACGATCACGTCAAAGGTGATATTGCTGGTCGTTATATTTAGGGTACGGAGATAGGACATCCAACAATGTGCCAGCGGTAAGATGAAGTGGGATGTGCCCCTCGTTGTGGCTAAGCCCACCTTGTCAGGTGTGGCTGACAGGGCTATGCTTCCTATCCTCCTGTTACCTCCGATTGCCCTATTCCAACACCTGCTTACTGATGCTGATGCCGTTGTGATATTGCTCTCCCCGACCACGGAGCCCTATCTAACATCACAAGAAGGCTTCGGTGCTGCATTAGTCTTTATGCCATTGATAACCCTATGTTGACTGCACAAAGCGCCAGTGGACCTTCGAGGGGCTTGAATAGCGTCTTATCCTAGGGCAGTGTAAGTACAATTATGCTTTATTCAAGAATCCCGTAATTCCTGAATACATAATTCTAATGTAGATAGGTCTGGCCATTTTGGTCGTGTCTCGCAAACTTAATGCTTCGACTTACAATACCCTGCTCGTTGACAAATAGGTTCTCCTCTGTGTTGGAATTTTTCCACAAGTCTATCGTCCTCTTAACGTCTAGTGGGGATATATAGGGTGAGGAGCAAAGAGGTGGGCCAGGTCTGTCTAGCATAACGCCATGCTTCAGCTTGACTTTCTCCTTTATTGCTGCAGTGAGCATGTCGACTCCCCAAAGGGCTTCCCTCGACAACCCTAGCACAGGCATGAGCCTCAAGATTTCGAGACGCGTTTCCGGATGAATATATAGTGTTGTAAAAATAAACAGTATGGCTACGAAGCCTCTTTCAACGATGAAACACGGATGCTTTGAAGTCAATGTCTTCAAGGGTTCTACCACCTCGGCTTCCAACCTAAATAGTTGCTTCAAAGCCCTTTAAACAAATTTGAGAACCTGCTGTAGCCAGCCTCGATGGCATCAAATGCCATGCCTTGCCAAACCATAGACGACAGCACTCAAAGCGTACAAGAAGAAAGCACCGCAATGTCTCGTTCGATTGTCTTATACGCTCCAGAAGTGCTTAGTGGCAGCTGTGGCCTTTGGCATAACGCCCATCGATTGGACGAACACCTTTCTCCACTTTTCTAAGAGTTGTTGAATGGCAGCTTTCTCTGCTAAATGCTGCTAGGTCTTGAAGGAGAGCTCTGAGAGACTCTGATTGAGGAAGATCTATGTGGCAGGCCTGCTTGGCGATTTGGAGGGACCTAGTTAGCTAAGTCGTTCGGTTAAATATCACATCCAGCATCATTTGTGCGTCTGATATTGCCGCGAAAAATGAAGGTATAGGTCCCTAGATCTTGAATGTCAGGGACATCTGAGTCTTTGTCGCCAAAGAATAGGGTGACTCGCTCAATTGCCGAAATGTGGGCACGAGCTTCTTGATGACCCACGGTGGCCGGTGCTCCACACAGGTGCTTTTCAATATTTCCGCTCCATTCCTGCCACGTAGAAGCGCTCCCTTTCAATTGGAGCGCATTGTTTCGAGACAGGTGAATGAGATGCAGGCAAGCACAATAACGGGAAGTTTGTGCACAGTTTTCAAGGCCCTTAATTCCTGAACACTGGCGTTATAATGGCGAAAAACGGTTTGTTGGTTTCCTTGTCGCCTTTCGGTACCAAGCTCAAAGTTGCTTTGACTTGCTCGTACAAGCTACTAATGGAGATCACGGCGTGTCTTACGGCCGGCTCGAAGTTACTGAACTGCATGACCGCGTAAGTCCAGAAGCAAGGATCCACAGCCCTCGACATTACTGGGCCTACTATCTCACAAAAATAGTGCAAGGCTCAGCCCTCACTGTCCGAACCTTTTGACTTCCTTTGCGAGCCATTTCTCAGACTAGATGTCTGCGTAAACCGCCACGCGGCAAGTCTCATCCCACAACACAGCCTGAGAAACATTATTTCAGCTGACTACTGGGTTTGGTTATCAAGTTCGTTTGGTTAGGGACTGAATCGTGAAAGTGACTATATAGTGGCCGAGACGGAATGAAGTAACACATCTCGAAAGGGGTTGGACGACATGCTAATATTGTGGCTACGCGATAACCCAGTGCGCGAATGGGGCTGTGTTCGTGGGAATCCGCAGGTCTTATCTCCTATTCCTTGCCAACAATAGCGCCTGTATTATTAGGACAAGCCACAGCTACCTTCATCTGCAATCGCTTAGGTAAAGCTTAACGCAGCAAATTTCATTCGGTACCTGTGGCGGCAGGCTGCTGGCGAATTCATTCAGAAGCAGTTCTTTTGTAGACAGATTCATCATCACCCTCTGCAGCTTACAGTAATATAGTCCAACTCAAGTGAAGATAAACTAGCTTTGTAACTAACCAAGCGGCAGAAGCACTACGACGTCTGATGGCTTTCTTCTACACCATGGCAGGGAGGGCATCTGTCTTCCTACAAAGGTTCTTATGATTGCTGTCGCGTCTCAATACCTGCTTGACATTATGTCTTCGGGTTCTTTTGTTTGTCTTGACTGAATCGGGGTAAGATTGAGGCTCTCAACAGTGAACTTTTGATTGGCGGGTTGTGCTTCGGGTCTGTTCACCATAGAACATAGCAGATGGTCAGCAACACACCCGGTCTGCATGTCGGCGACCGGTTCCCCGCATTCAGTGGAAAGAGGGTGTGTTGACTACCCATCTCTCATTGGCTTTCGGGGCTAATCTCGTGGTGAGGCGATACTTGAGATTGGTTGACTGGTCATTTGTTTGTCCAAGTATTCATGCAGTGCTGCCATCAGTTATGTCGTGCGACACATCATCGTCGACCTTGGGTTCTCATCTTGTGAGTTGATGTTTAGGCTCCAATAGCGGCAATCGCCTCACTGCAGCTAAATAAATCAATTACTATAGACAAATAACCTTTTTTTTATTGGTAAGGCTGCGTATTCCAGCTGCATAGTATTCTCGGAAACACGTATGTCAGGCAACTTTTGTATGTCTTCAGTTGCCTCTTGCGATGAGCACATTGGCTGGAGACTACATTAGGTTCGCCTCACCGCGGCACAGCTTCGCCTGACTTTTCCACGACTGATCGGATCGGTAGGGATTCAGCGAGTAATGGTGGGCTCAATCAGGCTGCGCCGAGGCGTCATACCCGGGAGGTGCTGAGGTTTCCTAGCATGACTACTAAACCACAAATACTGGACTGGTAGCCACCTGTTCTCCTGGATCAGATCCAGTGCGCTTCTCTTGCCCAGCCGATACTCAAGAATCATTTTAAACATGTCAAGCACCGAACTTGATTCGGGCAATCCGGCACTTGATCCTGTCGAGGAGCTCAGAGGGTCTTTGGCGAAGTCAGTTACGCGACTTGATGTCCTAGCAAAAGCGAACATGCTGACAGTGAACCTTCGAATAGTCTTTATGAAAATGCGGAATATTCGGATCTCACAATTGCCAGCCTCGACACTGAGTATCGCGTTCACAAAGCCATTGTGTGCCCTAGATCTGACTACTTTGCTGCCAAGATTCGAGACCCAAAGTCCAAGGTTAGCCAAGGTCTCCTTGTTCCCGGAGGTGGACACAGCTAATCGCAAACTCGAAGGCTGCCATAGAAGGCTTCCTAAGCCTGCCAGATGATGATCCCCAGGCTGTTGGAATGGTTATTCGGTATTTCTACCATCTAGACTATCCAGCTGGGTCTCACCAAAACGGGCATGCGCAAGTGAACGGTCACGCCAATGACCACACGAATTCTAGTCATGACGATGAATTCAATGGCTCTATCAAGTCGGAAGATCAGACACATGACAGAGACACCAAATCAGGAGAGCACAGCGAGCCGCTGGACGATTTTCTTCCACCACAGCCCCAGCGACTCAGCAAGAAGAAGCAGAAGAAACGTGGCAAAGCTCATGCCAAGCAAGAAAACGGCACCAATGGGTCTTCTGACCCCCAAGGCGAAGCTCTGTCATCGCCCGCCACCCAAGAGATGCCTACTTTGAACCAGACCCAGGAAAATCACAGCGAAGGAGGAGGTGCTGTTTTGGACGTCAATGCACCGCCCAGTCTTCAAATGGAGAATGGTAATCCTGCCGGTTCGGGCAACAAAAACCTCGTATTACACGCAAACGTATATGCGCTCTCGAGAAAGTACGGTATCTCAGGACTACGATCATTAGCTTTTGACAAGTTTCAGACAGAAGCCGACAACCAATGGGACACGGAGGAGTTTCTCCACGCAGCAGAGAAGGTGTACACATCTTGCTCGGATGGTGACGATGATCGAAAGATGAAGGATGTTGTTGTTGGAATGATTTGCAGTCACGGTGAGCTGATGGATAAGGTTGAGACGCAGAAAGTCATGCGAACTCTTCCAAAGGACTTGATGTATGACATCCTGCTGCAGGTAAGACAACAGGGAGGGTTTACTAGATAATCTCAAGGGTCCAGCTCTTACCAAAGGGATGATAAGGACTCGCCAGTTAGTGACGGTAATACTTACGAAGGGGATCCTGCGCTTAGCAAATGGGAAGCCACAAAGAACACGAAAATTGCTTTAGGCCAGGTGCCTGAATATTTTACCACAGCGGTTGACAAGGAACATATCTCAAGAAACTTCTCATCATCACGTAATACAATGGGTGGATTTTCATCTGTGCACTAATTTGAAATCTTTGTCTATGGCCTCCTTGAGTGTTTGTGTCGACTCGTCCATGGTGTCTTCAAAGTCGTCTTTACTATGGAAGACTTTGCGCATCCCAAACCTTTTTTCCGTCATCTTTCTTGTGTTCGGAGCTTCTTCCTGTGTCAAGAGGGATTACTTTGCTAATCATCCATCGAAGTCATTTTGGTTGTGACCAGCACTAACTTTGGGTGGACTTTTCTCTGGCGTAATGGTGATTTCAGTGGTGACTATGATTGTGCCACTTATCGATTGCGATAAGGAGCTTCGAGACCCGGAGACAGTACCGAGAATGCTGGCGAAGATGCGACTAATTTCCGTTTGGGCTGGCACTTTTTGTGACCTCTGGTCTTCGGTAAGAGCGCCCAAGTTCCGCCTTTTTTGGTTCCATTCCCTTGGCGCACCGCCTCCAATCGTTGTTGGCGGTATATTCTCCAGGTGATTGTTCCTTCCACATCGTGTGATGCCCTTGACAAGTGTTCCCTCTACATCGAGGTTACGTGCCTTACACCTCTCCAAGTACTGCTCTCGGTCCTGTTCCACATGGCCACCGAATGCAAATATCCTTCCAAACAAACCAGGAAAAATGTGGTGAAGTATTAGACGAATTGATGGTAGACTGGTTACGGCGATACTTGTTGCAACTTCAATACCCGACCAGATCATAAGATCGACGTAGTCCCAGGTTATGTTGACCGAGTCTCCGTACAGAATATTGAACCGAAGACGCACGGAACTTGCAATGACGATCAGGATGCCGAGGCTAAACATTAATAAAATGACAAGTTTGCGCCGAGGCGTCGACTTGACCTTGACCACTAGTGGCAAAGGTAAGACCAGTATCATTGTGTCGAGCGCGATACCGATGGCGCTTGCGGTCCAAGAAAGAAGGTTCAAATTGAGGCACTTTACAGGGCCAAAGTCTCCCTTCCAACCTTCCCAGTTGTACTCTATTGGAATGCACTGGAGGATTGCCATAGCCACAAATAAGGTTGTGTAGAGGCTAACAATAGCCAAAAGTGCGTAACAAAGACGACAAAAGCGGTCGTAAGGAAACAATCTCAAGTAAAAGAACAGCATCGAAATCCTTGTGAGTCCTAAAAGTAATAAGTACAGACATGAATCGACGTAAAAAATCTGACTGGATTATTAGCATGATTGCTGCGCCTAGTGAGCAAAGGATCGATAAGTACCTTTAAAGCCCATGTGAGGGTGCCAGGGTCTGTCCACCAAATATCGACTCCAAACGCCTTTTGGTAAACTAAACCATAAGCAATCTTGTGGTACACTTACAAAGGTGGCACTTACAGATCTGTCCGGAAAAGAACCAGGCGAAGTATACTATGTAGGTAATAGTAACAACCCAATCGTCCAAGCTGAATCTGCGTATGATCCATGTCTTGGAGTAAAGCCGTGCCGCGACGCACCACATGCTAAAAATATGGATGGGTAGGAATGGCCACACATCGTCCTTTCGGTTTCGACGAGGCTTGTCGCACATAGTATCCCATTCCCTCAATGTTGCTAGTCCGCAATGAGCGGATCACTCTTCGATCGCCAAGGTCTGTTTGCTGTACGTACCGAACGTCGATAGTCTAGGACATGATATCGCCATGCACTGCGTCACTTCTGAATCGAAGCCAACATCACGGCAGATACAATATGAGTTATCCCAAGAGCCGCAGAATGACGGGATAGCACTTCGCCAGCATGCAGCCTTGATGTGTTCTTCTGTCAGTATGTTTCCGAAGCATATCGTAAGCTGAACCGACAAAACTTACGGCGCATTCTGGGAGCCTGCTGTCTCGTGCTGACAAGTCGATTTCAGCTCGCGTAGCCACCAACTGTGCCGTGAAAGCGATCAGTGTCAGTAAAAATCTGGCTGAGCCCATCTTCAAACATCTCGGCTAGATAGCATCGAGCCAGAGACGCTGCTGATGGACTTGTGTCGATGAACGCGAAGTGCCAGCTGTGCGGGGTCGAGATAGTAATGAGGGAAACGAATCCGGAGTTACATCCGTTCGGTCCTCCAATGACTCGCGGAACTAGCACCGCGTCGCTGTCCGAGCTGGACATAGGTGACGTTGAACTCAAAATGAACCTGAGAACGAGCCTAAACAAGGTACTAACTGTGGGGGAGCCCGTGAGGCTGACCATGCTCCCTAAAAGCACTGTTTAGCGCACGGCTTCGACTCGAACAGAACGGCCGTGCGAGCAGGAGGATGACCTCGGTAAGCTGCCTGCTGGAAGCTCATCTGGCTGCAGAGAATGTGATAATCAGACCTGAAAATCCAAACGCCTGGTTTGAGTTTGTTCATTTCGAAAAAAAGGCGAGCAGTCTCACAAACTACAAAGAGACGTCCATTAAAGGCGCCGATGCCTGATGATTCCTGATTTTTGGAAAGGGAGAAGAGAAAAAAGGTCCTGAAATTGGCTCATCCGTTGCATTTTTGAAGCAATTTGCAGGTACGTATGCTAATTCCCATGAAACCTCGCACGTCGTGATCTGAAGTCAGTTCCGGCGTTAGCATTGAGCATGTAGGGCTTTCTCTATTGGAGAAGCAAAAATAATCACTGGCATGACCTGGTTGGGACGCGCTTTGGTCTCCAGACATAAACCAGATGTCTGTGTCAAACTTTATTTATGAGAGCCGCAATGCTAGCACGTCACATCTAAGCACGTCTCGCCTCGTCACATTCATTGGCTTAAAAGGTGAAATCTTAATAGCGAGCTACGCCAGATTTATTTCTATGTACAGGTGTGAGAAATCGAAATGAAGTTATAAACAGAAGAAGGCATCTCAATGCTTAGAAGGCACGGTGAGCACGGCGGAAGCGCTGGAGGCGCCGGGCATCCCTTATCGAGCGCTTGCAGCCTGCCTTACCAGTGTTGGTACTGCTTCCAGCTGCGCCAAGGATCTGGGCGGCGGCGTGTTCAGCGGCAACCATGACGATGGCCTGAGTGTTGCCAGTAGGCAAGTCCGGATGAATGGAAGCATCGACAACGAAAAGGTTGTCAGTGCCCCAAACCTTAGTCTGAGTGTCAACAACGCTCTTGCCGTCGTTCTCAGTACCCATGATGGCGCTGCCGACATAGTGGCTTCCAGTAGTGTACTCCGAGATGAGGCTCTCGGCGGTGGTGTTGCCGGCCAGGGTCAGGGTGCTGTTAGACTTGGAAGCGTACTGAATGAGCTGGTTCATGAAGCTCGTGATGGCTTCCTTGTCAGCGGTAGTGGTGAGGTAGGGCTCAGTCGTAAACTTGGTGGAGCCATCGGCCGTGATTCCAAGAGCACCGACTGATGTCAGACCGTGGGTAAGATAGACCTTGACCCTGATGGTGTCGTTCTTAGGGGAGTTCACGGTACCCTGAACGTAGCGCTTCTGCCCGTCAGATCCTTCGACGCTTGTCCAGAAGTTCAGACGCTGACCAGCCTGGTGAAGGACACCAGACCCTTGAGCGAACAAGTCGATATCGGTCTGAGAGGGGTTGGTAAAGGCAGTGCTTGCCAGAGAGTTGAGAGGAGACTTGGTCTGAAGGTTGACGGTGAAGATGGGGTGGTCCTTGAGGTTCTCGCCAACAGGGAGATCGATCCATTGGGCCTCGGCGGGAAGAGTGACCTGAGTAGAGCCACTCTGGACGATCTGGATCTGCTCCTTGGGTCCAATACCGCTGTTGAACAGGATACGGGGGGTGGACAGTGCACCGGCGGCAAGGATAGCGGCACCGCCAGACTTGAGGTTGATAATCTGGCGAACATTCGTGCCGGTCTCAATCTCAACTCCAGAAATGGTGGTGCCGTTACGGACGGTGCGAATGACCTTGGCGTTGAGCTGGAGCTTGAAGTTGGGCAAAGCCTGAGCCCGAGGAAGGTAGTCACGAACAGGACCGCCGCGAAGACCATCCTCAATCAACCAGGGAGGGTGAGTGAAGACAGAGTCCTTCTTGTTGGGCTCGGCGAGGCCGTCGACCTCGGTGAAGCCATTGCCGGCCAGCCACTTGGACATGACATCGTAAGCGCCCTGGTCGTACCGCTTGCCGTCCTTGCTGGGCTGGATGGTGCCCGGAGTACGCTCATAGAGCTTGTTGGCGGACTCCTCGACGTCGCTCCACTTCCAACCCGTGGGCCACTTGTCGTCAAAGTCATGAGCAGGAGGCTTCACCCACATCATGGCGTTGACCATGGTCGAGCCACCGAGAATGCAGCCTGCCATAGAAGCGGTGTCGGTGCAGTACTCGCTGGTCTCCTTGGCGGTAGAGAGGTAGTAGCCCATGGCGGGGACATCGTACTGGGTAACGGTGTCGTTCCAGTCGACAGAAGCCTTGCCGCCGGTAGAAGCAAGGGAGGGACCGCCACGCTCGACCAGTAGGACGCTCTTGCCAGACTCGGCCAGACGTTCGGCAACAATCAGGCCGGCAGCACCACCACCAGCAACGATGTAGTCGTAGGTCGTGTTGGAGATGGTAGTGGTGACGTTGGCAGGGACAGAAGGAGTGGTTCCGTTGCCGGTGCTGGGGGTGGTGACAGCATCCGATGCCTTGGCAGCCCACGTGGCGTAGTCGGCCGACTTGGCATCAGCAAGGTTGGCACCGAAGAGGCCAAAACCAGCGCCATGGTAGTTGAGAGCGACAGAGGCACTGGTGGTGTCGGAAAGCGCGGTGGTGGAGTAAGCCCAGCCGAAGGTGGTGGTGTCGGCGGTGCTCTTGAATGTAGTATCGTCGCCGGTGATACAGCCTTCGCAGAGGAAGGTGTAAGTGAAAGCGGTTTCGTTGATAGAGGTGCCGGACTCGATAGGCTTCAGGGTGATGCCAGAGTCGGTGACAACATCGGGATTCGCATATCCGCTAGCCTTACGGATGGAGGTCTGAATCGAGTCTCCGTTGGGCCACGCAACCACGAGGATCTTGTTGGTCATGGGACCACCGAGGGAAACGGAGGCCCAACCCTTGGTGACGGGGGCGGAAATCTGGCCGATGAAGTCCTTGCCAACGGTAGAGGGCAGAGCGACACCGAAGGAGAAGCCTGAGGTCTCGGCGTACCGCTGGAAGGTGATTCCGGAAGCGGCATCGACGTAAGATGACGTCTGCTGCGCCGTGGCGGCCGCAGCCAACAGTCCCGTGGTAAGGAGGGACTTGAACATGGTGAAGGATTGTAAGGCTTCTGTTGCTCGTTAGAGAGAGTGTGGGTTCAAGCTCGTGTAATGACCTGGTGAGTGAAAAAGAATGGAACACGACTGTGTTGAAGAGAGAGTACACCCGTCGCAGAGGGGCAGAAGAAAGTCAACAGCAACCAGCGCAAAAAAAGGGAACAGAAATGAAGATGTGGCAACGAAAACGTGAGACTAAATGGGTGACATTCCAAGATGGGAGTTATTCTCGCTGCTGTTATATATGTCGACTCTCCCATATTGATCCTAGCGCAGCAGGACTTGATCGAGAAGGACGGCCACAGAGCAGCATGGCCGTTCCTGGCTGTCGACCCCATTGAGGGGGTTCGGTGGGCCAGCGAAATGGATCCACGATGAGAGACCCATGGTGACCCAGCCAGGGCCGAAGGTGTTTGGGTCCTGGCAGCGTGCACATTGGCGCATTATCGCACGAAGTTGAGTGGCAGGCTGAACCGTGTAGTCGGATTATTGAGCGAATAGGGACATTCTCAGTAGCCAAACGAGTCAGTTGGTACCATGTATGTTGGTGAGGAGGGTCCGTCGGGTGACGTCCGTTCGGAGGGGGCTATCCCAGGATCGAATTCCCAAGGACCCGGCCAAGCTAGGCTAGCAATACCGACAACTGGCCCAAGTGTTGGAAGGGATGCCACGATATGACAGGCCTGACGATGCGCTCGCTAGACAGACTGACGAGGGGGCACGCTGGGCTTGGCTGGGCTGAAGTGGACGCAGCAATGCCTGCATCTAGAAAATTTCCAGTCTGGACTGTTCCTGGAGATGGTCTTCGCATTTTAAGTGGATGGAGTTGATGGGCCCTATACCCCGGATATATTAACTGGACATGGTTCTTTGGTTATGCGAAACGCCAGGAAACGAACGGTCGTCCGAAGTTAATAAGTGCTGCTGGACCTCACTGGACAGCTTCGGGGCCAAAAGTGGATATGTTTTCGTCCGAGGTCCAAAAACAGCTCCCTTGTCCAATCGGGCTGAGTCTGTTACAAAGAAATGGCAGCAAAAGGGGAAGGAGAGAGAAGGGAGAACTTTTACCCACTCATGTATGTGGCAGACCCTCACTGATATGAGGGGCCTTGGAAAGAGAGGTACTCTGAGAGATGCCATGTGCGTCATGCAGAGATAGAAAATGGAAGAAGTCCGAGCGCATCGCGTTGAGACCCGCGTTCTGCAGATTTTGCGGCTCATAGATGCGGTCGGTATGTTCCAGAATTCATTACCTTGATCCATCTACCGCAGCGCACACCGGTGCCACCGTCGTTTTCCCTCCTTAATCTCCGTCGACGCGTGCTCTCGCCCCTCACCTTCGACTCCTTTCGGCGGAACCAGAATGATTCCGGCTGCGCCTGGCAATTCCGTTGAAACCGCCAGTGGCTACGGAGCTCAGGCGGCACGGCAGACGGCCTCGGCTGTCCCTCCTTGCGTACAAAAAACTCGGATCACGGCCCCATGAGTGTTAAAGGCCTGCTTGGCTCAGTTGGGCAGCTACAGGTAGTCGCGAAGATCTGGTGGTACTCGCCTACAGGCTTAATTTTTGATAATTCAGGCTGCATAACACATCCAGTATTAAGACCCGTGCATAATCCTTCGCGATGCTCGTCCGTCTTGGCTGCAAGTAATCTTCTGCCTCTGAGAGCTTCCCAAGCCAACCCAGAAGATTACAAATGGATACCATCATTCTCAATTGGTTTCAGCCGCGCGGCAATTGCTCACTCAATCCTTGGCACGCAATATCTTGCATTCCGCGGCCCCACTGATTTTCAGCGGAGCAAAGATCACCATCACAGGGCTACTTGATCTGTGACATCCCTGCCAACCAAGGATTGCCTGGGAATCCGCCTTCGCCTCAAGCAATGAAGTGGCGTGAGCCCGACTCTTGTGCTGCCTTTGTTCATTGCGACGCCATCCGAGTCATTGGTCTTTAAAAGCAACTCCAGACTCTGCGATAATCCGTGGATGACAACGACATATGTAACAGTTGATAAGGTCCATTAAATGGAGGACGGTGTCTTGGTACGACTTGAACGTCTTTTCCGGGTAAACATTTGTAAGTCGCTGTTGGTTGAAAGCACTCAGTGTAATAGTTGGCCACGCTACGGTATCTATTCCTCATCCCACATCACCTTCATGGACACGGGGAACGGCCAGATTTGCCCCCAATCCTCTTTCATGTACACAAAGAACCCACCAGGCCTTGGTACCTTCTTCAAAATCCCTTGTGGCCCTGGAACTCGTCGAAGGTTCTTCTTCCGGAACAGTACCCTGAACATCTCCGTAAGCGCCACTTGGCTCGCAGCACGACCGAGGCAGGCGTGCGGGCCGAGTCCATAGTGGATGTACGAATCCAGTGGTCTGCGGGGGTTGACCTCTTCTGGTAGAGGGAAGTGCACCGGGTCTCTGGCAGCGGAAACCTGGACTTTGTGTTAACTCTAGGCTCGGCCAACATCGAGTGAATCGTCAACTTACGAAACTAACGAAAACCCTGTCACCTCGTCTCACAGGAACCTCACGACCATCGTCCTCGACAATGACATCGTCCTGCGTCGCTTCGCGGTAAGAGCCAAAGGTTCCTGCAAGTCGGATGCCCTCCATGGCGTAGCCAAGCAGGAGAGCGTCAGTCTCCTTCGTTGATGGAGACAGGGCCACCTTGTGAATCTGTTGAAGGTGATCGGTGCCTGGAGACGAGAGGTAGTAATCGACCGCCTGTGCAAACTGTACGAATGTCAGTGCATATCATCATTTTACCGAGCCCGGCAATACTTACCACTTGTGCCTGATTAGGTACCATAGCCCCTGATGTAGGCAGAATCTGGCTCCACGCAATGTCGTAGGCGCTCAGTCCGGATTTGGCGAGACCTTTGACTAGATTGGTTCCATATGATGCGAGCGGGTCTTCCTTGTCCGCAGAGCCAGTGAAAAGCCCGCGGAAACCGACCTTCGTCGTGATCTTGACATTTGTCTCGACCAGCTTCCCAAGCTTCATCGTCACCTCCTTGGCGGTTTGTCGGAGCGGGAACGACTTAACAGGGTCAATGTCGAAGAAGATGCACACGAAAATGACCGACAGAATCTGGTACATCTCCTGCTCCGAAAAGACACCCTTGGGGTTCTCGTGGGTCTTGAGAGGCAAGTTGAACACTCTCGAGGCGAAGTGAACATGAGCAATATTTCCAACGTCGCGGATTATGTCGACGTGTGTTTGGCCGGCAAGCTTGTACGACTTCTCCATGAGCAACTTCTCTGTGATTCCCGCATAAAACTGCTTGACGTGAGAATCCCAGCCATCCTTGTAAAGTAAAGATTGCATGCATTTCTTCTGGCCCGCATGGAAGTCCGTGTCTCCAGAGAGCATGAAGCGGCTGCCGCCCTTACCCATCAAAAAGGAGAGGCCTTCATCCCATGTCACCTTGTACCGACTCTGGTTCTCCAGGATGTGCTTGGCGCCTCCATATGATACGATGTTCGTCCGTAAAGGAGTGAACTTGGGATGAGAGAAGTCGAACTGATCGACGCGTCCAAGGTCTGTAAGAATCTGATGGTTCTCGGATGGAATCACCATCGGGTAATGTGCGTAGACCGAGTTTGCTTTGAAGTGGTTGGGGAAAGCTCTCAAGAACAGCTTGTAGAAGACACAGCCGTGATTGACGTTGAGATCGTAATCGACCTCCTTATAGCCCCATTGGGTCAGGTGACGAGGGTTGTAGTCAGTTGTGTAGTATCTATCACCCCGAACGAGACAAACTGCGTCTGACAGAACGACGCGTGAGATGGTGTACGTAGGGGCAATTCCAACGCCAGGAGTCAGGGGCGTCTTGGCCTCTTCGGCGACGAGACCTGGGTACAATTCGACGTAATCCGGGTGTTGGTACAGATTCTTCAGCTGTTCCGCCACAGCCGGATCCGAGTTGATGTCTTCGAACCGATCGTAGGGCTTCAGACCAAAATGCTTACGGAACTCATTGAGACCAGCAACGTTCCACTTTCTACCGTGCAGAATACCCATGATTTCGACGGGCTTCATGACCTGGGGTACATTGCGGGCCCCAAAAGCCCCAGCACAGTCTTCGATGGCTGAACTAATGCACTCAACAAGGTCATCGTCATCAAACTTGCCGTCCTCGCCTCGTTCGTAGTCGGCAAAAGTACGCTGACCAGGGTCATCAGGAATCGACTTTTCGAACTTTCCGAAGACACAGGCCATCTCTTGAGGAGACAACCCGCCTTTGCCGCCTTTGCCGCCTCCGCCCAGAAGCTTCCCGTAGAATTTCTGAATCCATTTGTCGTCCTTGTCCGAAATGCAGGAGTGCCATCTGTAACAAAGATTAAATTCGGCCGAGTTGACATTTCCAGTACCTGCTTCCGCTCCATCGGGTGTACCGGCGTCGATACCAGCCTCTTGACGGGGATCAAGTGTCCATGTAGTGTTGGTGCGATTGAGGTTGACAATATTGCGGACATAATCGACCAAAGTGATGTTGATGTACAAACCTGAAGTTACGAGTCGCGCCGTTTGAAACAGGTCTTCGTCATACTTCTTCCAAGCCTTGGCAGCGTCTTCGTCAGACATATTATCGCCAGGAGGCGTGAACCTATTGCCCTCATTGATGGCAGCCAGATGCTCGGCGACGTGGTTGTGGAATCGATTGAACATGATTAGAAGGACGCAAACACCCGGTGGCATGCCGATAAGCCGCTTGTCAGCAAAGCTGTCGGCCTTGAGCTTGCCATCCCGAAACGTCCTGATGGAATCTTGCATCTCCTGATTACTGCCGTACAACGGAGAGAGATCAAGATAGGCCGAGGTCTTGGACTTGCTGCTGTCCCTGTAGTCGGTCCAAAACAAATCTGTCAAACGTTAGTCATCTATCTCAATCCATCTTATGAATAAGTGCTTGCCGTGAATAATGATGGTTGCCCAGTACCAGAGAATACTCGAAACGTTGTTCGGGTGCTTCTTATAGGTTGTTCGACCCATGACGGCATCGAATATCAACCCGGGATCGGGCATGGCACCCAGAGTGACGATCCGAGGCTTGACTGATCTGGCGTATGGACCACCAGCAGCGCCCAGCTGAGGGAACATTGGGTTCTGATTGTTTGTTAGAATGTGGTGGGGTAGACTGGTGTGTGACTCAGCTAACGTTATAAGATCCATCGGCACGCCGATACTTGAACTCGTCACCAATGTAAAGCATGGGTGGATGCTCAAGAGAATCCCAAAGCTCTTGAATGAAAGTGTTCGTCAATTGCTCACGGAGACGAGAGTTGTGGGGGAGTTTGGCCACGATTTGGATCGTACGCTCCATGATCATTGTTTTGTCATCTTGGATTTTCTCCCCCTTAATCTTAGATTTGATAATTTGCACGAGAGTTTTCAGATCTATTTTCGTAGTTAATAACAACAACATTGAATCAAATGTCATGAGAAAACAGACCTGCTGCCTGCAACGCTCGTAAATTCTGGACCATTGTCGGCCGAACAATCTCTGTGGGATAGGTCCCATCACCATACTGGGTGGGCATTGGTCGCTTGGATGCCTGACGTAGCTGTGAGAATCCGCCTTTCTTGACATCGTGAGAGCCGTATCGAGCAGATGCTCGACTTGGCCCTGGTTGCTTTTCATCTCTCATAGAGGCCCCGTTGCGGGAGACGGCATTGCTGTGCTCGTGCTCCTCGATGTCAGGGCTCGAAAGGCTTCCGTTCCGATGGGACTTCATGGTACAATGTGAGAATACGTCTTCGAGTGGGCGTCCTAAACAGCATTTGTTGTTCGCCCGCGAGCTTTCACCAGGGTCTGGTCCTCCTATATAAGCCCAAGCGATTCTCGCTGATAACACAGTAATTTCAAATTGCAGCGTGACTCGCCTGACGTTCTTGGCAAACGAATCTTTTGCCTCAATTGAGCTTGCGGAATTGGCGGTGGGAACTAATGCCAGTCGTGACTACGGTATGGCGATAGCTTCTAACTGTCTTAGATCATGTCTTGGACTGTGTTCCACACCGGCTGCACGGCGGCCGGGTGCGCGCCTGCAGCCGTCCACGTCGATCCCGTTCGGCAACGCTATGATGTGTCACCATAGCTAGGGAGCCTCTTAATCTCAGCCCAAAATGACGATCATTTCCTGTAACAAATGCTGCGTCGGAAGTCCCAATTATTGTCCGAAAACTTTTTAGTTTTTTTAGTTTTAGAGAATGATAAACTTCAAGCTTCAAATTTTAAAGTGATTCGCGCGATAAGGGAACCCGGGAAACCGGTATGTACTACATAAGGGCCGATAGTTCTCCGCATTCAAACATTGGTGTTTTACTGCACCATGTTACAACCATTACAGGTTCGTATATGCTGTACAACTCTATTCAAACTACTTTCACTGCACTGAATCGGTGGTCTTCTACTCCTGTTGACCTCACATTTTTCATGTGATGTTGTCGTCAAGGGAGCGTTATGATACCTAGTTCAGCCTCGTCTCACTTGTGAGCGGGATCAGCAGAAGCAAAAAGTTTACGGGATCTTGGCGAAATGGCACTTATGTCTTGGATGGAAGAAACATTTGACTTACTAATTCAACAAAGGAGTCCAATCGCGAATGATGTCACTTCCAAGTTTTGGGAAACTGTCTCATAAGCTGTCAGCGTTGGTCTTGAGTTGTGGCTGATTGATGTCTCACAACGGATAACAAATTTCCATTGGCGCTTGAAGGGTATCGTGAGAAGCCAAGCGAGCAACGGTTGTGAGACAATCCTAATGTACCGGTGTGTACTAGCACCGCTTCGGGTGTCAAGTTTCGAGAGCTAATGTGCGCTCAGACAATTTATCCCCTCATACCTTGAAGAGGATATGCCTGTTTCGCTCACGGCCGAAAGCAACTGCCCTAGGAACGCCTCACCTGACCAAATCGGTGAATTGCATTTCAAGAGCTCCCGATTTTCGACTACTGGTTGTAGATCTGTCTCGAACACAACTATCAAGGCGTGAGTTGTTTCACTGCGGAGATGTAGATCAATTTCCACCACGATCGACAGTCGTCTTGTTCTGACCTGGTTGGTTGAAAGGTAGGCGGTGAAGAGACATCCATGCTGTCACGTAAGACCTCACTGCACCATACAGCCGCGTTTTCCGAACAGGTGAAGCTTGATTCCCCTGTAAACAAAGTGATACCAGACGGGTGGTATCAAGTGACGCAGAATGCCTCCTACCGTAGTCCGCTTGCATGTCGCCCAGCGCAAAAACGTACAAGACCGGCAGACATGGCATCTGCGCAGGTGAGGTTTTGGAATGTTAAGAGGTTAATGGAACTATCTTCGCTTTCACCGTTGTATATGACAAAGCAACTTTCGCACCTCTTCGGCTGCACTTGACGTGAGCTTTCTTCGCTCAGTCATCTACCTTGAATTAGGACAGAGTCGTTGCTCTCTTCACCCAGAAGTGATAGTCACTATGCATCCTCACCTACTCAATTCTTCCAAACAACGGGATGGAAACCCCAGAAAGAGTGCAACAGAGCCGGGTGATCAGTCTGGCCATGGGGCGTATCGAGGAGGACAGAGTCATGGTTCGCGCCGAAAGCTTATTCTCTGCTTCGACGGCACCGGTAATAAGTTTCGAGGCGATGACAGCGACAGCAACATATTGAAGATTTTTCGCATGCTTGACAGTTCAGCAGATGATCAATGTAGGACAATTCAACACGAAGAGAGACGATCTACCATTACTGACCATGATCCCAGTTCATTACTACCAACGTGCGTTCCTGTATTTCTGGACTTTCGCAAAGATAGGGCAGCAACAAGGACTGACTCTTGAACAGCTGGAATTGGAACTTATGTTGTGTCGGAAAACTTGACGCACAATGGTGTGAGAGCTAAGTGCAAGTCCTGGTATCAGATGGCCAAAGACTCCGCGGTCGGCTCCTCATTCGACCAGCACGTCGTAGGCGGGTATCGGTTTCTCATGCGTTATTACTCGCCAGGAGACGACATTTACATGTTTGGCTTTTCTAGAGGTGCCTATGTTGCCAGGTTCTTAGCCGAGATGCTAGATTTCGTCGGTCTCCTCTTGCACGGTAACGAGGAGATGGTTGCCTTTGCGTGGAGCGCGTTTTCTCAGTGGCAATGCCGCAGAACTAACTCTACACCAGAGGGCAAGGAAGAAAGAGAAAAAATGTACCAGTTTCTTAGAGGGTTCAGAGAGACCTTTTCCCGACCAATCCGACGCATCCGATTTCTGGGCCTCTTCGACACGGTAAACAGCGTCCCGCGCTTTGAGACGGCATGGATGCAGCGTAGCAAATTTCCGTACACCGCACGCAGTTCTGCAAAAGTCATTAGACACGCAGTTAGCATTGACGAACGTCGGGCCAAGTTTCGGCAAGACTTGATATACCAAGAGCCCAAGAAGTGCCGTAGGAAGAACGCCGCAAAGAAGATGATGGAACACCAGCCTTTCAATGAAAAATTACAAGAGTTCCAGGAGAAGTATCGCCCTGGTCGGCGTTCGACTCTAGCACCTGACGATGCTGTCGCGGCAGAAGACCGCGGCAGAAGACGCCACCTTCAAAGCCAAGAGGAAGACGCAGATCATCCTATTCCGTTTCGCAGCCGTTCCAGATCTCGATCTAAAGCCACTGAACACTCACATCATGAGCACACGGATCATGACGCCTCGTCTATCAATTCCAAGCCACCGATGGAAGACCTAACCTACGATTCAGACGATGACGAAGCCGACCAAGACGTTGACGAAGTGTGGTTTGCTGGAGGCCATGGCGACATCGGCGGAGGTTGGGACGCCGTCGCTGGTCGCAAGAACGCCAGCCATATCCCTCTAGTTTGGATGGTCCGAGAAGCCATGCGAGCAGGGTTGTCTTTTGATGTCGAGCAACTCGAGTATCTGGGATGCATCGAATCAGTGACGGGGCCTACTTTTCAACAGCCTAACTTTCAACAACAGCCAGCGTCTCCAACCCCTCAAGAAGCGCCTGGAGTTCCCCAAATTCATGTTGACGCTCCTTCTCCGCCGCCGGTTGATTTTCAACCAGAATCACCAACTGGGTCTGCGACGGAACAAGCAGATGAGAATTCGGACGGGCTAACACACGCTTGCACGACAACGGCCTTTGGCGAAATGATTCGGACCGCACATGAGGCTCAGATCCACGACTCGCTTGACTTCGCATGCGGCATGCATCCTGTCAGTGTCTTCATGTGGAGGGTGATGGAGTACCTGCCATTTCGAAGGCTTGATCTCAGACCCGACGGCAGTTGGAAACCCATTAGATGGCCGCTACCACGCGGAGAAGTCCGCGATATCCCTGACAAGGTCAGAGTCCATGGAAGTGTGATCCGCAGAATGGAGAGGGACGAGAAGTACAGGCCGGGTAATCTCATCGTCGGTGGTGGCGGCAGAGGATGTAGAGTGGCTCCTAAACAGTACGGTATGGGAGAGTGGGAATGTGTTAAGGGTCAAGGGGATGTTATCGACGAGGTCTGGGTACGCAAACCACGACTTGACGAGAAAAAAGAGTCTGATATTTGATTCTGAAAATTGTAGTTAACTAGTTCTAATAATATGCATGTTTGCAACTTCACAAGTGTAGGCGCGCGGTATGAGGTCTCGAGCACTCCCAGCGTATTGTCTCACCATCTGATGAAGCAAGCATCGATAGATGCATCGAGGTGTCTGATGATTGCAGTGCGATTGGTCGGATGTTTCCTTGCCATTCAAGTTGATACAAAATGCCTGCGGAGATCGAAATAGCAGCGGCAGCCTTTGCATGGCTCTCACGGTTCGCTCAAAGCCATAATCACGTTGTCATTCGTGCGGTTGTGACTTCGAAGTAGTTCGACGATTCCTTCAAGTAAGTACTGATGGTAAATGTGGATTCAATTGGTTGGAGCTCTGAATACGGAAGAAGACAACGTGATTGTGGACATGACGTTCATGACAAACCGCCCGGTGCAGACTTCTTCCACTTCCGGTACCACTGAGGGTAGAATTTGTCAACTCTCCATATCATGCTCTCAACCCATTCTTGCGCAGCAACCAGCCGATCCTCAGCCTCCGCCAACTTTGTTCTCGCCATGGTTTGCCTAATAGGTATTCCTGCCAAGGTTTCAAGATCAGGAACTTGGTACTCGAGCTGTACCTGGTCTAGGAGTGCGATGTTATGGTCCAATGCCGTCTTGATGTTATCGATCATTATGGCCAAGCTTCCTACTGACTTTTCCGGGGCCTGTCGCTGTTTCATTTCCTGGTTCCATATCAATTGTTCCCTGTCCCGGATTTGGTTGTATCTGCCATACTTGTCAAGAAAATCGATCTTCTTGGCAAGAAACTCATGCAAATCGCGACGGAATTCTTTGGTCTCACAAGCTTCGACCGCCGTGTTGTTCCAGATTCTAAATCTCTCGTCATATCCTAACTTATCCTCCGCGAGATTTTCCATGTCTTGCACCATGAGTTTGCAAAGTTCGACGTCGTTTCCTGCGGCGTTGCGGGCGTGTAATGCGCGCGCCTTGCATTTTTTATATTCCAACCCACGTTCGCTGATTCTCGCACCGGCAATATTGGACGGTAAGGCATTTTGCGGCTTGGCTGTCGTAGTTCCATGTTCCTTTCCTTGCTCCTTAGAGATTGATACGTTGGCATCTATAGGATGGGACTGCAAGACCTTGTATAGATGTCAGATCGCCTTTAATGTAGATAATCTTTTGGCATGTTTAATACCCTTTTAGTTGTTCTTACCATAGGAGCGGCTCGAGCTTTGAGTCTAGAAGCCTGGTTCAGCCGTCAACACTGCGCACAAACCTTATTAACGAGAACGGACTCAGCGACCTACATTCTTTTGTTTTACCTTCTTCGTTCTCTTTATTGAGTCGGAAGGTGGCGCTGTGGTGAAAGGTGTGGGCTCTGGCGCCTGAAATAAAGTATCAGCAGACTGAAGGAACATGTTTCAAAGCAAGGCCATGCCTTTCTTCTTCTCCTAGAAGCAGCAGCAAGCTTCCTTGTACCAGAGTTCTGCAACAACTTGTCAATGCCTTGCGGGATTCAGAGAGTAGCATGGACATGTATTACGCTGTTGGGCTTCGGTGCCGGTATGACCACTACAGAAGCCTCCGAAGCCACAGACCCAGTAGTTGAAGGTCGAGGCTCGTCGTCGGCATCGGAGTCAGGCACTTCGATGGGTTCGTTCCCCGACAGGTTATCTTCGATCGATGGAAGAACGTTACAGTCCTGCACCTCAGGTAACGGTATGTCTTCGCTAGTGTCGTCGACTGCATCGTCTAGCGTCAGTGCTTCAGCGCGTGCATGCGTTTTGATATTCGCGTTGGCGGCAGCGGCAGCTGATCTAGCAGATCGACGGAGACTGGAAAGACTCCCAAACGTATTGTTTCCCGGGCAGGGATGGCCAATAATGGTGTTCCGTCTTGCTCTGGTCCGCGTAGGCGCCATTTCAGGTGGGCTTGGAGTTGGAAGAGATAAGACCGAGACGCTGTTACGCCTGTCTCTGTTGTGATCTGCACTCTTTGAAATTGTTGCAACAGGAACCTTTACATGTTAGATTTTCCAGCTAAGACACAGCGAGAAAAACAAACCACCAACTTGTTCGGCTATGGCCGCGTCAACCATCGTGGGTCGCAGATCGACGTCAATATTTGTACGCTCTCTATATTGATCAGCAACAAATTTCCGTTGGTTTGCTGTCTTTTCCCTCATTTCAACGGGTTCGGGCGCGCTAGATTTCGTCTTGGCCTTTCCCAATGCAGCTGCGAGAACCTTCGTCTGCTCATATCGCATTTGTCTTGCTATCTTGATACTCTTCATGGACAGCCTTTCCGTTACCGAATGCCTCTGAAAGAATTTGGCACGGGAAGCGCGTGAGAGCCCCATTGGTCATTGTCTTATTTGGGTAAAGAGCTAGCGTGCGGAAGGCCGATGAGCTGTAAAGTGATACACACAAGAAATCAAAGAACATATCGTTGTAGATGGTCTGGATTGTGTTGGTGCACAACAATTTCAATCGCATCTGTTCGAGTCGAACTCAAGTGTATTTGTAGTCACTGCTTCGGCCACGGCCAGATAGTGGAGATCGGGATCAAGGGGAGAGCAACCCACCACATCTGCCGGTTTTCGTTCACTTACAGTCTGCGCGCCAGGCATGTTGAAGTTTCTGTGTCCTCATGCTTATCTATCATGCCCCCTGCGAGGTTTGCATTACTCGGTAGCATCGAAATTTCACACGTTGTGCCTTGTCAAGCGACAACCCTGGAAACCTCCCGGTTAGTATTCGTAAACTATAGGCGGAGCGCGGTCTTTGCGTAAACTACTGGCAAGCACACTCTCCCACACTTGGCCAAAACAGAATCGAATCCCCTTCATTTTCTCAGGCCATTTCCCACTTCTTTTCATGTTATTTTTTGGGGGGTAGAACTTGATGGGAGGACTTACCATCCTGGCTGTACGGCATTGGATGAAGCCATCGCGGTCGACAAATTGTCGGCGACGTACTGGGCGCTGTTTGCTTGTCCTTGGTTTCAAATTGAGAATTCTGCAGTTGCCCTGGGTGGCGTGCCAACTGACCAAGGCCGCAGAAAGACGTTCCGCTCTACCGGGACATTTCTTCTTCCGGATATTGCGCAAAGTGTGATAGAGCACGCATCACCGCGTCTGCAACCCAGGGATGGCTGACACTGTGAAAAATTGCAGACAGGGACTGGGGTGTTGTCAAGATGTACTACATAACAAGAATTTTCTTCTGTCGAGGTGGTTGGGGGTCTCTGGCAAAAGGTCTGGTCACCGGATGCATCAACGACATCCCCGCAAGTGTTAGAAGACGCTGGTAAAACGAGGCGGCGGTGGTTCCACCCTGCCCGTTGATTTCAATATTGCGGATGGCCGACGGCCTGCGTATCTTAGGATACATCGATGGTGGACATTTTCCCCCAGACTGCGGTTCATCTCAAGGAGGCATTAAAAATCTCTGGATGCAGCATCAGCCACACGTCCAAATGCCCACAATGCTACCATTCAGGGCCTCATCTCACGGCGCTAAAGGGCGAAGCGAAGCAAGACTTCAACAACGAAAGCATTACGGTCACAAGGTGGCACGAACGAACATGACCATGCGTTCAGCGGGCAGATTTCGGCGTTTCTCGGATCAAAGTCCACAGAGGAAAAAGAAAAGAAAAGAAAGGTCCAAAGCGACCATTGCGGCTTCTGTTGGATGGCGCAATCCTCCCCCGCAGAGGCGCGTTCGAAGTATTACTGGTCAGAACTTCGCTTGCCAGCTGAACCGTAGAGACATTGGTACCTGTCATCCACTATTGGTTGGAGATGCGATGGTTTGATTATTGCAGCGCTCCATCTGCGTGAGTTTCTGATCGTCGTTTTCTTTTTCTCTTTTCTTTTCTTCCTATTGTGGCGGGTACTGGTCAGAGGAAACACCAGAAGCTGATATCAGACTACGTGGGGCGTTACCTAGGGAATCATGTGCCAACTCTATCGGTGAGGTCGGGTCGGACCGGACAAGGGCCGCGGCGCTAGTAAGTCAGGTCTGAGAAATTGAGTATCAAAAAAGTCCTACAAAGTGGCACATCTCCATCTACCGCAATTTGATCAACACATCCCTGATACCGGGAACGGATTGACAAGAAGCTCACGGCCATGTTGATTGTGACAGTGCCTGAGTATGTAGAGACAGAGGACATCCGATGAGCAAGTGCCAGGCTCATGAATTGACATTCGGGACGAGACCACCAAGTGAGCGTGAAGTGATTGATGAATGAAAGGAAAATGAATAGTTGAGGATCATGGAAACCATGAAAAGAGGGTATGCTCGCTTACGCCATGTCGCCCTCCGGGATATGTCCCGGTCATCCCGAGCCTCAACTGCTGCAAATTCTCTTGCCGATGCTCACTCTAGAGCCTGGCCGAAATCTGTCCCTCTTTCGTTTCTACTTGTGGGACCTTGGAAACCACTAGAGACGTCCTACAGCACGGACTACACCTCGTTCACTGTCTTCAAACATCGTCCCTCTCGAGCGATAGTCGGTAGCATGGTTGTCACACCGCTTGCTTTGCCATGCGATTGAAGCGCCTTTCCTCTTTTTCCAAGGCTGCCAAGGCTTTTTCGAACTCAGCCTTAGTGTCCCGGACCCTGGCCATCGCTTGACGCATGTTGTCCGCCATGGTGCAGAGTTGTTCTCCGAAGTGTGCCTGTTGGTCGGAAACCCGGCGCACCACGGGACAAGACGAGTCAACATCGGTATCGACGCTCGAGTCGGGCGATGCGTATGCGCGTCGTCGGCGCTTGGTCGAACCTGGTTGTTCAGACATGAGGCTGCCGGAAGCGGCCCTCTTCTTGGGCCCGATTGGGGTGACCTTGAGGCACACTGTTAGAGAGAACGCGTGAAAGAGGGGTCCCATAGACGGCAACCTACCTTGCTCTGAGCTTTTGGGTTTGTACTCGAGGCCTCGGACTCGGACTGTTCTTTCCGTGCATTTTCCTCATCGTCACGTTAGCATGTCGCACATGAATGCATCGGGCAAAGTCATCTCACCACGTCCTTGATGAGCGCTTCCACGTCCTGGGGTAGAACATAGGGCTTGACTGGCCTATCCGAGCGCTTGGTTCCTTTTCTGATGCGGTGGCCGATGTGTCTCCCGAGGCCTTCTCTGATCTCCTGCAGATCGACTTCGTGGTTGCGCAACCAATAGATCTTGTTGAGCAACAAGTTATCCCACTCGACCGGGGCATGGCCGGGGTCTTTTAGAATACCCTGGATGTTGCTGATTCTGTAATACTCGCAAATCAGCCTCAGGAGCCGAGTCCGGTCTTCTGTCGTCTTTCCAGCGGCCTGGTTCTTAGGATCGGGTGTTTCAGGGCCTGGATGCCGGGAGAGGGGTGGGTGACCACGGTGTTGTTGATGTATAAGCGGCCGTTGTGCTGTTTCTCGCTATTCGAGTTACCCCGGGCGATGCCCCCTTGGGGATTGTTATTATTGTTAGGGCGGTTGTGTTGATAAGCGTGGATACTGTTGGGGACGATGTTGCGTGGGGGGTTGTTGTGAGAGACGCGGTTGTAAAAGTCGGTGTTGCGAGGGCCGTTGTTGTGCGGGCTGTTGCGCAGATTGCTGTTTTGAGGACCGCGGTTTACTAAGCCGTTATTGAATAGGCCGTTGTTGAATGACGCATTATTGAAGGTGCCGTTACTGTATGGGGTCCGGTTACATGGGCCGTTGGCGTAGGGCCCGTTATTGTGAGGAGTCTGGTTGTTCCTGTTGAAGCCATTGTTGTTTTGCTGCCTCTTTCTCGTCATTGTCGCTGATGTGACGTGTTCGGGAGGTCCAGGGCCAACGGTACGGCGGAAGGGTTGAAGATGACAGGCGTACGACGAAATTGGAGTAGAAGCGGACCCGGAGCTGTGGAAAGACGGAAGAGGAGACTAAGAAACACGCGACTGTTGAATCAACAGTTGACGTTGAGTACTTTATAATTACTAGTCTGTGTCTGCTCGAAGCTCTCGATGATGCCGTCGTGAGAGGGCAAAACCAGATCTGTGCCCTCCCGCAACGCGAGGCATCGCGGGGCCAACGCGGTTGCGTTGACCAACCTCCACTTCCTCGCCGCCGTTCTTCGTCTATGGCATGCTCGAGGGGTCTTCAGCAGCCGCAAGGGCCATACAAGGACGCCAGCAAACTCAGGGGTCACAATCTAGAGGAGAAGCATGTGGAAACAGTTACCCTAGAGGTGCTTGCCCAGACTAGGTCTGTTAAATGACAGAGTATCCACTGACTATGGTGGCTGATTGCTTGACACCTGACGTCGCTCAAAGAAATCAGACCTTTGGGCTGGCCGCCTCCGGAGCATGCGTTGGGTGTTGTGGCAAAGAGACATCACAACGTACGAGACAACCGACCAGCTGTGTGAGGTCGCTCTACCCAGCCTCGTCGAACTACGGGCTTCGTGTGTGCACTCCAAGAGCTTTAAAGTCGAATTTGAGTAGGGGTTGATGTCGTCTCTACCGCATCGTCGCAGAGTCCAATAATGCAGGCAGAACCCCTTTGAAAATTATGTTTGGGGTTGGACCCTTGGAAATGGAAGCTCAGGCGAGCTTACCCTGCATCCCGGGGCCCTCCACCGTCCCCTTGCCCCATGATCTGGGATGCGCCGTAACCGGGCAAGCCTCGGGAGCTCAGAGATTGACGGCTCCGTCTGGTGGTTGAAGGCTCCGGTGCGGACTGTAAGAAAAAGCAAAGTCGATTCGTGATGGTATGGGGCTCTCTACAAAGCTGTCGGCAAGACAAGGTTAAACGGTCTAGCTTTGGTGCAGGGCCCCTTGGTATACTGAACGCGTTTTGCGTCGTCAAAGTTTTTTTCCCCCCCGTTTTCCCCTGGAGACCGTCCTCTTCGAGAGCGCTTCAAACTAGATACCTGTCTCTCGCGGAACACCTAGAGAGAATCGACTCCACATGAGAGTTGGTTTGGTTTGGCTGGGTCGTTAAGATCCGATGACTCGAAGGAGCCTAACACGTGCACACACGCAATCGGCCATTCTGCTTCATCATGCATGATGAAATACTGAGAAGCATGATTGGACTCCGTTCCAATGGGATAACGACAGCCATGAGGTATATCACGAGAGGTTATGCGGGGACGCTACAACTACCGACGCGGAGGAGGATCCGTCAGCAACCACATCCTCAGACACATCAGCACATTTCCCGTGCCTGTTGCGGACGGCTGACCGCCTCTTTCACACTATTGACGGCGCGGTACCTCGGCTATCGACGGTTGCCCCGGGAGGCTCGTACCAAGATTGCGAGTCCTCTCCAGCCCCGAGACCGGGAACACGACGGCTGCGCAATCTCACGGGGTGGAAAGTTCAGGTGAACGTAGACACGATTCCCACTTGCAGCTCGCACTAGCGCCGTTGCTACCGAGACGAGGGAAGAAAGAGCTCGGCCGCTCAGCCACCATCTCTCGGCCAGGGAACACGCTCATCAAACCTGGTGGGGTTTCCTCTTTCTTCTTCGTTTGGGTTGTTATTAAGGCGGCCGAGGGACCGCAAGAGAGTGGGGCCGGTGCATCTTGTCAATCTATCGAAAAAGTACCCTGGATGTGCTTTGGCGAGAATTTGGGCGCGTAAAGTTTTTTCAGCGCGTTCACGCGTTGGACCTAAGAATAGGGGAGGATGGCATTTCCCACCTTTTCTTCCTTGTCTGAGCCGTCTGCGTGAGCTGCGATATCCTTCTTCCTGTGTTTCTCCCGTCGAACTGGGGCCGTGGCTACGGACAAAGATTTACGACTCCGCCGACTTCTCGAGGATGGCCAGTAGGCTCTGCGACGATGCTGCTGCTGCCGATTTCCCATACCTACTACGCACCAGCCTCAGCAATAAAGGTGAGAATTGCAACACCACGTCCCGGTAGCTAGTGGACAAGATGGCTGAAGCTCCGGCCGAGCGTAGTATAGCCAGCACGGTTTACCGAATCCCTCATGAGCTGAGCAATCAACGAGGCCTTTGAGATATGCACAAGTGTCAGGCAAAGCCTCGACGATCAGGTCAGCACTAACTGCGGCTGAGACCGATACAGACATCGATGCCGTTCAGACGACCATACCGCCACGATGTCTTGAGGAAGCCCAGCTGGTCCGGCGAGCAAAGCTACTCGTGCCCTCAACTGGCGGTGTGTGGATCGGCAGAACACGGCGTCAGGTCGGACCGAGCTGCCTTGCGATGCACCGCCTAGAGACCGCCTCCCTCAACGTCATCCTGTAGTCCAAGTGATGCAGCAGCAGCTGAGCAACCACCAAGCCATGCCGTCCACGACAAGCCTCGCGTGGAGGGACGATCCTGCACGCACATTCCCTCACAGGCACCAAAGACGACCGGTGGATTACAAATGCCACGGAAGATTCACCCACGGGAAAAGACGCTAAGACGGTGGTGTGGCCGGGCCGGGCCGGATGAACGAGCGGCGTTAGGGGCGGGCGGGGCGGAGTTAGCCCGGCTTGCTTCCATACCTAGTGAGAATCCAGGTCCTCTGTGCACACAAGTCTGTGAGGCTGGGAGACTGACCCGATTACAAAGCAGCACCTTTTTTCTGCGGGTTCGTTTTGCGGTCTTGCGCTGCTCAGCCATGCTGCGGCGGTGTGGCACTAGAGGGACGAATCCTTCCCCGCGCCTGGCGCCCGTCGGTAATAACGCATTCAGCACCACCGCCGCTCCAACTTGGCTCTCTCTTCCCCCTCAGGCGCCCTGGAACTCATGCTGTCGTCGGCCAGCCGCAAGAGGAATCACGCAATCGTCTCACACCATGACGAGCGCGTCCATGGCCCTATCTCTGAAGGTATATGATCTCTGCGCGTCCGTTTAAGGTTCTGGGGCCGCCGTCGACAGAAATGCCCGATTGGCCGTTCCTGCGTTTGACAGGAGATGGACCGCGTGCCGTCGATGAACTTTATCTAATCTCGAGAGATGCATCCCCGATTTGTCTGCATCATGTTCGACGAAGCCACCCTCTCTCGCTTCGCTGTGGGACCGTGAACTCGAACGTTGTCTCCCCTTACTGGCGTCCTTTTTTTCTATGGATTTCTAGGCTCCATACTCCTGACCGGGAGAGGGATCCGGGATTCGCTGCGGGATTCGCTGCGGCTCGGATGCAAAACCGCCCGAGCCGTCTGTACGACCACGACTCGGGCGTCGCGTGCGGCGGACTCAAGTCGCAGCACGAAGGAAAGGGCGAGCATAGGTATCGCATTTGTCAGCGCCGCGGACCCTCGAGTCTCGGCCTAGGATCTGTCAGCGGTCCGCTGAGATGTGGCACCCGGCCCGTGTATGTTACCCGTGTGTTTGTGTGTGTGTGCATGCCCGTCTCTCGTCTTGATTGGTTCATCGAGAAGAAGCCGGCGACGTCGTACAAAAGAACAGGTTCCGGTGGGCGTCGGCGCACAGGCGCGAAAGGCTACACGCTGGCCCCAACGAGTCGATTTCCCCTGATGTTGAGGCCGCTTGTAGTACAGAGGAAGCGGGAGGGATCGAAACAAGTGACCAGAAGCGACGGCGGTTGTTTGGATCCCTCTCCGCGTTTCCACGGCAGGTAGGCACAGTGTCACAGCTCCTGCCTCGTGTCCAACCCGCAACGGCGCATTAGTCAACGGGGGACCCGCTCGTCGAACTCGACAGAAACGCCCGATCACCATCTGCACCTGCCCCGACCTCGCGCGGCCATCCCACCGCTCTTTTGAGGACAGGTGGAAGGTAGCATTGTACCTTCCCGGGGCAGAGGTTTCTACCGACTTCCAAAACGGCCAGGGGAAATAGAGGTATATAGCTCTTTGTTCCTGACCTGCTCGAAGCTGCCTTATCGAACATCAACCACACAAACCAACTCACTTGCATCCATTCACTCAACACCAAACACCACCACCACTACCACCACCACCACAACCACATCAACCGCAACCATGACTTACACTCTCTACGACGCCTCAGTCCCCCTCCTCCTCGCGGGCCTCAACACCCTGCTCAACCTCCTCACCAAGGCCGAGGAGTACGCCGCGGAGAAGTCGATCGACGCCGCCCAGATCCTCGACTGGAAGCTCGCCGAGGACATGCTGCCGTTCTCGTTCCAGTACCATGTTGCCACCGACAGCGCCATGAAGATTATCACGCGCGTGCAGGGCACCGACCCCGAGGTGTTTGGCAAGGACTTTGCCGGCATCGCCGACCTGCGCAAGCGCGTCGAGCACACGATTGCCCTCGTCAAGGCCGCCGACCCCAAGACCTTTGAGGCCCGCACCGACGCTCTCGTGCCCCTCGGCCTCGGCTTCGGCAAGGGCGAGATGCAGATCCGCGCCCGCGACTACCTCGTCGCCTACGGCATGCCCAACTTCTTCTTCCACATCCAGACGGCCTACAGCATCCTGCGCGCCAAGGGCGTCCAGCTCGGCAAGGGCGACTACCTCGGCCCCTTCATGGGCCCTTTTGTCGAGGCCCACCAGAAGCAGCAGCAGCAGTAGAGGGTGGGGGAACATCAATGGAGGAGTAGTATGGTGAGAGGAGGAAACATCGTCATAGGATGGCGCCCGGAGAGTTCTGGGATTGGAGGACGCAATGGGTACGAAAAAGTAAATAATGAATTGAACGAATGAGACGATACAGACGCACTATCCCAGCCGTAATGTTTCCCTACTAAAGCCACTTGTACCTGATGGGCCAGAACCGATAGCCCCTTTGAGATGCTCTACATCGACCAAAATGCCTCTGGATGCCATGACTCGGCGCAGGCCACGTGGGGTTCTGCATGCGATGCGTTTGTTTCAGGACTGATCAGGAGGGTTAAGCTCCGCATGACAGGGACGCGGACCGGCTGGAGACAGAATACCTAGACAGGACACAAAAAGAAAGATAAAGAAAAGAAAGAGACTTCAGACGGCCGGGGCTCCTCGCAGCGAATAACCCAATTGTGTGGATGACGAGGAAACGGTGCAAGGACGGACCTTCGTGCCTTCCCATCACGAACCCCTCACTTTGAAGATAGCGACTGGAGAAATTTCGGACCCCACTGCCCACCGGTTCCAGCCAATGAGCGCGGCCAATTCCGCCATGTCGGCGAACACGGCGATAAACGCCGATGGGAAGGTGCCCCGCCCCCACCATCGTTAATGCTGCAATCTTTTTTTCGACCCCTCCAAGCAGACGAGCTGGTAGCTCATAGCACGGCATTCAACCAGCATACTCACCACGCTTACAATCCCATATCAAACATCCACCTCGTCATTATTCGTCATTCGTCGCTCTTCACCGACCTCACAACAAAAACCACCCACGATGGCCGACCTCAGCGAGGCCGAGGCCCTCGCCACGCCCGAGTTCTGGAACGAGCGCTACACAAAGTCGGACGGCGCGAACCCGACGCACGAGTGGTTCCGCACCTTTGCGGCCCTCGAGCCGTACTTCCAGAGACGACTCTTTTCCCAGCGGACCCCCGAGTCGGCACCGCGAATCGTCCATCTCGGGTCCGGCGACAGCGTACGTCTTGCTCTCTCTTTACCTCTCACCCGACCCCCCTAAACCTCTACTCCCGCCCTCCCCACGACAGAAGCTCACCCAACCACCAGACCATCCCCGCCGACCTCGCCGAGCGCGGCTACAAGAACCAGCTGTGCCTCGACTTCTCGAACGTCGTCGTCGACCTCATGGCCGCGCGCCACGCCGCCGTCGGCGGCATCGAGTGGCGCTGGGCCGACGTGCGCGACATGCCTGACGCCGCGCCCACGGCCACGGTCGACGTCGCCTTCGACAAGGGCACCATGGATGCCATGATCCACGGCAGCCCTTGGTCGCCGCCCCCCGACGTCCGCGACAACACGGCCCGCTACCTCCGCGAGGTCCACCGCGCGCTGCGCCCCGACGGCGTCTTCCTCTACATCACCTACCGCCAGCCGCACTTTATGCGCCCGCTGCTCAACGCCGAGGGCCTGTGGGACCTCGAGATGGACGTGCTGTCGGGCGGCGAGAGCGCCTTTGACTACTACGGCTTCGTCCTGAGGAAGAAGAAGGCTGATTCGTGAGGGGTGCGGGTGCGGGAGGCTGAGGGCAGTGACATAGCGTGCATAGGTAAACCCCGGTATAGAGTAGAAATCATAGGAGTTCCGGTCTCATTCTCTCCGGCTGGGCCGGGCTGGCGGCAGATGGACCGATCATGGTCTCGGGCTCTACGCTGGACGGGTGGGAATGGCGGTGTAGGCAGGGCGGGTTGGGTTTCACTTTCGGCTTCAGCCCAGCTCGATCAGGCTGGCTCGCATGCGTGAATGTCTCTTGTCTTGTCCCTTGCCAACGGCCCCGCTTCAACAGCATGCCGTCTGCGAAATGCCCGCGAGACACGGGATCCCGTGATCCACGCTCCCTGTATCGGCCGGCACGCACACCGATGGTATCAAAGACACTGAAAGACACTGTCTCACACATCACCTTACATCTGGCGCGGCGCTTGTACGCTACCCGATAACCCGCTCGATTGGTACATCTACATCTACATCTACATCTACATGCCACCCCTTCATTCCGCCCGTCTCAGCCCAGTCTCAGAACCCCAGCACCCGGTTCGCCCTCTCAACCAGCTCCCTCTCGCCGCGCGTCTCGCCGGCCGCCACCAGCCTCTCGAGCCCCATCGCCCGCCTCGCCTCCACCCCGCGGACGGCCTCCTCGCCGGGCCGCCCGACGTGCTCGCTCTCCCCCTTGCCGCCAGGGAAGTCCGGTCCCGGCAAGCCCTGGAGGAATGCCTCGCGCTGCCGCGCCAGGTACCCGACGTTGAGGTCCGTCGCCGGGCACACGGGATGTACAGCACGCTCGAGTCGCCGGCGCCCTGGTGCACCGCGTCGACGGCGTGCACCTGGTCGCCGTGCCACACGACAAAGTCGCCCGGCCGGATGCGCGGCACGTGCACCATCGTCTTGCCGAGCTCCATGTGCGGGTGCAGCGCGTCGCTGAGCTCCTGGCCGTGGCCCGGCGTCGCGCCCTGCAGCTCGCTCGTCATGGCCTCGCCGCCCGTGAACGCCCAGTTGTCCTCGTCCAGGAACTTTTCAGGGCTGCCGGCGTCCCCGGCCCCCGCCGCGGCTGGAAGAAGGGCCGCAGCAGCATATACGCCGTCGACAGCTGCACGAGCGGGTTCACCAGCAGCGTGCCCTCGCGCGGCCCGCACGCGCTGATGCTCAGCCACCCCTGGAACATGCGGAACATGCTGCACGCGCCGGCGCCGTTGTACAGGTCCTGCACGGCCTCGACGCGCGCCGTCACGTCCCACGGGTCGTACGCCTCCCACTCGCCGCGGAACACGGCCTCGTACGTGCCGCCGCCGCGGCCGTACCCGTCCCGCTCCCACCGCTCCACGGACCCGCCGTCAATGTGCGGGCCCAGCGCGAAGCTCGCGTCGCCAGGCTGCCGGATCCGGAGCCGGTCGGCGTACGTCAGGGGCTGCATGGAGATGGCGGCGCCGGGGGCCGCGTCCCAGAGCCCGTGCATCAGCGTCGCCTGCGTCTTGAGCATGTTGGGGTGCGCGCGCGCCTTGAGCTGCGGGAGCGACCAGTATAACTCGTACACCTGCGGGTTGTCGGCGGGGAAGGCTGCAGTGGTGTTAGTCAAGGGACTGTGTTGAGTGGTTGGAAAAGGGGGGGTAGCGGTTACTCACCCTTTGTGGACGGGTTCTTGCGCACATATGCCTCAATCTCCTCCTTGTACGCCCTCGCCTCCGTCTCGTCGACGACGCCCCGGATGACCGCGGCGCCCCTCTTGCGGATCTCCCCCTTGAGTCTCGCCACGTCCTCGTCGAGATTTCGGAAGTCGACGCTGGGGATGATGGCCGGGCCCTTGGCGGCAACGGTCTCGTTCTCCTCGCGCAGCGCGCGCAGCAGGCGGCCCCAGGACTGGACGACGGCGTCCTCGTGCCCGGCGACGAGGTCCTGCTTGAGCGTGCGGAAGCGGTCGGGGAGGGGCTCGCGCGCCGCGCCGGACAGGGAGACGAAGACGGACGAGATGTCGCCTTCTTTCTTGGGCGCGTGCTGGGCCGCCGCGGCGCCCATCATGACGGTGCGGCGCTGGGTTTGTTGGAGGCGCAGGACGGAGGGCGTCCTGCACCGGGGTAGGGTGGCTAGGCGGGACATGATGATGCTGTCGTTAGTGGTCCAAAGCTAGGGAGATGTGATTCTGATTCCGGGTTCTGTGCCGGACGCAAGGCTGGTGAATAGATTCTGTGTAATTCGACCTCGCAATCTTCTCAAAGACAGTGTGATGCCAGTGAAACTTGACCCTCGCTCACAAATGCAAACAACAAGACTCGAGTGCAGGGTATCAAAGATCGCCAGCTTGCCAATGACCAAGGCCACATCCCCATCACCACACCCGCGTCCGTCGTCCTCTTATATCAAGCAAGCCGCTTCCCACGCCGTCACTCGCAGCGTCGGGCTTCTCAACACGGCATCCCGCTGCCAGAATGCACTCCACGTCGTCCGTTGAGCGTGGCGCGAGGCGCCATCGCGGGGCCCCGCCCATCCGGCACGTTGGGGACGCTTGGGGATCACCCACATGATGACATGCATCCCCTCCAGATCCCCAGGCTAACCCAGCGTGGTCGAATCGCTTTGCGGCAAATGGTCAGGCGCGGTGGGGCTGGCGGCGGCGGAGGGAACCCCGAAGGAAAATTCGGGGAAATATTGGGGTAGATGGGCACGCTTTGGTCACGGCTCGTGGCGCAGAAGTGAGAAGATGGACCACTGAGTGCGGGACGCGACCATCATAGCATCGACATATACACTGTCATGGTCAATCCGACCTGCCAAAGAACGCCAGATAGAGGCTTTGGTATTAGACTATTGTACCCAAAAGGCGGCCTGTCCGCAAACTCCACCAAATCCCCAGCGAAGACCATCCTTCGTTGCTGACGTTAAAAGTGCTAGAAAGAAACAAGACACAAGAGAAGTCGCCCGCCCACTCCGGCTCTAGTAATGATACAGACGGTGAGAAAATGATACAAACGAAACGACCTAAGCCCCTCGCCCCCCTCGTCTCCTTTCAGCTGTCTCCTAACTGCCCATTGGCCCTGCGTATGCGGCTCACTTCGCTCCTGAGATCGCGGTTCTCCGTCTCGAGGCCGCCCAGTCGCTGCCTGGCCGCGTTACGGTCCTGCGAGCGTCCTTCGCGCTCCGCCTTGAGCTTGTTCTCGAGGTCGCGCAGCTTAAAGATCCATCGGTTGTCGGTAGGATCTCTCTCTGCAACTGTGTTCTCGAAGGGATTGTGGTTGACGGACCCGGGCGTTGTCGACGTTACCGTGTGGCTGGAAACGCTGCGCGTCATCGTGGACGCCCGCTCACCCTTGCGCGGCTTTCGTTCGCGATCGCGAGGTCCCGTGGGGATAGATGGGGATGGACTGCCACTGGCGGGCTCAGGGACGGCCGCGCTGGGATCGTTGCTTGCCGGGTAGGCGGCTCGGCTCCTCACGTCCTGGGCGGTTCGCAGCGTCGCGTTTTCCACCTTGAGCTGGCGGTAGGCATCCTCCAGGCGCGCCATTCTGGCCTGCTCGTACGAGCCCAGAGTCCCGGACGTCATGCTGTTGCGGACAATCGTCTCCAACCGCTCCAGCTTCTTCGTCCGGGTCTCCAGGTTGTTCTCGAGGCTCTGGTACTCGCGCCACAAGTCCCGCTCCACACCCTTGATGCGGGACGAGAAGCCGCCCACCATCGTCTCAATCGTCTTGATCGCCGCTAGCAGGTTCTTGCTGAAGCCGGGCAGCATCGTGGCCACGGCTTCCAAGGAGGGTAGGGCACGGCCGTTGATGAGGCTGTTGTCGTGCGCCCAGTCGGTGCCGCAGAGGGCCGAAAGCCGCGTCCACAGCACCAGCAGCAGGTTGTTGCGCTCGGTGAGCTGGTCCTTGAACGTCGCCTCGAGCTGCGCAATCCTCTTCTTGTCCTGAGCGTGCGTTGTCTCGAGCTCCGAGATGCGCATTTCTTGCGTGCTGGCCGTCTTGGACACGTGAATATGCCTCGTCTGGAATGTCTCAAACTGGTTCCTGGTCGTTCGGTGCGCTTGTCTCTCCTTCTCCAGCTCTCCCGCAAGTTTGCGAGATTCCAGGCCGTGGGATTCAAGCAGTGCGTCGCGCTGCTTGATGAGGCGGTCCTTCTCGACGAGTGACGCCTTGGTGGTGTCCAGCTCGCGGACGGTGTTCTCGAGCTCGCGCTGGAGCTTGGCAATCGACTGCTTTTGTCAGTGGCGCGAACTACGTGCGGAGTCTCCGTATTGCTCACCTTGAGTAGGCTGGAACGCGTCCCGTTAAGATCGCCCAGTGCCTCTCTGAGATTGTTCTCCAGCTCCATGAGCCGCTCCTTCCATTCGGTCGCTTCGACTTCGCGCGAGGTAAGACTCTTACGCAACCTCCGGGCTTCGTCCTTGGCCGCCGACATTTCGCGGTTGAGCTCGTTGACAAACTGCTGCACCTCCTCCTTCTCCTGGTTCGAGACCATCTCGTGCTGCCGGCGCTCGGTGGCAAGGCGTTGCTCGAGCTCCTTGACCCTGTCGCGCTCGTCGCGCAGGCTCTGCTCGGTGTTGGCGAGTGCCGCTTCGAGGTCGCCGATGCGGATCTTGTCGCCCTCTTGCTCCTCGCGCAGGAAGGCGATTTCGCCCTGGCTAGACTCCTGTTGCACGCTGAGGCGCTGTGCCTTGTCGTTCGACTCGAGCAGCTTGTTCTCCAGCTCCTCGGACTCCTTGTTAGCGTCCGCGAGCTCTTGCTCCAGCTGCTGAATCCTGCGGATCTTCGCGGCCTGCTCGTCCTCCAATCCCACCAATGCCTCGCTCATCTTGCGCATCTCCTCCTGCAGTGCATCAAAGTTCTCCGTCCTGTCGTTGAGCTCCAGCTGGAGTCTCTGGATCTCGTCGCTTCGTTGGTCGGCCTCGCCCTCAAGCGCGTCAATCTCCTCTTGCGCCTCTTTCCGCAGTGCCTCAAACTCCGTCTCCATGTCGGCTTGCTCTCTAAGCGCCTCGTCCCTTTCAGCCTGCAACGCCACGAGGTCGTTCATGGCGTTGTCGAGGTCCTCCTGGAGGGTGACGGCAATCTCCTCTGCCTGCCTCTTGCCCTCGACTGCCGTCTCAAAGTCGGCCATGCACCCCTCGAGCTCACGCTGGAGCTCCTGGTTCTGTAGTTTGATTTCGCTAATCTTGTCGCGCGTCTCGGCGAGCTTGTTCTCCAGCTCTTCGCGCTCCAGCTCGTCGGCCTCGGTTATTTGCGTCCTGCTGGCGCTCACGCGTGACATGGACCTGTGATGCGCACCGGCCCGCGATGCTGAGCGATCGAGGAGGGAGTCAATCGTCGACGGTGCAGGGCCTCCTCGCCGTTGTGCCATCTTCAGATCCTCAATCTCCTGGTAAAGGCGCTCCTTTTCGCGGTTCCTGGACGTGAGCATGGAGGTCTGCGCTCCAACCTCGCGCCTAAGCTCGGCGTTCTCGTGGCGCAGCTGCTCGCTCTCCCTGCGCAGCTCATCGACCAGCGTGCTGGCGGCACTGAAGCCGCCGTTTGTCTCGAGGTCTCCCGAAAGACCAGACACGGGGCGACTGGGCGATGTCTGTCTTGGTTTCTTAGTGATGTTGTAGATGTTGGTCGTGTGGTGCAGGCCGCCGTGTCCGCTGCTCATTTCTTGCTTCATACGGAAGATTTCGTCGCGAAGCTTGCGGTTATCTTCGTCAGACTGCTCGCGTCGGGCCGTCTCCTGTTCAAGGAGATCCTTCCAGACATCCGCCTCCTCCTGACTACCGAGGTTGCCGCTTGTCCTTTCGCCCAGCGACCTGACCACTTCACTCAGCTTGCGCTTCTCTGCCTCTTTTGCCATGCTGTCGTTGCGAAGCCTCTCAATCTCGGTGATGTACTCCTCGACACGCTCGCGCAAGTACATGAGTTCCTCCTCGCGCTCCTGAGCATCCTGGTCGGAGGAGCTGTCGTTTGATGAGGCGCCGCTCCTCGCCGTGCCGGGTCGGTCCTGGTCCTCCTTGAGTTGCTTCTCCAGCTCCTTGACCCTCCTCCGTAGTGCCTTGTTGTCGCGCTGGATGACGGCGAGGCTCGTCTTGAGTTCCACGTTCTCTGAGATCATCTCCTTAACACCCTCTTCAGACAGCTTGTCAAGGCGGTCGCTGAGGAACATAACCTTGAGCTTGAGGTCGAAGTTCTCCTTGGACAGACGCTCGATCGTGCTACTTTGCTCCTTGAGGGTCAGGTTCTTACCCGATCTCGTAGAAGCCCCGAGCGGCATATCGGAGGGCTTGCGGGGGGTCACGAAGCCGCTCTTGGTTCTGTATTCCTTGGCCAGGGACTCGGGGACATGCACGTTCCTGACATGGCGGGCAATGACGGTATCGGTGGGGGCGGTGAGGTTCTCTTTGGAAGGTTTCGGCGTGGCCAAGAGGTCGTCGTTCCGCGTTGGCCGTCGTGGCGTGAATCCGTTCTCGACTTCGTCAAGCGTCTCGAGCTGGTTTGGCAACGACTCCGGGTCGTCCATACCAGAGACCATGCTGCCCATGCTCACGGAGCGCGACAGTATGCTGCTGAGGCTGCGAGGCAAGCTTGACGTGGCGGCAGCGCCACCGGACTGCAGAGCAAAGTCGGCCCCCATATTGGCGGTGGCTTCACTCTCAAGATCATCATGGGTATCGGGGTTGGTGACGAAAGAGGAGACGGAGGACCGCTGACTGGTGACGCGGCTTCGCAGATACTTGGGCCGCGTGCCGTAGCTCAAGGAGTGTCCCGGCGTGCTGCCAGCATCGACCGAACCTCCACGAAGGCTTCCGTCGGACCGTTTGCTGCGCAGAGTCGTAGATATCGAGTCGGCAGCAGACTCTGCGCGAGAAAACGAGGGCTCTTCGTCCGTGTGCTCGGCCGGGCTCGGCCCAAGCGATTGCTTGTCGGTCCGGTTGCTCGCGCTGGACAGCGCCCTGGAGATGGTACGGGCAGCGGCGGCGGCGGCGGGGGACGAGGACATGTTTTCGAGGGAGGAGGTTGTGTTGGAGACATCAGCAGAGGCGGAGTCTTGGGGTCGCAGTTCGGAGAGGTCGTTGGCATCCGACTTTTCATGGTTCGCTTCGGATCTCAGCCGGGGGCTTGGGCTGGGACTTGCAGGGGCGTGTCTCGCGGGTGCAGGGGACCTCGCAGAAGCGGCGCCGTCGAAGAGGTATGTGTCATCGGTGCCCTCGTGGGTTATTGTCGGGATGGGAGAGAGGCGCGAGACGAAGCTCGACTCTACGTCCTGGAGGTGGGCGCGCACGGCAGACTCGGCCAGGGAGTCGCCATGACGCGAGTCGTCAAAGGTGGCGCCCTCGACGAAACTGCTGTCCGGGACGGCGGAGGTCTGGGGCCGCGGGGGAGGAAGCATGGATTCGTTTGAGGGGTCGGGGCCGGCTGCGGGCTTGGAGGGGGTCTTGCGGCCGGTGTCTTGGTCGGTGTCGGGGTTGTGGTTGTGGCTGTGTTCTTGACCATGTTCATCGTCGTCGGGGGGGTTTCCGGTGGGAGTGTTTCGCGACTCGTCGGCGGCGATTGTTTCTGAAGGAACGAGGTGCGAGGCATCGTCGTCCTCCTCCTCTACGCGGCGGGCGGTAGTCGGGCGGTTGTCGCCGTCATCGGGGTTAGGTGGGCTCGAGGGCCGCTTCTCCTCACGTTCCATGGTGGATGATGGCTGCGCGGGTCGGAGGATGCATTCGGTTGGTTGCAGAGGATCGATTCTTTGTCTCGCCCGGTCGTCAATGGTCCTTGAGAGGACGGGTGGCCGTTTTGGGTTTGAGGCTCGGGTCGTGAGTGGTGGTGGTGGTGGAGAGGAGGAGAGGGTTTTGGGGGGGGTTGTCGTAGGTTGGGACAATCAATGGATTAATCGGTCGGAGTATGCCCCGTTTGGCGATAGGCCTCTGATGGGGTCGATAGAGTCGAGAAGCTAAGAAATGTCAGACTTTTTTCTTCCCCTTTCCCACGGCCCCTCGACGGCATCCGTGGGCGTATATCTGGCGTAGCAGTGCGTAGCGGCGGCAGCAACGACAGCGACGTGTCGCACGGAGCATGTGCGTGGATGCAGACAGACGTGGACGTGTGGATGGAACATGGATGCCACACCACACCTACCACACGAGGGATACATGGAACTTGGAGACTGTGCAGCCACTCACAACGGGCAAGACAAGAGAGAGCACGTACCTGCAATGGTGCTTCCTTCTCTTGTTGGACGGCACTGCACTGCGACCTTGGAGGTCTGGGCTGAGAGAAGAAGGAGGTGTGAAGGCAGGGAGTGCGACCGACTGGGAAGGTACAACGATACACTCAGCCAGTCCGAGGAAAATAGAAACAAAAAGGGACACTCGCGAATTTTTTGCTGGAATGACTAGGTAGAAGGATTTGCGTGGATGCTACACAAACCTGCAGCTTGATTGGGGATTATGATCGAGGCCAGACACGACCTGGAAGCCACGCAACGGAGGTGTCGTTGCGCTCGGTCCCTTTGGATTTGTCCAAGCATTCGGCGCCCATGTTTTTTGTTTTTTTCCCGTTCGCTTTCTTTCTTGCTACGTACTCTCGCTTTTTCGTTGTCGGGTCCCCGTCAAAAAAACAATGACTGGCTATCCCGGGAGATGCGCTCGAAAGTGGCACCTCGAACAGCAACGGGCAGCAGATTTTCCCCCTGGCCCCCCTGGCCCCCCCTGGGCATCCGCGTAGCTTCGACCACTAACCGTCTTTGTCGGGCGTCCTGGAGCCACCAAAAAAAGCCCAGGCTACTCACTACTGGTCTCCGTCGGCAACCCCTGTTTTCCGGTGTCTCTCGTTGCTGTGACACCCAAGCTGGATCGGGACTGCCAAGTGGAGGAAGCTCTTGCTGTGTGAATCGTGCGTTTATCGTGCGGAGTATGCGTTCCTGTCTCGCTCCTTCTCTCTCTCTCTCTCTATCTGTCTTCGCTCTCACACAAACAATCACTCACTTGTGGCTACGGGCAGCGACGGTGGCCGCCATGGCGCATGCCGAAAAGAACCAACGGCCAATGACGGAGCTCGCCATGGCTCCCGGGGCCGGATGTCGCTGTGTTGCACCTTCCCCTGATCTGCCCGTCCTGCCGCAAACGGGCACGCTGCACGCCATTGGCCGAGTGGGTCCTTCCCCTTCTTCGTCTTTCAGCCCGTCAGCTCCCTTCCCTCCTGAGCTTGTCGATTATTAGTGTACATGGTAAGTTAGTGCTCGCCCCGACAGACTCCATCCGATCCGCGAGATGCAGGAGATAGGGGCGTCGCCGTCCACTGCACACCTCGAATGAATCAATGTCAACCTGCCAGCTGCCGAATGCACGCGCAGAGGAGAGGCAGTTCATCCCCTTTTCACCTGTCGGTCCAAACTCAATTCCCACGCCCGTCTTCCGTATCGCACGTTATTCGAGCAGCTCTCTCCAATGAGGTGCCGCATGCCATCTGCCGCGCAGGATTCTTCCCAGCCAGCCCGGAGCTTCACGATAATTGCGTGGCGCGCAGTCAGCTAGGACGAACAGGCTTTGGGGCATCGTTCCCCAGCCTGCTCTTCTGACATTGCCACAAGTTTGATCCGACATTGTCCATCTCGATCCTTATCTCTGGGACTCGGTTGGTCAATTGAAAGCATCTTTTATGAGTGCCAATTGTTCCCATCAGACTAGACATCTTGGCTCAAGCACATCATAAGAGAGGAACGAGATAAAAAGAGTAGACAAGTACGATGCTATTCTGGTGATTCCTCACCAAGTATCTGTCAGAACGGTACCCCGCAATGCCCTGAAGATATGGTTACCTACATGAACCGGCCCTCCCTGAACAGCTTGTGGGCGCGCAATGTCGACATGATGACGGACCCCCCGGGCAGTTCATCCGGCCGCCATGTCCCAGCAACTGCACCCCATCCACGTGCTCCTACGTCTGAGAGTTGAACATGTACCCCATTCTTTACTGGCTGGCCTCGACGGACTAGGTACCGTTCCGAAGGTACCTCACAAATGGACTAGCCATGCTGCCATCAGACTCTGGGTTTGCCTTTGCACACGGCATAATGGAAATTCCGTGCGTGCGCGTCACTCGAATACGCCATTTCTTCGTTGGTTTCGTGATAGCTTATCCCGCCGAGATGCAGCCGCCAGTCTCATAGAGAGATTGGCCATGCTTGAACACACCTCGGGATATGAGACTTTGATGAATTGACTTCATTAGTAGCAAGACCACGAATCATGCATGAAATCTGACTTCTGGACAGTGTTCGCTTCTCCTCGAGTTTGATGACCAGCCATCACATGCCCCTTTCCGCGAGAGCAATGGATCCGAGTGTCGAAGAATCACGAATAGCCACAGAACATCACGCTGGACATATTTCACCAACGAGTCAAAATTATTGAAGTACAAATGGTTCATTAAATTGTGTAGTTCTATGCTACAGCATCATCGCTCATGATACTATTCCCATGTCTTCGTAATAACAATCATATCCGATACATTATTGGCACACTTAGTTGGAGATCTTGGAGTTGACCTTGGATCTGTAGTCGCAAGCATGGTTAGCAAACCATCGCGGGCATATCGTGGAGCAGGGAAGCACATACCCGGTGACCTTCTCGTAGAGACCGCGGGCACCGTCGGTGATCTTCTCGTCGGTGCTGGGGTTGAAGTCGTGGCCGGCCTTCTTGGAGCCAAAGTCGAAGGCTAAGGTTCGTTGTCAATATCGAGTCCTCAGTTATCCCTCTGAGCACAACACAACTCACCCTTGTCAAGGGGGTCCTGCTTCTGCTGACCGGCAGCAGCGGCGTTGTTGGTGTTGCCCTTGCTTCCGCTGGCGAGGTTCTTGAGCTGATCCATTTTGAAATGTGGTTGTTTGTTGGTGGTAAAGGTAAAAAAGTTTGTATTGTAGTTGTGAATGAGCTTGATGTTCTGTCCTTCTACACTATTTCTGCCGAGGAATTATTCACTCTTTATATACACCTTTCACCAGGGCCAAGCTTTCCATCATCCCGGAGCGCAGGCAGGTCGAACGAAGCTTGCAAGGCGACCCCTCCCCCGCTTTCCCCATCAAAGCTTCCCACCATGACCTAATCCCGCCGCCATGTGTGACGGTTGCACACAGCCCCCCACCCCAAAGCCCGCAAATTCCCAGTTTCGGATGCGAAAAGACAGACGAGGTCCCCTACGTCATCGACCGTCAACGCCTCCGGCACTTCTGCATCGCCCACCCTCCAGGGACCAACAATCCCAATGGAACGCACATCGTAAGGGGGACCTGCCTGAGCGGCGATCCCTCGTTGGTCGGGCTCGGCCCCACCCAACGACGCAATCTGCGCTGGGCTGTCAGATAAGAACGAGACCAAGCGACCCAAGCTCCGACGGCGAGCAAAACAAGCTTCGTGGGACTGGAAACCGGTCTGGAGCTTCGCCGCCCGTCATAGGGGGTTTCTAGTTCTGGTTCCTGATAGACCGTGCATTGCACTGGTCTCCTCACGAGAGGCGAACATGTCGTCCAAGCCGCCGAGTCCTCAAGGTCCCCGAGCTTACGTCTAAGAAAAGAAACAGGGTGCCAAGAAAGAGGGGTCTTCGCACATTCGTGCCCTTCTCCCGAGATCATCGAGAGATCCTTGGCGGAGAGCTAGACGAGAACGGTGTACACCGCACCCGTACCGGGAGGCGTAGAGCATGCATCGGGCAGTTGATAGTCGCTGGATCTGGCGGCGACGAAGCCGAAGCAAGCACATCATTGCCGATGCTCGACGCCCGCTCCCTCAGATTGGACGGCATCCACCGGGACGAACGCATGGTTGGGGGAGCCGACGAATGATCGGTCCGCATTTTCTAGGATCCGAGACTCGGGCTACGTCAGACAGGCATGGGGACGGGCTCCCGGCGCATGGTCGCATGCGAGGCTTCGGTGGGCTGGGCCTTATCGCCGTGCTAGCGGGGAACCGGGACCAACATGTGACGATGATCATGACGACGGATTCGGCAGTCAAGGAGGATGTGAAGAGACTCTGGGAAAAGAACAACTTCTCCAATGTTTCGGACCTGGGTTGCCCATAGCAAGACCAGGCGCTTTTGAGGTAAGAATAAATCCACTGTACTGCCTTTGTGAACGCCATGACAGAGAAATTTGCAGCCAAATCAATAAATTCTCGCAAAATCTCCGGGCGTTGGTGAGAAGCAGAGGTCACGAAAATCAACAAGGTCAGCTTGAAAGAGAGAAAGGTCTACTTGATGGTGGAGCGGTCTCCATTGCGTCTGCTGGAAAGCCTTTCGTCGATGCTAGTGGTAGTGATAGATGATGTGATCGAACCTGATGTACCAGAACTCTTGTGCTGTATGGCTCTCGGAAGCGTGCAGGGTGATCAGGAGTATAGTGAGCGGTGCGGTGCAGTGAGCAACCACAAACTCCCTCTATAGCTACGCAAGATGCATTCAGCCAATCGCGAATCAGCTATCTTGATCAGGTCAAACCTGACATGATCAAGCTTGCCCGCGACGCAATGAGTAAAGCAGAGACCCCCAGGGTTCTTGTGTAGTTATAATCAGGGTGTTAGTCATCGCGAAAGACAGAAAGGATGTTCCCTTACTTCTCTCTTAGGACAGAAAAGTCGGTTAAGCGTGTGTTGATTGCCCAAGTCTAATCTAGGCTTCCCAAGCTAAAGAGGTTTCTATCTATGTCCCTGACCAGATTGTGCTTAGCTAAGAAACAAAAGAAAGCAACGCAAAGACCACCCCGATGGAAGCAGAAAACCCTGCCCCGTTCCACTATTCCGTCAAACACCTGCGCCAGTACACTTGGGATTGTTGATCGATATGGGCTATGTCTTTGGTGGTAAACCCTTCCAGTCGGGCCTGGTCGACATGGCGGTGCTCGTAAAGTAAGTCTTGCACGTATCCCATAGGTAAACCCGCCCAAAGCGCAATCTCGAGATGCCGCAGCCGCATGATCGCAGATTCCGTAGCAAGACGGTATGTTAAATTGCTTGATTTTTGGTCCTATAACTTTCGTTTGCAAAAATCGTCTAAGATCATGCCAAAGGAAGACAAAACAGTGCGTGAAGCCCTAACAAGTCGTGATCTTCGACGTAATCAATGTCGGTCACAAAGTTGTCGAAATCGTTTGCTGGAGTCAACCAAAACGCCTGAAAAGCCAGGCTGGCTTTGATCATGTCTGGTATTTGACTTCCACCCTGAAGTAATACCTTGACCACTCGAAGGTGAGATTTCTGCATAGCCCACACCAGTGGCGTGTAACAATCCTGGTCTTGTGAATTGATGTCCACCATATTGTTCTCAAGGAGCAATTGCACAATATCTGTATGTCCTTTACTAGCGGCCCACGAGAGTGCTGTACGGCCGTTCTTATCGCGAGAATCTGGATTCAAGCTCGCTTGGAACAAAAGGAGACGAACCGCATCCTCATGGCCCCCTCTTGCGGCCCATATAATTGGCGTGGCACCATTAATATCCTTTGAATTCGCGTCGACACCATACTCAGGGAACTTATTTGCTGCAAGGTCGTCGTCAGTTGGTACAGCAGGTGGCTTCGTCGTTTGTTGGTAAATGTTCCCAGACTGCCCGTTGTCAGAGTTACAGGTTGGCGGTGTCCGTACGTCGTTACGTATTGCTGTAATACCCATTCGCAAGTCGAGAAAAGTTCTAAGAACAGCAATTTGACCCTCTCCAGCTGCCCACGACAGCGGCGATCGACCGTGCCCGTCTCTTGAATCGACGTCGACCTTTCCTGTGTTGATGAGTGTGTTCACTACGTTGTCGTGACCGTATTCAGCTGCCCACGACAGCGGCGATCGACCGCGCCAGTCTCTTGAATCGACGTCGACCTTTCCTTTGTTGATGATTGTCTCGATAAGCAATTGATGGCCTCCTAACGAAGCTGCTTGTAGAGGGTTAACATGTATGCCGCCCTGGATGTTGGCATCTGCTCCCTTGTCGAGAAGCATCTGGACGATCTCTGTGTATCCTCCGTATGAAGCGGCCTGAAGAGCGTTGCCGTACTTGCCGCCCTGTGCGTTGACGTCTGCGCCCTTGCTAAGGAGCATCTGGACGGTCTCTCTGTGGCCTTCTAATGAAGCAGCTTGAAGAGCATTGCCGCACTCACCACCCTGGACGTTGACATCTGCTCCCTTGTCGAGAAGTAATCTAACTACTTCAAAATGGCCGCTGTCTGATGCTGAGGTGAGGGGCGTCCATCCTTTCTTATCAGCGACTGTGATGTCTGCTCCTTTGTCGAGAAGTAATCTAACTACCTCAAAATGGCCGCTGTCTGATGCTGAGTTTAGGGGCGTCCATCCGTCCTTATTAGCAACTGTGATGTCTGCTCCCTTGTCGAGAAGCAACCTGACTACCTCAAGATGGCCGTTAGTTGATGCTGAGTTAAGGGGCGTCCATCCGTCCTTTTGAGCAACTGTGATGTCTGCTCCCTTGTCGAGAAGCAACCTAACAACCTCGAGATGGCCGTTAGTTGATGCTGAGTTAAGGGGCGTCCATCCGTCCTTTTGAGCAACTGTGATGTCTGCTCCCTTGTCGAGAAGCAACCTAACTACCTCAAGATGGCCGTTAGTTGATGCTGAGTTAAGGGGCGTCCATCCGTCCTTTTGAGCAACTGTGATGTCTGCTCCCTTGTCGAGAAGCAACCTAACAACCTCAAGATGGCCGTTAGTTGATGCTGAGTTTAGGGGCGTCCATCCTTTCTTATCAGCGACTGTGATGTCTGCTCCCTTGTCGAGAAGCAACCTGACTACCTCAAGATGGCCGTTAGTTGATGCTGAGTTAAGGGGCGTCCATCCGTCCTTTTGAGCAACTGTGATGTCTGCTCCCTTGTCGAGAAGTAATCTAACTACCTCAAGATGGCCGCTGTCTGATGCTGAGTTTAGGGGCGTCCATCCGCCCTTATTAGCAACTGTGATGTCTGCTCCCTTGTCGAGAAGCAACCTAACAACCTCAAGATGGCCGTCAGATGATGCTAAATTAAGGGGCGTCCATCCATCTTTATCAGAAATGGTAGTATTAGCTCCTTTGCCAACGAGCAGCTTAACCATCTCACTATGGCCATTTTGCGATGATGCATGCATTGGCGTTTGTCCAGTTTCATTTGTGACAGTGGCGTCGGCCCCTCTCTCGAGAAGTAGCCTGGCAACCTCGACATGGCCATTCTCTGATGCTAGATGAATCGGCGTACAGCCATCATCATCTGCAATGGTGACACTGGCCCCTCTCTCGAGAAGTAGCCTGGCCACCTCGATCTGTCCATAGTAAGATGCCACATGCATTGGAGTTCCTCCGCCTTTGTTTGCGACGTTTACATCGGCCCCTTTCTCGAGTAGTAGCTTGGCCACTTCGATATTGCCACCCTGCGATCCCGCGTGTATTGGAGTGTCTCCATGTTTGTTTGCGACGTTGAAATCGGCCCCTTTCTCGAGAAGCAGCTTAACCAGCTCAATATGTCCATGGTAAGATGCCACCTGCACTGGAGTTCCTCCGCCTTTGTTTGCGACGTTTACATCGGCCCCTTTCTCGAGTAGTAGCTTGGCCACTTCGATATTGCCACCCTGCGATGCCGCGTGTATTGGAGTCCATCCATCTTTGTCTGCGATAGTCGTTTGGGCTCCTTCTTCGAGGAGCACAGCCGCAATGTCTGAAGCGCCATTGGAACAAGCTTCAAAAAGTGCCGAGCTTCCAAAGCTGGCAGTCTCATTCACATTACAGCCTTGCTCCCTGACAAGGTCAATGACCAGATTTACTAGTTGAAGACTCACAGCGTAGTATAAAGGGCCAGGTTGCTCTATCTCTGCCAACACAGGTTCTTCTTCCACATGTTCTGATTCCACCATCGTCCTCCATGCAACCCAATTTGGGTTGCTTCTGCTAAAGAATCGGACAACAAGCCTAGAAGTTTCTATATCGTCACTGTAACCAGACTTCATGTGGTGATGCCAAGAAGTGGCGGCGTAATTGCGGAAAGACACACCGTTGGGAACTGGCGATTCGAGAGTGTTGTCGTTCCAGACTCGGGAGAAGCTGATGTAGTGAAGACAAGCCTTGGCAAGCAATGTGTTTTGTAATTTCTCGTGGGATGCTTGCAGGTGCTCGTTCTGCTGAAGCCAACTCGGCGGTGGGAGGTTGGATAGAAGGTATTCACGGACAGTGAAATGTACCAGATACACCGTCTGTTGGCTTATGGAAGAGTCTGATGATTCACTTCGAATCTCTAAGAGAGGGCTGCAAAGACCAACGATTTCACTTTCGACATAATCCTCGTCCACAGCGTCAGGGAGATCGTCCAGTGGCAAGTCTTCGACATCGTCAATAAGCGCGGCTTCGGTAATTTCGCAAACCTTGAGTGGCCGAATTGCGAAAGCCGCCCAGCGCAGGAGAGCACACGCGCGCAATCTCTTCTGCTCTCCGTACTGAGTAATGTTAGTCCAAGTCTGATCGTAGAGACGATCAAGTCCGGTAGGGCTCTCTTTGATGGCCTGTTGGAGTTGTTTCTTGTTCATGCCTTTTCTCAGAGATTCCTCGTGCAGCTTAAGCCAGAGAAATTGCCCGTCGCACCGCTCGGTCATTGCTTCAGACAGTAACGACCGGACATCATCGCCTTTTTTTGGCAGCTTCCTGTCGACAATGTCCCTGGAAAGGGCAGCGGTGTCCTGACGTACATCACTGGGTGATATCCTGTGCTCTGCGAAGCCCTTAAGCGCAGTGTCTGTCAGGGCTTGACGGATCATGGGCTCGTTGCGGCTTACTAGGAGGACTCTGGTGCTCGTTCCAGCGATAGTGTCCGTAACAGAGCGAAGGAACGCCGTGACCGAGTCGCTTAAAGTATCCCGAGAAGTACATTCGTCCAATCCATCAATCACACAGATACACCCAGGAATAATTTGGAGCAGCCTCGCGAAAATCGTCATGGACGTTGCGCGTGTCGCGACTGAGTCCACATCTGCCTCCCACCTCTCACGGATGTATTCGAACGCGTCCGTGTTGTAAGACATAAGCTGAGAGATCCATGATCGTATGGCCAAGAAAGGGTCGTCGCGGGTCTCTTGGTCGGACGAAAAGAAGAAGTGAGCTACGGGTGTTTGGAAGGTAGAGGAAAGGTGCTCGACAATGCGGGCACAGAGTACCGTTTTCCCAAATCCTGGTGGTCCGTTGATCCATAGCAGTTTTGCATTCGTGCACCCTGAGGCAGCCCATTGTATAAATGCTGGTTGGGAAAAGATCCAGTCACAGGTGCCCGTTAGTCTTCTCTGAAGGGAATTATGGTAGAGTTCGTTCGGGAGGCGGTGGCCTAGCCACGAGTGGATTCCCTGTCGTGTTTCGGCTTCATGATGTTAGCTCCAGACTGAGAAGTACTAGGTTGGCCCTTGCCTCGAATCTCCCCTCGAACTCGCGCCAGGACTTGCTGCCACTCGGAAGACCAACCATGGTCTGAGGATGATCCTTGTCATGGTTAGTGGAAGAGTTTCGACCATGCTCGGAATACCTACCTAACACATTCATGAACGCGTCCGTCGACGCTGTGTCTTGTTTGTGTACTAGTCGCGTATCTTGTGCGGCGACTGGTGGCACAAGGTTATGCAATTCCTGCACTAGCCTTCCGAACAAGTCGACCTGCTCTATACGTTCTGCTCTGCCTCGAAGTGACCAATCCAGCTTCCAGCGTCTCGACTCAGGCGGCGCGCCATGACAGGTCCGCAACTGGTGCGAGCCCGACAAGTCGTCGCCTCGGGCGACGACTTGTTTTGGGCGCCGTAGCATCGCATCGCCGTCATCGCAGATAAATTTGATGATATCCCGTAAGAGGGCACTTACGGCTGCAGATATGGCTCTATTATCCAGCGCCTGATGATGGTTGTCCGACAGTCTCCCATGTTCAATCCCAACAGCGCGACCCCATTGCTCGAAGCGAGCCTTGACAGCGTTGAATAAGGTGTCTTGCACGCGTGCATCAGCCCGGGATGATCGATACGATTGCACCTTATCGATAGCCTCTAGGCAAGAGCTAAAAAGACCGGCGAGGCCAATGATACCGGCGGCCAAGCCAACAGGCTCCATGGTAGTGTATTGTCGGTATGACGAGTTGCGTCGATTAAGGGTTGTGATTCTTGTCATAAGCAGCACACGGCCCATGTTTAGGTTTAAAGGTGGTTGTTGAAGACACTCCTAAAAACCTGGGCCCGGCGGGCTGGTGCAAGGCGACTTCGAGGGTTGGTGGAAGAACCCCGCGCTGCGCAGCCACGTGCACGTCGTGGCTGCCTCACTCAGCATAAAACAACAGGCCATAGAGAGTACCATCACTTTCGTGGAGAAGGATTGGTTCGCGGACCTTCGTGCAGCACCTCTAATGCTCAGCAATACGACAAATCGAACCGAGTGGAGCATCTTCTCATCAACTGCCAATCGACGCCATTTCGGCCAAGGGTGATGGAGAGACCTGGGAGGAAGGAATTCCATTCTCAGGCAAAATCAGGCTGCAGCAGCAGCTGTCGCTGACCCGAGGTCTGGTGAGTATGGCCTTATCATCACCGAACCAAGCCAGTAAGAGCGAGGATACCAAGCACCACTAGCCATGTGCAAGAATATGATTGGTAGCCTGCTACGGCGGGTTGCCGCTCCTAGCTACCCTGTGTTGCTTGTTCACCTCTTCAGACATTGTGCAGGCACCAGAAGCAATAGAAAGTGAGCTAATGCCAAGGTGTACGCTGATTGGTACTTTAGTAGGCTGTTGTGACACAATTGTGCCTCCTGTATAAGCGTTTAGTGTATAAGCACGATTAATGTCACAGTGTGTAGTCCGGATACGGCTGCTGCGGCTGCTGGGCGACGTCCGCGTTAGGCCTTAGGTGTGAATATTGTAGTGTAGAGGGTGAATACCTATCTAAACTGTTGAAGTAAGCAATGCAGCAGTCTAACCTGGTCGAAAGTGGGACAGTGTGGGTGATTGTTAAGTTTATACCTTCGACGGGTTTGTCAAGTTAAGTCAGTTAACAAGATATCCCTTGTTGTAATTATCAATTCTATGTGTCTTTGGACAATTCCCCTAATCTGCCGACTTGCCTTTTTGCTCGGTGATAAATTTATAAGTCATTATATTTTGCATGTTTGGCTAACGAAGTCCGTCCCAGGTACGCATTCGACATTCGCCCAGATTACCCTACTTTGATCAGGGTTAGGCTGCCACCTTGCCTAATTCTGTCATGCCCACGTAACAGATATAAATACGTACTGTGTATTAGTTATTTAGTACAGGATGTGCCGGATTGGCAATCTAAACAACAATTTGCACTGCTATACTTGTAGCTGTTGCAATCATGTGGCCAAGCAACAAGAGCCATGCGGTAAGCTTGCTCTGCTCCTTTTTATTCTCCTCAAGTTCCCCCAAAAGTTTCCTCTTTTCTTCTTCAGTGTCTCGTAACTCCTTCCGACGCTTGTCGTTCTGTTCCGATTCTGTCTTGTCCCCTAACTCTTCTAGTAGTGAATCATACTTGTTTGCGTTTGCTTCAATCGCTGCCTCCTTCCTCTCTGCGGCTAGCTTTGCCCTTTCCAACTCGTCCCTGAGCCGTGATATCTCCCGACGGTACTTTTCCCTGTTTTCATCATGCAATTGGGCGAGGCTCACTTGCATGGCCTTTTGCCCTTCTTCGATGAGGCGCTGCTGATTCTCGAGCTCTTTCCTTTGCTCGCGCAGGGCCGTCTGCCACTCGAAGTCCTGTTCGTCCATGGCAATCCTGTTTTCATCGCGTAAACTCTGCAGTTGCTTTTCAAACATGTCGCGAATCTTGTTCAGCTCGCGGTCCACCTCTTGACCTGCCGCAGTACGCTCCAAACGCTTCTTTTCATCGACGAGCTCGCGCTGAATCTGCAGCGTGGCAGGGCCGTGTGTTTGCCTCTCCGACATGAGCAGGTCGATGACCTCAAGTGCCGAACCGCGGTTATGCCACCGCCGGACAGGGCTCCCCCTCGCGGCCATTTCGGCCCAGAAGCCACCATCGCCAATCAACTCGTGCTCCCGCCGTTTCGCCACGCAAAATTCCTCCTTGGACCACATGCTCGTGGTCAGAACAACGTGCCTGTACGCGTTCTCGCCACAGAGCTCCTTGAACATGCGCAGGTTCCGGAGAGCCGAGCCCGTCATGCGGTTGTCGGATATGCGATGCAGGTAAATGATGCCCGCAAGCTTCTTGCCGTCCTTGTACATCTTGGACATGCGGGCGGCAATCTCACGCAGCACCTCCGTGTCGGCAGAAAAAGTGTCATCGAAACCCGGCGTGTCAAGGAGCTCGATCCGACCATAGATTTCATGATCGAAGTGGTAGGCGGCTGTAAGCTTCGTTTCTGTCCCACGATAGCTCCGAGTCAGAGTACGCACGCCAAACAACCAACACAAAAAAAAACAAGAGAAGAGACAAACAACATGGCCCTGCGCTACGTACCAGACTTCAGGGTATGGCCTATGATGACGTTGTTGCTGCTGGCAAGCTCGGATATGAAGGTGCTCTTCCCGGCCCCCGTCACGCCCATTACTGCAATGACGGGCCTAGTAGTGAGTTAAACAATGGTGAAATATATAATTTGTGAGTCACTGGGAGGGCAAGTATTACCAATCATCGCCTGGTCCCTCATAGACGATGGGAGTACCGATGCTTGCTAATTCTTGCGTTGAACGCATGTTGATGTTTGGTGTCAAATGTTGTCGCAGTGTTGTTGACTCTTCTGTCCTGCATGATGCATCCCTCCACGTATGATCTGGCGGGGCTTGCCCAGTAAATATATCAGCTTTAATCTCAATTGGTTTCCTACTTCTGACAGCCTGCCGACCTTGCACATGCAAGCTACAAGCGAGTCTCACCCAGGTCTCTTGGGTATCTCCATTGACAAACCGCTGTTGCCATCAGGCTACGTTTCCGTCTTTACCTGCCCTGCCTGCTTACAGCAGCCAAAATTAGGACCCACCACCCATCTCTTTGAACACAGTATCGTTACAAAAGTATGACAGCATCATCTGCTCAGCAATCCCTATTCCTCGAATTCACTCCCTAGGTGTACGCCACGGACTTTTCCCCCACCCCATCAAGGATGCCGGCCAGCATGAGATGCGGCACGGTAATTTCCATACGGAGATAGCTTACTGCAGAGTCACCCAGGATGTATCCGAGCCTTGCCTTGATATAGCTCACCTGAAGTGCCTCCTTTGACTGATCCTAGAGACAAGGCTTATCAATTGGAGGGTCGGTCGTGTCAGCTGCATCCCGGAGCCTTGTACAACCCTCCTGCACGCCTTTCTATGGGGTCGAAGCCAATGAGATAAGCCGGCACGGTTGCATGGTGCTTTATCCGAAGGACTTTGAAGGCTGATTTGGATTCCGGGCGCTAATTATACTTGATTTCATCATGGTTATGCGGGTTGTCCTCCCTTGTCAGCCCCATGTAACTAGGTACTAGACGGAACCAATATCTCGAGACACAATTTGCCGTCGTTACAAGGCTGGGCAAGAGTTAGCAACTCACATCAAGACGGCAGATGGAGCTGACAGATGATCTTACGGAAATGGTAATAGCAGCGTGGCTGGGTTGGATTCTATTGGCACACAGCCTGCGAAGAGGCCATCGGGGGCGGGTTCTTGGGATAGAGGCGCGGCCGAGACCCCGTTGGCCCCCCCAAATATCCGTTGTTGCCTTGTCTTTATTAGGTCCTTGAACGTAATTGAAAACTCCAAGACGTATCGGTCATGGTCAGCATTCTTCGAGCTGATGGTTTCTTAGATAGGCAGGTAGGTAAGCACAACAAGTACTCAAAACCTCAGTACTAGTGAGTACATCTAGAAAAGGTTTTGCCGGGACTGTAGTTTCACCGACCGCTGCCTGAGACGTACGTATTCGTCCTCACCTTAGCTATACGCTTGCTGAGTGGTCTACTATATACAGGCACGCCACACACTTGTACCCCTCGACATTTTCATAGCCTGAAAGTGACCATTGTTAGTGTTGCTTTGTTGTCCTTTTCCGCAAATAAGTTCTCGCCTCTCTCTCCCCCGGCCTGCAGCTAAGAAAATGCCCTCCACTACAATGAAATCAGTACCCAGCCGCTTCCCCTTCATCGAGGCATTCTCACAGGCTGTCTCTTCTCAGGAGAGATCCGGCCAGCGCGCAAGCACGCTCATACCCGCAAAGGTTCTGGTCAACCTCTCTGGCAATGTCCACCGCGACCTCAACTACGTCTCCCGGCTGCAGGAGGACGTAGATGAGACGCTCAAAAGCTGCTCCCAGTACCACACGACCTGGATTCAAGAGGTGCGCCGCGACGCATCCCAGGCCCTGCTCGACTTCAACTCATACCTCGAGCACAAGATGCCCGCCAGCAACAACGGCGGCGCGCCTCTCAAAATCACAAAAGTAATAAAGAACAACAAAAAGATGGCAAGTCTCGAGAGAGAGTTGAGTGCCGCGCATGCCGGCCTGGTGGGTATTATGGGCTTTTTGCAGATGCTAGGGCTGAAGAGCGGAAAGTTGTTGCTCGATCCCACTCAGGCCCTATAAGGATTGAAGACGAGTTTTTTTTTGGTAGTAGAATAAGATATTGAGTTTATATGTTTCATTGAAAATGAGAAGACGTAGGGGAAGCGACAATTTATTTTCCCTGGGGAGAGGTCATAACAGTTACCTTAATTCATAATCAGTGGATCAGATTGAATAAGTCTTGTCCGTTCTCTCTCTTTTCTCTCCATGTATATCACACAAAACCCTCTTTCCCCCTTTACTTTTCTTCTTCAATGGGTAACTTGGCACTCCACTTTTATGAGAAATTACAAGACAAAGAAGGATGTTTGTGCAAGTTGGAGGAAAACTATGAATGAAAAAAGGGGAATATCCTTTACTTATTATTGACATATGGGCACAAAACAGAGAGTAGATTACTACAGATGAGGCCCGATTAACAATGCGTGTTAAGTAATAACTCAGAAAGGCAAGTTGTGGACTTGTTTCGTAGACAGTAGCGACAAGAGAAGCATTAAGCACGAACGGGCTGGACAATGACAGTCTCGTGCTTCGGCTCTTTTGAACCCGGCTGTATCCTCCGCTGTATGATGCCGGGAAACACAACCAACGTTTTCTCGGATGACCGATCACGCAGCTCGCCACTGGGTTGCCAAAAGAATCTCGTGGGGTTGCTCTGCTCAAACATGTGCAATCCCAACAGGGTGCCCTTGGCGACGACGTCTACCAGCGGGTGGGCCTCGCTGGCTGCCTCGGGCTCGGAACGACGGAGAAGCAGCGGATCAAGAGCGTCGTGAATCGTCTTTGCTGTCTCCTGAATGGAAGGGAACAAGGTACTGGTCGCTAATGAGGCAGCGGTGGATGTCTGGCACGTCGTCGATACCAGGTTCATTGTCATGGCACGCCAGATATTCTGCATAAGGGGCACGTTGGCTAGATGAAGAGAAGATTAGCTTTTAGTGGGCATACTTGAGAAAAACGGGGGATAGCTTAAGGTCGAAATGCAGCAACACAAAACTTACGATTCTGCTTTCCCCCAGTCACAATCTCATGGTATGTTCGTAAGATGTCCTTGGGAAGCAGGCTTGTCTCGGCAGCGGTCTCGGGATCGACTCTATTGGCGATTATACGAGCGATCAACATACGCATCGCGTTATACCGGTTTGTTTTGTCGCGTAACAGACGGTGCCAGGGTGCGTCATGTCCAGCCAGTACGCTCAGCTGCTCGGCCGCAAGAAAGGGTTTACCGCGAGCCCTACTCAGGTCAATGATGAGATCCGCATGGTTTTCGAGGTAGTTTTTGATGCTGATGTTCCACTGCAAAGCTTCTTGCTCGAACTGGGTATGCGTAATAGGCGCTGGGAGCTTTTCCACCAAACGCGTCAAGCTGTTGGATGACGATGGCGCTAAAGGCATGACGCCGCCAACAGCTTGGTTTCGGCTGCTATTATGGCGTCGTGCGTATCGTTTGAAGCAGAATACTCCTAAGGCCAGAGCAAGAAGGGCGCCGGCAAAGAGACAACCAAACGCCAGACCGACCGCCGGGCCCGTTGTCAGTCCTGAATCGCCAGAAGAGGTGCAGTTGGAGCCTCCGGTAGGAGCACAGGATGGTGTTGTTGACGCAGATTCTGAAGTAGAAACCACCGTGGAGTTTGAAGCAATTGTCGACGTGGCAATTGATGATATAGAACTCCTTGTGGAAGTTGGTAGTGGAAAGGCACTCAATGTCAACAAGCCACCTGCCGCATTGAATTCCTGAACAAATGAATCATTGGCAAGGCCGCCAGTGGGTGGAATTGCAATCTTGTGGTTAGGATCGCTAGTTGATGCAGCATCGTTCAATTTAAAAAAAAGAATGCACGATGGCATTATCGTTGCCGTCGGTGTGGAAGTTGTCGGTGCATCGGCTCTTAATTCCAGGTGGCCACCTGTTGCGCCCCAGCTCGTAACAAATGGAGTGGCAGGGTCTGATATTGTGCGGGTAGTATTAATCGATTTATCATACAATGTAAAAGAAATAATGCAGGATAGAGCTGCCATCGTCGTCGTCGTCGTCGTCATTGTCGACACCTTGGCCGATCTGGGCTCGGAGATTGTTGCAGAGATAGGATTTCAACGATGAAAGCAAGATGTGTGCCAAAGGAACAACCAAGCCGGGACACCAGAAGAGCGCGAGACTCGGGGGATCCAAGACTCCCCTTTCATCAGCAAGGCAAAGCCATGATGATCAGGCTGGCCATTCACCATCCTTACATGTTTGCAAAAGAAAAAAAAGCCAAAAAACTATGTTTCTAGGGTACATGCATATCCATGCCAAGCAGCTGACATGGGCTAGATGGGGAGCCTGCATCTTGTCCCTACCTCTATGTATGGAGTATCAATATTCCTACCTCTTCTCTGTTCCTCTGTCACTGATACCATCTCCTGGTAGTAGCATCACCAACTTGAGTAACATTTTCGCCCCCTCCCAACTCCCCTCACTCATTTGCTATAGTCAATCCTCTGCTCGATAACGGTATGGCTCGAAGCTACCTCATGACATTGTCAGTAAGCCCGATTGACCTGACGAGCAGTCGAGTACCCACATGTACTTCCGTTGCACCCACTGATTCTCAGTATGATGCCCCTGTCATGTTACCATTCCCATTCTGCCGCAAGTGCCCATGCACCTGAGTTCATACAAGATACGAGACTTTACTGACCTCTAGGTATTGTTAAATAATCTTTGTGCCTAAATCCTTTGCAAGGAGAGCTCTGATTACGCGCGCACCTCTACCAGTTCACTAAGCAGACATTCTAGCCTTCAAAGGCGGATAGCTGTCTGTTCATGCGCTGCCTCTGATATTACCAGCTTCCTTTTGAATCCCTCACAGGTGTAGGAGAGCCGCAGATCCAAACCACACCATGGAAATCATGGAACGATTCCATTGGCCGCGGCGTTTACACGAGGACCGTGCTCCCGATGTCATTGTTGGCATAGATGTCGGAATGTGCTGTGCGTAATACTAAACCCCCTCCTCATCATCACAACAAGCCAGAGCTAATTCATAGTGTTGTCGTTTCACATCAACAGTCACCAAGGTTGCCTACACGATTAGACAGGATGACAGTTTTGGTGTCATCAAAGCGATTCAAAACTGGCCGAAAATGGGCGGTGAAGAGGATGAGGCAAACTATGTGCCCACCTTGTTGGGTTACGAAAAGGGCCACGACATCATGCAAGATGCCCCTCAATTTGTTGGATTTCCCCGCAAGGAGGACAAAAAAAACCCAGACTTGAAGTTCTACGAGTGGTTCAAGAAGGACTTCCCCGCCAACCTCTCATCCAAGGACCGTGACCCTCCACCGTTTTGGCCAAGGATTTCTGATGATACCGAGACCCATGTTCTCTACCGAACCTTCCTTGCCGAACTGTACGCGTCCATAGAGTCAGTCCTATCCCCAATGCTGCAGAGGATTGGGATGGACTGGAACCATGCGCAAATCGAGTTTATATTCAGCGTGCCGGCTACCTGGAATCGACCCAATGAAACCTTGGGCATGGTTGCCGACAGTCTAATGATGGTTGCCAAAGAAGCCAGATTCGAAGGTGAGAAGCGCGTGGTCAAGATTGGAATGACAGAGCCTGAGGCTGCTGCGGCGTTTGCTCTCGCCACGCATGAAGATTTAGTACAGGTTAGTCGTCCCAAAATCAGAACATTACAAGTAATGAGCCAACATTAGGGGAACGTGCAGAGCGGAAAGACTATCTTGATAGTTGACGCCGGCGGTGGCACCACGGTCAGTAGCTAATCCTTTTTTTCCGGAAATTCTTCCTGATTGTTGGAATCTCTTCTGACAGACACCATCATTTAGGATCTCTGCCTGCTCAAGATGGAACAGTCCCAAGGCAAGCAGTTTGAGATGGACCCATTGAGTGCCCCTATGGGAGAAGACTTGGGCGCCACCCATATCGATCGCGGCTTCGAGGATCTGGCCGTGAAAAAGCTGACATGTCTTCACGACGAAGCGAAGATACAGAAAGTGTGGAATTTCAAAGAGATGGCTCGAAAGATGCGAGATTCGCCTGAATTCGAAAACTTCAAGGGGCTGTTGAATCTGGACAAAGCCAGAAGCGACCAATTCTTCACGGTGCCACTACCGCAATCTTGTGCCAACGACATGCCTCAGCACACACAAGTCTATGGGGTAGTCAATGCGTCGATGAAATTCAAGTGGTCAGTGATGCTACTGGACATCCTCCACTCTTTTTCTTCTTTTTCCCAGTCCAAGAACTAACCAAGAGCGATCTTCACAGGAGCGAGCTAGCCACAATCTTCGACACGGTCATCCAAGACCGACAAGTCGTCCGGAAAGGTCGGCCTGAAACGTTGCCGGGTTTGAATAAGCTGATCCAGCGAGCGCGAGACGAGTTGCGGTATCGCGGCAATAATCATGGTGGCTCCAGGTCACCGAACAATGACCCAGACGACGTTTCGGTTATCCTGATGTCTGGAGGTCTCGGCCGATCCGAGTACATCACGCAGAGAATCACCGAATATCTTTCTTACCAAGAGGACACCTTAGGCCCAGTGCCAGAAGTGCGCATCATTGGGGAACCGCAGTTGTGTGTATGCAAAGGCCTGCTGAAGAACAGGCTCTACACTATCTTTCGGACGCAGAGGTGCAACGGCAACTACGGCATATTAGAATACAAACCGTACAAAAAGTTTTACCCGACGCATTTTATAGCCAACCAAGCCAACCATGTGAAGAAAATTGGAGGCAGTCGATACAAGGAAGAAGTCAAGTGGTTAATCCAAAAGGTAAGTAAATGTTTGGTGCGGTGCATTTCTCGCCCCTCTTTGATCTCTCTCTTTTGCTCACACATACTCACTGGAGCTTCAGGGTGACAAAATTGGCGAGGAGCCTGTCAGGTATACCTGTTTCTTGGAACAGTTCCGCGAAAATAACGAAAAGCCGCACGTTACACTCATAGTCTCGGAAGACTCAAGAGGCCAGCGGTTTCCCAGTCATGGCAAGACACGTCCATATCCAAATCCCGGAGGGTGCGAAGCTGGGAGTAATTCATTGCTAACCAGCGTGTCATTCTAACCAGACGACTTTCTCTGCAAAATCGAGTTTCACAAACCACTAGATTACAATCCAAGAGTGAAGAAACTTTACTGTGAGGTAGAGCTGATATTCAATGTCGCATCTCTTAGGGTGAACTGCTGTCAGTCATTTCTTGCCTAGATATATTGCGTATGTTTTTGCCATTGACTAACCAAGACATCTAGGGTCACCAAGTGAGCCGGGTCAGCGGACACTTGTTGGGAAATACAACGGAGATTACGGTCACTTCAAAACGCGAGAGTCCAGATGATGGTCACTTTGCGGATCAGGTATGGGCAAATTTCGAGTTCATGACGCAATGGACGTTTGCGGTGGTGTACTGATAGCCTCTTCCGCGCTGGTGGGGGACTGTTGCTATTACTGGTAGGTGAATAACATTATGACCTGTTCTCTTGACTACATCGACCGCAAAGCCCAATGTCCGATAGTCCATCGATACGTAGGGCGAGAAACCTGGCATGGCGACTCTGAGAGTTTCTCCGATTTAAAGTGCCGTCAAGATAAGGAAACAATAGGGTGTAAGATTAGAGAGTGATCTGACATTCTTTAAGATCCCCCCCCCCCCCAAAAAAAAACGAACCCCTGTCATCCAGATGCATTGGCCGTTTGGTGATGAACCGATCAGGCTAGTAATGAAACCAGCAAAAGAAAATATAAGCGAAAACACTCACTTGATATGACATGGAGGAGGCTGGCTTGGAGCGTGGTAGTCTTGGCTCTCATTACCCCTGTGCAGGCGGCTCCATGAGGTCTTGCTTAGTTACTTGATTGGTTTTTCTATCAGCATGCGGTACTATTTACGGTGTACTGCGCGTATCTTAAGCATTCAATCATTGGAGGATCCGGCCTTCTCGATATAGTTGTCACGGAGCAGATGCAGCGGACATGAATCCTGAGATGGACATATCCATGTACCTCCCTACTTCTATTTTTAATCCATAGACTCCCTGGCCTCTGGCTCACCGGATGGAGATTAGCTCCGTCAGGCATACTGGTGCTCACCCTCCATTTCATGGTCTCGGTACTCAATTGGAGCCCCGTGACTCAGTCAACACCAAAATAAATTGTCCGTATGCCGACTACGATTGGCCAGCCTGATTCCAGCAACCTTCCTAGCCCCTAGATACGGAGTAAGAGCTAAGTCTGCCGGAGAGCCTGCTGGCGACTATTCCTCAATCACCTTGTCACCGAGCTGTACATTGCTACATGCCCGCCGTCGTGACAGAATCTTAGGGGGTAGTTTGACCGGACATCAGCGCAGAGGTATGTGGTGTTCAACATATTTACATCACACCTATGTACAGTTCGCAATGAGGTTGGTCGGTGTTACTATGTAACACTAGAGTCCCGCCACACTTTTCTTAGTACGCGATTATGCTGTAATTCTCTGCAATCTAAGCCTAGACGCCAAGGAAATCTTTGTTTCTGTCTTACCTGGCAAGTAATCTTGTTTGGTACCCTTTGTGCAGACTCTCAGTAGTGCAGGTGCTCTTTGCTATGTCTAAGGATCCCCCGGCGTCAAACACACACACACATACACACACACACGACTCCCTTTCCTCGACAAACCAGCGATAGTAGACTTGGGTAGTAAACCATTATCCTGGGTTTACATTGTCGCCATTTTATTGCAAAGACCCTTTTGCCTTTCTTTCATTGCTTGTGCACCTGTTCAAAGTGACCATGGAAGAGGTCAGTTCGAGAATAGAGGACGACAACCTTTCGCAATCGAGTCCGCCCACCGAAACGGATCTATCGTCAGTTCGCAATGGCCATGAGCCTAGAGAAACAGACATATTTTTGGCCGTGTTCGGAGTGACTGGGGTCGGGAAGAGCTCTTTCATTTCCCACCTCACTACTGACAAGAGCAAGCCCGAGGTCGGACATAAACTGGATTCATGTGAGTCCAAGCAGTCAATACAGTTCTACCATCATTCTACCTGTAATCACAAAAAGTCTGATGTGTTGTAATCCCATATCAAGGTACACAGGATGTGAAAGTCTACCAGTACGCCTATTCTGCCACTTGCAACATCTATCTCATCGATACTCCTGGTTTCGACGACACATACAGGACAGACAAGAGTGTCCTACGGTCCTTGGTGGCTTGGCTTTCTTTAACTTACAAGAACAACATCCGTCTTCACGGTATTCTTTACTTGCATCGCATCACCGATGTGCGAATGCAAGGCTCCGCCAAAAGCAGTGTGACTCTATTTCGCCAGCTGTGCGGAGCTGACAACCTCAATCGCGTTGTTCTTGTGACCACCATGTGGGACAAACTCGACGACGTCAAGGTCGGCGTGTCAAGGGAAAAGGAACTTGTCGAAAACAAAGAGTTTTGGGGCTGCATGGTGGAGAGAGGAAGCCAAGTTCAGCGACACTATGACACTGTTGAGTCTGCCCGAAAACTGATCGACATCTTCCTTTCGCATGACCATGAACAGTCAGATGGACCTCCACCGCAAATTGAGCTGGCAATCCAACGCGAGATGGTGGATCAACACAAGGTTCTCGAAAGCACCTCGGCCGGACGAGAAGTGTGCAACAAACTGAACGAAGAGGAAGCAGAAATCGAGACCTGCATTGCGGAATACCATGCGGAAATGCACCAAATACGGGAAGAAAGAGGCCTCAACATGCTTCAAGAGCTTGAAGATCTCGAGAAGCAGATCAGTGTTGCCAAGAGGAAGAGTGAAAGAATTTTACATCACAGGCAGGCCGAGATGAAAAAGTCAATGGAGACACTGATAAGGGATAATTTCGACCAAGATGACCTGGAGCCGGTGGAGGAGAAGAAGAAGAGGCTCGATGAGGAATACGTTGCAGGGGATCCCGATACACAATCTTACTACGCTGGGGGCCCGACATCCACAAGCACAAGCACACGCAATAGTCAAAGCAGCAATCGGTCCAGCCTCCCTAGTCTTGATCGAGTCGTTTCTCCAGACGCCTCACAAGTAATGGGACAACGGTGGTCTAAACGGGACCAGAAGGATATTAGCGTCAGCATGAGTCTACGGGGCAAGTATTGCTCCCTCATTGGCCCTGCGTACAGCAAGTCGTGAGTTCCCACCATGTTGCATCACTTTGTACTACCCGTATCTTCTTCTTCCTTCCTTCCTTTCTTCCTTTCTTTCTTCATGTTATTTCATTTGAGCATTCTTACCTTGTTTTCAAAACTTCAGTGGACAAGAAGCAGCTGACAATATGACCAAAGATATCTTCCACCATCCACAAGAAATAGTGTGGTGAGGTTGCAAGAATCGAAGAGCATTCAAATGATGAATATCGTCCTTGGAGAAAAGTCATCATACTACACCCATTACCACCAAGGAAGGGTATTCAGAAAATGCTTCTGTGAGTACTCTTTAGATACCATCTTGTTGTGCCCCTCCCGGAGAACGGATCTTGGGAGCATTCCATCTCTAAGCTAACGCAACTTCGGTAACAGACCACGGATCGCTACGAAACACGTATCCTGAACTCTACAGCTTCATCGGCAGGGATAGCAACACCAGCTGCCCTACTGGAATCTCCTTAGGTCCTCAGGGAAGTTACTTCATCAACGTGGCCGGCAGAAAGTCCATGCATTGCCACCCCAACGCAATCCTACCTGAAAACCGTTCTACTCAAGACATTAGACGACTATGGTGGGGTGTTGACGGATCATACATCCTGGAGTGGGAAGACGACCAGCTCCACTGGCAGTTATGCGGAAATTACGGCGGTCTCGAGAGCGTATTATTGGAAAGAGAGCATTGTAGGATCAAGGTCAGTACTTGCCTCGCATCGGTATAACACCCACATATGTCGTGACTATAGGCTGACAAATAACGATGGGGTATGGAAATTAATAGGAATTGGCTCTGGACATTGAAAACCCTAACGCTTTTGCGCTCATTACGACGGAGGGGTTGATTGTTAATGAGGGCTCGGCCAACGTGGTTTACAGTTCTTTTGGGGAGTTTGCAACGCAGCATTTCGGATCTAGAATGATAAATGGGGGCAACTATCAAGTCAACAGCCAGACTACACCATATGTCTACGAGTTGCCTTAAGTGAGTTATGTTTATAGAGACGTCACCTGTTCTCAATAGCACATGTATGGGAAAGTTTAACTGCGTGGCCAGCGGCAAGGTGAAATGGGATATACCCCTCGTTGTGGCTGAGTAGCTGACCCTGCCTTGCCAAGGTAGGCAGGCCGATGGTAGGCGAGGAAGCTCGAAGCTGCGTTGACCGTGTTCATGGTCAGTTTCTTGAAAGTACCTTAGAGGCGAGATTCTCGGCGGATCTTTGCCTGTGGTGAACCGAAAGAAATGTTCTTCCTTGCGGGAAGGAGCTCCCCAGAAGAGGACCTACGTTCCCGTCCCTAGTAATAAGATCTGGTGCCTGAGCAGTACCTACCTACCTTGGTAGCCACGGCCGACTGCAGCAAGACCAGCGGCTACCCCAACTGGAACGCCTGGGTGGGCAGTGCCGTTTCTCCCCACGCCGTGTCTGCTAAGCCGAACTCCAGGGAGGACCAGGTGTGCGTGGAAGGCACCGGGCCGCTTCCTGGGTTCGCGAGACTCTGTGAGTTCACCTGTGGCTATGGATACTGCACGCCGGGAGCCTGTCACTGCACTAAGCTCGGCGACCAGGTTGACAGACCAACGTGGGAGGGCATCGATGCTTTCCCTGCGGCCGGGAAGACCAGCGACTACCAGGGTCTCTGTCAGAACGCATGCAACTGGGGCTACTGCCCTTCTGTGTACTGCGATACTACACAGCATCCAACCGTCGTCGCCACCTTCTCCCCGTTCCTGCCCGGAACCTGCACTCGAGGCGAGGCTATGAGCACGTCTCCTTACTTTGACGACCTCTGCGCCTTCTCGTGCGCTCACGGGTTCTGTCCCATCGCTGTGTGCTACTGCTCTGCCCAAGGCGCCTTGGACCTGCTGGAACCCACAAGCGCCAGCGGTGCGAGAACCGTCGATGGAGCGCCCGAAGACCATGGTCTCTGCGCCTTCGCCTGTGCCCGTGGACACTGTCCTTGATTGTGCGCCTCTGGCGACAGCCACCCGGGTTTCTAATACACAGTGTCAAAGCTACGCGCTTAATGCCACCCTTCCTGTCATGAGCTCTTGAACTTCCTGTACCTTCGGTATTCCAGCATCATGGGCAAAGGATTCTGGTCTCTGTGCCTCGGCACGCTGTCTTTTTGCCAGAGACCAGTTGACTGAGATACAGGCCGGCAGATGTATGTCTCTGTGCGTTGGTCTAGCCGACCTGTGGCGAGCGAGAACAGGCTTCTTCAGGTCTGATCATCTCGTCTCAAAGTAGGGCGCAGGGCAAGAAGAAAGAGGGCGTGGGGGGCCGTATGAAGACATCGGGCGGATGACGCCGGGAATCAAGTCGTGACGTTCCGGTGCCTCTGCAGCCGCGTCGTGAGAACGGATGTAGCCAGAGCCCCATGGCCAAGTACGTGAATGCGGAGATCGTTTCTAGCATTATCAAAGGAAATTGACGCCGCGCCTTTATAAGACATTGTAGTCAACAAGCTCGCTGCAATCACTCAATGTGTCCTTTTGGGAAGATAATATATTGATTTTTATACCTCCTTAGTTTGTGATATACATCTACGCTAGCGTGGTCTCATGCTTTCAGAGTGTTTTCAGACTAAGCAGCTCACATCAAACAAACCCCTCCGTTTCTAATAGGAATAACATGCCTACAATGACTAATTCTAAGCACAGAGTAGGAAGGCATCGCTTTAACAACATTTAGTTCCTAGGGCGTCACAGCCATTCTCACAGATCTTTATTTTATTCATAGATTAGCAAACACTACCAGTACATAATTTGAGAAGATTTTCAATGTACTTACTCTGCAAAAGTTGGTAGACTCAGGTGGCTGGGTGATACCAGCGCAAATTGCCCGCTTCTCCAATTGCTCTGAGGCGGGAGCAGCCGCTGCGAATTGCACAAGGCATGCGGTAGAGAGAATAAGGATGTTCTTGAAAGAGACCATTCTGGAGGGGAGGACTTTTTGAAGTTGCGTTTTGGCTGTTATTGTAGTGATGGAAGGGTGTGAGAGGGTAGACAGAGGGATCAGCTATCCGAGATGGAAGTCTTCGTTGGTATATATAGGCAACACTATAGCATAGAGAATATAACATGCGTCTAGAGTCTAGTTGTCTTCAACTATGCTCCATATCTTCGTGAAACTACCATGACTAAATGGTGAAACTGTTGATATATTCGCTGCTACGTAACGGTAAACTTTAATCCCGAATCACCATGTCCATCTATAGACCAAGGGTATAAACTTTAATACCAAACCGGCGGTCTTTTCTTAAGGGGGCGTGCTAGTCGACCCAAACTCCGAACATTGTCTCATATGCACTGCATATTGATTACCCAGTACTAGTGCTCGAATCCTTGGTCAGAATATGGTTTTCGACTAACGAAGCGTGCTCAGAGAAGAGCTCGCCACACCGCCGCCCTTATAAATGCTACTATTGTGCAAAGGCGTAGGCCCACGCCGCTCATTCCTCCGCTCGGCTACTATACTATTTGTCAGATGGCGATCCTGTGTGCCCTTCTTGTGTTGACAGCATCTAGGCACCGCAAGTACCCTCTTCAGATACTTTTCCCAAAGCACGGGGAAAAGGGTTTTCAAAGCTGTCGTCAACCCTGAAAAAAAATTTGAGGATGTCATGGAACGAATTAAATTTAAGCAGATGGAAGTCGAAAGAACGGCGCAAATTACTAGCATGGAAATCTAAACTCGTACCTCTACGCGTGTGCAAGATCTAATCTCTATGCTCAGCAGCTTGGCGGTCCAGTTGGAGATGGCGAACTCTAAACTAGCAAGTTTGAGTGGCCATTCCGAGGCAGTCATGATTCAACGTAGGGAGACCTTGAGCGAAGCAATCATCTCTACAATGGGACCAAAACAGCGTGCGATTAGACAGCCAGAGCGCTTTGACAATCTCAAAGTCAAGGATAAAATTGCTCAATACGACTGACTGTCATCCGTTCGTTACAAACTTTATCATCTTACTGAGTCTCGAGGCCGGATGATTGACTCAAGAAAGTGACTTTTTTAGCGGCCCGAGTTATCCGGTACTTTTTGGCTACACGGACCACCAGGCTGCGGCAAAACCAAACTCGCGTGAGTCTCCAAGTTGTTTTGAAATTGGAGCCACTACTAGTGAAACTGTCGTATGCGTGGTTGGCCGCCTGATGCGTACAGTGACATTACGACGACAGGTCGGCCGTCATTGACTTTGACCGAGCACGGGCGAAAGCGCGGGCTCATCACCCCGTGTTCACCATCGCGTCGTACGGCCACTCCGGCAGCCCACCGGCAACGACGGCATCGACGACAACAAGTGCTGGCCCAGCGGCATCGTCGCCGCCGGCTCGGGCTTCTCCCCGCTAACGTACGATGCCAACTACGACACACACCTCATGCCGTACAGGTACGATCAGGCGTACGTGCAGGGCGCCAACGGGTCGTGAGCGTGCGACACTGTCTCTCGTTTTTCCTTTCCTGGGTGGAAATGCTTAGGGTTAGGCATCCGATACAACCTGAAAGCTATTAACTTAACAAGGATTGATATTTCTAGTTGCACGAGGACCAAGCGCGCGAGGCGCTGGCTCCATGCTTTTGGGGTTCGAGTTCGTTGGCACGTCCACTGATATAGCACGTCGATAATTACGTTTTGGTGCTGACCAAGACACGGGCGTGTCGCCAGTGACACTACTTACTCCCTCTCCTCCAGCCTCCTTTGCCTCTCAGCCAAGAGGGTGGTTTTCCGCACTCTGGGTTTGCACCGTGAAATTCACATAAGGTGTGGTCGCAGCCTATGAGATTGCTGACAGGCTGCCAGTTGTCTTCGTGGTTGCTTCTCCATTGGAGGTGGTAGTGCCATCGGCCGTTTTCCTCTTTTGCGTAATCCAGCATCTTTTCGAAATGCCATTCTTCTTGTTCCCGGTCGTCTGTGTTGTTGGTTCTTACCAGTTCTTTTCTTTCATTGGCCAGAATATCTTGTCTCATGCGTTCTCAGCTGTGGATCCCCGCGTTGCGTGGCCTGGCTGACGTGGAATGTATTGTTGAATTTCACGCTCTTAAGCAACAGGAAGGTAATGCATAGCTACTTGCTTTCATCACTTTACATGGGCCTTCCTATTTTAGTTCAAGTTTCTTTATTAGACAACCGGTCTTAATATTGATTATATCTACTAACAGTCTACCCCTTATTTGATACTTTAGTGGATTGTCCTGGCAGTAGTTTTTGTTTTGTTTGTATGAGTCCTTAGATAGTTTTAACTTAGCCTTTCACTAATTAATACTAGACTTAAACCAACTTACAATTGGACTGCCCGTCTGGATGCAACCCCAAGCACCGCCCCTTGGACATGGCACGCCAAGACGACGACGAAGCCTCCTGGGACCTCTTGTACACCTTGCTCGGCTACTCGCGCAAGCTGCAAGCCGTGCCTGTGTCTGAGAATCTCTGGGGTTGTCTCGACCTCGTCGCCGTTTACAACGTCAGCAACGACATCATCCAGATGGTGTACGACAACAAACTCTGCGCGAACGATGGTGGCGTCTCCTACGTCCACCATACAGGCAATATAGTCATGCCCATCGACAAGATGAAGGAGTTCTTTGAGGAGTGCGGCTATACGCACCTCTTCGAGAAGCTGCCTATTTAGGAGTGGGCGCGCCGCGCCGAGCTTGTGAGTATGCGTCCCGCGGTGGCGGCTGTCTTTGATACCGTGCCCTGCCTATCGCGCGCTCTTTGCTTCCCGCGCTTCGTCAATACCTAACGGCCATCTGAGGGGCAGGACGGGTGTATGTTGCTTATAAGAATTGTAGCTGTGGCGGTCTTGTGTCGCCTGTCTGGGGTAAGGGATGTAAGAGCTGTGGGAGGAGCCCTTGCGTATGGTTCTCGCCTACCAGAGTTAGAGCAATCAGCCTAAATGTGGCGGCTGACATGATGCAGCGCCGTGATACTTCCCCCGCCTTTAACTCGGCTGTTTGCAGCAGGCAGGCATACCAGAGCGCCCGCCGCGTATCTAGTCCATCTTAAGTCTCGATGAGTCGTATTCCAGCATCAATCATTGTTTTAATTATTGTAAACCGTTGAATAGTTGAGTAGCGTGGAGAACTCTATGTATGTACAAGACTTAATTTAGTGTAGGGAATGGCATTAACGATATCATAAAACAGGAAGCAACACGACGATCGACAGCAGATAGGTGTGTTATAGTTGGATCTTTAGGCTTTGGGGAGCTACATATATATATCAGTGTACAAAAGGAAAATATGCAAATCGCTAGTTCATAATTTAAGATGGTATCTATCAACGTAATAACCTAACTCCGACGAAATCGAGAAGCCTGCCACAAGCTGATTGTCAATGCTACTCAATCTTACCTGAATAGCACTTATGTCCGTCATCATGGATTATCCAGATACCGCCAAAGAAAGTTGTGTCATCATTAAACAGTAGCATATCCGCAGCTAGGACGAAAATCTTCAAGGTGTTTACCCTAGACTTTCCGTCCGTCTAAATAAGGCTAACTACTGTTAAGCTTCATCGCCTTTAATCGCCTTGTCACTCGCTGCTCCAACGTCTTTTCGACCAGCTGCTCCAGCTGTTTTCTTGCATGCGTTGGGGACATCTGGCGGCGCCGAAGTGGTGCCGACAGCCTTGGCGGCTGCAGCCTGCACGGCGCCCTCATTGCCGATCGCGTCCTGTCCAACAGGGGCTGGGCAGCGAGCTGCATTGATCTTGGCCAGATTGGCCTGTAGATTCTGCGGGTTCGCAACGGTATCGTTGATCGCGGGGCCAATGATGTTGAATTGGGCATTAAGGGCTTGCGCGGCTGCCTTGCCCTTGGCGTCAAGCTGGACATCCGCCTGTAAGGCATTGCTCGAGTCCCCCTCGTTCTGCGCGGCTACGAAAGCAGTCGCGGCGGCCTTGCTGATATCCGCGTTGCTCTTTAGCTGGCCGGCGGTGTCGACAAAGTTATTCACTACCTTGATGTCACCGAGCCACTGGTTGATGGTACCGAGAACCTTAGTTTGGAGGGCCGCGTTGACTGTGTTGTTGGCGTTGTGCGCTTTCTTAGCAGCGGGACTAGCCATGGCTGAAGCGGCCAGGACCACGGAAAACAGAGCGTAATGCATCTTAATGAGCAAGCTGGGCACAAGAAACAGCTTAAAGTTACTAGCGAAGGACAAACTAGGACCAGCCACAGCAAGATCTGCAGAAGAATTGACAAATAACAAACTGGGCGCCTGGCCGTAAGGGAGAAAATGAGTAAATGACAGGAAGAAGGAAAATTGGTTGGAATGAAGCAAACGAGATGTAAGGTCAATCCGGGACGGGGATTTCCACGTTATATCTTTCGCAAGTGTGCCTCAATTTTAAGTTTGTTCGGCAACGAAGTTGCCGATATAGAGTTTCAGTCATGGGTGTCGTCTGAAACTTTTAGACGACTCCATACACTAGACAGAAACTTTAAGACGACTCCATACACTAGACAAGAGCTTTCAGACGACTCCATACACTAGGCATCCCTGCTTCAGGGGATAGAAGAAGTGCTTCCTGACTTATCCAGTATTAGCCTATTTGCAGTGTTGTATCTGAAGGTTTTAGGTGTGTTTCCTAGCCTTCACTGCTATCTATCCCGAGTCTATCAAGCACGCCCCCTTAACACTATAAAGTTGTTTGAGCCTAGGTACCTGGGCCTTTGCATTATGACGTTCCCTACAGTGGGCAATACTCATCCCATTGTAGGAAGATATGGCTCCGCGCGTCCCCAAGTAGGATTGCGCTGTTCACAAGTCATGCTCTAGTTTCAGTTGTCCCTGAATACAACACAGCGCTTAAGAGCAACAATTCAATGAGTGCTGTAATACCGTAGAGTTTGATTATTAATACTGTAACCAGCCTCGGCGCGCCTAGAGGCGTCAATAACGCTAAATCAAATGATCCGCCGGGCCCGAATTGCAACACGTGGGTTGGACGCGCGAGCATACAGGCAGTTCGTCTGTAAGGTTCTTTCGAACAGTCGCAACAAATACCACCAGAGTTGCATCGAAGCTGCTCTTGCGTATACTAGCCGGTCTTTGGCTCGTGCCGCAGAATACTGTCACCTTTCAGGGAGGGAAATAGGTAGGAAAACGACTTGAATATTTCCGTGCGAGATCGCCTGTGCTAAATCGCAGAAATACATGTGCCATTATGAGTCTCAGGTGCAGCCAGATCACCCGCTGCCTTAAGGTTATAGGAACAGGCTATATTCTTTTAGGTTCCTTGCTAGTAGAATAAGATATAAAAATTGAAACAGACAAGACACATACAGAAATACTAGTTTTATATAACTTGGAGAGTAATCTATAGCATAGCTAAGAACTAGTCTAATATAGTAATACTAACTAGTTTAAAAACTCTACTATTTAGGTGCTACCTTTTATTTTATAATTTTACTTCACGAGTTATACCCTAGACATAATTTAAGAATGTACTACTGTTGGAATAGAGATTTGCACGCATTCGTACGTATCCAAGCGGTAATGCCACCTGTACATTAGTCAGCAGAATCCAGCCTATATAATAGCTAGATCTGTGAGATACCTAGGACTTAGAACATCATCGGCAACAAATACAGTGACGGTTAACCCCTATTATCGTGTGCCTCCAGCAGCGCGCGAGCTATTCCGACAACTACTCTTCTCAAGGGAGGACCTGAGACGAGAGGTAGATAATGAAAATTGCGGCGAGGTTCTGCTTTACACCGACTACGGCTTTCCCGGCTCAACATCTAGACTGCCGATCAATAATAACTGCGTTTGCATTAACATAGTACTCGGGTTCCAGAATTGTAAAAAGAAGGCCGACTCATCGATGCACCCCCATGACAAGATTTTCAGGTTAATGCTGAGGTTCATATGTCTGCCTCGGCCTGAGCTTTATAACGGATGCACACGATTGCGCCGTCCAAGTAGAAGAAAATGATTTTGCAAGGCAGTGCATGTACCAAGATACCTACGAAACATCACCAAGCTTGTCCTAGGTTTAGATCATGACGCCCCAACTGAATTGCGTGTACGCCTAGATATTCTCCCCTATATTCCGCTGCCAGCCAAAGACTCGTCATCATTCTCCCGCAGTCCCAAGTCATCAACAAGGTACGTCATGATAGTACTGCTGTGCCATACTTTGGCAAGGCGTATGAGAATATTCGTCGGCTTTGCACCGCGTTCAACGAGCCATTTGATCAATTGCGGGCTGTCACACCGGGTGGCGCGTTCAATCTGATACACAAAGGGATCAGTCAAATTTCTTATCTGAATGCATAGATAACATATCATACCAGAGTGCCTTGGCCACAAAGGGACCCTGAGGTATTGATGTCTAGGCCTAGGCCAAGGAGCGGTCCAAGCGTATCATATTGCTTCTTCTCAACTGGACGGCGGCCGCACAAAGGAAAGACGTTATCCAAAGGAAGAAGTAATACAAGGCCGTGGTCGCTCTCGTTGGCGGAGAATGTGGCGTGTAGATCAGCCCCAGAGTCCAGTAAGAGACGGTTCATTTCAGGCGCTGCAGTCGTCGCCGCACAGTGAAGGAGTGAAGGAATCGTAAGGATGTGTCCTTACTTCCAAGCCGGCGCCAAGAGCCAGGAGAAAGCCAACAATATGGCGATGCCCCTCTATAACAGCGACATGCCGAGGCGCGCGGCGGTCGCTGTAGCCTGGGGTGTGTAGTGCGTTGAGGTTGAGGTCCGGGTGGTCATGGAACGCTGTCTCCTAAGCAGCCAGGTCACCAGCTTCGCAAGCTTGGTAAAATGAGGCCAGTGCGGGATGTTCTGTGTCGTCATGCTACGCGTCATCTTCCGCCGCCATGGTCGTTCTGATCAAAAGGTATGTCGTGATGCAGGGTAGGTTTTCAATCCAGCGTGTTTGCTCGGTAATGCTGGCACTTATGTTGGGAGTTGGCGCTAGGCGGTTGGTTGACCTGCAAGATCCCATCCCATGGAACAAGCCAAGCCACCGAAGTCACAACTGTCCCTTGTTCGTTGGCTCTCCAGAAAGCCTTGGGGGCCGTCGGTTCTGTTGTTGGGGGCGATTTGGGCTAAGACTAACCTGACATTATATGTCATTAGAGGAAGCTGGGTTGGCTATAGGGGTCTTGAACGTCTCGAAGGCCGCCAGTCCAGGAATTCGCGTGGTCGTACTATAACCTGCATCGACTCCCGTCATCACAGAGGGTCGAGCTGTGTCTCATGGTGTTGAGGGTATCGGCATCGGCTTCCTCCTCCTCTCTTAGACAAAGAGTTGTATGACAAGGCGCGTGCCGTCTAGGAAAATGATGCATGTGACATGTGTCGGCGTCCAGCCGAAGTTGAAGGCATTTTTGCCGGTGTGTTTACGGCACTGAATTTAGTTGTTGCGATTCGGTTGGCAACGTAGATGGGGCCCGGGAATAGATGGTCAAAATCGCATGCGAATCGGCGTTGAAGTCCTTGAATGGGGACCTGTTCTCTACCCTTTAGTTGGTCGTCTGCCAGCCTGCGAGTAATATACTTGGAACTGTTCTCAGGTTGGACAGCTGACATTGGAGAAAGTTCAGGGGCCCAGCTCACTTTTAGAGAGGTTAGGCGCATCGGAAACAAAACCACGTAAACAACATTGCGAAATAGTAGTAAGAGACAAATGAAGATTTTCGTTGTTGAATACGGAGCTAGCTAGATTGAAGAGAGTCTTCAAGTTGGTGAAAGAAATAAAATCGGCCCCTTTACAACATTCGCTTTTGACTAGGCTCGGCAACTTCAACCAGACATACCGAGAACACCTCGAACAACCAAAATGCTTAGGTGCGCAAAGAACTGATAGGCGATCTACGGCGCCGACCCCAGTAGTTCTTTACTGCTTGAGCAGGACAAAGTGAACAATGTAGCCCTGAACAATACGGGTGGTTTGGGCGGCAGGCCCAGTGAGGCCGTTGTAGGTGGTGGTGGTGACGTTGATAAGCTGGGGGTTCTGGCCCTCACCGGTGGGAAGCTGGGCCCAGCGGAAGGTGTAGGAAATGACGCCGTTGTGGACAGTGGCGTTGACGAGTCTGAGGAACTCCTCGTTGAATGTGGGTACAACGGAGATCTTTGAATCCCCCTCGGCCTTGGCAATGATAGCTGTGAAGGTGGTCTCACGATCGGCGGGCAGGAAGATGTTGATGGGGGTGAGGACGCTGCCGATGGGAACGCTCTGGACCTTGAGATCAGTGGTGAAGTCTACGCCAGTGGCGGGGGCGACGCCCTCGAGTCCGGTGTACTTGATCTCAACAGTTTTGATGCCGTCGGCGGTGACGACAGAGACGCTCTTGTTGTTGAAATGAGGGATAGGGAGAGAAATGGGAAACTTGGTCGTGACATCCTCGGAAAGTTGCTTCCCCACCGGGCCAGGGCCACCAGGAAACCCCTGGAGAGAGAACTCGAGGCCACCGACGAAGCCCTCGACACGCTCGAAATGGGCTCCGATAGGTAAACCAGAGACCTGAGCCGTGAGAACGAGCTGGCGAATGTTGCTATCGTAGACAGCGCCGAGCTTTGATGCAGAAAGGAGGGAAGCCATTGTAGAGGTTTGGAGTTGGAAATTGAGAGAGGGAAATTGAGTGGGATATTGAGGTTTGTTAGAGATGAAGAAAAGTGAAGAATCTGATGGTGATGATGAGGAAAAGACGAACAACCCAGCGGGAACATCTAAAGCTTTTATACAAATGGGTCTGGAGGGTAGACGTGATAAGTCTTCCTGCTTGATCACTCAAGGCCATTCAGCCGCGTCCGAATTCGGATTGGAACATCACGGAAGAACCAAAAACATGCCATAACTGCCCACCACTGCCGCAGCTGAAGATGGACATTGCCATTGGCATGCTGGCTGGCAGATTACCTGCCTACAACAGTTGAATGCAGTTCAGAAAAAAACGCTCTAGACTTTGCCTTCTGCTCCTGTCACAAACTAATGGCCCTCGAGCTGAGAATTACAATACCTAGCTGGCGTACGGTGAAGATTGTAGTAAGATTTGCGATACATGCCTTTCTGTACTTCACCACGATGAGTGCTAAGATATCTTTCAACTCTGCGAGTCTGCAGGTTCTCCCTGTACTGGTAAATTTAGATGATATGTGCTGTCTATTTTTCATAATCTTATCAGCTTTCCATCACGAATAACCGCAAAATCTGGGAGCCATTGTCACCGCTATGGCGGCAAAGTTCTTCTGGCATCAAACTGGAGCAGTACAGCTGACGGTATTCGCTAATGACGGCTTTACTGCTTTTAACACACACAGTTATGGAATATGTGGCTGGCTCAAAGACTGTGAAGGGAAACACCGCTTCGTTCCACAACCAATAGTCAGCAGACGTGGCTTAGCAGCGAGCATGAAGCTCAAGCAACGACTAGCGTTCCCGTACTCCATCACGGGCTATGAATTACGAAAGAAACACAGCCCGAAAACCTTACATCGTCTGGTGGTAGCGCTTGGAGTGGAAAATAACCCACGGGACCAACCATGATGGCGTTCTGAGGCGACATTCCTCCAGCTGTCGCCATCTCTCCCTGCGCCAGGACGGGTTGCTAGGGCGGCCTACCTTCAGCTGCAGTCATTAGCGCATTGCATCTATGGCCACCAGTGCCGCCTCTTAATCGAGAACATTTCAAACATCTTACACGGAGGTTAGCTTGTGTCACACCATGGGGCCATGTGGGCCGGCGGAGGAATGAGGAAGGGTGCTCCCGCGGCAGGCCGCTGGCATGGTGCCGAATGAACGCCGCACGCGGCATCTTAAGGTTTGAGACATTGCGACGGGCGCCATCCAGCCGCAAAATCGCTCTCGGCCACGCGAGCTTTCAAGGCTCATGATTGAGAGACATGTGTTGAAACGGGAATAGTTTGCTTGCAATAACGCCATCCAAGTGGGAATGTAAGGGTCCAGCTTCACACACGATCACGTCTTGATGGGTTGTTTGTCACCTCGGTAGATTTTCCCAGCTCTCAGCCAGCTGGATGATTCGAGAGGACGATATCTCCTGTACATACTGGGTTGCTTCGTGACAGAGGACCATGAGTCCTCCAGTTGGAGAAAGCCACGATGCTTCTCTACCCTGATTACGACTATGAACGGTGTTATGTCATTTGGTTGCCCAATTATGTGGATGTATGGCGCAAAAAAACTGTGAGACAATGTTTTGATCGAAACAAGTCATATGATGCGTGGAAATGATGACTAAAGGGAAGCATGCCAACTACTGAGATGGATTGCATCAATACTTTCAACGCCAACAACATCCAATTTGCTGTTTTTCTCGAGGAGCTTAACATCAACACCGTCGCACTTAGTTCAAAGCACATGCATCAATGTACATCTGGGATTACTTCCATCACATATCCATGTAAGTTAAGAAGATTACTTCCCATATCCGCTTTACCTACTCGAGCACATCATCAGGCACATCGATATCGTTCATACCCACATCCGCATCCGCATCCTTTGTCATCAATAATACCATTACTGCTGTCGTCATTAGTAGCAGACGCCCTTAGTCAAGTATTCATAATACTCAAAGGACGAACACTTCTAAGCTAGGGAATGCTGAGAATAGAAGTGTATGTTCTGGTTGTAGGAACTTGATTGCGTGCACCTTGGCGATAATCACGTCTTGAAGTACTTTGTAGATTGAAATCCAAGTTAGGAATCTTCCGAACCATATCCCAAGAAACTAGTCACTCTGCGTATTCAACGTGATGCTGTTCAACATTATTTAGGCATGCACCTTGATTTCAAGCTGCTCTAAGTAAAGCGAGACCAGCTCTTAGTTTTGCCCAGAATACTCGTCAAAGTACGCTCGTCTGTTTCCCAGACGGCATTCTATCAAAAATCATGCTGCCACTGGACAAGGCCGATTTGTATACGATGCGTTAGGTATTATACACATTGTGGCACATCTATCACGATCGACATTTATCAAAGATCTTTCTCAAGGCGACTTCCCACACAACGAGACCACCACAACACACGCAAGACAGAAGGAATTCTGCAGTGAATGTTTTCAAGAATGAGACTCAGTATCTCGCAAGCACCGAGTGTTTCCTCTGAGGAGCAAGATGTCTTACTCCTGCTGCAACATATCGCATTGTCGACTACAATTATCCCTATAGCAGCCTCAAACCCCATCTAGACATCTTCGATGTATCATATCCAAGGCAAACCGTTGTACATGTGAGTGATTTTTCTGTAGATTGCCGTCTACAGTGCGTTAAAGTGGCCAATCAATTGCTTGCCGACCGCGACGCACCTCTGATCGGCAATCGCTGCGTGTCAAACTTCATCAAAGGACAACCGCAGCTTCAGACGTCCGCTCGACCTAGAAGAGACTAGTGAGGGTCGGATCAGTAGTTGAGTCGGTGAGGATTAGCGAATACCTGGTGCTGTATGCCTTTTTGTGTTCCTGATACTTTGGTTTCATTTACTGGCGCCGTTATATCCTTGAGCGATGAGACCTCGTCCCGTGGGACGGGGGTTGGGTCCCTTGCCAAAAACCCTTGAGAGCTAGATGACAAATACTTCTAGAGCGAAAGCCCCAACTGCAGCAAGGCTACTGACATTGCATTATGTCACGAATCTCCCTTCTCTCAATATAGGTCCACAGCACTGTTGACGTACTTGACCGCCGGATAGAGAGTCTCCGGATTGGGAGCCTCAAACCCCTAGAGCGAGAAGAACTACCACAGAATAGATTTTCAATGCCTCGAGAGCAATTGTGCCGCACCTAGTGTGCTTGGGAGCTACATGGCGCCGGTGACGCAGTTTCCTCCACCACTGGGCACCTCCACGAGGCAAACACAACAGATATGAACTGATGGCAGAAATTCTTCTAAAACATTTGTAATAAGATCGGACTAGGATTACAATCCCGCTTGAAAAGTGGCACAGCATGCCAAGATGCAGTCCCCTGGCCAATTTTCGTATCTGTAATCAGCCGTAAGCAAGGCTGCAGAAGGAAGTTTGCTTCACGCGACAATCAAATAGGAAGACACGATCTTTTTGTATTTTTGACAGGAAATCCTTTGAGGACAACAGTAGCTAGCAGGATCAGAGCTTTAGAACTACGGATACAAGTAACTTCCAGCTATAACACATTTAAGTACGGCATTGATGTGGTAATCCTTACATGCCCATACTTGTCACCTACATCTTTAATGCGCATAGGCACCTACGGCTCTACTGATAGCAATAACAAGCCCTTGTATGGGTAAAATGCGGCTTTAGGTACGGTTCAGGGGTCTTATGCATAAGGTTATCGCATACATGCATGTGTAGAAGCCCAGCGCACCTTCTCCGCCTCAGCCCGGTCCCGACTCGAACAGATAAGAAGGCCTTGCTGCCATTTGTTCACCCGGCACTCGGGCATTGCACGCTCATACTCAGCGACATTCTGGCAAAGATCCCGCGTGCCACCTTCACAAGTCAGTCGCCATGTCAGCCTCGGAGAAGGAGGGGGCGTTGAAAAGCCAACAACTATATGTTTGGAAGGCTCCGTTCACAATGTGCCTCAGTATGATGGGCGGGGTCGGCTTTGCAGTCAGTCATCACTGCTTCTACAGGAGCCTGGCCGGAACGCAGCTCTCGCCAGAAACCTACCACGCCTTCGGGGCGGTGGGCGGCGCCACCAGCCAGCAGCTTAACATCGCGCTGGGGACGCTGTTGGCTTCCATGTCCAAGATTCTCCTCAGCATGGCCGTGTCCACGGCGCAAGAGCAGCATGCGTGGAGCGTTATCAAGGCCCGTCCTTCGAAGCTTCGTTCGATTGACGGCTTGTTGGCTTCCAAGTCTAATGTTCTGAGCATTTTGGATGCCAGGCTCTGGCTGCGTTACCCACTTTCCATGTTCTTGTCGCTTCTCTTCTGGTAAGTAATTGACTCAAGAAGTGTTTCTGCCCAAAATCTTGTCCTGACTGGAAACCTAGGCTTCTCCCGTTTGCTCCTCTTCTCACTCCAGCCACCCTGACCGTCAAGGCAATTGTAGCGAGGAGTGTAATAACTGGACCAGTTCCCAGTATTAGATTCGACAGTGGGACTTTTGCACGGTTCAGAGATGGTTTACGTACCACAAGCTACACGGGACCTAGTGATGGAGTCAGAAGGGCAGCAGTAAGCTCCCTTATATCAGGCATGATCATCCCGATGGCTTCCATCCACAGCAACGCGAGCTGGAGTCTGGATTTCGAAGGCCCAGCCCTCCAGTGCTCTGCTTTGGGTGCAGATGACGAGCTACGCATCAACGTTACCGAATCAGCAGCCGAACTTTGTTGGGGTTCTGGTTATTGCTACCAGTACATGTACTGGATGCCGGGATCAACCATAGATCTTTCACCCTTCCAGCCGGATATGAACGGATCCACCAGGGACGATATTCATGGGCCTCGGGATGCCCCGATCTCTTTATACGTTGCCGTAAAGAACGGGCAGTTTACTTACCCCGACTTTGTTTTCGATTCGTTCACGAGATGCATCTTGTACAGCGCCTCGTACCATAGCGAGTTCAATTATCGATCCGGAGTCCAGGACATTAAGACCGTAACGACATTGAACAAGCCAAACGACCCTTGGTTCCCGACCATAGCTTCCATGTCGAGTTTTGAAGACATAACGAGGTTCAGAAACGGCGTTGGCGTCCCCTTCCAAGCGGTCACGAATGCGTTCTCCTCCATGCTGGTTGGAAGCGTACATATTTATCGTGGTGCTCAGGGAGCCCCGCAAGTCATTCAGACACAGGTGGGCATGACAACTCTGGCAAAAGATTTGGGGTTCTTTGAAAACCAGACCAGCAATCAACCAGAAGGCGGTCACGAAATTCCCACGTTCCTGGAGGAAATGTTTCGCAACATCACCTTGAGTCTAATGTCGCAAGCCGAACTGAAGTAAGTTACCCGCTGAGTGAGCTGTAAAATGCAAAATGCTATGGAAATCGGCCCTGGGGACTATCAACTGACAACATTGGGCAGTCCAGCCGAGCCGATCCAAGCCGACATCGAGACGCACGCGTACCAGAATATCTACATTTACTCGGCCACTGCCCTGTGGATAGCCTACGGGGTCGCCATGGGAATCACTTTCTTGTCCATTACGATCGGGACGTGGGCTGTAGCCGCCGCAGGCTCTTCGTATAGTAGCAAGTTCTCGACGATCCTGCGCCTTGCCTTCAACGTCCACCTGTCCGAGTATCTCGAGCTTCGGGACACTGGCGGGGAAGACCCGCTACCGGATCGGCTGGAAAACACAATTGTTGTCTTTCCCTCGCGGAATGTAAAGGGCGGGGAAGGGAGAGGCTCACTGTTGGGTAATAATGAAGAGGGGCCATCAGAGCTTTAGTGAAGTCAGTGGGAAAGGCTTTTGTCCTTGAGTACTCTTGACAAGTCGTTGTTGTTCTTGTAATATTCAATGCCGGGGCGATAATCCCTACTGAGGGCAAAGGGCGCTTGTCGTTCTATCTGCGAGCTTCTACTAGTCTTCCTTGACTTGACACACACACACACGCAGGTAGACTAGGGAATTCACACATGGTTTAATCAGCCCAGTGAGCGCGCCGACCAGATCTTCCGCCTTCAATCTCTTGGTTCCAGTTCTTTGAGTCAGCCCGGGTCCAGCTTTGTAGCTGGACCTGGGCTGATTTTTGAAAGTCTTGAAGGGCAGTAATCAACGCACATTTCTGTTCTGTCTTGTTCCCAAGACGCTGTAGAGCTTTGGGTATCCTCAATAAGCGCGTAGATCTTGCGATGGGTCTCTCCTCAACCAAGAGGGGCATGAAGTTGATCCGTTCACGCGATGCATCTTGCAACGCACCTCACACCACACCGAGTTCAGTTATCGATCCAGAGTCTAGGAATCTAGGATCATAAACTCTCCTGATTTGATGACGCACGTGGTTTTGTTAGTTCCCTAATTGATATTCCCGTTTCAGCTATATTAATTAAAATCGTAAGCCACGTAGATGATCAAGTGAGCTTTCCCTGAAATAGCAGTCTATCTTGCTATAACCGTTGGCCATTATCTAGTGTACAAAGTCAAATTCTATTGTTGGTATTTCTAGTGGCTATTCAATAACCGCAACTAACGTGGAACAGAAAATCATTGGTGGGGTTGCAGTTTCAACAAGACTCGTCATCTTAACCAGTCAAAGGCTAGTAACCTGAGATTCAGCTTCTGTTGGATGAAAAACCTGTGTGTGCGGTTCTTTGATTCTTGACTTTAGTTGTTTCCGAGATCCACAACCATCGGTCAAATCATCCAGAAGTCGTCTCTTTCACTGTTGCAGCCAGCTTGAAATGAACCACCTCCCCAAACACACTTATAGCCCAATAGAACGCTCACAAGACACGCAACAATGCTTACTAAATCCATCGTCGCCATCGCCGCTCTGTCACAACATGCAATCACTGTCTCTGCCCAGTCGCCCCTGTGTGAAGGAGCCATCGCGGGTGGTGGCTGTCCGTCAGGGCTAACTACGTCAACGGTATAAGTCGCAGCCCTGATTTCATAATTTGAATAGGCGTTTCTCCATACCATATATGCCCTCTACTCACGTTATGGCTTGAATCCAGTGTGATAAAAGTAGTGGTAGGGCGTGCTGGGATGATGAAAACGTTGATGAGGATTGCCGTACGGATGGCAGTCAAACGTACCTCTACTGTTACAAGACGCAGGAGCATAATTGCAAACAGCAGGACGGATTGAGGAAGGCATCAGAGGAGCAAAAAGCAAGGGTGGCACCAAATCAAGTCTGTACAACAAGCCATGGAATGAATTCCCCACATAACGTTGCGCCCCAACCGCCAAGTAACCTAGTCTTGAGCTTCACCTTGGACTGGTTTTGACTTGCTTGATATCGTGATTGTATTATTTCATAGCTGGTAAATAGATGCTTGGAATCGGAAAATATTCACTCGGTTGCAAATATGCACCAAAATTACCACAGACGCGCCAGATGGCCAGGAACACTCCCCTCGCAGCCCTCATCATGAATTTGCAAACACCTGATACGCCATGACCATGATCCACAGCAGGAAAATGGCGCCAACAAGGGCAAACGAAAACACCGCCTGCCACGCTTGGCCTACACGCACAGTCAGCACTCCTTCATCACCGGAAAAATACACGCAACGCAACGCAAAAAAAACAAAAAAAAACTCACATATGCTCCGCTGCTCCAGCCAGGCGAGGGTGTCGAGGCTCTGGCCGGTGGGGCTGCGGTTGAAGACGGCGAGGTTGCAGTTGCTCGAGACGGAGCCGTCGGGCCCCCAGAGCTGGATGCTCACGACGACGAGGCCGACGAACCACAGGATGAAGAGGATGAAGGCGCCGATCATGACGATGGCGGGCAGCAGGCGGCGCTGGTAGACGAGCCAGAGGAGGAGGCCGACGAAGAGGATGACGAGGGAGGCGACGGTGATGTAGTAGGGGAAGTACCTGGACGGGCGTGTTAGTCAATGTCGCCGGGTTCAGTCCGCCCCGAGACGGACGGCGGCGAGGACGGCGGCGAGGACGTACCATGGTATCGGCAGCAGGAGCTGGTTCTGGATGTCGATGAAGGAGGCAAAGACGCCGATGATGAGGCAGGATGCGACGAGCATGATGAGGATCCAGAGGTTGAGCTGGATGCCGGGCCACTGGTAGCGGTGGACGCGCTCGACGACCCGGCGCTCGTAGTAGGAGCTGTCCGTCACCGTGGAGGCCACCATGGCGGGCGGTGTCGTGGGGGTTATCTGCCGTGCGGCTCGGTTCGGGTTTGGAGATGGGCTGTTGGTGACGGCGGGATGTGTTCGCGGTCGTGAGGTTGGACCCGGTGGATGATGCGTCTAGATCGTGGTCGTAATCGGAACCGTCAATCGCTTATCGCAATCGTGACCGGGTGCCTCGCGGGGGGTATTTAAACCGTCGCTCCAGAAACCCAACGAGATCGTGGCGTCGAGTCGATCCGCTCGGGGCGGGGGGGGGGGGGGGGCCCTGTAGGTAATGGAAGTCGAGAGAAGTGCGCGATAAGGCTGGGCCGGTCCGGGCTGGGGTCGCGCAAGAAAAGGCGAGACAAGGCGAGGGAGTGAGGCGGCACAAGGCTGGGGGGGCGTGGAAGCTATCGCCGCCGAGTCGTCCGACCGTCGCAGCCCAAAGATGCACGATTACGATTACGCGCAGCGGGCAACGCCGGCTCCGTCAGTGGCTGTTGGGCGGCGTGTTCGGGATTCGCTGGTGGGGGAGGAAGTTCGATGCGCGCCGTATGTTGGGCCGGGAAAAAAAGAGAAAAGCAGGTACAGAGGACGCCCAGCAGCAGTAGCGCCAACGACGGACGAATGTATGGATTAAACTGGTGATTTTTCCAGTCTGCAATTCGTCCGGTGAGGGGAGGGGGGTTTGCAGTCTTTCCGTCTCTTCTCGTTCGTCCTGTCAGCGTGGCAGGCGCGGCAACGGGAGCGGCCCCTGGAGTTTAATTGGGAAGAAGAGGAGGGGAGGGGCGCTGTGGTGTCGTGGGCTCGGGCTCGGACTCGGGGGGCCGGCGCGACGATTGGTGGATGGCTGGGCGGCGTGTTTGTTGGTGTTGTTGATGTTTGGGCGGTGGTGACGGGAGTCTACTGCAGGTGTACAATGCGCCTCGGGCCCGGGGTGGTTCGGGTTCGGGTTTGGGTTTGGGTTTGGCGTATGCCACGTCAAAGGTGCCAAATACGATGCGGCGTGCTGCAGACCCCCTGGTCTCTATTGTTGTCCGCGAGGTCTGGTGCCGTCGGGCTGCGACGAGAGCCGGGGACAGAAACAACACGAAACCCGCGATGGTGGTTTGCTCGATTGCGTCTCGCCCTGCTTTGCGTTTGTCGGTGAGACGCTCCCCACCGAGACGGCCAAGTTTACCACGGTTGGGTGCTTTGCTTGGGTTGCGACTGAGCTGGCGGCTTGGGAGCGGCGGTGAGATGTGCGCTGCAATGCTCGTGTTGGGCGCTGCGTGGTTCCGCGATTCGTCCGAGGCGGGGGGGGATGCGCCGACCGCGAGAGATGTTGCGATGAGATCGAGGTATGATTTCGCTAGGTTGTTGGTGGGATGATGGAATCGCAGATGTTCGAACGCGTTGAGGCGCGTCGAGGGGCCAGAGTTTGCGGTAGGTGACGGTGGTGGGAAGTCGCAGTAGAAGATTGGAAAGAAACCTCCGAAACGATTCAAAAGAGACTCGGCCCGGGATGGCAGCGTTGCATTCCCAAATTGCGACAAAATCTTTGAAGCGCAGCTGTGTGGTTTGGCTGCTCGATTCTCGAGATCGACACCCGTACATATATAACAGGCAGAATGCAGCAATCAAATACAACGCTCGACGCGAGGAAAAGAAACCGCCCAAAAAACCCAAAATCAAACCCTGACGCGATCGCGTTGCTTTTGCTCCGGCGGCATCGTCGGAACCCTCGATTCGAGGAGGCTGGGCGAACGAGCGTCGCCCATTTGCTTCGGTCCCCCTCTGTCGCATCGCGGAAATGTCGATGGCTGGGCGACAAAGGCCCGCCCGCGCCAGCGCCAGCGCCAGCGACTCACTCGCTACCCAACCCACCCGACGCGGCGGAGGACCTGGCCTATCTGCAGTGGGGCCCTCCCGCAGCTGTCAGGCACCCGCGCCGGCCCCGATGGCTCGACCCGCCTTTTCCCCCCCACCGCCGGGACGCACCCGAGCCGCCGGCTGCCGTCACCGCTCCTTCCAACACGTGTCAGCGGCCAGCCCTGCTTGAAGATATGCAGACATGCAGACATGCAGAACTGTGAAGATGACCTCCCCCTCCCCCCCTGGCCCTGCATAACACGGGTGCTTGTTGAAGAAAAAGAAGGCGGGCAGGCGTAAGTGAACATTTGCTTTGGTATTATTCATGTAGAAGCTGGGCCGCCCTCTCTCGGACGGTCCCCGTGGCTCATCTATCCCCGGCCGTCCCATGCAGTCCCGGACCGTGCGCCGAATCGATCCCGCCTCCGACTCGTGTCTCTGTGTGTACTTTTTCCGTTCCTCGCAAGACCCCGTGCTCCTGGTTGTGCTCCTACGCCGCCTCCAACCGTCCCCGATATCGACACCTCACACTCACAGCAACGACTCGCCCAGGGCGCAGCGCACCAGCGAGCAGCCCGCCCTCACCGTCTCGGACGCCGCGCCCTCCTGGTCGGCCGCCAGCGACGGGTTGACCTCGACGAGGTCGAGCGCCACGAGGCTGCCCGTCTCATGCACGCACTCGCAAATGTAGTCGCCCTCGCGCAGCGTCAGGCCGCCGCGCACCGGCGTGCCCGTCGACGGCGCCCACATGGGGTCCAGCGCGTCCACGTCGAACGACAGGTGGATCGGCGTGTCGGTGCCAATGTGCGCGAGCGCCATCTCCATGACGCGGCCGATGCCGTATCTTTTTTTTTTGGTGTCAGTGGCGGGCTCCCGGAGACGCCCCGAAGAAGGGGGAGGGGGAGGGAGGGGGTCAACCGTACCTGTCAATGTCAAACATGCTAAAGGCCTTGACGCCGTTCTCGCGCAGGATGCGCTTCTCGCCGGCGTCGACGTCGCGCAGGCCAATGTAGACGAGCTTCTTGAGGCTGAGCATGTGCTCGTCGCGCAGCCAACCAAAGTAGTCGGGCTTGTCCTCCTTGGCGAGGCCGGTGACGAAGGCGACGGGCATGCCGTGGATGTTGCCGCTGTCGCTCGTCTCGGGGGTGTTGATGTCGGCGTGGGCGTCGACCCAGATGACGGCGATGTCGCGGCCGAGGCGCTCGCGCGTGGCCTTTGCGGAGCCGGCAATGGTGCCGATGGCGATGCTGTGGTCGCCGCCGAGCGTCAGCGTCAGGCGGCCGAGGCGCGACTGCTGGTAGACCTGGTCGGCGATGCGCTGCGTCACCGACGACACGGCCTTGGGGTTCTTCATGTTGCGGTAGGGCGGGTCCTCGGCCGGCACGAGGTCCGTGTAGAGGTGCACCTCGTCGTCGCCGTGCAGCTTGTAGCCGAGCTCGTCGCGGAGCTGCGTGAGCAGGCCGCTCTCGATGAGGGCCTTGGGGGCGGCGTCGACGCCGGGCTTGCACTGCGGTCGCGGGCGTCAGCGGTGTTGTTGGGGGGAGCTCGCAAGCTGAAGAAGAGGAGGAGGAGGAGGAGCTGGAGCTTACCTGACCGCCGGAGAAACCGACGGCAACGACGCCGAGGTCCTCGGGGTTGCTGAGGAACTTGGACTTGACCATTGATGTGTGCATGATTGCGATGCGCCGCCGGGGTGCTGACTGGATGAGGCGGTGGTGGTATTTGCTGAGAGCTGACGTTGGCTCTACCTAGATCAAGAGGGAAGACGTGGCGGAAGCGGCAGACGGGAGGCTAGGAGAGGATGGAGAAGGGAGAAAAGAGAGAAGCAAGAAGCTGGCGAGAGAGTTGGAAGTAGAGAAGTAGTAGTAGTAGTAGTAGTAGTAGAAGAAGAAGAAGAAGAAGAAGAAGGAGGAGGACACGGAAGTCGGGGTGGGCGATCGAGGTATGTTAAAAGCCTTTTTTTTTTCCTCCTTTCCCGCGGCATCCCAAGCAAGGCCCGGGGGAAGGACGAGGGCCACGACTGCCAGTCCCGGAAGCTGGGATGAATCGAGGCCAATGAGACCAAGCAAGGTAGAGCCACCGCGCAGCACAGCAACGAGAGGAAACCGGGGCTTGACTCGGCTCATGGCGGTTGCGGAGGGCCGCCGAGACGCAGCGAGAAGCGTGTCCTCCTCGTTTCCGTCGATTCGCGCATTCCAGACACGAGGTTCCGTGGGCCGTGGGATGGGCGCAAGTGGCAGGCGGGAAGCTGTGCTGCGCTATGCTGTGTTGCGCTGGGCGGGATGGCGGGGTATTTTCTTTTCGTCTTTAGCGTAACAATGGATAAAAGTACATAGCAGTATCTTGCTGTCCTCGGAGCTGCCCCTCATGTACCTCTCCGCAGAGATATTACGGGAAGGTACTTGTGTCGGAGACGACGGCGGCGGCGACACGGCCATGACACCAGCGTTCCAGCGTGCGGACCCCTGAACCCCCCCCCCCCCCCCCCCCCCGGAAGATACAGTAGGTAGTGCCCACCGCGGGTAGACCTGCACTTAGGGGAACATCAGTGGGCCCCCCCCCGATACCCCCGTGCGACGTTCGCAGCAGCAGCACCAGCGGCGCGTCGTCGGCGTGGGGCCCCTCCGCTGGAGCACCTGCGCTTAGGGGCCTGGCGCACTCGGAGCTGTGCCACTTAACGGCAGGTGGGCGCCGGAGACGAGGAGCGCCAGCCCAGCCCAGCAGCGCGAGGCATTATTTAAAGGGCCCCGTGTCCCCCCCCCCGTCCCCCCGTCCGCCGCCCGCGAGTCTGGCGATGTTCCCTAATGGCAGGGCGACGCGAAGGGGCATTACGCTTGACCAAATCACTCCGGCCGGACTCGGGTCAATGAGGAGTTTTTTTCTGTTATTTGTCTTCTATCCTTTTCGATTTTTGTTGAGGAGGAGGGGGGGGAGCACACCACCCACCCCATCACGGCTGGCCTCTTGTTCTCTCTCTCTCCGTCTCTTCGTTTCCTCGACGGGCGTGTCATCCGTCATTTTCGAAGAGTGTCGATTTCTCGAGGTTCGCGCCTTTCTCCCGATACGCGACTTGCCTTATCGCTCGGTTTATCGCTTATCGGCCCCAGCAGCACACTCACTGTCTCCCAGCGCCCGTGTGGCAGCGTGTGCCAGTGTGCCACAGGTGCCGGCGGCCCACCTCTGCGTGCTTTTGAGGCCCTCCACCAGGGGGGGGGGGTGGTCCACGGCTTTCCAGGCCCCCGCCCTCACCGTACCCACTCGCCAATGCCATGCCACCTAGTGTATGCGCCTCATCTCATCTCATCCCTCTTACATCAGATTCGCCGCATCGGACTAGACCAGACCGCCCATCCGCCGCGGACCACTCACACACGACAATCTCCAGCCGTCGACAACCACGACGCCCTCGATCCCGTTACTGTTCGATTCCTGTTATCAATCAATATCGGGGGCTCCAGGTCCCATGACGCCTCTCGCCCGCCGTCCTCGTCTTTGCCCGGCGCAAACCGGAGGAGCACAAACACAAACACATGCACGCACGAGAGTTGGCGCCGGAGAAAAACACTTACTGCAAAGGTCCTCTGCACAGACATCAACTCGGCACTTGCAAAATCGTACCTTCCAGGTCCTCCTCGATCCCGGAGCAAGGGCTCTCCCTGGCTTTACGTAAAACGGAGGCTTGCTCGAGTCTCGGAACCGTCTTTCCCATCGCGTAATGGCCAAGGCCGCCTCGCCTCTTGACTCGTGGGCGCCCCTTCAGGATCGCCCAATGACCTCACCCGGCATACGGGGGAGAAAGTCACGAAGCAAGAGTGTCGGATCGTAATCCCGACATTGGCCAAACCGTGTCGGTGTCGCGGTTTCCGATGGATGTCACCAGACCCGGTCTCGCTTGGCTCCTCCGCCATGCCGTCGGCTTTGGGCGGCCTTCCTCCTCGGCTCGCCGACGCTGGACACTGCTCTCCGAGCGGCGGTAGCCGTCCACGTTGAATCCCATCCCGCCAGCAACGTGTGCCAGTGTGTCCAGCAAACTCACGACAGCCTCACTTCCTCCCAACAATTGCTTCACCGGGAGTATCACCCGTGACGAGACGTGACGTGCTAGACGTTGCTGAATATTGCTATTGCTGCTAAACTGTGTTGTACAATGTACCTGTGACGATTTCATGCTCTCGACTTTTTTTCCCCTCCCAGTTCGAGAGCCCAAATGGTATACGTAGACGAGGCCTCCACACACGCAAAGAAAACAAAAGAGAACCGTGTGCCTCGGCCGAACAAACTCCCATAACGCCAATGCCCGAGATTGCCGCGCCCCGCGGTGTGTGTGGTTGGTATCCTCGCCATTTCCCTCAAAGTCATGTCGACGTCTGCTCGGCCAGCAGGTCGTCCACCCACCCCATCCTCTCCCTCCTCTCGTCCGTCACGCGCGCGTACTCGAGGAGCAGCCGCAGCGTGTAGATCTGCATGTCCTCCTTGCGCAGCGCCTTCTCGGCCCACGCCTTGCCGGCCATGGCGATCTTCTCCGCCTCGGCGTCGTGCCCGGGCTTGTCGTCGCCGTACCCCAAAAAGTACTCCATGATGCCGTAGTAGTCCCCGAACCGGCTGTCCATCGGCACAAAGTGCTTCCACGCCACGAGCCGGCTGTCGTGCCACTCGCGCCACAGCGTCGCCTTGATGGGCAGGCTCGTGCTGCCGAGGAACGCGAGGTACCGGCCCGAGAAGCTGTTGCCGTCAATGTCCGGGAGGTACTTGGAGTCGTACATGTCGGTGAGCATGACGCTCTCGGTGAGGTTAAAGTGCGGGCTCGTGTAGTTGCACGTGCCGCCCTTGCCCTCGGGCTCGCACATGAGGTCCGTGAAGCCCACGTCGGCCCACGACCGGATCCAGTCGGCGAGCCCGCCCACCGCCTGCGCCGCGAGGCTGTACATCTTGTCCGGCAGCGAGAAGTTGACGGGGTCCGCCGTGCCCCCTCGGCGGCCGCGACCTTGGTCGCGTTGTTCATGGCCACGAACCGGTGCCGCTGAAACCCCTGCCAGTTGTCGACGCGGTTGCGCCCGCCCGTCGCGACGCCGCGCCAGATGACCGAGTCCTTCTTGTCGGCCCAGGCCCCGCCGTGGTACCCGCCGCCGCTGAAGCGCTCCTCCTCGGTCCAGTACATGGCCGCCGGCAGGAGGATCTCGTTGTTGACGGCCAGCTTGGACCCGCCGAACATGGGGAACAGCACGGGCGTCGCCGACGTGCTGAGGGGCTCGATGAAGATGCCGTTGAGGCCCTGTAGGTCGGGCTGGTGGCACAGCTGCGTCGACAGCGTGTAGTTGGAGACGAACCCGTCGCGCATGTGCTCCTTGGCGTATTTCGTCGAGATCGTCGGCGGGCTGTTGAACTCTCTTTGCGTCTTGGCCAACCGGGCCGGGCTGTCGGGGGGCAGCCGCGGCGGGCAATGAGCCAGTACTGTTCTGTAGAGGGTGCCGGAGTTAAAGTTGATCCATATTGTGGATGGGGGAAGGGAGGGGGCAAAAGCAGCCACGTACTCGTAACCTTGTCCCAGTGCTTGCTCAGGACCTTGACGTTGCGGTCGAGTTCCTTCTTGTTGCTAGGCAGCGCCTGGAATGTGTTCATGACCTGTTTCGGCTCCGGCATGCTATGTGTCAGGGCGGCGTCCCTTAAATACTGCTCCATGTCCTCGTACGGCACCACCATGCGCGGCTCGTCCATGGGGTTCAGCGCGATGTCCATGTCGGGCAGCAGGTTCTCAATGGTCTTGATCATGTTGGTCCAGTGGATGGTCCAGAACCAGTCGCTCGTGCGGGTGGCGCGGCCCTTGCGCACCTTGATCACCATCTCCCACTCGGCGGCCTCCTTGCGGATGCGCGAGGCCTCGACGCCCCAAAAGGGCTGCAGGTCGTGGTAGATCTGGTCGAAGAAGTCCTCGACGATGACGGCCTTGCGGTCCTGGGCGAACTGGAACCAGGCGTCGAAGCCCGGCGGCGGGTGGCGACCGCGACGCTCGCGGTAGGCCTTGGCGGCGGCGGTCAGCGTCTTGGACTCCTTCTTGAGCATGTTTTCAAACGTCTCGTCGGCCTCCTTGATCAGAGTGTCAATGGGGTGCTCCTTCGACGAGCCGCCAGCGGCGGCGGTGGCGGAGGGGGGTCTGGAGTCTCCCGCTGCGGGCTTGGCGGCGTCATCGTGGACGGGCGGTAGTATGGGCGTCGACTCGGGCTGGGGAATGGGCTTCTCGGACCCGTCGGCATGGGTAGGTGGTGGGACTGGGTTCGGAGTCTGCGGCGTCTGCTCGGGCTTCTCTGATTGCAGATGCGTCATCGGCACTCTGGGGTATCGCGGGTCGAAGTAGTAGAAGAGGGCGACGACGAAGATGACGACGGCGGCGTAGCGCAGGAAGCTCGAGGGCCGCCGCGGCGCAAAGGAGGGCGTTATGAGCTTGACCATGGTGGGCGGTGGTCGCGCGCAATCGCAGGGAGCGATGGGAGGTGGTCGCAAAGGGGTCTGTCGAATGGTGGTCGGCTTCGAAGACAAGGGAGCTCGAAATCGACGAGGGAGATTGGACCTGGCGGCCGGCTCAGCCAGGCCAATTCAGGTTGCGGCGAACAGTAGCGGACGAGGGTGCGGCTTCGACGCGCAGACGATAGTGGTTGGAGTCGAGCAGGGGGGGATCAAGGTTGTGCGGAGGCTGCTTTCGAAGGGCGATGCGAGGCTTCGTGGCCCGAAATCCAAAGGTGGGAAAGGACACTGGACGCTACGAGATGAGGTTGGGGTTGAGGTCGAAGTCGAGAGAGTCGGGTGCCCGCGGAGGGATTGGGACGAAAAAGAAGGGGACAGAAAGCTTGGCCGAGAAAAGAGGGAAACGGCAGAGGAGGGGGTTCAGAGGAGCGACATTGAACAAAAAGAGAGGGAGGTGGAAGCTCGAGCTCAAGGACGGGAGCAGGGGGCGAGGCGGCTTTGCGCCGAGGGCTCGTTCGTCGGGAGTGTCAAAAAGAACGACGTCGGTGCGGAGGTTGGGGCGATGCGTCCCGGGGGAGAGAGATGACGACGCTTGGAGATGCGAGGTGAGGTGCGGTAAGGAGAGATGTGCAGCAGCGTCGATGAGGAGGGACGAGAGGTCGAGGTCTAGGTCGGGGTCGAAGTCGGGGGTCGAGGTCGGCAGAGCTGGCGGTGGGTTGGACGAGGAGCAAAAGTGGGATGGGCGGGCGTGGATATGGTGATCTGAGGTGGATGGAGCGGATAGACGGACGGGCGAAAAGAATTGATGGAGCAAGACGCGGACTGTGGATATGTTGTTGTTGGTGGTGGTGGTGGTGGTGGTGGTGGTGGTGGTGGTGCTGATGTGGGAGGGATGCTTCTGCTGGTGCCGGGATGGAGCTACCGGTACCACCAGCTGGACCGGGAAGTTGCAAGTAGGAGGAGGAGAATTATTATGGCACTCTGTACAGTACGCGAGTCCCTTGCTGCGTCGGTGTTGTATTGTATTGTATGTATTGTACCCGTATTGGTTTGGCCGTGTGGGAAGAGACGAGGATCGGGATGAGGATGGGCGAGCGAGCGATTGGGTGGAGAGGCTGACGCCCAGGCCAGTTTCAAATGAGCATGGGGATCCTCCCAAGGGTCTCGGGGGGGGGTTCCTTTCCTGCACAACTGACAAGAGAGTCTCTTGGTGGCAGGCTTGGAGTTGATAGTGTTGTTTAGCCTCCCTGCAGGCTGTAGTTCCTCTCTGGTGTGTCTCTGAGTTTCTTTCCCGTGCAGTCGGACTCGGACGGACGGCAGGCAAGCAAGGGGAACCAACTGGCCGTGGCTCGGGTGCGTCGACGGTGGTTTTTGTTCTCGTGCAACGCAGCGCAGGTGCCTCGTCGCGGTCATTGAACCACCGCAAGCTTTCGACTTGTTTCGAGGACGGAGGAGTCAGCATGGAGAGTCCCCGGTGGGCGGTGGGGAGCAACTCTACGTCCGGATGCGGGAGAAGAAGTCGATGACGATGATGGATAGGGGTAACGACACCCGGCCAACCCCGCGAAGATGGCTAACGGCAGTTGAGTGAGGGCCAACTATCTTGATTACTGCGCTCGATACTATGTAAACTAGGTAAAACACACGAACCCTCCCAAGAACTATCTAGACTGGAATATGCATACAACCGAGGCAGGGAAACGGCGTAGGAGAAGAACATCGAACAACAAATTAGAGAAAAAAAGAAAAAAAAAGCCATTGGCAAACGCTAAACCGCGCAGCCAGGGGAACAGGTGCGGGAGGCTGCGCTAAGATGCATGGAAACGCTCTTCGGACCAGTTGGCCAAGCTTTGGCGTTTGCGCCCCCCAGGTTGGCGGTTCCTGAGTGACATGACCCGGCGTTTCGAAAGGGGCACGAGGTTGAGGTACTTTCGCTTTCAACTTTCACCAGCCAGCTAGCCGTGGTGATATCTGTACGCACAAGTACAGGTACGTCCCCCTCATCGCCCACCCAGCGATGGCTGGTGCTAATGTAGGGGGTTCACGATGCTGCTGGCGCTCGGCATTGGAGCTACGCCCCATTACTATGTACACTACACTACGCTACGCTCTTGGGCTAGCGATTGGCACAGCGCGTCAACTGACAGGCTGTCAGGCAGGGGGTGTCGACGATCCGCCCGCATGTGCTCACTGGGTTTCTCTCTCTCTCTCTCTCTCGGGTGTCTTTGCACTCGGAGCGGTCTCATCTCAGCAGCGTCTCCGCCTTGATTACTGAGTGAGAGTGAGTAGTGAGTAGTGAGTGAGTGAGGGAGTGAGTGAAGGAGGGAGTGAGGGAGGGAGTGAAGGAGGGAGTGTCTCTCTCCCCTCCTTGCATGCAATGTTCGGAGTATCGTCAGCTTCATGTTCGTCCGTCCCGTCCTTCATCCCTATCCAGGGCAAAAAAAAAAACACACGGCAACGTGGCCTCTGCCCGTCACATTGCCTCATCTGCCATACTGCAACTCACACGAGGCATAGCCAGAGCCAGAGCCAGACACTGTACTATGTAGCATACACCGTTCTCCCGTTATCCACCTCGCTCGCTCGCTCAAATCACCGCATCATCTCCCACAGATGAAGGCCAGATCACTCTCGTCCAAACACACCCGTCGGCCGTGGCCTTGGCTGTGTGTGGCTGTGGGGGATGGGATTATTCAGTCTCGGACGAGTACTACATGGTACATAGTACAGGTATACGGGGTTCTCTGGAGATGGAGAAGACCCGTCCCACCGCGCAATTGAGACGCAACCAAGAGCCGAGATTCAGATGAGCCGTCCTCCACCCTTCCCCAGTCCTGCTTTTCTCTACCAGGTATGTACACTACATAGTGTAGTTGTACCATGGTACCGTTACCACGCACCCAAACGCGGATCCCCAATGCATGACAACCCCGTCCGCCGCTGACTGGACGGCCGTGGATGGCTGTGCCGACGTTGTGCTGATCGCGGCTCCATCGTCTCGAAACCACACGTGGAATCAGTGTCGGGACTGAAAAGGGCTTCGGCCTGCGTTGTATATCCCACACCCAGGCCGTGGAATGCAAGCGCACGTGTAGTGTGCAGTGCAGGAGGAGGAGGGCTTGCTGAAGAATCGAGCCATCCCGCCATCGAGTCAGGCCCAGTTCGCCCACCCGCGAAAGCTCGACTTTTGACCCCCTCGTCAATCTGTTTCCTCTCGCCCAAATTGCGATGCCGCAAACTTATCAACCATCTCCACGCCTCTCTCAATCTTGTCCAAACAAACGCGCCATCTGCCCGTCAAGCTCGGGTACCCTCCCGTCTCTCTCAATCTTGTTCAAACACACTGCAATAGTAGTTAGTCTCGTCTCATAACGGTGTCGTCATGGCCATCTATCTGCTGTGCGCTCCCCGTCAAAACGCGAAGCAGGCTTGCGTGTTCCCTCCTTTCGCCATCCGTCCCCTGTCTCGCCTCGTCGATCAACCACTCCCCGAACCTCGTCCCATCCCAGGGTGTGCCCCCCTCGACCCTGAACTCGACGCCGCGTCTGCCAAGGACAGATAGATTAAGTCCCCTCTTTTTTCTTTCTGGGCTTCCTCGTCGACCGTCCACGGCTTACTCAGGCCCGTGCCGCTCCACCTTCCCTCCCGTATGCCATACGCCGCCGTACAATGTACGCGGCTCAAGTGCGCTGCCAGACCTCCAAACGACGACTTGCAAACGGACGGAGCAAAGGAGCCGTCGGGTATCCGCAGACTCCGGGTTGGACACGGACGCGGCCATGGTCGCAGGGACGGACGGATGTAGGAGTGTCTTGGTCCGCGACACAGCTGCTTCCATCGCACGTCGTGACGGCGAACAAGATTCAAGCACGCAGCTCTAATTACAGAGTATCTGCGATGCGCTCCAAGTGCACATTTTGCATCCAACCGCCCCCCGGCTTGCGAGAACTCGGTCCCCAACACACCAATCACCAATGGCACCACCCCTATACGGCCGGAGGCCGAGTGAGGGCGCACTGCCATGCCCGGGGAATTTCCTTCTCCCTACTCATCATCGAGCGGACGAACGCCCAGAAACGAGCTTGGCCTCATTATTTCACGTCCCGAAGTTGGCCCTGGTTCACCGTAGAACCCCGGCCGCCGACATGCACTCCCGCAAATTACAGACCACAACCGCGTCGTTTCTGGCGCACCGCATCTGGCATGGGCTTTACTATGGTACACTAAATTTTACACGGCGCATGCTGTTCTACAGATTACGGGCAAAACGCCCCATCGTGCATACATACAATACATGTTATACATACATACTCTCACGCGCTCGTACAGTCGGGCCGGGAAAAGGCTGCCCGCGTCTCCGCAGTCCCCAGGTAGGTGTCCTCCGCCCTCATCGTTACGATAACATGTTGTCCGCCGAGAAGCTGCTGCCGGCGCCGTTGTTGTCGTCGTCACCGGTCTCGACGTCGTCCGCCAGCCGACCAATCAGCTCCTCGTACGACGGCCGGAAGGGCCACGCCATAAAGGCCTCGAGGATCTCCGTCCACTGCTTCTCGTTGAGCACCCGAGCGCACACCTCGCCGTGCCCCGTGCCGGGCAGCCCGCCCTGCTCCGGGTCCAGCAGGCTGGGGCAGTGCGGCAGGATCCCCTCGGCCGCCCCCGGCCAGATGCGCTCGATGGACCGGCTGACGGGGTCCAGGCTCGCCACGAGCATCGACCGCTGCAGCAGCTCGAAAATGTCGCCCGCCCGCGACGTGCCCGGCCCGTCTGCCGGAGCAGCGGGTGCATCGCCTTGGGCTGGATGTCGAGCAGCGCGCACTCAATGTTGGGGAAGAACTCGTCGGCCCGCACGGCCAGCGGCTCGTAAGGCCGCTTGTCCCAGTGCAGCACCGGCGGGTCCTGCGCAAAGAGGTGCAGGTTGTCGCGGATGAGGCGGAAGTCGATGAGGAAGTTCTTGCCCAGCGCCCGCACCTTGTCGTTCCACGCCTTGTCGCGCGCCGCGAGCTCCTCCTCGGGTGCCGCCTTGCTGTGGCGCAGCCGCGCAATCTCCTTCATCTCCTCGAGGAGGGCTCGGTAGTTCTCGGCCTCCTCCTCGTGGCGCTTCGTCTGGTGCCGCAGGTAGACGAGGCGCTTCCACTCCCGCGTCGCCTTCTTCTCCTTGACGATCTTGCCTTCGCGGTACGCCTGTTCGAGCGCCTCGAGCTCGGCGATGAAGGGCCGGCTCAGGTGCGGCACCCGCACGCCCGCCTGCGGCCCGTCTTCCGTGATGTGTTCCTCGATCCGCTTCGTGACCTCCTGCTTGCGGCCCTCGGGTATCTCGAGGCCCTGCGCCTTCATCCTCGCCATCGTGTTCTTGGCGCTGTCCACGTCGATCCACCTGTCCCGCATGAACCATGTGTCGGCCTTGTTGTCCAGCTGCACGTTCCGGCTGGCAACCTCGGCAAGCCACTCGCACGCGAACTCGGCTTCCAGCCCCGACTTCTTGCGCCCTTGTATGTTCTTCGTCAGGAAGCTGCGCGGCTCGTCGGGGCCCATCCAGACGAGCATGCGCACGAGGCCGTACTTTTGGAAGAGCGTGCCGTTGCGGATGCTGCTGATGAGCTGGTAGAGCACGAGCTGCGTCACTGAGTCGAACGCGCGGTAGCGCTTCTTAGGGTAGTACGACAGGTTGGCCGTCACGAGTAAGGTGTCGTTGCGCTCCGGCATTGTGTCGGGACCGCGGGGCTTCGGGGTCTGGTTCTTGATGTGGCTCAGCACCTCGTTGAGCTCTTTCCAGAGAATACCCGACTGGGGGAGGATTTGTGTGTTTGGTTGTTCGAGGAGGGGCTCGAGGAAGGGTCGGTAGAGGTCTTCGTCGGGTTCCATGAGGATATGGGAGCGCGGTTCGAGGAAGTCATGGAGCTTGCGGCTCCAGACGCCGGTGCCGGGGTTGATGTCGACGAGGTCGCAGCCGCGGTGCCGCTCGAGCGTCGGGCCAATGTATTTGATAATGTCATCTGTGAGGACGTCCAGTCAGCATGCTTAAGGGTTTCTTGGGCGTAGACCTCAAGGGTTATGCGCACCGCACAGCTTCTCGTCGACAATGTTGACGCGTGCCTTGTCGCCGAGCGGCCTCTTGACTGTTTCTTTCGGCTTTCCCTTCCCTTTCGGCGCCTTCCTGGCTACCTTTAGTTCCGCCGCTCTTTCGGCCGGCGTGGCCCATACGCCTGTCTTGGCGAGCTCCTTCGCCGTTGGCGTCTTCGTCTGGAGGATTGCCTTGCTCATTCTGGAAGTGGTGCGGGTGCTCGCCGCCCGCGCAAGGAGGCGGCGTGTGAGGAGAGGTTTTTCCCACGCATGGCGGAGGGCAAACATCTGTGTGAGGTGGGGAGTGAGTCGGTGATTGTACAGCCACTAGTTGGCGTGTTCTTGCGACGCTGTGAAGCTCGAATTGCGACGCCGCGTGCGAAGAGCAAATATTTTGCCAGTGTTCACCGCCCGGTCGGGCCCGCTTCGGATTATCGATAAGAGGCCGGGTGGGGCCGGTGGTCGATGATCTCACCGGCGGATGATGGGTGGTCTGGCTCGGACGCCCGACATTGAACCCGCTCGCGGTTGTTCAACGGGGCCGCGAGGGCCGCGAGGGCCGTAAGCGATTTTTCTTGATGGAAACGTGTTGATTAATAATTGCTCTATTGTCTCAGTGTACTGGCAAGCGTGACTTGATTATTTCTTGCAAGACACAATACAGAGCTACCACCTGAAGAACCGATGCAACATATGTACCAAGAGCAATGGAAAGCGTGATTTAGTGATCAGCTCTCAGAGTAGCGTGCTGGACTACGGGCTACATATTTCATGAAGAAGATTCATTCAGGCCCAGCACCGTCTTCAATAGACTGTTGGCACTGACGACTTCTGCAAACTCCCCATCCAAACTAGCCAAACTGACAGCATGCACTGTTTCGGCGTCAAATCCACCCTTCTCATACGTAGCGATCGCATCACGAACTAGCACGATGCCGTGTACACCCTCTCCGTTCCCGTCGGGCCCACCTCCATCTCCCAAGACCTGCAGGTTGGCCGCCATCCTCGCCGTGGTGCTCACGCAATGATCCGTCGTCAGCCCCACAAGCACGAGCTGCCGGATCCCAGCGGACCGCAGGGTTGACTCGAGCTCCGTGCCGACGAAGCCGCTGTTGAAGTTCTTGGTGAAAGTGGGTTCCGATGCGAATGGTGCTGCAAATGACAAAGGCGCGACGGAGGGCGTGGAGGAGCCCTCGAGGTAATGCGACGGGTGGAGTGCTGATGTAGGTGAGGTGGAATGGTGGTGGACGTGGATAATGAGGATCGGACGTGTCTCGGATGGCTGAGAAGACTCTACGGTGCTGTTGTATTTGCGAAACGATTTGAGGATTGTTTCGACGTTATGCTCGAACATTGGCGTGCTGCGTGAGTTACCCCAATGTGTTGGGTGTTTGAAGCCTTCTTGTATGTCTATCAAGACGAGAGCAGTGGGGTTCGTGGACGCGGGACGCATGGTGGGCAATGGGTTACAAGAGGGAGCATTCCAGTTACTCACTGCCACATTGGCGCTCCAAACTGTATTATGTCTTTTGGTTCGGAATCTGTTGATGAAGATGGTGAGTGACTCATCTCATTCTAATGAGCTGACTACAGGTGCTTGGCACTGTTCGAGGGAAAACGTCTGTTAGTAGTGCAGCCAATCATCCGAAGGGCGTACAAAGTGGGGCACATAATGACACCTTGCTAAGGCGCGAATTGACTATCTCAAAACCCTCAAGTTCGTTTCGAGTCTCCTGTTTTTTTTTCCGGGGGGTTTTTTTTTCAAAGTGCTTATAGATTGAAAGTCATTTAGCATCCAGACGTTAGCACTTCTTCAACGTTCGGTTTCGAGACCGATCTCAAATCTCTGCCGAGTCATAGACAAGACTCAACAGCCATGCCGAAACGTAAGGCCGGGGACGTGTTTTTCCATGAACATGGCGTTATTCATGCTGTTGTGATAACTGCACCATGGCTGTGGCATGCCAGGCCTTGATCACATTGCAGAGATAGCTACTCGCTACACCTTCCCATCCAATTACATAGGCGACGTCTTTGACAACCTCATAAACCTAGAAGGGCCCCCCTAAGATTTGAGCCGCGGCTGGAACAGTGCTGATTACAATTTGCATAAAGTATGGAGTCGTCGCTGAAGTCGCCTACAGGATATCATATCGTAACAGCAATCGGTAGCAACGAGTTTCAGGTATTCGCAGCCGTGGGGAAGTAATTGGACTCTGTGATTGGCTTCTGGAGGAAACATTGTGTGATGAGGCCTTACTCCTCGATTGTTGGGCCACATGCCAGGTGCAGTAAATGTAGAGAAGGGAACCTGACAGCAAATCTTGGACATTGACGCAGTGGGAGACGGCCGTATTTCGTGGGAGTTGAAGAATCCACTCGCACCAGCAACTCTCGGTGTTCGGACATTTAAGCGCGGGCCGTCGTTTAGTCAAGCTTACCCCAGGTGAAACTAACCCACAACGGACTGACCTACCACCCCGCGTCCGACTGGGGTAATGTCTATCTGTGTATCCTGAACGAATGAGACGAGGGTAAGGATCGAAGTTGTCATCGACTTATAGTCCGCGGCCGGCAGAGGAGGCGATCCATCCCCCACCGGCCCGAGTGGGATGGCCGAACCCCTCCCACGGCTATCATTCTTATTCAAAGATGAGTGATTGGCCACCCTGAAACGAGATTCTGCTGCCCAAATCAACTACAACTCTTCAGGTGCTTGGTGTATCAAGCTTGGCTCAATGACTGTCCTCAATATGCAAGCCATGGGTTACGGCCTATTGGCCATTCTTACGGTCTTTGTCGCACGAGTAAGTTTGCCCCATCTCTCAGCATGCTGCTCTCCTCCAAATCTCATGGTTAATGCTGTCTAAGATTATCCTTACCGGAGTCACGTGTTCGATCGGCCATTTGCCGGGACCATGGTATACTCGCTTCTCTCACTATGCTCTGAAGCTCTATACTCTCACCGGTCGACGCATGCACTATGTGCACACACTTCACCACAAATACGGTCCTGTTGTCCGCATTTCACCGACCGAAGTTGCAGTCGCAGACCCCGAAGGCTCCGCTGCCATTCACAAGATTGGTGCTGGGTTCCTCAAGGGGCCATGGTATTCGACACTCAACCCCAAGGTTGAGCCAGGCATCTTTTCCATGATTGACCCGAAGCAGCACGCGGCTCGTCGGAAGCTTTTTGCCCGTGCATTCACGAGTGCGTCGTTGCGTCAGAATTGGGAGTCTATCGTTCGGCAGAAAGTTGAGAGGGCGGTGGAGCGGATCAAGACGGATGCTCTCAACGGCAAGGCCGATGTGCTGAAATGGTGGACGCTCATGACCACCGACGTCATTGCCCACCTGTCTTTCGGCGAGTCCTTTCAGATGTTGGAGCTGGGCGAGGTACCACCCTTTGATGGCATGACTTTGACACGTCGTGATGCTAATGAAGAGACAGAAAAACGAATACATCAAAGCCTTGGAGTCGGTTTTCGTCATGAGCACGATTCAAAACGAGCTGCCGCTTCTGTACCATCTGGCACGCTTCCTCCCAGTCAAATCCATTCAAAGCGTGCTTGGCGCTCAAAAGGTTGTGGATAGTCATGCTGGCAGAGCAGCGGCGAACCTACGCCAGAATGGACACTCGGCAAACCTTTTTGGCAACATGCTCGCCGAGAGCGAGGCGGGAGAGAAGTCAGACTTGACGGAGGACAAAGTTCAAGCTGAGGCGGGAAACTTCATCATTGCTGGATCCGACACGACGTCGGTTTCCTTGACCTATCTGGTCTGGGCCGTTTTGAAGAGACCTGGTCTCCAGATTAGATTGGAGGAAGAGCTGGCGGGTATCCCTGATGATTTTGATGACGCTAGCCTTGAGAGACTCCCGCTACTCAACGCCGTCATTGATGAAACCCTTCGTCTCTATGGGGCGGCTCCAGGCAATCTGCCGCGATCTGTACCTCCGAACGGAGCCACCCTTGGCGGCTACTTCATACCTGGTGGCACTGTTGTCGAAACGCAGGCATACACTCTTCACCGACATCCAGATGTTTACCACGATCCCCTACGGTGAGTTTAATTAAATCACATCATCCACAAAGCACTGCTAACCGTACTCAGGTTTGACGAGACTCGCTTCTTGAACCAGGATTCGCTCTCGAAGCAGCAGAAGCAACTGTTTTCGCCTTTTGGAGCGGGCACCCGCATTTGTATTGGGCTGCATCTTGCACGGATGGAACTTCGTCTTGCTACAGCTACTTTCTTCAGAAAGTGCCGTGGTGTAAAACTTGCGGATAACATGACGGACGATATGATGGAGATGCAGAACTTCTTCTTGATCAGCCCGGCCGGACACCACTGCGATGTGACATTGAGATCGTAGTATAGCTAATAAAGCAATTCTTTCAACACTTCATGGCATATTGTTATCGCCGATGCCAAGTCACAAAACTTAACTTTGCTAAGGTGATTGATGAAGTAAATCTATGCCATCCGCCAAAACGAATCGGATAAGGATTAAGAATGTAAAGTCCGTACCAACGCCACCTTCATTCCTTTGATCGCCTGCTCAAGGAAGTTGAGAAGCCCACGGTCGTAGGTCGTTCAATCCGCTCCTCAACCAGCTAGCTGGTACTTACTAATGGCATAGACAATGCATACACAGTGCCTATGGGTACGAATACGAAGACGGCAGTCGGCTCAAGGGAGGCAGCGACAATCTTCTCGGCGCAGCTTGACCCCATCTACCTGTCTAGCTACGGTACTGCGGGGTTTAGTAAAGTTTATGGTGAGTAAACCACGCTTCAAAGTATGACATAAAAAGCAAAAATGGGGACCGGATACCCGTATTCATACCTTCCGTCAGAAGTGAGATTTGTCGAATAATATTCTCGCTTGAACAATTACATGCACGTCATCGTTTTCTTCCGACGCTTCTAATGTCTCCCGTCTTGAACACGTTTCCACTTACCAGTATGCAAAGGACTGTCCCTATTTCTGACGAACCTCAAATGCCTGTGTACATTTCAAGGAATAACACAGCAGTAAAATCGTAGTTGATTGCTACTCTGGCTATCAATTTATCCAGGTAGCCGCAAACTCATATTTGAAAACTTTGAACACTTTTAATCAGGCTCGCCTGCCACTGCGCTCCGACCACAATCAAGACCTTGCTCTTACCCCCCTCTCACCTAAAGGCCGTTCGACTCTTTCCAAGTACTCGGGTTGCATAGGAATGGTGTGCCTGTCTCTGGCTGCGACCGACAGGGGTCTGTGAGTACATACAAAAATTGGCCGCCCCCCTCACACGTTTCTTATTCCTGCATGCTGTGTGCACAAGCCCTATGAGATCGACGAATGGCTGGGTCGAGGTCCAATCTCAGAAGGCGTGATTTCGAGGCAGTTACATGCAGCTACCAGAACTAAGGAGCCTTTCAAGAGGGGCCAGCATCAGTCTCATGCCGGCAAGCGGCCGCCGGTTCCGGAGACTGACTACATGACAAGTCTTGGCTTAGCTCCTTGGGAACAGGGCAAGGAGCCAAGATGATTCGTTCATGGTGAAAGCTGTCATTTTTGCATTGATGATTGTTCAAAACCCTTTGACATGACAGGTTGGGAGCTTGTAAGTTAAAGGATTATACCATCACGACAACCCCTCATTTGACAAGCCGATGGCCGAAAAACGAGCCAGTGACAGACTGACACCGCGATGACCAGCAATTGCCACTCGAACAAGACAGAAGCTGAGCTGTATGCATCAAGTTAGAGGTATCCTAGTCGAAGCTCCCTTTCTGCGTGACTTACAATCCCCCTGCACTAATTCCAGCCTCAATTCCCTTGGCAACGAGCTGTTCCGTCTCGCCTCGAAGGTCATGTTTCTGAGCCAAACACCAACGCCTAAGACAGCATAATGCCTAGGAGGATTTTTACAAACGAAAGGTCCTGAATCACTCTACTGCAGCTCTACGCCAGCCGAGGATCTTGACTACTGTCAGTATCATGTTGGCCAGAGTACGCTCTCTGCTTGAAGATTCGCAACGATCTCTTTGCAACCCGAACGCAACCCCTGAACTACGGCGGAAAGGTCTTGCCATCCTAAGAGAACGCAGTGTGAGAGGCTCAGGGAATCCGGGTCGCAGCTACCGACTGCGATGTCTTTGGTTCCATGCATCTGTTCTCGAAGTCCCAACATGTGCTAGGGCCAAATTTGATAAGTTGTTTTCTTTTCCAACATGTGGAAAAGGGCCCAGAGTGTCTTCATCGGGAACAGGTAGGTTCTTCTTTTATTGATGTGGCCCCCAAGCTTGGTGCCCGGGGGCACGGAAAGCTTACACCTCATCTAAACACACCCGTCAGCGAAGCCATGGCGCTCAGAACACACGACTTAGGTATTCCATCTATGCTTGCGACAAGAAGCAACTCTTCGGATACCCAAATCTTCATTAATGTCTCCAAAGATCCTGCGCCACGGGTGGTGGCTTCAATATGGGTCATGATCTCTATGGCATCCGTTTTCCTGTTTCTCCGGGTCTATTGCAAAAAGATTAGGTCGCGGGGATTGTGGATAGATGACCACATTTTGATCGTGTCTTGGGTAGGAACCTGAACAGGAAACAACGTCAAATATCATTTCAACTGACGCTGTGTTTTACTAGATGTTCCTGTTGACTTCTACATTCCTCACCACGGAGCTCATGAGACTCGGTTTCGGGAAAACCATCGATTTCACACGGCACATGCACACCCTTTCCTCCGTCAACGTCGTAATCAACAATATCGCATTGGCTCTCAGCAAGACCTCATTTGCAGTCACCATGCTTCGCATCTCGTCGGGCGGGCAGAAAGTTTTCATCTGGTTTATGATCATATCAATGAACACGATCCTTGCGACCGGCGCCATCACGGGTTGGAAAGCCGCTTGCGACAGACCAGCGGACTCGTACGAAGCCGTACTTCCGGGCTCTTGTTGGCGAGTTCAAGATTCAGTAGTGATGGCGATGGTGTCGAACGGTGCGTTGAACGTCCTACGACATGTCCCCATACATCTATTCGGACTGCACTGACATAATATTAAAGGCTATTCTGCACTCGTCGACTTCATCCTGTCACTTCTTCCATGGTCTATAATCTGGGGGCTTGGGATGAAGCGTCACGAGAGAATTGGCGTTGCTGTAGCCATGAGCCTGGGCATCATCGCGGGCCTGGTCGGAGTCATCAAGGTCGTCAAGATTGTGACCATAGCCGAGGTTGCAGACATTCCGTGTGGGTATCGCCGATGATTCGTTTCGATTGTCCAGCTAATTTGAGAGTACAGATCATCTTTCTTTACTTTTTATCTGGGGGCAAGCAGAACCCAATGTCACCATTGTTGCCTCGTCAATCCCAGTGTTGCGAGTGCTGTTTACCGAAATGTACGATACTTCGAGGTTGAGTAAAAGAGGCGGCTACTTGAAGTCGAACAAGCAAAGCGGGTTTCCATCTGATATGGGAATGAGAACACTTGAAGAGGGCCGGAAGATCGAAGAAGAGACTACCCGAAATATTCTGCAAGCTATGGGGCCATCAACGACGACGGACTCCAGCATGCGTGCTAGGGAGGTTGAGGTTGGATATGATTCAATGAACGAGATCACGCAGGATACACATCAGTTTGTTTTGCGGAACTCTGAGAGCTATGAGAGAGTGCTGAACTAGCGAAAGTATCGAGATAATCGAGGCACGCTCTGTTCTAAGACTGCAATCCAAATACCACTACCCTCGCTTCAGAACTAGACGCAAAAGTCTTTGATAACGTTCTCCAAGACGGATGTCACTTCTCGGAGACTGTCAATACTGACCACTCCTCCTTGCCATGGATCCCATAGCCACTGGGTCCATACACGATAGATGGAATGCCAACCTCATACAACAACGCGGCGTCGCACCAGAATGACAATGCTGAGGGGCCGGGGCTTTGCCTAGCGTTCTTGAAACACCCGCCACAAATGTGTTGACAAAATCGTCTTCTGCGTTCAGGCTAAAGGACGGCCGCGAAAACGTAACGCGGGGAGGAGAGTACGTGAACTCGGGGTTGCTAGACCCGATGCGCTTCAAAATGGCCTCGACGTCGTGGAGAATGGAGTCTGACGTCTGTGACGGAATGGTACGAAACTCGACCGTGAGAGTGCAGCGCGCTGGATAGCTCGAGGGCTCCTCACCGCCCTGGATCAGACCAGCATGCAACGAAGCCTTTCCCAGACGGGGATCTGATGGCAGTGTCTTGGAATATTCTAGGAGTGCCGTCTGTACCGCTCCTGCAAGCAGTATAGCATCCACGCCTTGTTCAGGCATAGATCCATGAGCCGCAACGCCAAGAATCTCGATCTCAACCCAGACAAATCCCTTGTGGGCGATGATGATCTCTTGGGACGTAGGTTCTGGGATGATGGCTGCATCGGCTCTCCATCCAGCTCCGAGGACCTCTTCTGTACCAAATGAGAAGTTTTCTTCATCGGCTACAGCAGCCAAGATCACATCGCCACGTAAAACCGAGCCAGAAGATGAGTTGAGCTGAGCCATTGCAGCCATGGCAGCAGCGACGCCAGACTTCATATCTGCGCTCCCGCGTCCAAAGATTCGTCCTCCCCCTTCCGGTCTCAGCTCCCCACTCAAGGGATCAAGGTCCGATGAGTAGCTTGACAGACTGACTGTATCAATGTGTCCGTTCAACATGATAGACTTGCCGCCTCCCTGACCGCGGAGCACACCCACTACCGATGGCCTGCCCGATTTCTTCTCCAACCAGTGAGCTTCGATGTTGCGGTGCTGCAGCCAGGCGGATATGTAATTTGCAATCTCTGTCTCTCCCGCGCCTGAAGCCTTGGACAAATCTGGGTTCGAAGAATCGATGGAAGTCAGAATCTGTGTCAGCTTAACTGCGTCATCAACCGACACGTCCAAGGGGTCTTGTAATTGCGCTGGCCCTCCGTGTTCAACAGTACCACCACGGCGTCCTTGGAGAGAAAGCTGGGTCGCGGACTGACTTCGGCAAGGCGTCGAAGTGCCGCAACTGTCGCACCACCACAAGGCCCGCTCTTGACACCATTGTTCCTGAGATACTCCACGGCCTCGTGGGCCTCAAAGTCGGAGACAGTCGCGCTGGCGTCAATACCCGCCTGGAGATCATCGAACGCTGTAAGCGAAACGGTGCCACAGTTGAGTCCTTCCATGACGGTTCGGGATGTGTGCACCGACACCGGTTTGCCGGCCATGAGACTCGTCCAAAGACATGGTGCAGTATCAGGTTCGACGGATAAAACTGCACAGTCCCGTCCCCCAGACTTGCAATGGGATACGACTGCGTGGGCCAAAGAACCAACACCGACAGGCGTAACCATCAAGGTCGGTTTCAGCCCCTTGTCAGCAACTTGCTGTTCGGCCTCGAGGACAAGAGTTGAATACCCCTCTACAATCCACGCGGGAATCTGCTCGTAGCCCTCAAACGCGTTGTCTTGAATCAATAGTCCGCCGGCGGTTGACGCTGCAGCTTTCCATGCTTCCAAGACGGCTTCGTCGTAATGTGAGTCGGTCACAATGACAACTGCGCCCTCGGCTGCGATTCGTTTAACAGTCTCATCAGCCACGCTGCTGGGGATGTAAATGTGCGCAGGAATGCCCAGGATCTTCGCCATAGCTGCGACAGCTCTGCCGTGGTTACCCTCAGTCGCCGCGTATAGCGAGATGGAGTGCTGTTGAGCGGCCTTGGCGACTTGATCCAGTGACAAGTCGGCAGGCAAGTTGAGTTCAGTCGTGATGGCGCGGTACGTTCCCCATGATGCCCCAAGAATCTTGAAGGCAGGGAGTCCCAGCCTGTTGCTCTCGTCCTTCAGGTACACCGCCTTGACGCCCAGTTCTTGGGCGAATTCATCAAGAGAAACGAGTGGTGTCCTTGCGAAAGAAGGAAGCTGTTGATGAAAGACTTGTGCAAGGGATCCGTTGGCAATAGGACTGACTTTCCCGAGTTTATCGTTGAGATATACGCTTCTGCGTCCGTGGGCCATGATCAGGGTTTGAAAATGTGATGACGTCGTTACTTCGGGCTGCGTACTGTCGAATTGCATACAATTTCAAGTCAAGGTGAATGGGGGTTAGCAGTAAGCCTTTATAGCAGATCCTTTCGTCCAGGAGCCTCCTTCTCACTGTGTTTCACAACGCGTCGATTGTAATGCCACTGTATAAGGCCATTGTCGTCAATCGCCTGGTGTTGTTGCCAAGTCATACTAGACTCGGAGTTATCAGCCGGTTGAGGATGCATGTGTGGACACTGGGAAAACGCTTGACGAATTAGAAGTCTAGTTGCGGCCGATGGTGGAGCAGCCTGTCACGAAAAGGCGCGAAAGGCGCGAAAGGCGCAAGCAACGGGAAGACATTCCAAAAAGGACGCTGCTTAGTGAGTCAAGAAGAACACAGATCTGGAGACTTAGACCGTTCTACGGTGACTCATTCGTCGTTGGTCAACTCACTAGCACGGCGGCTCATATAAAGTTTGTCTGGTCAATCTGTCGTTTGAGCCTTATTGACAACCATTTCCCACCATCTTTATTCTGCAAATCCGCCCTAAAACGACACAAAATGGAGCTTCCTTACACAACCGTCGATGTCTTCACCGACAAAGCCTTCGAAGGCAACCCATTGGCCATCGTCACCATTCCTGCTTCCATTTCCCTGACGCAAGAACAAAAGCAGGCCATTGCAAGGGAGTTCAATTACTCAGAGACTACCTTTGTACACGAGGTCGACGACCCCGCATCCACGGAGAGGCGCTTCGACATCTTCACTACACACGAGGAACTTCCCTTTGCGGGCCACCCAACCGTCGGCACGGCCGTCTTTCTAAAGCCCCGAGGCGTGAAGAAGTTGATCGCCAAAGCCGGTCCAATCGCCATTGATGAAACTGGCGCCGACTCCGTGCGGGCTGCCATCCCCCACAACACCCGCCTTCACCAGAAGCGCCTGAGAGACCTTGGTCCGGGGCCATACAGCGACTCGGTAGAGGAGCTCGCAAAGGCCGAGGTCGACGCGCCCGTGTTTAGCATCGTTGACGGTATGACTTTTGCCCTCATCGAGCTGCCCTCACTGGAATCTCTGGCGTTGGCCAAGGTGGGGCCGATGAAGTTCCACAAGCATGAGCTCCTGGATGAGGGTTGGCGCAACTCTTTCATCTCGAGGTACTACTTTGTGCGTCTTGGGACTGAAACTGTTGACGGCCGCATCGTGCAGAAGATCAGAACTCGTCTGATTGAACCTGATCTGGAAGATCCGGCTACGGGTAGCGCTGCCTGCGCGCTGTCTAGTTACTTGAGTTTGCACGAGCTCTCTGATGAGTCGCTCAGCTTTGAGATCACTCAGGGCGTTGAGATGGGTCGCAGAAGCAACATCTATATTGATGCCAAGGTTGGAAAGGGCCCCGAGGGTGTACGCAAGCTGGAAACCTTGCATCTGGGAGGAAAGGCAACAAGGGTCATGAGCGGCACCATATTTTTGAAGTCATGAGCGACGCCACTAAACGCCCTCGAGTTTAGGGGAAAAGCTTGACATACGAGGTCAATGTTCAAAATTGTAACCAAGAACAAAAGTTGTAAATTCAATTCGCCAAGGAAAATCGTCCTGCTTAGAGGTTGATGTTCAAGCCGAGGGTGTTATTGAAAGTAACAGTTCCCCAGTACGGTTCTTGGCCAGCGTTTCCTACGTTGACATAGGTGCTATTAGAAAAGACTCCCTGCTTCGCGAGCGCCAGGAGCCAGTCCTTGATATCCCCTTCGAATGAGCCTCCCTCCAAGTCTCCGAACTGGTTGGTCTCGGGGGCGAGGAGCGAGGACACCGTGATGCCGGTGTCAGTGTTCTTGCCTTGGTACAGCTTCCATCCGTTTTTACCGAACAGCCCGTCAATCGTCGCTGTCGGTCCCTCAGCCCAGCCGATGGGCAGCTGCCCGCCCTCCCAGCGAAGCCAGAGCATAAGCTCCTGGGCATTGCTGGATGTGCTGTCGCCCTTAGTATCGGAGGTCATGAAGTCGTAAACAACGTTGCCTGGATATGAGGTTAGCGAACATGTTCATGTAACAACAATCTCACACACCCGGCTTACCCTTGTATGCAGAAGAGTTGGAAACGGTCCAGCTGTACGTGCTGGGGATGCTCCGAATGTCGCTGAGTTTGGTCTCCAATTTCTGCGTTAAACCAATGAACGAGTAGCCCTTGACAACGTCCTTATTGATCGTGGGGTCAATGTCCCAGATGCTGCTCCATTGGATGCGCTGCGCGTCGCCGGTGCCGGATGTGCCGGAGTAACCTGTGCAAGCCGATCCGCTGATGGACTTGTAGTTGTAGTTCATGGAGTAGACGATCCACGGTGTGCCCATAAGGACCTCGAAGTCGTTGGGGGCGCCGCAAAATGTCTTTTCGGCGACCACGGCGGACGCGAAGACGGCCGGAGCCAGATAGCGAGAGACGTGCATGGTGCTTATCAAATCTGTGGTGTATTCCGTAAAGACTGAGAAGCAAGCAGGTGCAGGCTTGATGCGACAAAATAGACGCGGTGTTTCGCTTTTGGGGCCAACGTTTGTTATTATCTACATTCTGTAGTTTTTGTCAAAGAGTTAACCCCCTGCCGAGAACATTTGATAAACTTACTGGAGAAGAAGGGGCATCTAATAACCAGAGAAGCAGACCACAATGTTGCCGTAAACACCGGACTAAATTGCACTCATCAATCTGAAACTAACCGCCGATCTCACAACCCTGGTTAAGACGGGAGATTTTTGCCCAAGCCTGCATGTCGAAACGGCATTGGCACTCTGTAAGGAGCTCTGGAAGGAGAGCGAGCTAAGAGTTGTCACCCTAGTGAGTCTGTTGGCTAGCCCCCCGCGCTAATCTCTACTCGATGGTGCGGGATCTGGTTTTTAGATAGCATTTGCTCTCAGTTTAAGTGCGGAGCGGCGTCAGCTGTGGGATCTGGACTGTCATTTTGGAAGCAGTCCCACAAGTAATGAAAGCCACTATGATTCCGGTTGCGCCGACTTAACGAGACTCAAATATCTCAGATGTCCTAGTAACTCTTAACGCTCATTACATGTTTTATGCCTACGAACATGCATTCGTTCGTATGTGACGATTCGATTATGAGTTCACTTCATACGTATCAGAGTATAACACCTCGATCTACCTCTGAACGCGCAGGAAAAGTGGACAGGAAATACATTTGGCGCGGCGGGATGATGGGAGTAGGCGATCCCTTAGAATCGAAATCAAACACTGGGACTTGTATTGACATAAGGCTTTTTGCCAATTCCGTCACCTCCCCTCAGCGTATTGAAGCGATCAATTATCGCAGTAATAAGGCCAGAAACAAAATCAAGGCGGATGTTTATTCGGCCTGAGCGGATGGGTGACGACCACATGCGTTTTGCGTGGGGTGACCCCCTTTTCGGCTGGCGGTCAACATGGCAGAAAGTGATCAATTTAGCTCTTACCCGCATGCCGCAACCCTCTGGAGGATCAGCCTCATGACCCTTTCAGGGCTTTCAGGGGCTCATTTCACAGTAAGCTGGCTATTCCCAATCCGTCCTCAGCGTCGAGCAGAAATGAAGCTATTCCCAACCTCTGGGCCTGCCTGTTTCTTTCTTCTTGGCCATTGCTACACTCACCTCATCTGCCGTCGCGCTCCACAAAGGCTATTTGTAAGCTTGCAGAGATTTCGTTCTCCTTAGCCTTCAGAATGGATACCAAGGGCAGGGCGCCTAGCCAAGATCGGTAATCGAAACCGTCTTACCAATCACTTACTGGAGAACATGAGGGCATGTCCATCGCATCCATGACCTGATCGTCGCGACCCTTTTGGTCAAACCAGCGTTAGCATGGCATTTCACGTGTTGCTCTGCCAAAGCGACAGCTGGATCGATAGCGAATCCCGAACAGTCCGAAAAAAAGCGGAGAGTTCACTCCGTATGGGCGGATTGGTGCCCGAGCAGGGGCGTTACGACTGCCGAGTCAGTAAGAATCGGTCAAAGAATGTCGCATTGCTGGGCCCAGTATGACGGTATGAGTAGCCATTGCGTCATGCAGACACTATTCGAAGCAAAGAGCTCCAACCCCATGATTCTTCGAAATCTCTATTGTTGACTATAAGGACGGACGCTGCACGCGGGTTGCAGACCAAGTACAACAACTTCAGGTTTGAATTGCATTACACTCTCAAATACCAAATATTATCACAATTATCATCCATCATGGCTCCCACAACCACCAACGCCTGGTCTATCACCGGCATCAACAAGAACGGCAACAACTGGGACACTCTCGAGCTGAAGAAGAACGTCCCCATCCCCAAGCTAGGCGACTATGATGTTCTCGTCCAGATTGAGGCCGTCTCTTTGAACTACCGTGACTTGGCCATCCCTAAGGTTAGTACGCCCACAACGTAGACACACCATCATGCGGGTCACTAACACGAACCAGGGTCTCTACCCCTTCCCGGTTAGCTTCCCCCGCGTCCCGGCATCCGACGGCGCCGGCCGTGTTCTCGCTGTCGGCTCCAAGGTCACGAATCTCAAGGAGGGCGACAACATTGCCACTCTCTTCAACCAGCACCACCAGGCCAACCCCATCACTCCCCTTGGCGTGAAGAGCGGTCTCGGCGGCGCACTCGACGGCACCCTCCGTCAGTACGCTGTGTTCCCCGAGCACGGCCTCGTCAAGTCACCCAAGACCCTCAGCTCCGTCGAGGCTGCCACCCTGCCCTGTGCACCCCTGACCGCCTGGAACGCCCTCTACGGCCTGCAGTCCAAGGCCCTGAAGCCCGGCGAATACGTCCTCACTCAGGGCACCGGTGGCGTCAGCTTGTCCGCCATCCAGTTTGCCGTTGCTGCCGGCGCGATCGTCATCGCAACGACCTCGTCTGCCGCCAAGGGAGAGCAGCTCAAGAAGCTCGGCGCCCACCATGTCATCAACTACAAGGAGACGCCCAACTGGGGTGAGGTTGCTAAGTCATTGACCCCCGACAACGTCGGCGTTGACCACATCATTGAGGTCGGCGGCCCCGGTACCGTTGCGCAGTCTCTCAAAGCCGTCAAGCTCGAGGGTGTCATTTCCATCATCGGCTTCCTGTCCCACGGCGACAGCCCCAAGGACCAGCCTACGCTGCTGGACGCTCTTGCCAACATTTGCACCATTCGCGGTATCTTTGTCGGCTCGAAGCAGCAGTTTGAGGAGATGAACCAGGCGATCGACGCCAACAAGATCAAGCCTGTCGTCGACAAGAAGATCTTTGGCTTTGAGGAAGTCAAGAACGCCTACCAATACCAGTGGGACCAGAAGCACTTCGGCAAGGTTGTTATCAAGATTTGAAGGATGCATAATGAAATCTTTGTACGTTAGTTTGGTATAGGCTCGCATGCATTCGTCGATAAAGACGTGCATGTTTGAGCATACTTAATGCAGTTATGACCACAATTAAACGGTTCCATCGAGTTCCTATTAGCCATTAAATAAATCAATGTATTTTAACATCAAGTGCATCAAATGAGAGAATGATTCGGCATGCAAATGTAATTCAGCTATACTTAATCATACATTGTCCGATAGTGATTACGCGTCGTCGCCCTGCGAAAGTCCATCGTGACGCTCAGTAGGGACTGCTTTAGATCCTGCAAAATAAATACCCCTCCCAAACTCCAAGTTTTCAGCCCAGATCCCATAAACATCTTCTCAAGAGCTCTTGCTTTCCTCTTGCTCAGACACGTCCTCGACACGTCTGTCAAAGTTCGTGTGTCCTGAATCGCTGTTGCGAAGAATCCGCCCCTGGGGAATGGGACGGCCAGAGGAGTCGTAGTCCCGGCGTTCTGCGTAGATCGGTTCTCCTGTCCGCATGGATGCAGTTCGAATAGTGGTGCCGGAGGGGCTGATCTCATGCTTGCGGGCCCATCGCTTTTCCTCAGTCTTACCGTTGTGGCTGACTGAGGAGGAGATGGAAATCGATGATGAGAAGGAAAAGGGCATGGTTGATGGTTTTGCTTTTCGCAATTTGATATAGGTTCAGCCTAATGTGGTTTCGTGATGATATTGGCAAGATGAGGTTAAGGAGAATGACAATGTCGCTGTCCTGCTCTTGGGGAAGAAGCAGGTCGAAACATTGGAGCCGGCGGTCTCACAATGAGCCTACATCATCACCCCACTACTACGTCATGTAAGGTGATAAGAAAATGCTTATTCAGCGTGCATGAACGGACACAACCCCATTTCTTCATACAGTATGCGGGGCTCCGTGCTCACGTACGGGATGCAGTTTAAAGTTGTGCAATTGCTCTGGCCGCCCTTGCTCAGGCTCGCGTCACCCGTGCTAAGTGCTGTTCAGGATGTAAATCACCACAACCACCCCTCCTTGGACGCATCCAACTGTTCATTCAGATTTTAACCCTGCTTCATTAATCCTTAGGCATTGTCAACTTTACACGCTCTTTACTAAATACGAGGCCTCAGCCGCTGCCGCCTGCCGTAGGGCGCTCTCTGGTCCTCAGAGGTCTTAACGGAGTCGTAACCTATAGGTACTTATTATCAAGCCACCGCAAGAATAACAGGCTTTTACACCACCTCACTAGTATGCGATTAACGATCAATAAAAGTCTTTAGTGAATCCTGTCTCGGGAACGTTTCTTTGAGCTGTTGCAGCCTAAGGGCGACGTGGGTTTCCCGATCGCGGTCATCTAGCGCGTTAACGAGGCATTATCGGAAACAAACTGAGCCGCTCACATTTTAGACATAGAGAACTAAAAGTATGAACAAGTAGCCTCCATTTAACCCTCTATCTATCGATATCTTGTAGAAAAAGAGCAGGATAATCCCAACTCTAGATTTAGCAGCAGTGAGGCCCACACCTTCTAAAAGCCATCAAATTGTACGAGAATCACCCTTCCCGAAAGACAGCCGATGGCTACTAACGAACCGCACACGGAAGATGCAAACGCTGGTCGAAAGTTAGGTGGTAACCATAGGAGATGATTCCCACACCAAGTTATCCAGCTGCCATCCTTGCTGATACCATAACCTTGGCGAAAAGCTTCAAACTCTACCTTGTATACGTCCAACTGACCACTAATAGAAATTGCACCCCCATCAGTAAGAATAGATGAACCGTCTGGACTAAAAGACAGCCTATGAGACACGAATCCTAGGTTAACTAACTTCGGCTTCCCGCTTTTTTCCACCGACCAAAGCTTGACGGAACGATCCAGATACGTCGATGCCATCAACTGGCCATCGGGCGAGAAGGCCACCGAGGTGATTAGAACTGCTAGCATCTCACCCTTACGCTGGTATACTCCCGTAGCCACCGACCAGAGCCTGATGGTGCAATCACCTGACGCTGATGCCACGACCTGGCCGTTAGGCGAAAAGGCGACTAAGTTGACCCTATTTTGGTGCCCCTTGAGCGTCTTCTGGCATATACCTGTTGCTGCCGACCAGAGCTTGATGGTCTTGTCATGTGACGCTGACGCCACGACTTGGCCATCACGCGAGAATGCCACTATGTCGTTCAGGTGCGGCCAGATCACCCGCCGCCCTAAGGTCGCGCGATCGGGGTGAGTAGGAGTCTACACATAAGCTTACAGTGTCCCCCCCCCCCCTTCCTGATGGTCAGGTTAACTATGTCCTTATGTTGGTCGGACAGGGGAAGATAAAGGGGGCCTAATCATCATCAAGATCGCCCCTTGCAGGTTGAAATAAGCTTACATTGATTAAGCGACTTAGCTAAGACAGGTGGCACCAAAGTTCTTTTCCCTCTTCCAGCTTGTTTGCTGTCTTCTCGCCCTCGCTGTTCATCCTTTTTCTTTTCTTTTTTCAATTACAATTGTCCCAACTCTCGGTCAGCAAACACAACTCTATTCAGTTCATTCCAAAGCCGAGGCAAGATACCGGACACAAAGCTGAGGATCCGATCCTGGACCACAACCCACAACCCACAACACGAAGACGAGATGCCGGCGCTTGAGCAAGTCAAGTACTCGCAGGGGGCCACGGTCGCCGCCGTGACCGACTTCTACGCCTTCTTGACCAAGATGTACCTTCCCGAGTCGGCCGTCGTACACCCGCCGCCAGAAGGGTGGCCGACGCTGGCCTCTGATCTCAGCAACCTCGGCAAGTCGGACGAGGTACTCAGCCTGCTCTCGCACCTGCCGTACGTCCGCCAAGACGATCTCGACAACACCGAGACACCGGAGGTCACCCCTGGCGGCCGCTGGATCGACTGGCGCCAGTCTGGCATCTGGGTGCGCGAGGGCGGCAGCGACATTGACGAGCTGCGCACCATCTCTGAGGGCCCCGCTATTATGGAGAATGTGCCTGAGCACGTTATCGGGCTGACGATGAGCGAGCACCACGTCTTCTTACTTGACACGGAGCTCGGCGTCGTCTACTGGCCTGAGTGTCCCAGCCGGCTCCGCGACGGGCCCCACTGCATCGAGGACGACCCGTACGACTATTGCGACGACGACGAAGACGCGGAGTGGCGTGCCGACGGCGCCGCCTGGTCCGTCGCCGACTTCTTCAAAGTGCTCAAGGCCCAGTACCGCTCGCTGCGCTGGGTGCCGTGCAGCGAGTATGAGGTCTTGGATTCGGAAACCGAGATAACGAAAAATCCAATCCCGACCCTCCAGGGGGTTTACCGGCGCCACGGCTGGCCTGATTTGCAGCAGTATCGCAAGGAGGAGTACCTCGAGGAGGCGAAGGCCGTCAGAGTTGCAACGGAGCAGGGAGGGGGAGGGGATGAGGAGGGGGACGATGCAGAGGGCGCTTAGAGTGGATGTGAAATAGGGGTGTTCGGTTGACTGGTTGTCGGCCTGGTCCTACTGCATCTCGCATTGGAGAATGATGGCTCCCCATATCTATTTACGATGGCGAGCACCTAAACTTGATTTTTTCCTACTTGCTACCGCCAGGCCTGACTCTCGTCCTCTCGTTCTGCTTTTTTGTACCTTGTATTATTGTCCAATCCCAGTGCGAGATAGTGCGCGAAAGATCGGGGTAAACTAATCAGACCCCCGAGATATACGATCCTTCCAGGCGAAAACAACCAAGCTTCTGTAGAGGTCGCAGTACCTCGATTCCAGTAGATGTTACCATCAGCCACTATAATATGTGGTACTCTGTTGATTGGACACGCTCGTTGTCTTTTTTTTCTCGATCTATGTCATGGATGCCTACTACAAGCTGAACCGTGCCAAGTTGGCGTGTAGTAGTAGCCTCATCATTCATGGCGACTTGGGGTCCTTGCCTCGGGTTTGAAGGAATGTACTCCACTTCGCACTTCGCACAAGCTCGGAGTGAAGTCTAATTCGCCCATCTGAGCCGAAGGAAGGCTTAGATTAGCGCGTCATGGCGTCTCCCCAATGCGCTTGGCTACTTACCTGCTGTCAAGGGGGTTCCGACGGGACGGCAAACTTGAATCGATAACAAGTCTAAGAATAGGAACTGCGTCGTACCCTGCCTTTCATGTACAATAGGAATCCAATGTATTGCCTCATGAAATTTCACTTTGACGTGTCAGCTCTCTAGATCTTTATATATTTGTTGATTTTGAGACTTATCCTACTTTGAAATATTCGGTCGCTCATCCGAAATTCCTTGAAAACCTTCTATTAGACATAGCCGCGACCATTACCAGAAAATCATTATTCAGCTAGCTACTGCGCGGTGAGCAAATTGTTTTCAAATTTCCAGGTTTCTTCGCTCAACATGCCGGACCTCGAAACCCATAATGGCAAGCTGCTATGGTACTACATCCCAAGCCTGCCAGGAGGAGTCATATTCGCTGTTGCTTTTGGACTCCTGACCATCCTGCACACCGTTGCAATGTTGAGACACAGAATGTGGTTTTGTTTGCCATTCGTCTTGGGTGGAATTTGTAAGTCAATTTTGCTCACAGTTTTCAGTCAAGTAATTGGTAATTCCAAGAGACTCACATTTTGGGTTTCCTTTTAGTCGAAGTAGTCGGTTTTGTTGGACGAATATTAGCATACAACGCGACCGACGACCTCATCCTTTACATCATGCAGTCCGTTCTCTTGCTGCTAGCACCAATACTTTTCGCCGCAACACTCTACATGACTCTAAGTCGTGTCATTATTGCCGTCCATGGCCAAGAGAGTTCCATCATCTCAACACGCTGGTTAACGCGTTTCTTCGTCTTCAGCGACTGTTTCAGCTTTCTAGTACAGGCTGGCGGTTCGGGATTTCTCGTCAAGCCAAGTCGAGCACACATCGGACAGGTCATCGTCGTCACTGGTCTCATGTTCCAAATCGTCATGTTCGGCGTATTCATCGTCTCAATTCTGGGGTTTCACCTACGCTTCGCCCGGCACGTCGACAATCACCGTGTTAGGCACGTTCCGTGGCAGAGTACGCTGACCATGCTGTATTTGACTTCTATCGCGGTTATGCTGAGGAATGTGTATCGCGTGGTTGAGTACGTCTTAGGACGGGAGAGTTATCTCTCGGTAAACGAGTGGCCTACCTACATCTTCGACGCCTTGCTCATGCTTTTCACCATGGCTGCTTTTTACTGGTGGTATCCGAGCAAAGTGTGCCAAAAGGAGCATTATAGGGATTCGGAATCAGAGCTCATGTGTCGATCACGTCGTGCTGCAGCCAAGAAAGGCTTATACAGCAACATTCCATCTTCTACACAGCTTGAAGGCGTTCACTATACATAAGCACGGCGGGATTGTGGGGGATTCAGTGAGGGAGGCGCGGAGCTGGGGTTTCATACGAACCCTTTGTCCGGATACCTATGGCAGATGCGTCTTTTAGAGAAGACCGGAACTGAGATACGGATATTCTTGAGTCGGGTTGTTTCGATCAAGCCAGTGGTATTTCGATATCATACATTATTGAGAGCAAGATAAGAATTCACTTTCTGGAGCAAGTCTTCTCAATGTTTGTTGTTACCAAAGTCCTTGCTTGATTAGTATCTGGCAAGGGCTTGAGATACAAGACTATGGCATCCAAAAAACCTTACTCAGTATTCGTGGAATTACATAAAACCTATCAATATTGCCTTAAATAAATAAGAAGCTTTCTCATTGTGTGAACTCATATAGCTTGTGCTGTAATAGGATACAGGCCTTAGTTAGCCTTCCGTTGGGGTATCCATCCAATCTCCTGGATCGGCCACCTTATCCAGAAATGATGGACGTCATCCAGAGCTGTGTAGATGCGCTCAATCAAGTGTACGCCCCAACCCTTGAGCCACCAATTATATTCCAGTCGATGGAGGAGCACACAGAAGAAGGCCAGGATGCACAGGGCGTTGCTGTTTCTCCGTCGCAGCATATCAATGTATTCATCTGGAATCTTATACAGCCAGGTGAAGATGCTACGAATTTTGCCCTCGTCGCAGAGTTCCTCTCCGTAGAAAGAGGAGAAGGCTCGTCTTAGGTCTTGGAAAGTGTCGAGCAAATGCTGTCGTGATTGCTCGTCTTCCAAAGTGCTTGTATTAATGTAGTTCTGGAATTCTTTCAGAGCGTCATGGTCTAGCTCCTTGGACTCCCAGGTGTCGTTGACATCAGGTCTAGGGCGGAAGAGGAATGCGATGGATGATGAGAGAATGGCACGGCCGTTGGCTTCCAATATCGTGCGCACGCCGCGGAAGAGGGTCAGCCAGCTTGGTATAACGTTGTTTGCGTCAAAAAAGAGATCATCAGCTTATCTGAGATTGGCGAAAGAGATAAACATTGTAAGAGTGCTGAAGCAGTACATGGGTATTGAGTTTGCTGCCGAGATGTTAGAGAGAAGAGGTGCAGCTATAGAAGTGGCGGCTGTATGGCGGGCTGTGGCCTCGGCGTAGTAATATTGTCGGGACTCTGGTCGGAAGTGCGCCAGGTGAGATGCTGCCAGCGCCAAGATGGAATAAAGTACATATGGATGCGAGAATCCCAATTGCGGAACGTTCACAAAGAAGTAGTTGCGGGTGACCGGGTCGGAAGACAGCGTAAGACAGGTTGATATGCTGTAGTGATGAAGAAGCTCCATATCCAGAACTGTGAGGTTCCCCATCCCAGCACTGCCATCACTAAAGAGCGGCGCTCTAGATAATGGCAGGGTAGTCCGGCCACTACCAGACGTTGGAGCTGGAGACGAGACTGTAGGGCGAGCCGCTGGAGTACTTGGAACGACGGGTTCATCCAAAAGGTCACATAACGCCCCGCGCCTTGAACAATTCCGACAGGATGGGCGCTCCTCGCCGCACTATTCAGCATACGTCAGCTGGGAAACCCTCTCGATTCAGCTGCCTGATTGACTCGCACCTTGACCTTTCTTTTCTTGCAGTTTCGGCAGCCGCTCCTAGACTTGATGTGGGGACGTCGAGGCATCTTTGCTGGTGCGTCTGGCGCCATGTGGAGTAAGTTACGAATAACCCGGGTGATCGTGTCTTTTTTGTTATGATAGATGTCGCTGCGAAGTTCAGCGTCGCTACCGCTCTCACAGAGTAAAATGAAGGGAATCGATCCTAGTCAGGCTCTCGGACAAAATTTAGTGGGGACCTCGGACTATCGCCCAGAGCCGAGGTTTTTGCGAGGGGTTGTGCGAGCTTTGTGCGGGGCTCATGCTCGCACTTCCTCGCACCACATTCGCACTACACTCGCACTCCCTCGCATCTCGCACTGAGGCGAAGGATTCTGCGCTAGGCTTGGGGGCTGAATGCTGGCTGAGTGCGTGTATTCCATATTCAGCCTGCGAAGCCATGTCAGTATGCCGATTACCACTACTTTCGGCTAGTATCTTCTACCTCATGGACATCAGGAATGAGGAAGTTGACCTCACCATGGGCCAACCTTCTGTCCAGCCCAGTGAGAACTATTCTCTCTTGGCGCGAATCCTCCAATGAGCGTCATTTGCAGTAACGTGGCAATGCAAATGTTGGCTTGATTTGCCGATTTCTGGAAGACATAAATAGAGGGCCTGCCGTCTGACTATGTAGCGAAGATAACAAACAATTCACTGCAGAAAGCGTTTCATCTTGGTCAAAAAGTCTCGCAGATTAACGATTTTGGATCTCATCACGATGTTGTCAACCAAGAGTACGGCTGCCGCGCTACTATCGCTGCTCATGTTCGATGGCGTGCAAGGACAAGCCCGAGTCAATCATACGCATAAACTTAGTGGTTTCGCACCAGTACGCAATCCCCTCAGTCCCTTATCAAGGAACCATACCTCCTTTCTGACACCCCTGTAGTGTGACGCCCTTATAACCGCCAACCTATCCCACGCCGTGCACCTCCCGAGCTCCCCCTTCTACTCATCCCTCGTTCTTGGCTCCTGGACCCTCGACACGCAGAGGTCCCCCTGGTGCTTCGTTGTCCCCAGCACCCCCGCCGAGGTTTCTCAAACCCTTACCGCTCTTCGATCCGCCGGGGATGGCGCGGGAGACTGGCATATAGCCATCCGCAGCGGCGGACACGGGTCCGATAACGCGAACAGTATCGAGCAGGGCGTGATCATCGACTTGTCCCACTTGAACGCCACAACTTATGACGCGGCGACGAACGTCGCAAGCGTTGGAACTGGAGCGCGATGGGGTGATGTCTATGCTGAGCTGGAAAAGTCTGGGGTCAGTGTGACGGGCGGAAGAGAGGGTGCAGTGGGTGTTGGCGGGCTCCTGCTTGGTGGCGGGGTCTCGTGGCATACGGCGCGAACGGGATTCGCCTGTGACAACGTCGTCAACTATGAGGTGGTGCTGGCGAGCGGGCTGATCATCAATGCTAATGCGACGGACCATTCGGATTTATTTCGGGCGCTGAAGGGAGGCGGCAGCAACTTTGGCATCGTCACCAGGTTTGATCTTGCGGCATTTCCGGCAACGAATTTGACCATCGAACGAAGAACCATCGGCGTGGAGCACGCGGACGAGGTTGTTGACGCGGTTGTTGCGTTCACAGATCTGGACCAGTCGTTTAAGGATAACGCAATGCTTGCAATCATGACCTACGATCCAAGGGCTGAGGGCATCACCATAACGGTGACTGAGGTCAACACTATGAACAATGCCAACAGCACGGCATTTGACGCCTTTAGTCAATTCCCCACACTGGCTCCAGCTACGAAGGATTCATTGACTCTTTCTCAATCTGCCAATAGTTCTCAGCTGCCCGGGAACACACGGTAAGTTGAACGAGAACGTCTGGTTGCCGTATGTGGGTTCCAGATGACTGATCTTTTGCTTCTAGGAACGTTGGAGCTGGACCCCTGACGATCGCCAACGACCCAAGAGTTATGCGCTACTGCATTGAACAGCATACCAGCCTTGTCGAAGACCTGAAAACCACCCTCGGGCTGCAAAATTTCAGCATAATACTTGATTTCCAGCCGCTCCCTTCATACTTCGCAGATATCGGCGTACGGAAGGGAGGAAATATGCTTGGGCTAGAACGAAACCTGCGGAACAAGGTCCTTGTTGTACCGGGGGTCACTTTGCAAACCTCAAACAGTGAGAGCCAGTATCCAGGGGTCTACCAACAGGTGGCGGCTATGGCTCAGAGAATCCAAGCATTCGCAAAGTCGGTCGGAAGCAGCGAGGACTTCACATATCTAAACTATGCGGACACAACCCAGGATCCACTCGGGAGTTACGGCGCGGCCAACGTGAAGCATATCAGAAAAGTTGCGAACAAGTACGACCCTTACAGCTTTTTCCAGCGCAGGGTACCAGGCGGCTTCAAGATCGACAGAGTCGTTTGAAAGGATATAGCTGTATGGCTTCTTTGTGTTTACTTTCCTTACAGACGCAACAGATATGGACCGGGGATAATGAAGCACATCTAGCCAACAACAAGAGTTCAGTGACGGAGCGTTGAGGATACATGACATAGAGAATTTCTTTCACAATTTTCTTAACAGACACTCGCTACTGTAGTAATACTTCTAGGCACAAATACCGCCCATTGGTGAGGCCTTCAGGACTTGACGACTTATTGTGGATTCTCAGTTGAACGGCTCAGGTATCCAAGTCATTACATAGTAAGCTGATATAAACCCTGTAAGACCACTAGGGTAATGATTGGCCCTGGTAGCGTTTGTTACGCTCGTAAGGAGGTTGACTCGCAGGGGTGGACGTATCCTTGCGTTGGATATAACGAGACATTTCATAATCTTTCGTTTGGTGCGACGATTTACTGAGGATTAGAATTGTAGCATATCGAGCAAGACAATGTACTTAGGTTTGATGAGAGCACTGAGACGAAACCCCATATATATTTTAGGTTGTGGTGTTGGGAATGGAAGACGCTAGAATAGCCACCGAGCTTCTCGTTGCTGACATGTAGAAGGATTGAAATGAGGGTGCACGGGGTATTATTGACGTGGCAGCAAAGCATCAGTATAACCTCCACGAAAGTAGGGCAACCTGGACTAATGTCAGATACATAGGTAGGACAGATTTCACTGGCCAAAAATGCAAAATCCAATGGTACATGCATTCAGCACTAAGCAAACGGCAGGCACATGTAAGTGAACTATTGTTAAACATCTGCTTTAGATAAAGCGAGCCACTTGGTAGCTCAAGTCTTCTGCTGTGGATTTACTTCGTGATATCACATAAACTTACACGTAGATATATCTCTAATGACTTGACTTTGACCGTGGCGCTCGTAGGAAGTGATAATTTTGTGATACCCCAGTACAATGATATAAATGCCTCCATACGCACCCTTACGCACCCGATCCGATACTGCCAATCAATAACTCATTTGAGGTGTCTATGGACAACCCGGGAGCCCAGAAGTGACAGAGTACATGCTGTTTAGAAATCAGCTCAGTGTATCCCAAGTTTAATCTCATTTACCCAGTGGATCCGCGCCAATGACAGAAGCGGCCAACCCCTAGTCGAGAAGTAAGCACCTCGACCACGTCTAAAAATGGACGAAGTGGGGGGTATAGGAAATTAAATACGGGATTGAAATCATAACCAGCCCTTTACATACACTCACGCTAGTTTTCACATGATCATCTTTCCTTGTGTTTTAGGAAAATAGAACATGTCGATCCAAGTTCTCGAACTGGATCCTATATGTGTCTGTTTGGTGATATTGGTCATTCGTGAAGACCTCAACGTCTTCTGCTTCGCGTCTAATTGCAATGGATGACAGTGCTACCTGGCTAGACACATCGTCAGGGATTTGGATGTTGTTGGGTGGCGGGTTGCGCAAGGCAGGTAGAGCGATTGGGCAACTACTACCACATACCCCTCAAATCATGCGATGAACTCAAGGGTCGACGGCTTAGTGCCTGGCCTGTCATTTGTGAGTTGAGTTCCTCTTTGAATGGAGGGGAAAATATTCCCCAGGACTGCGCGCCGTAGCAGTGTACCATTGTACAACAAGTATGGCCTGACACCTGCCACTATGCCTGACAGGGCAAAGCTTAGCGCATACAGGCTATAGCAGCATGGATGCGGAGCTGGGGATCCGTTGCATTCAATGGACCAATTTTATAGAAGCGAGCCAGTTAAGTTTAGACAGGCGATCTACTTGCCGCGCCCCGCACGATGCACTTTCACTTCCGCCGGGTTTGCACCAGGATCAACACTGGGAAAACAAGACGACTGTCAATCACTCTCAAACCAATGTCAACTGATCAGTCCAGTCGAATCCGAGCTCCTCGGATTACCAAAATCGCAAAACAAGACTGTGGAGTTCGTCCGGTCTATACGAGCTAATAGTCATGCTGCGTTGAAAGAACAAGCAGCCATGCCGAGAACCGAGTCTGTATATAAAGGTTGGCATGGAGCCGTCGATTGAAGTTGATCATTCAAAGACATCAGGAACGCAACGCCATAGCATCATTACCTCACAGGTCTGCCACCTAGACAAGACGGAAAATCCCAACCACGATGCATTCCGCAGTTTCGGTATTCCTCTCTCTAGCCGGCATGGCTGCCGCTGGGCCTATGTCCCTTGAGTCTCGCCAGCAGAGCGTTGGCCAAAAGCCAGCTCTGGGCTGGAGCGGTTGGGTAAGTGTTTACCTTGTGTCTCATCCGCAAGGGATCCGGAAAAGCTGACTGTAACGACCGTTGAACTCAGAATCAAGGAGGATGCAACGCCGCCAGCGCCAGTGTCGCCTTGGCAACGGCCCAATCCTTCGTCAGCCGTGGGCTCAAGGACGCTGGTTACACTTACGTCAACATCGACGACTGCTGGTCCCTCAAGCAGCGTGACAGCTCGGGGAACCTCGTCCCTGATCCTTCGAAGTGGCCCAATGGCATCAAGGCCGTCAGTGATCAGATCCACAACATGGGCCTTAAGTTCGGCTTGTACGGCGACAACGGTCTCATGACTTGTGCCGGGTATCCTGGCAGCCAGGGCTACGAGCAAAAAGATGCCAACCTTTTGGCCAGCTGGGGAGTGGACTTTTGGAAGTATGACAACTGCTATACACCCTGCAATTTGGCCGGGCCCCCGCAGACGTGCCCTAATAACCAGGCGCCAAACTCGCGCCCGCGGTATGAGACCATGCGCAATGCTCTCAAGAACACAAACCGGCCTATACTTTACTCGCTTTGCAACTGGGGTTATGATAAGGTCTGGACTTGGGGCGCCGAGGTTGGCCAGATATGGCGGATGAGCACCGACAACTGGGGTGGATGGCAAGACGTCGTCAACATTGCCAACTGGGCTGCACCCATTGCCAATTACTCCAAACCGTACGGCTTCAACGACCTTGACATGATGGTTCGTACTCTGATTTCTCTCCTCTTATTTTCTCAACTATCCACGGTACACTAGTTGACTCCTTACAAAACCCTGCAGATCATTGGCAACGGCAAGCTCACGGCGGCGCAGGAGCGCACCCATTTCGCTATCTGGGCCATTGCCAAGTCGCCCATCATTTTGGGAACTGACATCAGCAAGTTGAGCAGTACACAGATCGCGCTCGTCATGAATAAGGTTCTGTTACTTTCTACAATCGGGCATGTCTGCCTCTTTCTGCTTGGGGTTTGCTAACGGTGGTGACAGGACCTTTTGGCTGTCAACCAGGACTCTCTCGGTCTCGCAGCGACCACCTTCACCCCCCGTGGCACCACGCCGCCTGGAAGCAGCAACATGCCTCCGTACTGGGCAGGCACCCTGTCCGACGGCATCGTTGTCGCCCTAGTCGCCAGCACTGGTGCCGCTACCATGTCCGTCAACTTCGCCGATGTGCCTGGGCTTGGTTCTGGAACTTTTACCTGGAAGGAGCTTCTCACTGGAAAGCAGGGAACTGGAACTTCAGTGAGCGCACAGCTCGCGCAGCATGACGTTGCCGTTTTCAAGGTGAAAAAGGCTTAAGCAGGATAGGGGAAGTTGAGTAAGGGGTTTATGACACAGTAGTTATTATACGGAATCAACATTCAAAGTTCTCTCTAGGCTCGCTCAGACACGCTGTTTTGAAGTGAGGTGGGGAAGCAGGGTGGGAGAGCAGAAATCGCCAGTTACACAGGAGTTGAAGAGCCTGCCTAAAGCTTAATTGAAAATACGAATGAAGTTCCGGCCTTCCGTGCACGTCAGACAGAATGGAAAGACGAGTGAAATCCGCAAAGTTGCCCGCGCGATGGAAAGCCTTTCCTTTAATTGAAGAACTCCACAAATACAGCAAGTAGGTGTGCTTGGTATGACTGAATGGATACCGACCAATGTGCTTGCGCGAATATTAAATTCTTGCTTGGCAGATTACTACTGACTGGCTTGAAATCCGACGTGGGGATCCCCCAGAATTATTCATTTCTCCAAACCCTCCTTCTCGATGTCATGGTCATAATCGCCAACTTCCGTGTGGTGATCATCATCGGAAGGGCCGCCGAGATACTCACCAAATACCCTTTGCTCAATGTCCATATCTTTCCACGCTACGCCTAGTCTCTTGCGGCTCTGCTTCCTGAAGTAGACCCGCTTCCCCCACTTCCAAGACTCGACACCGGCAAAGAAGAGCGCCGCCGCGATGAACACAATGGCCCATTCCCACGAGATTCCCTTGTGTTTGAAAACCTCGGTATTGATGACCGGGATATAAAGCAACGGAAACAGAGTGACGAAACCGATGATGATTGCCCAGAACAGGAACTTGTTCCTCCAGACATCAATCATCCACTGGGTGAAGTACTTCTTCGACCCCGGCTGCATGCGGAAGAACGACCGGCGCATGTCGACCATCTCCCACGCCAAAAAGAGCGCGAACCACGTCAGACAGGCAAACGTTGTAGCCCGGGCACGAAACACGGTATCGCAAGTCTCGTTGTAGCTCCCGTTGCAATTCTCTCCGAGCTCGCCGTTGCCAAAGCCATAGACGACTAGCGAGAAACTTGAAAGACAGAGGGCCGTGATCCATAGGCCGTACACGACCATGTCGATCAGGAACTCCATGGTAAAGATGCCCGTCTTGAGCGATTGAGGCGGGCGGCGCATGATGTCGGGGACCGCTCGCTCGAAGCCGAGACCCATGTCGGGCATGCCGGAGGTCGCCATGATGATCCAGACAATTTCAACGGGGGCCAGCGGAAAGACTGACAGTCCCCTCGTGTCCTTGAAGGTGAGACCGACAAGCAAAGTTCCGGCTTGGGCAATATTTTCCGCGAGGACGTGCAACACGAACTTTTGGATGTTGTCAAAGATTCTTCGGCCTTCTTCGATGGCGGCGACGATGGAAGCGAAGTTGTCGTCGGTCAAAACGATATCGGACGCGTCCTTGGCGACGTCGGAGCCTGACTGTCCCATGGCGATGCCGACGTCGGCGCGGCGAAGGGAAGGAGAGTCGTTGACGCCGTCACCAGTCTGGAATTTGTTAGCGGATACCTTGGAAGAAATGCACGATATTTGTGGACTTACCATGGCGCAGAACTTCTTGCGACGATGAAGAGCCTCAATCATCCGGACTTTGGTGCTGGGGGCGCATCGTGCAATTACGAGTGGAAGGACAGGCAGCCTGTCCACCTCATCGTCGGTCAAAGCATCAAACTGGGATGCCGTCATAACCATGGCATCTGCTACGTTGCGTGCGACACGCTCCATGCGAGTCGGCAAAATGCCCACCTCGACAGCAATAGCCTTTGCAGTTTCCGGATGATCACCTGTAAGCATATGTACCGAAATGCCAGCTTCATGACACTGTCGAACGGCGGGCGCGGACTCCGGTCGAGGTGGGTCGTACAGACCGATGAGACCACGGAAGACCAGATCACACTCGACCGAGGCACGGTTGACCTCATCACCCTTGTTGAGTGTCCCGTTGTAAGGTTTGCTGGCAAGTGCGAGTACACGCAGACCGAGACCAGCAAGAGCTTCCATGTTGCGAAGAATTTCCTCGCGGAACTCGGGCGTCACATCGACGAGCTCGCCGGAATCTTTAGGCGTGTATTTGGTGCAAATCTGAATCACCCTCTCAACGGCACCCTTTGTGTAGGCATGGAACTCGTTGGTCGCGTTGTGCTTCATGATGACGGACATGCGCTTGACATCGGAATCAAAAGGCAGCTCGGCGATCTCGCTCCATTCGGGAGTTTCACCCGTGGTCAAGCGCAGACGATTCCAGTCGAAGCGGGAAGCAAACACTTGAATTGCGATCTCAGTCGGGTCACCTCGCGCAACCCATTGGTCATCTTTCTTGTTGATCGTGGCAAGGTTGGCGAGGGATGCGACGTGGAGAAACGCCGCAAGGGTAAACCTGCTGCTTTGCAAGAGCTGCTCAGTCTTGACGATTGAACCGCATGCATCGCCACCTCTCTTGAAGTTGAGGTGTCTAGGCGACCGCTCATCGAAGCGGATGTCACCAGTGGTGGGATCCATAGGCGACGTCGAGTTCTCGACTGTGTACGTGCCCATGCCAGGTAACCAGGCGCCGCGGGCCAACATTTTACCCTGTGTCAGAGTGCCGGTCTTGTCAGAGCAGATATCCGTCACGGCACCGAGAGCCTCAAGAGACTTGAGGTTGCGCACGATGACGTTGCGCTTTACCATGCGCTTGGTTCCGGCAGCCATGGTGATGGTGAGAACGACGACGAGACTAGCCGGAATCATGGACAAGCCCGTGGCGACGGCGTAGATGATGACCTCTTGTGAAGCGTCGAACTTGTTGGCGCCGAGGACAATGATGGCACAGACAATAGCAATGCCGAATAACAGCATAGCGAGCTTGGACAGTTTCTGCTGCAAAGGAGTGCCAACATTGACACCCAAGAACCGGCCGATAGCATCGGTCAAGGTCAACGTATAGGCCTCAAGGTAGCGGTGCGGCTTTGCGCGTCCATCTGGCTTGCGCTTGACCTCGCGTACCTTGGAGTCTTTCTTGCGCAAGGCCGATGCAATAGCGCCGATTTCGGTATACACGCCAGTGGCGAAGACGATTCCCTTGGCGCGGCCCTTGGTGACGTTGGAGGAGCTGTATGCGACGTTGAGACGGTCTCCTGGGCCAGTGTTGTCCGGAAAAGTGCTGCCTTCATTCTTGCGCACGGGGAGGGACTCGCCGGTCAATAAGGCCTCGTCAGTCTCGAAGTTGACGGCCTCGATCAGCCTGTAATATCATCAGTTGCTCTGCTTGGTCCAGACGGGGCTGTTGATGGCATAGGATACCTGACATCTGCGGGGATGGTATCTCCCGTCTTGATTTCGACCAGGTCACCAGGAACGATCTCGCCGGACGGTACGACCATGGTCTCGCCGTCACGAACGATGCTGGCAGTTGGAGAACTCAGTGATCGGAGGGAGTCCATCGTCTTCTCAGCGGAAAACTCTTGGAAAAAGCCAACGATGACATTGAGAAGAATGACGAAGGTGATGACACCGCCCTCAATCCAGGAGCCGATGCCGAAACTAACAGCCATGGCCAGGATGAGGACCTGGAAGGTGTTAGTAAGCGACGCTTTGAACAGGCTAGGAACAACTCACCATGGTCATGGCATTGGCGACCTGGGCGATGATGATCTTGAAGGGCTGGACGCCCTCCGCCTCGCCAAGGTCATTGTGGCCATACTCCTCTAGACGAGTCTTGGCATCGGCGGCGGAAAGGCCGTGATCAGTGTTTGCACGAAGCTCCTCGGCCAGCTGCTGGAAGGTCAAGGCGTGTGCTGGCTGGGAGAGGGGCTTGTTGGATTGCCCTGAGACGTGACTCTCCGCAGGCTTTGCAGCCTTGGACTTCCCCATGATGGGCGAGGGCGGTTGGTGATGGTGGGGTCACCGACGAGTAGTCTTGAACGAGGACCGATAGTTAGGCCTCAACACCGACGGTGCTCTATGGATAGGATGATAAATGGCAATGGGCGATGAAGAGGTTGAGCAATCGTAGTGACGTAGTGCAGGACACTTCTCACCGGATGTGTGAACCGAGTGCAGCGCCAAGATGGTGTGGAATAAATCAGCAGGGACTGGTCAAGGTAGCGACGCAGAGACAAGTTGTAAGTTGGGTTGTCATTGCACAACATGCAAAGTTGGTGATGGTTCGAGGAGGATGATTGTCTCGAGATGAGAGAGGGCGTCGTCTCCTTTTGAGTCTTGGTCAAGCGCATTGCCCAAACAAGACAGACACTGAACGGTGGGAGCATTTCCCCATCTTGTCTACGAGCTGACTTTATAGCTGGAGTAAAGGTTTCTGCGAAGATTTTCTTACTGGTGCAGACAGTTCCGATGGATCCATTCACCAAGCGTTAGAACCTTCTTGGCCTTCTTGGCCTTCTTGGCTCAGCTTGGCGACAATGACGCTCGCTCTACTGAGTGCCGAGAGACGCAGAAACCCGAGGTTGATCTTGGGAAGGAAAAGAAGGACCGTGAAGCGGACGGCGGGGAGGAAAATGCCAAGAACAGTCACATCAGACGCCGAGTCCGCTTGCACTTACATGGAGAGATGGCGGACAGTGGGAGGCAATGGACCGGATCAGACTAGCTTTGGCGGATGTTGGGGTAGGTAATAATTATGAGGGGAGGCGTCTTAAAGAGAGCCATGACGCTGATCGCTTCCCACTTCGGTAGCGGCCTGCAAACAGCGAGCAAGCCGCTGACCATCGCCTACCGACAGCGGTCAAGCGCTTGCTGAGTTTTGTACGGGCAGTGTCGGCTATGATTCCAGCGCCAAGCGATTAGCATGCGGCCGTTCCGCGGCGGGAGGCAAACATGTTTGTTACATGATTACTTATGCTAGAGGCACTGAGAAGCCGGAGCTTGTTCCGTAGCGGACAAAGGAAAAAGCCTGGAGTACAGGGCTTGGCTGGCAAGGCTGGTTAACATGTGCTGCAGCCACCGCTTCTTAGTGGCTGTCGCCGCCAGGGATCTTCTCCAGGACCACAATACATCGCGTTTCCCTGATATTTCCTCTCGAGACTACGACGCTTGGAGACGAGAACGCTTGTTATCGAACCGCTGTGAAGCTCGAATGAGAACAAGAGCAGACGGAGGATCCCTCAGAAATTCCGCGTGCATGTCGCGTGCCCACTTTCCCGAATCTGAACCTTGCATCCCGAGACAATGGGTCCTCAAGGTCAATGACACGGGCCCGGCGCCGGACACGCCCCACATCGGTGACGCTGAACCGGGAAGACGCGACACCAGCCGAGTTCAACAGATGAATTCTTCATGCCGAGACAAGCAGCGTTGCGACACGGGGTAATGGCGGCAAATCAGCGGACCTTGAGACGGCAAGACGTACGAGACTGTAACCATCGATACGGTGAGCATACTACCGTGGTTTCAAGGAACCGAAAGGATTTATAATGAAGAAGACACAATAGGGGAGTGTTGCGCCAATACATTGAGGAGACCTATCGTCCATGGTGATCCGCGCAAGCAAGGACAGAAGTCTGGACTAATCATTGGGACGAGACCACGTACTCCAGATTGAGTTTTGTGGTTAGTAAAGGACAGCATTCAGCCATCTTATCTCCTTGATAGATAACATTTTTGTATGGTGGGCTGGCACTCTTGGTTTTGACGAATACAAACGAGAACCGGGGTTGTTTCGAGAGCTAACACTGATGCGTCTCTATGCTATCTCTCTTGGCATAGGCGTTGTTATTGCGTCAACCTATGATGACCTGCCTCCTTCTCAATGTTACGACTGGGTCAACTTGTTCGCCATCATCCAAACTGCTGAGCTCTTCCATAAGATCTGACTCGCCCATGAGCAGCGCCTTTCCTGCCAATTTCCATGCTGCCACTCCCTGCGCATCATTCGCTAAAACCAACAACCACGCCCTGGTCCAGGCGCAATCACCTCGAAGCAGGTCCGTCGGGACCGCCACGCGTATCTGGGCCTCATTTTCGTTGGCTAGAAAGTCTTTTGTAAAGTGGAAGCCCGTCACGAGCGCCTGCTCACCATTGTGAGTACATGTCATGCGCGCCGAGAACGCCGAAATCCAGTAGGTAGACCGCGGGTCCGTAATCCATGTCAGAAGGGCGAGAGCCGTCTCGTCTGTAATGTGGTGCCTCTCGTCAGGCTCTTTGGCCCCATTCTTGGTCAGAGTCTTCAGGAACTCGGCTGCACTGGGACGAAGGTTCTCATTGACCGCAAAGTCGGCGAACTTGCCCGTGTTGTAGTTCAACTGCACCACCTCGCGTTCGAGCTGCGTCCAGAGACGTTCAGCAAGATTGTGTCCACCAGCAATGACGGCTGCCAGAAACCGTCGGCGATATAAGTCGATGTCTTCATCGGCCGCGGATTGTGGTGGGTGTCCCGTGCTGGCTTTGAGAGGTGGCGGGGTGCTCTGGATGACGCTCGGGAATATGGCCCGAGTCTTGAGCAGCTCCGCTTCAGTGCATACCACAAAGGAACGTTCAAAGAAGACCAGGTCTATTTCCAACCTGTCGACGGAAATGTTGTGTATGCCTTTGATGTCGCCGAGATTGAACTTTGGAAGTGTCGTGTCTGCGTCCGCGATCGATCTCGCAAGCCATGATTTCTTTCTGTCGATCACCAATGACTCGGTGTTCGTAAAAGTCAACGGGACCTTCTCCCCAGCCGCGAGCGACAGCATGGAGGCGAGGTAGTACACCTTGTCCGGAGTCGGCTGCTCGGTCTTGTAGTATGCCAGACCAAGTCCGATAAGATTAAGACATACGCTCAGCCTATCTCCAGGCATCGAGCAACCTGTTTGAGCGACGGCGTTGAACCGCGCCATAAAGCTGGCCGTGATTGCTCCAGCCTTGCGATCGCGGCTGTCGAGGAGTGGCGACGTGCGGTTCGCGAACCCACTTAGAATCGGGTAGAGATGCTCGCTCTGGGGTGTTTGGTGGCCGAGCTGTATTATGACTATTGACAGGATCGCATGAAGCGTGATCCAGTTCAGAGCGAAGGTCTTGTCGCTCCCAAATCCCATGATGAAAACAGTGTTGTGTACCCGCATGTGTCTCTTGTCGCTCCAGGGTTCGGCAACGACAAATTCGTGGAAGCACCACGCACGCTGCCACCACCGCGCCGCTGCGATTTTGTCGAACAGTGAGACAAGACAAGCGATCTCTTTATCATCTTGAGGCTTATGATCGAAAGCTTGGGAAGGAGCTCTCTTGTCATAATGCTCGCACAGTGACGCTTCGTCCTCTGTGAGCTCGACATCTTCGAGCAGCACCACCAGCTTGCGGCATGATTTGTAGACCGCATCCATACAAGCAATGGCCCGTTGTTTCTCATCTTCGTCGGATTGGTTGATGCAGACTTGGTCAATCCAGACACCTTCGCGTGGGTGTCCCCTCTGCGCTAAGATTGCGGTCGCGAAGTGCTTGCCAACGGGCCATACCCCGCCTGGCTCGGGATCCGAAGAGGGTGTGCCAGGCCAGTCTGCATTGTGCCAGCTATAGCTCACGGCCAAGTATTGTCTGATCGCGAAGGCCCCGTCTAGCGGGATTCCAGTCGAGCTTGAGCAGATGAGCCGAAACGGCGTATTTAGGATGATGTCCGATGTCCGCCGTGAGAAGTGCCCCGCAGCCTCCGGAGACCATGATTGGAGGTTGCGGAGGATCAGATCCGCCTCTTCGCGGCCATAGTCAAGCCTCTCAATGGCCTCTGAGAAGACGTTGGCCTTGTTGCGTCTGGTCAACGTGAGCTTGAAGAGGTCGCTTGAGATCTGGTCAACCAGCAAGATCTCTTCTGCTTGCGCAAGGGGGAATTCGATGAGCATGCTCATGGTTCTCGGTGTGTCGATAAATAAATATTGAGGTCAAGCAATCAGCCCATCCACGGTCTACGTTATGCCGGGTTCGGTGCTAGCTCCACACACCCTTGTCGGCTATTCAGCGCCTTTAACTCATTTATGTATAGGCCATAAGCTGGTCCTTAAGCGAGGGATCCTGTTTTGTCTAAAATGTTGATGTGTTTGTGTGAATACGCTACGCACCGCACCGCACCGCACCGCACCATCAGAGTCCTGACCAACCTATACGCTCTCAGTATTTGAATAATTATCATCTATTCTAACTAACAATGTTACTAACAAGGTAGGATCACCCAGTTTATTCTATTAGTACGAGCCTTAGCTACCAATTGGCAGGAAAAATTGCCGCTGAACACCGAATCCTAAAACCCCGCTGCAAGCTTTACGATTCTGGTCTTATTTGTGAGCAAATTGGATATCTGGGATCTCGACCCCCCTTTGAGCAAACAAAGCACTCAGACCTTGATCCAAGCAATCGCGCCAACTCCCATCTTTCGAGTCTTGCAGACTCTCGCCGAAAGAACAAAGATCATACCCAAAATCATGCAGCTGCCTGCAAATGCTTGGGCACCTACATAGCTGCCCCCCATGGCATTGATTATGGCGCCAGCAATTGGTGATCCGGTCAGACACGCGAAGCTTACCACGGTGAAGACCATACCCATCCTCGTCCCTTGCTTTTGCGGATCTGCAGTCAAACTGCTGAGGACAGAAGGAAACAGCGACTGGACGCCACCAACAGCAAATCCGTAGAATACTGACCAGACGTACAGCCCTGTGATACTGTGAACTCCGATCCAGCAAAACATGACAGTGCCGGTCATGAAGGCCATAGGCGCAAATATGTTGATCGTACCAATGACGTCGCCAATCTGAGCTGGGATGATGCGACCGAACGCACCCACACCATTGAGGACAAGCAGAAGGTCGAGTGAGTCCGTGTACGATAGCCCCATAATATCGCGTGAAAATGCAGCAAGATAGTGGAATGCAAAGTACGTTCCCCAGAAACACTGTTTTATGTCAGAGCCTCATCTCAGGTTGTTGTTGGACATCTTACCATGAAAGCTCCAACCGCATAAAAGCTGTACTCAGATTCCTTGAAGGCGGCCCACTCTACAAGTGGCGCAGCGCGTCGGGGCGGGATCCGAGTTTTGATGAGCAGTCCGGCCACGATCAAAGTCATTAGTTGTATTAGTGCTATCGAACGGATCGTCCAGCCTAGTCCGATCTGTGGCAATAATTGTCGGACCATGCTCGGAAAGGCCAGCCCACCGATGACAGCTCCAGCCGCAGTGATGCCGAATGCCAACGAGCGGCGCTTCGCAAAATATGTGGATGTGACTGCCATGCAGGGGCAAAAGAGACACCCGTTTCCAAGACCCAGGCAGATACCCTGGGCGAGGAAGTATTGCCAATACGTAGTGCAGAATGAGGCTGCCACCATCCCCAGGACAATCAAAAAAAAGCCCGCGATAAAAAGGGGTCGGAAGTAGCCCATGTCTGTCCAGCGCCCCGTGAAGGTTCCCACAAAGAAGAGCAGAAAGACTTCAAATGAGCCGATCCAAGAGATATCGGATGGGGATCGAGAGAACAGAGAGGTGAAGTAAGGCTGGAAAACGCCAAAAGAGTTCGCGACGCCCCTATAAGCTTTTTAGTGCTGTGACTCTAAGGCGCGGAACTAAGTCTAGAACACTCACCAGGTGTTCATTGTAACAAGAAACGTGCCCAACACTAGATGTTGTCAAAACATGTACTATTGTGCACAACGATTTAATTTAATTCAACTAACCAACCATCCATGCTCTCAAGCCTCCGTCTGGCGGTGCATCAATGACCAAGTTTGGCCGTGAAGTAGTTCTGCTGTCGCTCCTGAAGCTTCGGTTCGTGGAAACTCTTTTTGCATCTGTCTCGGGGCCACAATGCTGATTTGGGGGAGCGTTTTCAGAAATCGGCAACCGGTGCTCTCGTTGCGCTGAGTCTTGTTTTTCTGACATTATTGTAGACGATTGATAGTCCTTTCTTTTTGACCTTATGAACTTGGTGCGAAACTGAATGACACTCGATGAAGCAGTTATGATCCGTACACACAGACTGGAAAGTCAACTGGAGTATCGTGAGGAGATCTGATGTTGCAACGGCAGGTCGTTCCGGGCTAGACTCTGGGAGTTCTGGTTAATAAGGGATCTCCACGCCAAGCAAACGCCGGTTGGGGATCATCGGCAGGTCTCCGAATTCGGCCCATGGGGCTTGGAGTTCGCTATTCGCATGGGTAGCTAGTCGTCAGATTCTGACTTGGACTAGTTATTTCAGGGCGTAGGCCGCCGCAGCATCTTATTAGGTAATGCGACTCCAAGGCTCATGGTTTTTTTTCCTGTTTGGAACGCCCTTTGGTGACTGGCGCAGCGGGCGTCGGGATTCAATCGGCCGACATGACTTCTGAACCTCGTCACAAAGGATTTCAATTGGGTAAATGTTAGTCCACCAATCCCAACATCCAAACGTGCTGTTTGCTTCGATTATGAATCTGCTTTTGACTCCAGTATGCTTAATAATGTTATTTCTCCATTGAATATGGACTGTCGTGTTTTACATGTGTCATACGTTGTAACTAACTACAGCCAAGACCCTCAGTATGGGTTCACCCCGGCCAACTGAAGCAGTTTGTCCGTAATTTCAGGCTTCTCGAATGGCTCCTTGCGATATTTGGGGCACACCTCTCCGTTCCTCTTGGGAGGATCTTGTGAAGGGCGGATGTTACTATGACTAATTAGCATACGCAGTGTGTCAAAGAACAGATATTGGAAAATTTACCAGTGAGGCCAGTGTGTCGTCCCAAACCAGTTCTCAAAACAGAATTTCTTGGCCTCCAAAGCCTCTTCCGTGGCAAATTTTCGTGGTGTCATGCAGATATACTGAACGTGTCTAATCTGGTCGCCCTCGGGAAAGCGGGCGTAGTGCATGGTGCGCGAGTCCCAGAGGACAAAGTCGCCAGGCTCCATGTTCACCTTGAACAGCTCACAGCCTTTACTCTCAAACCATTTCACATCCTTCTTGCTGAAGAGAAACAGATCCATGAATTTGATCTCAGGCGGAGGTGCGTCCTCGTGGTCAGCGGACTCGCGCTTGTGGGCGAAGAACTCGTCGAAAAGCTTCGCAGAGCCACGCATAAGCATTAGGCCGCCATCTTTAGGACCGTTGGGAGCGAAGTTCAGGAGTCCTTGGACAGCCTGCATGCTGCTAAGTATCAGTGCTATGATCCCGAGAGGTATCAATAGCCGTGGTGGCTTACCCTTTTCTTTCAGGGTTCTGATCGCAGTGTGGCCAAGGGCTCCATGTGATGTCTTTACGGTTTGGCAGGGAGACGTTCAAGCCATCAAATGAGGTGATGAGTTCGCTAGTCTCCCAGAGTTTCTCAAATGCGTCGATTATCTTCGGTTCCAACCGAGCTTCCCATGCCATATTCTCATGGGGTGCACCGTATGCGGAGTACATTCTAAAGCTGTTAGCAAGCCTCATTTAATTCTTAAAGAATAGAGAATTCAAGCACACCCTCCCTTGAAGCTGACGGGAAGATGGTCAGCGGTCCATGTGGATGAGTCGTTCTCATCAAACCCAAGGTCAAACTTCTTGAGCCACTCGATCTGCTTGTCGCAGTAGTATTGGGCGCGTTCCTTGCTGATTACGTTCTTGATTACGACACAGCCGTTTTGATGGAACTCGTCTCTCCAGTCTCCATAGTGCTTGTTACTGTCAAAGGTGACTAGGTCTTTGGTTTCGAACTGGGTGGCGAAGGTTCGTTTGACCTCGGCTGCCGCAACGGTTTGCGTCTGCGTGGCCATTTCAAAGGTAGAAAACTGACTGGTAGGAACGGCAATCAAGATGATGATTATGATAAAGCGCTCAACTGGAGACGCTCTAGATGTCGGTTTGATGAAACCTCTGGCCAACGTTTGCTTAGTCGGTAGCTGCCTTACTTATAGCTTCTGTCGTATGGAAAGACCACATTGGTTGGCAGCTTATGCTCTTCTAAGTGGCCTTAGAAGAAGTCGGCCCCGCGTGAAAGTGCCGGCCCGGTGTTTCGGTTCGGGTCGGTTCGGGAACTCAACACAAAGCCGTCAATCATGCACCTTAGTCCTACGCTGTCCATGCCGATCCTCCACGTTTCCCCGGAACTAGTGCCTCAGGTTCATTTGAAGAATAAAAGCTGGAGACTTAAGCTATGGCCTCAAGTTCTTGTCATCAATTGCAGGCAACGCAGTACAGTGTGCGTAGCTGATTGTATGAGTGGTTGTGATAGGTCCCCTGGCAAGTACGAGGTCTTGGATGCTGTGTCAGTACTGTAACCTATGGGTTTAATGGTAGCCAAAAGTGTTGAGTAGGATGGACGATGCAGGCTGTTACCACAATACACCGGTCAAAAAATCAATCATACATACATTTTGTGCTACTTGATTCATTGGACGACAGCTCAAATGGCTGGGTCAAGCTTTTAGATTTCAATCCTGCTGCAGAGTTGCAGTAGAATGTTCCACCACCGCAAGAATGACGCTGCGGATTCGAAATCACATCAAATGAATCATGAACAGGCAGCAAGGCTCTCAAAAGACGCAAGACAGTATGCGATCATAGTCGTGACTTGTTTGTGTTCGATTGGTCTCGAAGGTGCTCTTTCGCATAATCATCTTAAGCTAGCTAGACTGACAATTAGAGGGTAAGCGGACCCGTCGAAGAATCCAGAATGGAATGAAGCGATTTTTCTGATTTGCCCTTCCCGCACTCGAGTGCAGCAAAACAGGACTTGAGTGGCGAGAGCATCCGATATCATGCGTTTGTGACTTGGACGAGTGGAATCTAGGTGAGCACGGTTTAGCAAGTGACGATACGATGACTTCAGGTCTCCAATCATGGGAGCCACTGCTGAAAGTAAAATGACTGGAGCACTCCGTCGCGATGCAACTCATACGAAGCTTAAGCTATCGGCGATAGAGTCGATTAGTTCACACATTCAGATATAAAAGTCTGCATCTCATATCGATATTGTATGCCGAAGCTGCGACATTCAGAATTGCTTAGAAATTTGTGCACAATCTCTACCTCAAATCGTGTCTAAGACTAAAACATGGCAGCAGTAGCAAGGTACGCGATCCTATTTCTAATAACAAAGAACGACCCAGATTGACCTTCTTTAGTCCCATTGCCTCGACGGCTTACAAGCCTCATCCGACAGAAAAGATGAAGGCTGCAGTTTTCCAAGGCTCCAAATCTATTACTATTGAGGAGGTGCCGAAGCCGATGATCACTGCGCCCAAGGACGCCATTGTCCACATCACCCACGCCACCATTTGTGGCTCCGATTTACACATGTACTCCGGCGAATTGAACCAAGCCATGAAGAAGGGGGATATCATGGGTCATGAAGCCATTGGTATTGTCGATGAAGTCGGCCCGGAAGTTAAAACCCTGCAGCCTGGAGACCGGGTCATCATCCTTCCAGTTATTGCATGTGGTGAATGCTTCTATTGCAAACGCGAGGAGTACTCACTATGCGATAAGACGAACCCTTCAAAGGAGATGGAGAAGATCTACGGTCACCGGCTATCTGGCATTTTTGGATACTCGCACCTCACTGGCGGATATCCCGGAGACCAAGCCGAATGGTGTCGCGTTCCCAACGCTGACCTTACCTGCGTCAAGGCCCCGCACGGAATCGACGCGAAGAAACTTGTCGGGCTTGCCGATGTTACGACCACGGCCTGGCATGGTTGCGAGCTTGCAGAAGTGAGGGAAGGGGACGTCGTTGGGGTATGGGGATGCGGCGCGATTGGTCTTTCTATCCAGCGGCTTTCGAAGCTCCGAGGTGCGAAAAAGGTATATGCTATGGATGTCGATCCAAACCGTTTGCAAAAAGCAAAGGAATTTGGAATGGTCCCAGTGGACGTATCGCAGCATAAAGATGTCGCAGAGTACATACTCTCGGTCGAGGCACTGGGCCTTGATCGTGGGATTGAGGCAAGCGGATTTCGGAGTGCCCAGTCTTTTGCGCACAAGAGCATGCGGGCTTTGGGTTTGGAGGTGGACAGTGGGGACACATTGACTGCCTGCATCAAAGCAACCAGGAAGGGTGGCAATGTTGCATTGATTGGCGATTTCTTCTTTTCGACCAACCAGTTCCCCATCGGCATGTTGATGGAAAAGACCATCACTCTCAGGGGAGGGCAACTCATGGCTCAGAAGGTATGTTTTGCAGAACCATGGTTCTAAAGTTGAATTGACATGAGAGTAGTATCATCCGTTTCTTCTCAACTTGGTCATTGATGGCAAGTACGATCCTTCTTGGATGTTTACTCACGAAGGTATGTAGCCTAAGGTCTGGCGATAAAACATGCCCTGTTAACAAAAATGCTTTCGTAGCCAAGCTCGAGGACATCGATAAGTGGTACAGTTATTTTGACAGACATACTGTCCCGGGTGGTCTCAAGGTTCTCCTTACAACGGAGTTTGGTAGATCTCTGAAATGAAACCTTCTCAGACTAATACGAGATGAGTGGCATGTAGCGAAGGAAGGAAATGACGTGGTCTGTCAAATGGAGACAATGAGAATCTTGTGGGCAACTATGGTACACTCCCTTGTAGTGAAAATTGTTCAAAGTAGTTGCAACAAACGAAAGATCTGTGAAAACCATCAAATATACCGGAGCTTAGTTGGTAAATCACATCATGCCCAAGCGTGAAGAATGCGGCCCAATTAATTCCTCTCAATAGCGACTCAAATAAGTGATAGAATTACAGACGGCAGTAAAGATGTTCAGCCGGCAATCATGCATGTAAGGCACCACTCAAGATTTTCCCGCCATTCGGGAGAGCGAGGTGTGCCCCTTTTGACCTTACTGCAGCTATCGATTTGTGTCATGAGACTCGTTAACGCTTTGCAGGCCACATCGTTTCAGTCATCCACCATGGAATGTAAAAGGTCTTGTAAGAACAATCCGGTCGATCTATGTGCTAAGCTGGAGTTCAATAGCAACTTCGAATGAGACTTCGTTCGGATAGACAATTCAGGAAGATCATCAAGCTGGCAAAAGCTTAGATGTGCCGCGCCAATCGGGTCGTCGCCTCGTCTACCCCGACATGCAGGGATAATTAGCCGGATGTTTTCTCGGCTCTGCCGTGATATCTAGGCATGCGATTGATGGGTGTAACCTCACCTCCGCCACTGGGCATGCGCGCCAGTCACTGCCCGAGATCTCGGTGGAGCGAGGCCCATTGCGAGGCTTCCCTCCGTCAGATGGCTCAAGACTGTCCGGAATCCTAGTGGAGAACGGCCATTTCTGGTCTTCTTGCCATAGACTACAAGACTAATAGACATCAACCTTTGCAACTTAAGTCTCATTCGACTGTTCTTTCTCAGACTCAGAGATTTTGTTTGACTCCTCGTTCTTACACCAGTGCGTGGCTATCGATCTTAGCCTTCCACGACCGCCATCATGTGGTTCAATGCAGGAAGAATCCAGGGGCTGGCAACTCTTGCCCTAGTCACTGCCGTGCCCTGTTTGAGCGAAGCTCAAGCTGTTCCGCCTGCCATCCGGGAGAAGGGTGTTTCAGCTTGGGCTTTCGATATGAGCCAGGTCACTTTGAGCAGCGGCCGCTTCTTCGACAATCAAGCTCGCACTCTCACTTATCTAAAGTGGGTGGATGTCGAAAGACTTTTGTACAACTTCCGTAAGAATCACGGCCTATCTACGAACAACGCACAAAAAAACGGCGGCTGGGATGCTCCGGACTTTCCCTTCCGCACTCACGTCCAGGGGCACTTCCTGAACGCCTGGGCTTACTGCTACGCTCAACTTCGCGATAACGAGTGCAAGAGCAGAGCCACTTATTTCACGGCAGAACTGAAGAAATGCCAAGCCAACAACAGCAAAGTTGGTTTCAATACAGGTTATCTCTCTGGCTTTCCCGAGTCTGAAATCGATGCTCTCGAGAAGCGGACCCTCACGAATGGGAACGTGCCGTACTACGCTATTCACAAAACTATGGCCGGCCTGCTCGATGTCTGGATCCATATCGGTGACACGAACGCTCGCGATGTGATTCTTGCTATGGCGGCGTGGGTTGATCTCCGCACGGGAAAGCTCACGTATGACCAGATGCAGACCCTGATGGGCACTGAGTTTGGAGGGATGAACGAAGTGTTGGCCGACCTCTTCCATCAAACAGGGGATCAACGCTGGCTCACTGTCGCTCAACGCTTCGATCATGCTGCCATTTTCAACCCTCTTGCTTCAAACCAAGATAGTCTTAACGGCTTGCACGCAAATACTCAAGTCCCCAAGTGGATCGGTGCTTCACGCGAGTACAAAGCGACGGGAACCAGTCGTTACCAGGACATTGCCCGAAATGCGTGGAACATAACTATCAGCGCACATTCGTACGCTATTGGCGGCAACAGTCAAGCGGAGCACTTCAGACTACCCAATGCGATTGCTGCGTTCTTGAACCAAGATACATGCGAGGCGTGCAACACATACAACATGCTTAAGCTCACGAGGGAGCTGTGGCTGACCAACCCAAGTACGACAACATACTTTGACTTTTACGAGCGGACATTGCTCAACCACCTCCTCGGGCAGCAAAACCCAACTGACAATCATGGACATGTCACCTATTTCACTCCTCTCAACCCCGGTGGTCGCCGTGGTGTTGGTCCGGCTTGGGGTGGCGGCAATTGGAGCACTGACTACAACTCATTTTGGTGTTGCCAAGGTACCGGCCTCGAGACGAACACAAAGCTGATGGACTCGATCTACTTTTACGATAACGAGGCTCTTTTTGTCAATCTTTTCATCCCTTCTGTATTGAAGTGGACTCAGCGCAGCGTTACGGTTACACAATCCACCAATTTTCCACAGAGTGGCACCACCACACTAAAGATCACCGGTGCTGGCAAGTGGACTATGCGTATCCGCATCCCTTCGTGGGCTTCTGGGGCTCAATTCCTTGTCAACGGAAATGCTGTTAATGCAGCAGCAGGGACATACGCATCAATCAATCGTAACTGGGTCTCAGGGGACACCGTTGTTGTGAAGTTGCCGATGAAGCTGCAAGTTGTCCCTGCTAATGATAACCGCAACGTTGCAGCGTTAGCGTTCGGTCCTGTTATCTTGAGTGGCAACTATGGAAGTCAGACTCTTTCAACTACACCTGCATTGGATTTGAGTACTGTGAAGAAAAGCGGAACCACCGGGCTCACTTTCACGGCGGCGGCGGGAGGCAAGACGGTGAATCTCGGTCCTTTCTACGAGGCGCATGGATTCAACTATAACGTGTACTGGTCTATTAGTGAGACATTGCCTACGTGAGACGATGAGGCTATGGTTGAATGAGTTGTGTCTTAAGGATATTGGGCCGTTTCTTGCTGTACATATTTCATTCACTTGTTGTTCTTGAGCTAGGCTTCAGTATCATCGGCTGTTCTCTACGTTTTCATACTTAGGCTACACCTGCAAATTCTGGCCAACTCCGGCTGCTTTCACTCTAACACAATATGCATTGACTTTGAGGTATTTAAAATCCGAGCTCCTCATCTGGGTGGAGGTTTACACAGATCTGCCAAGACAACTCTAAATGAAGACCCTTCCAACAAAGACGTGAGGTTGCATACGAACACCAACCCAGCAAGCAGGCGGTAACCTCGTTAGTGTTCCTCCAGGTACGGTGCAATTAAATCGGGAATCATATCAATCATACGGACCGGAAAAAGAAGACTTCAGTAATTAACAATGAGGGCAAGCAGAACTGGGATTGGGGAGTGGGATGATGGACTAACAGCTGGCAGTCATCTGTCCGGGTAACGTTCACCATGTAGCCAGGTCTGCTGCAGCAAATGTTAATGCGGAAAACAGGATTCGGTTTAATTGCAGGATATTTCATAGTCATAACTCCTACGTGCCCTTGAATAGATGCTCCCTTAACGGAACCGTATTTTGTCAAGATTAGAGAAGCTCTTAGCAAAGGCAGCCCAGGATACCCAGTCTACAGGCGAGACATAAAAAAAAGGACTGGTACTCGATACACTAATGTGATGAATTCTTACTCGATCAACAAGCACAGTTAAACAAAAGCGTGATAAGTTCTATGGTATAAAAGTATGTTGTTACTTGGTATCATAATAATCTCTACCTCTCCCCTTTCTAATGCTTCCCCGCAGGCATGCGTCTAGCTTCGGTCTTCAGCAGCGCTTCTTTCAGAAAAACCAGCCCAACCAACAATTGAGGTAAACTCCCATCATCTCAACCAACTAACCGTTGTTTCCGTAATTAAATAACCAACCAAGTATCAGGTTAAGATTGTATCTATTTGTGTCGAGTGAAGCGCTGGCCTTCAGGCCTTTGAGTTCCCCAACTTACGGATTTCACCTGAGTACCAAGCCTGGAAGAACTATTGTTAGCAAATAGCGAAGTCAATTAGAACGTAAAGACCATGTAAGCATACCGACTCAGCACCAGCACCGATGGCCTTCATGCCTAGCTTCTGAGCAATCCAAGGTGCCTCGATCTTCCTGGCGTACAGCTTGGCGTCCTCGTCCTTAACATTGGCGGCAAGAATTGTGTTCTTCGGCAGTGCTGGGTTCAGGACAGCAGGTCTTCCCAAACCGATTAGATCACAACCTTTGTTAGCGAGTGCCGCCTCCATGCCCAGGCGCGAACGGAAACCACCGGTTACCATCAAAGGAACATCGGGGAAATCGCGTCGTATGGCCCGAGCGAACTCCAAGAAGAAGGCTTCACGGGCCTTGGTGCGGTCTGACTTCTTCTCGTCGGCGATACCAGTAGACATCTAACAGGTGAATTGAGGTCAGCTCTTTCTCGAAACTGAGCAATGAAAGATTTTCATTTTATCTCTTACCACAGGGTCTTCATAAGTACCACCGCTAACTTCCAAGAAGTCAACGCCGGCTTCGGTGATCAACTTCAGCTGCTCGATGCAGGCGTCAAGCTCGGCTTGTGACTGGTGGTCAACAGAGTTGAACTTGATGCCGACGCAGAAAGTCTTCGGCACGGCCTCGCGAATAGCGCGGATGATTTCAACGATAATCTTGACGCGAGCGGCTGGAGAACCACCGTACGCATCGGTGCGCTTGTTGATCTTCTCAGACATGAACTGGGCGAGAAGGTAGCCGTGTGCACCGTGGATTTCAACACCAGCGAAACCCGCGTCGGACGCCAACTTGGCCGTCTGCGCAAAGCGGCGAACAACATCCTGTATCTCGGCGACAGTCATCTCGCGGGGCGTGCCGAAGAGCAGAGAGTTGATGAGACGAGGAAGGAAACCGGCGCCAAGGTTCAGCGGTACAGCACTGGGAGCGATTGCCTTCTCCATAATACCACGCTTGCCAGCACCAAGGGGCGATTGGCGACCAGGGTGGTTCACCTGCACGATGGTTGGCGTACCATTCCGGTTGCAGACCTTCGCCCAGGCTTTCCAGGCCTCAAGCATGCGTTCATAAGGAATCGTGTCGTTGTAAACGATATCCTTTGGTGAGCCGAGATACTTGAGATCAACTTCCACATTGCCTTTGACGCACAAATTAGGTCCCTCATGAGTCTCAGTCCTGCTATTGTGAACTACTTACCGGTCATGACGAGTCCCCAGCCACCGTCTGCCCATTCGCCATATGGTCCATATAATACTTCTGTAGGCAAGCCTTCCTTATCGGCCCAATTTTCCGCCATCGCGGCTTTGGCCAATCGGTTCGGTAGTGTAAGACCGCATTTAAGCGTCAACGGCTTCGCAATCGCAGAGTTGGACATGATGTTTTGACTTTGCGCCTAAGTACTCAATTTTTCTGTAGTTATGGTACGGTGAGTAGCTAGGGAGAATTGTTTGTGCTGTGCAGGCGGTTTGAAAAAAATTGGTGCGACTGTCAAGCTTTGTAAGTACCAGTGGGACGGATGGCATTCATCAACAAATTTGTCAAGTCCATTGTCACAACGGAACAGAACGTGATCGCACGGCCGGAGACCCACAATAGGGGAGGATAATCCTGGTTTGATTTCGAAACGGGACTGATTACAAAGGCACAATGTCCATCAAAACGCAGGATCCATAAATCGGGCTAGAGTCAGTCCGTGGATCGTGTGCTTGTGAAAGCTTGTGCCAAGGCACCACTATTTATTCGCGCCCTTGTCTACGCAATATCCAAATCCCGGAGGAATAGTCCCGCCGAACTGTTCCTCCGACGGACAAAGCTCATTTGACAAGGGGCGGAGTTTGACAGTCGGCAAATCCCCAAAAACGGACTTTGGCCTTCCGACATAAATGCCAGGCTAGTAAACTAGCGCTTTCAAAGGGGCTTTGTGAGGTACAATGCCTTGATCCGAGAATTCCTTGCGCCTAGGTCTAAGATATAACAAAAGAGCGCCAGAGTGCCTGGTTGGCTAATTGATGATTAGTTATCATCGAATCAGATACAAGTTCCTTGGCGGACTATCGAAGGGTATTACTTCAGATTTCCTTTTCAATTCAACGATTCATTAATCATTGATGATGTTTCTTTCCTTACCAGAATATTGGCTATCCTGCAAACAACGCCAGCATGGGACACTACCGAGACACTTGTCCTGTAAGTAGTATGTCTTGTGCCTTATCGCATCAGACTGTGAGACTGTTATAAGGCTATGATACACAGTGAAAGTAATACTAGTTGTTAGCTTAGAGTCCAGACTAACGATCTCGTCGAGGGGTGCTCAGCAAATTGTTGGTTTGCTGAGTCTAAACCAAAATGCAGCCTTAATAATGGCGATATTATATCTGGCTTTGGCAACCGATAGGCCATAGTGTTACCGGTAGTACCGTTTTTAAGAGTTTATCGTAGGCTCACTTAGCTGTAAGTGTGTATGTGACACTCCTTAGAGGCCTCTGGGCCAGGCCATGGATTATGGTCCAGGCACAGCTGGGGATGGGCAGCGCTAATGTCGAGGAAGCTGAAATAAAGAAAAAAAGGAGAAAAAAAGGTAATGGAACCGCACTACATGGATGATCTGCAACGGATGTCTAGGCTATTCCACTTGAGGTCGGGTTTGCACAAAGGGATTAGTAATATTAAAACTGATTTTGAATGATTAAAGTTCCAGGGTAATTGAACATATCCATATCTACCACATTGGCTCTTTTCAGCGGGGAACTGCAATTACCTATGTGTCGCTGGCGTCTGGTTATCACCGAAACCGCGAGATATCCAGTGTTCTCGAGTTCTTTATAGCCATCTGGGCTGGGAATCACAGTTGGACTAATTGAAGACTAAAGTGAGTTTCAGCCGGATCCACGTTAGTCATATGTACACATGTTGTGATGGATTAATAAGTATATGTTACATGCGTTTCAATCCCTTGAGGCCCTTCGCCAACGCTGTTATTTGCTATTTAGGTCACGGCTACTCGACAAGATTATGCCAGCAAGCCTCCAGTGCCACCTCTTTCCTGACCCTCAAGACGCTCTAAGTGACTGGGACGGCTTATCAGCCCACTCAGGATGAGTACCGACGAGTTATGTCCTAAGAAGGTGGGTCAGGCTGGGACATCCCGAACTGCGGATGAGTCCATGCCCCGGGTTCCAAGCAAAAGGTATCACTGGTTAAAGACGGTGATTGCAAGTTGTTACCAATGTTATGCATCTTTCTGGTCCTCTGATGACCAGCCGCAGAGTTGTTAAGTTGTAGGACACGAAACCAGATTAAAGCCACGGGCATACGGCACGTCCACCACGCCTTGGTTGGCGACGTCCCTCAAATTCTTCTAACGAATCATTCCCTTTGCCGTTTTGTAAAGTCGATCCAGCACTCATGCTCCTATCGTAGAGGTCAGTAACAATGCTGTAGTCCATGACCATCTCGCTACTCACCTTAGCTTTAGCAAATGTTTCGTCGGAGAAGACTTCAAATCGGCTTGTGATGCCGGGGCTTACGTTCTTTTGCCTGTCTTGCTCGCTAGTTGTGTATCTTAAGTAAAGGGCTGCTAGGAGAGTTGTCATCTCGGCCATGGCAAGACTATGAGCTCCTTGTTAGCGTCCTCCACGCGCGAATACTATCGGATAAAGATGAAGACATACTGGATGCCAATGCACATTCTTCCACCGCTTGAGAATGCCCAGAACCATTTCTTCATCTCTGTGACATCCCCGCACTCCCCCAGCCATCTTTCTGGCTTGAACTTGAGAGGTTCCGGAAACACAGCTGCATTACGGTGCAACGTGTACGGTGACATGCTGACGACCGTACCAGCAGGAATGTGATATCCGTCTATCGTGGTGTTGATAGGCAGCGAGCGTGGCTCCGATGCCGGTAACGGGGCATAGAGTCGAAGACCTTCTTTGATGACTGCATCGAGATAAGGTAATTTGTCTGCAACTTCCGCCGTTGGATTTCCATCTTGGTTGCAAGAGTTAGGAGGTATGCAATCCAGCTCCGCTATCAATCTTTCCTGATATTTCTTATTCTCAGACCTTGAGAGTGCCCATATCACAAACATCAAGGTGTCGCTGGTCGTGTCGATCCCGGCCAAGAAGTGATCTGCAACCTCCGATGCGATGTCAAGGCCATCGAGCCGGGATTCTTTGTCGCTCTTACTATGTTGCCATAGCTTTGTAATGATTGCTTTATCATCCTGTGACCCGTCGTCTTTGACGGTACTTGATTCAAATTCTTCCCATGACCGCAAGCCGTGAGCCCGAATACCCGTGTATGTCGCTGGCTTCTTCATGGGAAGAAGATGCAGAGCCGTGACAAGCTTCTCCATGACGCCGGTTCTCGTGTAGAGCCAGTTCGTGTATGTTTTGAGGTGAACAACGAACCAACTGAGTTTTCTCCGGCTAGGGTCAATGATATCGTTGAGCATCATTCTATCAGCCTCATTTCCTCTCAGTGCATGAGTTCCCCATGCTTGTCTCCATATAGAAATCCGGTAATGCTGTCAAGGCTGAACCAATGCAAACTGTGGAAGATCTCTTCTGCAACATTCTTCTCCTGTTCAAGAAGGTCGAGAAAACTCTTGACGTTCTTCTCCACAAGGGGCCTGGCGATGCCAGTCCACGACAGAACCACACTCTTTGAGTAAGCATGCGCAAGTAGCTTCTTCCTCTCGCCGTGCTTTCTCCCTTCGGCAAAGGTGAACAAGTTTTGTCGCCCATAAACGTCGAACATGCGATAGAAGTTTGTCCGTTCAAACCCGGAGCCGGCGCCGTAGATCGTACGCAAGGCTGAGAGAGATGAAAACGAGACCTCGTCGGGACTAATACGAACGGCATTGCCGTAGTTCTGATGCAACTTATGTATTTTCCGAGTTCTTGTGCCGTAGTAGTCGTCCAACGCAAGACGCCATTTCGTCACCGCGTAGACTTTGGAGCCAGGTATAAGCCGCAGTGGAGACACCGCCAGTGGGTTGTAGACGTAATGATATACAACGCTTCCAATGGCTATGGCTATGAGAAAGGGCACCGGATTGCTCGCAACAGATTGCGCCGCTAAATAGAATAAGGTCAGGACGACTGAGTGAGCTCGTTTCAAATGAACTTGTCACTTACTGTCACGAAAAATACTACGTGCCATTTTCAAGGTCTTGTGACTAGTTCCTTCGTTGCCACTGTCGTCGATCAACAAGCAACGTTTCGCGGTTCAAGAATATTGAAAGAACGCCAAATGACCTTGGATAGTTGGTCATCTCTGCTATCTAAGGGTGTCTTGGTGTAAATCACGGCAGTCTCTTTTCCCCCGCACTGGTTGCGGCTTTTGTGGGGCGTCGGCACTCGCGAACTAACTTAGTTTCCCCCTCGGCGGGGAGCACGATGATGTCGGAAGCTCCGAAAGCGCCATTTGCATCACCGTGCCAAGAGAATATCTAGCCAGCCATGAGACCTGACTGACGGTGAAAAGTATCATCTCCCACCAGTTCACAAGCCAATTCGAATCCAATAACCAAACTCAACTATTTCTCTAGCATTTGAAGGAGCACATAGTTCAAAGCAAACGCAATGGCGCCCTCTGCAGCCGTTGATCTGCTCCCTACTTCGTCAATCCCGGCTTCTACCAAGTCGCAAGCTGTCAACGCCATGTCGGCGATGGCTCACCGAGGCAAAGCCCTCCCGTTGATCCCGAAATTTGCCTCCCATGCTGAGACGCGCCAGTGGCAGCTGGAACACATGGCCGGGGCCTTCCGCGTCTTTGCTAGCGAGGGGTATGCAGAGGGTATCTCAGGGCACATCAGTGTGAGAGATCCGGAATACGAAGATCGATTCTGGATCAATCCCTTGGGCGTCCACTTTGGGATGCTAAAGGCTAGCGACATGATATGTGTCGATCTGGATGGTGAGGTTACCGGCGGCAACATTGCTGGCTCGATCAACGCTGCTGGATTCCAGATCCACAGCGCTGTGCATCGTGCCCGGCCTGACGTCCATGCCATCTGTCATACGCACTCTGTTTATGGACGGGCATGGTCGGCCTTCTCGAAGCCGCTCGAGATGCTGAACCAAGACGTTTGCTACTTTTATAATGCGCACTCGGTCTACACCGACTATGGTGGTATTGCCAACGAGGCCTCGGAGGGCCAGAAGATTGCCGCCAGTCTGGGGACAGGGAAAGCTGTCATTCTGCTGAACCATGGGCTTTTGACTGTGGGCCAGACGGTTGATGAGGCAGCGTTTCTGTTCTGTTTGATGGAGAGGAGCTGCAAGGTACAGCTCGCAGTCGAGGCTGCCGGGCTCGAGAAGCACCTTGTGCCCGACGAGGAGGCAGATTACAACTTTAAGATGGCAAGCACTCCGGTAAGTCGACATTAACAATGAGTATTGTATTTCTCTAACTAGCGGACCTGTCTGGATTTTAGGAGACGCTGTATTGTGAGTTCCAGCCTCATCTTAAGTACGAAGAACACAAGTGCCGAGGGGACTACAAGGCCTAGATTAAAACAAATATATACCTTTTGACTTTTGAACCGCCCTGGTAGCCAAAGAAACTAATGTCCGAAGCACACGGTAGTCGTTGAATTTCGAATTCCTCTCAATGAACTTTGCAATTCACCAGCGATTCAATGTTGTTATTGACTCCGACCGCCTGATTCTCAATGTGACACATGCCATAGGCCTGCAGCATCAACCTTCACCAAAGTCTTTAGTAAGATCGCTTCATCTTCGTTGTTTGTAGAGCTTGTTCGGGCAAGCCGACAAGAAGATCGGATACTTCCCCACTTCGGGTGCTAGTCCGACAGTACCTTGGGTCGGGCGATACCAATGCATTTTCCATGCTTAGGCGTCCAATCCCAGACAGTTCGCAATCAGTGCTATCGTGATAAGCTCCGCGGCATATCTGGTGTCTACACTAGGTGACCGAAACACTTCAAGGGAGATGACAGGGTAACGAAAGTTGTCATTTATGGTTGACCGAACGCACCCTCCTAGATGTTTCCCAATCCCACATCCTAAGAAGTTCTGATCTAAGCAAGAGAGACACTACTCTCAACTTATGCCACCATGGCTGCCTCAAAATATACCGAGAAGAGCCCTCCTGTCACTTCTGTGGACAATGAATCGGGGCACAGCTCCAACATGGACATCGGTGTTGGCGATATTTTGGACTCAACAGCCGGTTCCCAGGCGCTGCATCGCAAGCTTCGGGGAAAGGAAGTCCAACTATTTGCCATTGGTGGGGCAATTGGCACATGTACGTTCAGTCGCCCAGAATTCCGAGGACTCGTTGATTTCGACGACCTCGTGCTGACCGCAACCTTCAGCTCTCTACGTGCAGATGGGCTCTGCTTTACCCAAGGGAGGTCCTGCAGGCCTCTTCATTGCCTTCATCATATGGGGCTGCGTTATGTGGGCGGTGAATGAGTGCTTCGCTGAAATGGTAACCTATGTGCCCGTGCCGTCACCCTTCGTCCGCTTCGCAGGCGAATGGGTTGATGAGGCGTTGGGCTTCGCTATGGCCTGGAACTTCTTCCTCAACATGGCAATCCTCGTACCCTTTGAGATTGTGGCTATGAGCATCATGGTCACCTTTTGGACCGACACTGTTCCAATCGTCGCAATCATCATACCCATGATCGCTCTATATGCCTTCCTCAACATTATTACCGTGCGATATTTCGGAATTTCAGAATTCTACCTGTCCATATTCAAGGTCGTATTGATGGTTGGCTTGTTCTTCTTTACCTTCATTACTATGGTCGGTGGAAATCCGCTTCATGACGCGTATGGATTCAAATATTGGCAGAATCCTGGGGCATTCGTGGAACACAATGCTTCCGGTAATACGGGTAGATTCCTTGGTGTCTTGTCCTGCATATACCAAGCCAGCTTTTCGTAAGTTCTTTTCATTGATGCCATCTTCAGATACTCCTAACGTACTATCTAGGATTTGCGGACCTGAGTACATTTCCATGGTCGCTGCTGAGACGGAAAATCCTCGCCGGATCCTGCCGCCGGCTTACAGGTCCTTTGTATGGAGGATATTGTTTTTCTTCGTCGGCTCCGCCTTATGCATGGGCATAGTGATTCCCTACGACGATCCGACCCTGGCAGCCATCCTGGGAGGCGAGAGCACCGGAAGCGGCACTGGTGCGGCGTCGTAAGTGAAAAACATCGACATTATCAAAGAGAAATTGGCTAAGAAGCTAATGTTTCTGGTGCAGGCCTTACATTATTGCTATGAACCGCTTGCAGATACATGTTCTTCCCCACATTGTCAACGCTCTCATTATGACGTCCGTCTTCAGTGCAGGAAACGGCTTGCTCTTTTCTGCCACGCGCGTCCTCCACGGCATGTCCCTCACGGGCTACGCGCCAAAGATTTTTTCCTGGTGCACTAAGGGCGGTGTACCACTATACTCACTCCTTTTCTCTCTATCTTTCAGTTTGCTAGCATTCCTGCAGCTTGGTAGCTCATCTGCAGAGGTTCTGGTCTATCTGGTGTACCTGATCACTTGCTGTCAGCTTCTCAATTACGGTTTCACTGCGCTGACATATCGACACTTTTACGCGGCACTGAAGAAACAAGGGATATCACGGGACACTCTGCCTTACAAAGGGAGATTTCAGCCGTATACTTCATACTTTGCTATGGGCGGTACCTTGTTCATGCTTCTCGCTGCCGGATACGATTTGTTTCTAACTGGTGGGTGGGATGTGATGTGGTTCTTCTTGGACTACGGCATGATTGGCTTTTTCATTCTCGCCTTTATCGGCTGGAAGCTTGTCTTCAGAACACACTATGTCAGACCTGGCACTGCAGACATAAGCCTGGGTGGCTCCAAGGAAGAGATTGATCAATACGAGTCTTTGTATGTAGCTCGGAAGCCAGGAAGGGTTGGAAGGTTGATTAATAAGGTGTTTGAGTGAAAGGATGGAAATGAGTAGTTAAATGAAGGTCTTTACACTAGGAGAGAAATTATTCCACGCCCGGCTTCCAATACTCAAAACAACAAGTTCTTGAATAATTTTGACACTACAAATTGATCAAACAGTATTTATGCAAGGATGTGGATCAGCTCCAAGCTAGGTGTAATAGGGTGGCAGACACTGAGATGACAACTGTGCCTGGAGCCTACAATCGCTACATTTTGCGATTTGGCTCGGACGGCCTGCTCCTTAATCGGCGTCATACCGCTGGCTGCGCCACTGTTCGATCTTTCCAATCACTCAACATATCGAGCCACAACTATAGGTATTTCAGTAGCATGTGCAAAGCCCAAAAAGACCGAGTAATGCCCAAGCGTTTTGACCCATGTACCACAATGATTATGTGAGAATAGTGGATGGAAAAAAAAAGCGTGTGTCGCAATAGAAAAGGTTCCTAGCTTGGATTACAATTTCACTGTCTCAGGTGCTTAGAGCAGGGGCGTCGCGAAATTTCATACTGGACGTCAAACCACCCCTACGAATATTCAGGTCTTGACATCCGTGGGGATTATCATAGCCTCGGATTTGTGGTCAAATTCGTCCTCCGAGATAGGCTTGCCGCCATCGTATGCCTCAATCACATCATCAAGTTGATCGCGCGGTATACCGTTAAATCGCTTGTCGATCTGCTCCAGGGTAAGACCTTTGGTCTCCATGTAGGTAAAGTAAATCACCAGAGCCATAAGGGTATTCCAGATGACACCAACAATGTAAAAGCTGCACAGCCCAGTCAGCCAGGGAACAACACGTCAATGAGGGAATAGTACATACCGCCAACCGATGCCGGCGAGACCAATAGGAATAACGTATTGGTTGAAGAAACCGGCCGAAGATGTGAAGATGCAGTAGAATCTGTTTCATGTTAGTAAAATAGTCGTCAGGCTATGTGGAATCATCAACTTACGCCATGCCTTTGGCGCGGATGGTAAAATTCAGAACTTCAGCGCAGTACGAGAAGGACAATGGCGTCCAGGTAGAAGAGTAACCCATTTGGAACAGAAAGACCATGGCAATGATTCCATTCCTACCAGCTGCGTTGCCCGTCTGATCAGCCGTAAGTCCAGCCATGCATGCCAGAACAGCTGCGCAGAAAGCCGTGCCAGCCGTCAGCATGGGCACCCGACCCAGCTTGTCAATCAGACAAATACCGGTAAGAGCAGAGACAAAGGCAACGCAGTTCTGGCCTAAGTTAATGGCAAACTGCTCGCGCTCTGATGTGATACCCGCGAGATTCAGCACTTGAGAGAGGTAGAAGGTGATGATGCTAGAACCGACAGTCTGCTCAAAGATACCAAGGGTCAGGAGGATGAAGCTACGGTGGCGGTTAGATTTTGACTTTGCAAAGGCTTTCCACCACGCGGCATATGACTCGAACTGGCTCTCCTTCTCCAAGGCGATGGTCTCGTTGATTTCACGGAACTGGGCAGTGACCATGGGATGCGTGGCATCACCGTTGCCGTGGTACTCAGTCAAGACTTCGAGACCCTTGGACACTTGCCCCTTGGAGATGAGCCAGCGAGGCGACTCGGGGATAAATGGCAGCAAGGCGATGCAACCTAGAGCCGGGCCGGCCATGCAGATGCAAATCAGTCTCCAGGACCATTCTCCGGCGACACTGCGCGCACCGTACCCAACGGCTGAGGAAATTATGGCACCGAGTAGCCAACAAGCCCAGTATAGGCCACCGACGAAGCCGCGGGAAGAGGGCGGGGCGAGCTCGACGAGGTAGGTAGGCACGGCGGCGATATCAATGGCCTTGGCGACGCCGACGAGAACACGGCCGACAAAGAACTGGGCGCGAGTGGTGGAGGTGGATAGTAGGATACAGGAGACGAAGACGAGGGTTGAAGAGATAAAGATGCCGCCCTTGCGGCCCCAGCGGTCGACAACATGGCCTGCAAAGAGCCCGCCAACAATGCCGCCCAGGTTGGACACGGCGGTAAGGAGGCCGAGGAGGTTGGTGGTGATGCCGAACTCTTTCTTGAATGAACTCTACATAGTGACCATTAGTGAGCGTCCAGCACAGGGGCAATAGAAGAGCATTGTCGTTTTGTATTGTCGGAGATAAGATGAAGACTTCATACCAAGATGTTGATGGAGGACATCATGCTGGAATCGTAACCAACTGAGGCGCAGTTGATCGCAGCTGTGAGACAGACCATGACCATAGGCTTGGTGAGACCAATGCCTTGGGACTTCTGAGACACCTCAGTTACCTCAGTCATTTTGAAGATGAAATCCTGACGTTCCTGTCTTAAAAAGAGATGTTGTCTTCCCGAGGGTGTCTACAAATTCATTTACCACGGAACTTGAACTCTTTTTATTTTTTGTCTCTTCTGCTATCTCCAACCCGGGAAACAACGCCGGGAGTATGGGTAGTCACCTCTAATTTGGTATTCAAGGAGGATTGAGATAAGCTCAATCTTGGTATTTGGTATCAGGGTTGCAAGAGATGCGATAAGAAGTTTAGGTCGACGTGGTAAGACCTATCGCTTTCATACCTTGCAATTGTCGACGCCCGCCGAGCTCAGAAGGGAGAACGACATCTCGCGGCCGGACCCACTGATGAAACAACACCATGGCCATGGAATTGGATGGTGTAAGTGAGGTAGGTGCCTTGTGGGTTGTGGCTTACCCCATCCAGTGTCACAAGATGCCCAGGGTGGGGTTGATAGAGCCGATAACTACAGAACCCCACATAGAACACAACTCCGCGTCGGACTTTCCGAGGAGGTTTTACCTTTGCCGATCATTAAATGGATAAACGCTATCTTGAAGGAATAGATACCGTTGTCAAGATGACGGCCGACGAGACGTGTGGTCGAAACTGAGTTTCTCGATCAGATAATCATATTGCTGAAAAAGATCGATTCGCTCCAAAATTAACAAACTTATCATCAGCCGACGTTAAATCATCTTAGCTGTAAAGTGTTTCAGTGTAGGTAAAGATTCGATAACATTATCTAAATAATCCATGCTGAGGGAATTGTTATTAGACTTCACATAGGGCAAGCTTAACTACTAGGAACTGTCGTCATTGCGCATCGATGACCATGCCTGGAAGACTCCTAAACTGGCCTGCGTGGCGAGAGTACGAGAATATACCCGACAAAATCGCCTTTGAGGAAGACTTTGCCAACGCCAAAGCCGCCGTCATCGCCGAGTATGGCAAGGAAGCGCTCACCAAGAGCTGGCTCAAGGTCTGCAAAGAGCTCGAGACCGTCACAAACCAATTAGCCAGCCAAGGCAGCGCCGCCGTCCCCGTGTATGAGTACAGCGAAATTGGCAACAAGGGGTTCAGCGAAGAACAAAAGGAGCAGATCAAGGCACGGGGTTGCTGCATTGTGCGCAATACCATACTCGAGGATAAGGCCAAGTCGCTCTTTCAGGATCTCAAGAACTTCGTGACGGAAAACAAAGGGGCCATCAATGGCTGGCCAGTTGAGTCCCCTGCTATACTACGGCTTTTCAACTCACCTGCGCAAATCAAGATCCGCACCGACCCGCGCCACATTACTCTACAACGCCAGCTCAACGCGCTCTTCCATGATGCCTCGGGTGAGACAAGCCCCGAGCCGTTGAGTTACACTGACGCAACGAGAATTCGGCCCCCCGGACAGACCTTTCTTGGCCTCGGTCCGCACATTGACGCGGGCAGCCTGTGCCGCTGGGCGCATCCTCAGTACCGCAAGGTATACGACCGCATCTTCTCAGGAGAGCCGGAGGATCACGACGCATACGACCTCGATGTGCGAAAAGATGCGGACCAATACATGTTTCCTGCAGGAGCACACTCGGCCGTGTTCCGCGCGTTCCAGGGTGGACAGCCTTGACACCAGCGAGTCCTTCATGCGGCACGTTGATGCTATATCCCAATGTTAAGACGGTCATTGCGTACGTGGTCTTGAGGCCTTTTTTCTCGCCGCCAAAGGACAAGTGCGACGTAATGAATGCAAGCAAGTGGATATTTGATGGGAAATCGCCGTGGTTTCCAGGCACAACGGTGCCGGATAGTCAAAGGTTGAGCAACTCGTCACATCCACACCTGCGGCTGAAGGACTGTCTTATGCATATTCCGAACATGGAACCTGGTGATACAGTCTGGTGGCATACCGATGTAAGCAAAAGCCCCATTTCTTTGCTGCTTCCGGTGATTTTATGGTTTCGTGACAGAAAGTGACTGACGAAACAGATGTGTCATGCGGTCGACCCAGAACACAACGGTGAGGGTGATGCGAGCGTGGTGTACATTGCCGCATGCCCCACTACAAAGACCAATAAGGACTATGTCAAGAAGCAGCTTCAGGCTGCGCTGGTGGGAGGAGGGCCACCTGATAGGGTTGGGCTGAAGCTCAATGAGTCGGCTTTGAAAGGGTACGAGGGGTTCGATGATGTATCTGAGGAAGGAAAGGTGGTGCTTGGGTTCAACCTGTTATAAGAGACTCATCGAAAATACATAAGTGTATGATATATCCCACTGTGAACTCCATCACCTGCGCTAATTACTCCAATGCATACACGTGCCTACTTTCCTTCAAAGCCTTCCATGAATCCCACCTCCATGGTCATAGTGTTATGCTGCCAAACATCACAAGTGTTACGTCCGCCGTATTGATGGCAAGACCAATGACCCTGAAGAGCAAGGATGTTCTCCATGACTTATGACTCAAATGAAGAAGAGGCGAGCCATATGCTACCTAAATCATGCCTTTGATGGTATATCAAAGTCTCTGCCTTCGAGGGAATAAGAACAAGAACATGAGAAGACGAACGGGAATCGTTTCTCCTAATATGGTGTTCTGTCAACAAGTTGATCTGCACAGAATGCCTGCGCCATATTGACACAAATTCAGTCAGGGAACTGGAAACTTATTTATCCCTACGAAACACCACAGCTCGAACACTTTTGCTAACTAATGAAGGACAAGAATCTCTTTTGCTCCAATCAAAATGCACATCTAAAACTGCGATTCCGTGCAGCCGACGAAAGCACTGGCCTAAAAACAACCAAGTCATATTATACTACGTTTGAGCTCATGATTGTCCCAGGGCCACTCTCAAGGCGCTATATTCGTGATCATCGACTTCAAGTGATGTACTACGCATCATGATTTTCATTCACAAAGTTCTATTTCAGTTTGCAGTCGGCCACAGATTGTCACTCTGGCGCCAACTGCCTGTGTGTGGCCAGTAATGTCGGAAGGTCCGATCCAGTCAGCGTGGGTGGAGATAGCCGATGTCGGAAGGCGCGATGTCACAACGATGAGGGTACACAGGTCTCTTGCATCGTGCCGTGACCATCAAAATCCGTTATCTTTTTACCTCAAACAAAGCGGAATGCTACATAATCTATCGAAGATAGAAATTCCAACTTACAACTTACAGCGCGTTCACAACAATCACCATGAGTTCAGTACCTGTTGCCCTCATTACAGCCGGGAGTGCTGGCCTGGGCGCCGCAGCTGCCCGTCTATTCGTCAAAAACGGATTCAAGGTGGTCATCAACTATAATAACAATGTGGAAAGGGCGGAAAAGTTGGCCGAAGAACTCAAGAGGTCGTCAGGCTCAGATGTGCTTGCCATCAAAGCGGATTTGGGCAACCGCGATGATATATCAAAACTTGTTGAAGAAACTATACAGAAGATGGGTCAATTAAACGTTGTCTTTTCGAATGGCGGATGGACACACTTTCGGGACATCATGAACTTGGACGGTGGGTACTGCTTGCTGCGGGAAATGCACTACACAGAAACTGATTCATTGGTTTAGACAACGTTGTAGAGGATGACTGGGACAGGTGCTTCAACATAAACGTCAAGTCACATGTTTGGCTCATGCATGCCGCCAAGAAGCATCTGGACGAGACAGAGGGTGCATTTATCACCACGGCATCCGTAGCTGGAGTTAGTTGCAGTGGAAGTTCTCTGGTAAAGTTTTTCGTCTGTCACTGCCTATACTTCAACGACTTACAGAACCTAGGCATACTCTGTAACCAAAGCTGCTCAGATTCACTTAGCCAAGGTCCTCGCGGTCATCGCGGCTCCAAAGATTCGAGTCAATAGCATATCGCCAGGTTTACTTCTCACAGTACGTATGCTTAAAAGTGCACAGGAAACCACTGATGGCTAAAATGGACCATAGGATTGGGGTGCGAAGTTCTCAGATGATGCTAAGGCTGCGCATATTGAAAAGACCAAGATTAAGAGAGCCGCCACAGTCGAGGTACGTGAATGATAATCCTGTGTGGCAGAGCGAAATACAAAACTGACACGCAAGAAATTCAGGATGTGGCTGAACAAGTGTATACACTTGCGAGAAGCAGAAGCATAACGGGCGTCAATGTTGTGATTGACGGGGGCTTTACCTTGTAGGTGCGAGCGTGGGATGAATGACTCCATGATAGAACAAGAGAGGTGCCTAGCAATCAATTCATGATAAGCCTCCCATCATCGCACTGTGAATGTTGTTGAAACACTTTACATCACTTTTACTTCTGGTCAAGCTGTTCGTTTTGCTATTTCTTGACCGCCTGGGCACGAAGGTATGTAGATATTGCCTGCCATGTTCTGGGCTTTCAAGAAGGTTGGAAGTTGTCGAATCACACCGCATCTTTATCTCAGCGAGCGTTTCAATCCCAGGGAAAAGTAGGCGAGTCATATTTCGTTATCCCCGTCCTGGGATAGGGCCAGTTGTTGGGGCGTGATCGATGACTGCGGTAAGAACTGAAATGTGCAATAAGAATTTCAAATGTGCAATAACACTAGCCACAAGTACCCTCTGAACTCAAATTATGTCGCACTAGGCCTAAAACAGGAGGGTATATCATGATTATAGTTCTAGATTATAGAACTTTACGTTATTACATATTTGCTATATACTTTAGTAAAAAAAGACTTTATATAATATAAATTATTAGTTATTCTTTATTTTTTTATATAAATTCTTATTATATTTAAAACTTATATTAATATTACTATAGTTATTATTATACTTTAAAAATTACTTTTTTATTATTTATTACTATAATTAATTACTATAAATAATTTATTATAAAATTTAATTATTTTATTATAGTAGCTATATTTAATATTATTATAATAAGATATTAAGCTAATAAAAATAAGAATAAGAAAAAGGTTATTAATAATAATAGTATTATAACTATATACTAAATATATTAAAAGCTTCTCTCTAATTTAAACTACTATTTCTTATACCTTTTTTACTTTAGTAAATAGTAATTTTAAGTATTATTAAGATAACTTATAAATAATATACCTTTATAGCTATTTTAAAACCTTTTTATTAAGTAAAAAGTACTTATTTATTTATTTATTTTATTTTATAGTAATAATTTTAGCTAATAAGCTATTATTTACTTTTTTTATATTAGTTAATTAACTATATCTTTAGTCTAAAATAAAGTTTTATTATACTTTATAAAGCTTTATAAAGTATATATTATTCCTTATAAAGAAGCTAAAGTCTTAAGAGAAATTAAGGGTAATAAAAAACTAAGTAAATATTTTACTAGTTATATTAAAGTAATTAATAGTATACTTATTAGTATATATATTCCTACTACTATTTAAAAAAAGTAGTATAGTTAAAAAAAAATAGTTTCTTAAAATATCTTTACTATTATTTATTTTAATAGTAGCTTTTTATTTATACTTATTAAAGCTAAAAAATTAATTTATAATACTAGTTTAATTAATTTTATAAATATTAAAGGGTTTAAAGTCCTTAAAGGCTAGTATTTTTTAAAAAATATAGGGTTTAGTACCTAGAATAGTATTATTATTCCCTATTTAAAAACCCATTACTATTTACAAGATTTTAGAAATATAAATAAACTACTAGAAATAGCTTAAGAGTTATATAATCTTTAATATAGTTATTTTTAAATAATTATTAAATAGATATTTAGCTACCTAAAACAAAAATAGAAAATAATTACCTCTTTAGCCTTAAAGTATAGCTTAAATATATAAATATAAATTATTTATATAATAATAAGCCTATATAACTTTTTATTTTACTATACTAAAGATAAAAAGTATGATAATAATATAAAAAACTAGCCTAATATAAATAAAGTTAGTAAAAGGGCTAATAGGTAATATTTAGGTTAAAGTATAAAATAAATTCATAAAAAAATAACTAAAGCAATATAAAAATAGTAATAAACACAAAAAAAATAGGAATTACTATAACTAATTACTATAATTCATACCTCTCCCCTTCAAATATCTTTTACTATTTCTCTAATAAAATCAAAGTTATAAGCTTATATAGTCTTATAAGCTATACTAAAAACCTTCTTCTAAAAGGTTAGGTATACCTTAATAGGTAACTAAAGCTAAAGATAAAGCAATAAAACCTTTTATAAAGGCTTAAAAGCCTTTATTATTAAGCAACTAAATCCTATAGTTACCTCTAAGTTAAAAGTAACTTTATTTTATATCTTTATAAAACTAGAAAAAATCTCCTCTTAAAAAGATAAAGTAAAAGAGCCTTAAACCTATATTTATATTAGTAATTTATAATAATTAGTTATAGTAATTAGCTTACCTCTTTAACTAACTACTTAATAGTTAACTTAAAGTCCTAAGTTAAGCAATAACGTTAAATAGTATAAAAGAAACTTCTATTCTGTTAACTTATAGTAAAGTAGTATTAAAAAGCAAATTACTTAAAAAATAATTAATTAGTAAAGTCTATTAGTTATAAAATTTTAATTTTATTTACTTTTTTTTTTAATAAAAATAAGAAATAATTTTTAAGAATTTATAGTCTCTAAAAGTAAAGATCTTCTAATACTTAGTTAAAATTAACTAAAAAAGAGATTCCTCTTTTATAAAGATATCTATAGTAGCTAGTAGACTTTAACCAGGCTAAAAAAAGCCTACTTTAAAAGCAACTTTAAAGTAGATAGAAGGTTAAACCTTTAGGTAATAGACCTTAGTAAAAAGCTAATTAAGAGCTATATACTAGTAGTTAGTTATATAGTAATACTCTTAGCAAATAAGATCTTAGTTTTATTAGTAATTTATAATAATTTTTTATAGTAATTACTTACCTCCTTATATTTAATAATAAGTATTTATATCTTTTATTAAATATTAATGCTTTTAATAAAAAAAGAACTAACCTTAAAGTTATAATAATCTTTAAAATTAGTTAGCTTTTCTTCTATTTACTCTTCTAAACTAAAAAAAAAAATCTCCTCCTAGTTATTATCATTATTATTATTCTAAATAACTTAATTATTATTATTAACCTAAATAAAGGCTTAGCTCCTAGAAGAAGCCTAATAAAGACTAAGTTATACAGTAACAATTCTTAGATAATTACCTTTTACTTACTTATTTTTAAGGTTAAAAATAAGTATAAAATAAATAAAAAAAAGGTTATTTACGCTATAATAGTAATATTATTAATTACCTTAGCCTTTATATTAGCCTTAACTAAAGCTATACTATTAATATATAGCTAAGACTTCTTAAGAGTAACTAGTTTATAATTTTTCTAAATAGTAAAGGACTTTTTAGCCCTCTTAAGCTCTTTTATTTTCTCTATTATTTCCTTAATATACTTATAAGCTTTTTTAGTATATATATTCTTAAAGTAGCTATTATTAGCCTTTTGCTTTATACTAGCACTAGAGCTTAGTAAGTAGCCTAGAGAAATATTAGTTAAGTTACTATAATTAATTACTATAAACAGATAAATATAAATAGACCTTATAAAGGCTAAGAGAAAGATATTCTTAATAGTAAATAAGAAACTAAATAAAAGTTAAAATACTTTTAGAATAAATAAAATAATTAGTTTTTTATTTTTAAATTAATCTTTTTTTAGAGTTATTATTATTATTATTAAAAAAAAAAAAGTAAAGTTAAAAAAAAAGAAAAAGTAAAAATAGGTTAAAAATAATAAGTAGAATAACTATAAATTACTTTATTTTTTATATTTTCTTTAACTATTAATTATATTTACTCTACTTATATTTTTTTACTTATTTTCCCTTTTTCTTTTTTTTTAACTTTATTTTTTTTTTTTAATAATAATAATAATAATAATAATAACTTTTATAAATTATTTTTTTTTTTATTCTATTTTTTTTAAAAATTATTAACTATTTAAACTTATTATAATACTAGTAGCTTAAGCTTTTTATAAATGCTTTTTAAAAAAGGGTACTAAAAAGCCCCTTATAAAAAAGAATAACGCTAAAAAGTCTTTTACTACTAAAGCCTTAGTAAAGAAACCCTTAGCTAAGAAGGCTACTAAAAAAACGCCTAAGAAGGTTATAGCTACTCCTTTAAAAAAAAGACATTAGAAGGCTAATAGTAAGTATTTATTTAATTACTATAAGTAATTACTATAATACTAATTTACTTTTAGTTATTACTCTTTATAAAATCTATAAGTATTAAAAGTTAATTAACTTTTTAATAATAAAAGTACCCTTTTAACGTCTTTATAAAGAGATTATATATAATATTTCTTAATAAAATAACTTTTACTTTTAAAAAGTAATTATTCTTATACTTTAAGAAGCTACTAAGACTTATTTTATAACTATATTTAAAGGTATATAATTACTATAATTAATTACTATAATAACTAACTTATATCTTTCTAACTATTTAGTTAGCTATTATCTATATTAAGAGAATTATTATTATAAAAAAGAATATAAACTATATTAAGTTTATTTTTTTTATTATAAAGCTAATAAGTAAAGACTAGTACCATTATTAACCTCTTCTAAAGTCCTTTTAGTCTCTTAAATAAAAGCTATTTAGTTTTAGTTTTAGTTTAGGTAAAGGAAAAGGAAAAACTAGCCTAACTACTATATAAAAGCTTATATTTAAGTAGTACTATAAAAGGCTTTAGAAAGAGAACTATAATCTAATAAGGCTTTAAGAAGAAAACTATAGTCTAATAATTAAAGGAGATACTATAAGAGAAAATAAGAATACTACTTAAAAGATATTTCTATAAATAGACTAGTACTAGGAATTACTATAAAGGATTACTATAAATAAAAAGATCTTACTACTAATACTTAACTTTTTACCTATAAACCTCTATATAATACGTTTTCTTTAACTTATTACTTAATAATAAATTCTAATACTTTACTCTTAAAACTATTAGTTTTTTTTCTTTTATTATTAATTAGTTTAAAATAACTAAATAAACATTATAATTAAAATCTTTTTTAAACCTTATAAGGTCTTTTATTACCTTATTAACTTTAGCTTCTTTTTATAATAGTTACCTTTTTTCTCTTTCTTTCTTCTATAGCTTTAACTCTAATACTTCTTTTTTATTACTAAAATATTTATTCTTAAGCTCTTATATTAATTTACTAACATAAGCGTTAGCCTTAGTAATAGTAAATCTTTTTTTTAGTAACTTATTATTACTAATAAAAATATACTATTATTAGAATTATTTATTAGATTACTAGTTTTATAAAAATATAAGAGTACTAAGAAATAATATAAATAACTATAATAGTATATAAAGAAATTAACTTTCTTATATATCCCCTAAGTTATTATTATTATTTTTATTATTTTCCTTATTCTTATTTACCTTAGAGTTAATCTCCTAGCTATATATAACCTTATTAACTAATAATATAATATTACTTTTCTTAGTATTTATACCTTATATCTCTTTATATAAATCTAGTAGTCTTAACCCTTTTTTAAAAACCTACTTATACTTTAAATAAATAATTAAAAAGTTCTTTCTTACTTTATTACTACAAAAGACCTTTCTATTATTTTTATTAAATATATTACTTAACTTATAAGTAATAAATATTTAAATAAAAAACCTTTTTTTATTATTATTATACTTATTTTTTATTTACTTATTAATTATAAGACTAATAAACTAGCCCTTAATATTAATTTATACTATAAGATCTTTAAAGACTAGCTTTTTTATAGTAGCCTTATTAGTATTAAGGTTTTTATTATAATATAAATTAAAAAGCTTCTTTATAAAGCAATAAGTAAGCTCTAAAGTCTAAATAGTATAAGAGCATATTAGTATTTATTAACTAAATAAATCTTTAAGAAAAAGCAATATATTATTTAAAAATTTATTATTAACTTTATTATATTCTTTATTATTATCTTTATTATAGACTTTAATAACGTCTTAAGTAACCTCTTTATTAAGCTATTACTTCTTTACTAGCTTTTTTCTTAACTAATATAATAAGTCTTTTTATTTATTAGTAATAAAAGCTAAAGTAATTAATTAAATAATAATAAAGCCTTTTATATTAATAAAAAGCCTTTCTTTACTCTACTAGTCACTTATTATAAAGGTATAAGTAATTATAGTAATTATTTATAATAATCTAATAAGAAATAATAATATAAATAAAAGTAAAGAAAAATAAAGCTTATTTAGCCTAGAGAAAAGGGAAAGTAGTAAAGATAATAACCTCTACAGGGATAACAGTAATACATTACCTAATTTAAGCCTTAATAATACAGGAAACTCTACTTAATTTCAACCTGAGGTATTTTTTACTACGGTACGGCCGTTACCGCACTTATAACGCAGTCATCGATCAGGCTCTTGATAGCCAGACATTCCCCACACTTTCCATATGTTTGTCTTATCTCCCGACCTTCGGCCTTTGCACGCCTTGACAATACCAGGGTCGTCGGTTCCCCGCGATTATTCGCAGATACACTACAGAAACCCCGTCGGAGACCCGTAACCATATTGCGAAAGTAGAAGTGCACCTTACGGCCATGCCGCTCCCTCAGACGCCGACAGCAGTCGACGGCGCTGCCGCCGTCGCACCAGCAACAATACCCTGCGAAGCTCAGGCCCGGACGTCGTGCCAACGCTGCCACCGGCGCAAGAAGAAATGCGACCGCGGCTTGCCCCAGTGTGGCAACTGTCGCATGGCCCGGTTTCCGTGTAGTTTCCTCAACGACGATCAGCAGACGGCGGCGTATCCGATCGCGTGGGTTTATTTCACCTCCCCGCCCCAATCAAATGTTTGCAATCGGGCTGGTGTTGATGGAAATCTACTAGGTTTGTGCGTTCGTTGGAGGACAAGGTCAGGAAGTTGGAGGATGAGTTGGCGGCTGTATTGAAAGATGCTCAGGCCGCGGCTCGTCCGGACACGATGCTCGAGGATCAGTTGATGGAGCCGTCGGGTTTGGAGTTTCCGGTCCTACAGGCTGCCGTAGATCAGTCGCCTTCGCAAGCCCGACCCATCACGGCCACAACGACGCTTGGTGATGAGTTGCGGTTGCTGTCGCTCGAAGCTGCGGCAGAACGGCACTTGGGATCTGCTTCGGGGATATCGTTTGCCAAGTTGACGCAGGCGGTGCTGAGGAGGCTCACGCCGGACCGTGCTGATTTCGTGTTCCACAAGGAGCTTGAGGTCGAGTCCACGCAGCAACTTCTTTATGGATCTCCTGTTGATTTGCTCGGGTCGTCCTTGTACCACGGCTTTGACAGCTCGACTGCATTTCATCACCCCTTCTTCTGCGGCATAACATTATCCGATATCACAGATCCACAACCATCCCTTGTGGATGTTCAGCTACCGCCGCAGAGTCACCTGCAGCACCTGGTGGACTTTTACTTTGCGCACTCTCACACGCTGTACCCAATTGTGCGACGGCGCGAGTTTGAAGAGACGCTGGGCACGATACTGAGTAACCCTCAGGATCCGGCGGCGCAGTCGCCGTTGTGGCTATTTAGGCTATGGATGATACTGGCAATTGGGTCAACCACGTACTGCTCGGTTGCCCTGTGTGAAGAGTCTGAATCGATGCTGTACTACAACAAGGCGCTAGGTTATATGGAGGATGCTCTTGGGTATGGCGACATGGTATGTTGCACTGTGTGATGGATTATGAAGCAGAGCTTGACTGGTAATAGGTCGCACTGGAGGTCATCATGCTCCAGGTATCATACTCCTTCTTCAACCAGCTCGGACCAAGTACGTCCCTCTCTCCTAATATTCATCTCACGGTATTGACCCGTGGCTCTAGATACTTGGTTTCTCGTAGGCCTTGCCGCGAGGTTATCGGTCGGCATGGGTTTGCATACATCGTCGTCATACGACACGCTTCCTGTCGATGTTGCCGAGCATCGGAAGCGTGTCTTTTATTCAGTGTACATGATGGATCGGTAAGCTACAGCAGACATACTATCAGCCTACTTATGTGCTAAACCATCTCAAGAGTCGTATCAACAGCACTCGGACGACCTTTTGCCTTGCACGACGATGACATAGATGTCGAGGTTAGTTGCTTAGAAGACACCACTCGAATCATAGCTAACATGGACAGCCCTTTGCCGACGCCGACGACGAAGACATCGATGCCACAGGCATTCGCCAGCGTAACCCCCTTCAGCCCTCCACCATGGCAGTCCCCCTCCACCTCCTCCGCCTGCGCCAACTGTCGAGCAAGATCGTTAAATCCGTTTACTCTAACAAACGCAACGCCAACATGCCCATCTCCGAGCGCGAAGCCATCATCTACTCCCTCCACCGCGAACTGCTCGACTGGCGCCGCGGCATGCCCTTCCCCTTGCCCGACACGCACCCGCAGGTGCCTCATTTGAGTAGCAACTGGTATGACTTTAACTACTATATGCAGGTCGCTATGCTGTACCGCCCGTCGCCGCTCTTCCCGACGCTTGATCAAGCCCGCGTTGAGACGCTGGGCGACGCCGCGGGCAAAGCGATTCGAGAAGCCACCACGATGCATCGACAGCAGCGGTTTGCGTACAACTGGCTAAATCTGCTGGCGCTCTTCACGTCGACGTTGTCACTGACGTATGCGACGACGGCAAGGCCGGAAAACCTGGCGGTAGTTTTGAGAGAGAGCAAAGCGATCGAGACGCTGCAGCTGGCGATTGAGCTGTTTGATACATTGAGCGCAAAGTTCTCGGCGGCCAAGAATATCAGGAGGATGATTGAGGAGATTGTGGCCCGGTACACGGAGATTGACTCGCAAGCATGATCACAGCTGAAGGGAATCAAGTGTTATGCAATGGCCAGCTGTTATGCGCGATTTTATTGTACATCTTGTGACCAACCTTTAACGATACGGTGCTATAATGACCTTTAACATCAATTGCATTGGTATATGCCGTCTCCATCTGGTCACCTTGACCTGAGTGTTACGCCCACTCACATGGCTGTTGAACCACTCTATCACTTTGAGCAAACCGTTTGATTCCAGGGTTCTCTGGTCTTCCTAATTAAGACATGTTCACATCTCAGAAGAGCGCGGACAGTTCAATCTGACACAGATCCTGCTTGTTGTTGGCGATATCATCGTCTTGTGATACCAAACTTCACAGATTGAGCTTAAATGGTTCTTCTGACGAAACGCTTCTTTCCATGGTATTAATTGATGGCTGCATCGTTTACATTTCAACAACAGCAACACCCTTGATCTCTACCAACATCCTTGGATCCGGCAGCTCCTTGACCCCAATAGTCGCCCTCGCCGGTGCCTCGGCCCTCGTTGCGAATACCTTGTTCCACTCCTCGTTCATGCCCTGGTAGTCCCGCTTCATGTCCACCACGAATACAACACTGTCAATTAGGTTCTTGACGCTGCCCTTGCCGCCAGTCGCCTCGCGGATGATGAGATCAATGTTGGACAGCGCCGCTGCTGTCTGTACCCGCACGTCAAGCTCGTACGTGCCGTCACCGTTGTCCTTCGCACCTGGCCACTCGCCGGTCGCAGGGTGCACGCAGGCAATGCCCGAAATGTAGATGGTGCGGTGCGAGCCGGCAGGAGCGAAGCGAGCATGTGCGTAACGTGTGGGTGGCTCCGGGCCGGAGGGGTTCATGACAAAAGTGTCGCCGTTGGGAGCCATGGTGTTGTCTTGGTGTGTGTGCCCTAGTTGTAGTGACTGTGGCAAGTTGTGGTCTTACGAGGACGAGCGATAGCACGACTTGTGAAACTCTTGCTAGATGCTTGCTTGGAAACCAGTAATCTGCTTTTGGGCGCTCTTCATTATTTCAAGGGCTGTATAAAGAAACGACCGAGGTGATTGGGCGGCAACCGGCGAGGGTGCGGCCGACACGATGGCGGGCAGCCCGACCGGACGGTCGCATTGGCCTTCGGGATCTCCGCCTCGGTTCTGGTCGGCCGCTGCTAATCAGCTACTTTCGGGAAAGTCTACTAGGTGCATGTAAACAAGTTCCTCGAAAGTCGGCTTGACACCTTGTTCATGCTGTCCCCGGGCTGTGACCGACCTCCGCCTAGAACCTTGGCTTGGGAGTCGTCAACATCAACACGCCATGGTTAGCCTTTTTATTGCATGGCATCAACCAGCAAAAAAAGCTGCCTGCATGTTGATAAGGCGTGATACCTCATCAAACTAACCAGATGGGTGTTTCCGAGCTTGACAAGGTCCCCGAGGCTTCCTCGTCGTCCTCCTTAACAACAGGAACACCAATTGGTACTGTCTCTGACGCTGAACCCATCAAACAAACATTCATCACCTCCAACGGCAACGATGAACCACCCATAACCTATACCGAAGGTGGCACCACCGCCTGGCTCGTCGTCCTCGGCAGCTGGCTCGCTCTCTTCTCCTCCATGGGTCTCATGAACAGCATCGGCGCCTTCCACGCGCACATTCAGCGCAACCAGCTCGCGGGCCATACCCCGTCCTCTGTAGCTTGGATTTTCGGCGTCTACTGCGGCCTCGGCTTCTTCTGTGGGATCCAGGCTGGGCCCGTGTTCGACGCCCGGGGCCCGCGCGCCCTCATCACCGCGGGCGGCTTAGGCACCGTTGCATTCCTGTTGCTGATGGGTGTCTGTACGCGTTACTGGCACTTTATGCTCGTGTTCGGCGTGCTGGGCGGAACAAGCTTGTCCCTTGTGTTTGGGCCGGCTGTGGGTGTCGTTGCGCATTACTTTTCCAGCAGGAGAGGGCTGGCAACGGGTATTGCGTCGTCAGGGGGGTCGGCTGGGGGCGTGGTATTCCCGCTGGTGTTGCAGAGGCTGTATCCTCTGGTCGGCTTCGCGTGGGCGACGAGGGTAGTTGCACTAGTCTGCGCATGCGCGTTTGTCGCGGCCGTTCTGCTCATCCGCAAGCGTTTCCCGCCGAAGCCGCTGTCCATGGCGCGGGCGCTCCCGGACCTGACGATCCTGCGGAACCCGGCGCTATGCTGTACGGCCATGGGGGCTTTCTTCATGGAATGGGGCCTCTTCGTGCCTCTGTCATACTTGACCTTGTACGCGCTCGCTCATGGGCAATCGTCGTCCTTTTCGTACATGCTCCTTGCGCTCATCAATGCGGGCGCCGTGCCAGGCCGCTGGGTGCCGGGGTACCTTTCCGACCGCTTAGGACGGTTCAACATGCTAATCGCCACAATCCTTGGGTGCGGCATGTCTCTTGCTTGTCTCTGGCTCACGTCAGGATCCAGCCCTGCTCGACTTGTCGCCTTCGCAGTGGTGTTTGGCTTCTTTAGCGGCGGTAACGTGAGCCTGGCTCCGGTGTGTATCGGACAACTGTGCACGATCGAGTCTTATGGGCGGTACTATGCGACGGCGAATGTGCTGGTAAGCATAAGGTGAGTTTGCCGTTTCGCTGCGAGTCCCGTGTAGTTAGTTTTGGGCTGACGGGTTGTGCAGTACATTGACGGGTATTCCGATTGCGGGAGAAATCTTTGGCCGGTCCCAGGGCAGCTTTCGGAACTTGATCATCTTCACTGTTGGCAGCTACGCAGCGAGCTTTATCTGTCTAGTAATTGCCAAATTGTTGTGCTGTGGGAAGCGTGGGCTATATGCCAACTTTTGAAGCCTCCATGTATCCTGGAATGGATATGATCCGAGGCTTGCACGTGCCTGATACGATTGGATCGATCGATCCAAAATGGAAAAGTGCGGAATGCGTTAACACATGTATAGTTGCACTCCAGCCGATTGCGAATCAATTAGACAGCCGTGTTAGATGCGACACCTCGCGAAGATTTGCAGTTCGGGCAGTGACATAAATAACATTTTACTTTGCTATACAGATAGATGCTTACAACCTGGCTCATTTCTTTTACTTGATGAAGGTTTCCTTGAGTTCTTCTTTTGTGGCTTTGCAGATCGGCCCCTCCGATCTCCCTACATATACCGGTCCCCCGCCCGATCAGTAATTACCGTGACCCGTCCTCAAAACCACGAACATCAACAAGTGTCACCCTTCATCACCAAACCTCGATGGTGATATATCCAAGATGGTCCAGAATCAATACCCAGTCCATCACTTTGACCTCCCTAACTTTGTCTTCACCGACGGGACCTCTCTGCCCCTCGCCCGTCTTGCTTACCTCGACATAAACAGCACCGCCCCCAAGGTCGCCCTCATCCCAACTTGCTTCAAGGGCACCCTTCAATCAACCCTCAATTTCTCCTCCGGCGCTTTGCAGAACCACAGGATCATCGTTGTCGCCCTCTTCGGCAACGGCGAGTCTTCCAGCCCCTCCAACACCCCCTCATTCCCCGCTTCTCTCGACTACCGCGACTGCGTGCGCGCCCAGCATGCCTTGCTCGCCCACCTGGGTATTGATGTCGTAGACGTCATATTGGGGTTCTCTATGGGCGGACAGACTACCTACCACTGGGCCGTCATGTACCCGGCCATGGTTCGCAATGCGGTCATCATTTGCTCATCGGCGCGCACGAGCGGTCACAATAGGCAGTTCCTCGAAGGCCCGTCCGCCGCCCTCGAAAATGCGGTTGACTACACGGGAAAGCCTCAGGATTATGCGCCGCGTGGTGTCCGCGCGTTTGGCAAGGCGTATTCTGCGTGGCTCACGAGTGCGGAGTGGTTCGACCAGCATCTCTACAAGGACATGGGATACGACAGCCTCCGCGCGTGGGATATGGACACCACGGGGTCGCGGTACGATGGCTGGTACCCAAACAACTTGCTCGTGAAGCTGCGCATGTGGCAAAATGGCGATGTTGGCGTTTTCACAGACAGTGGCGGGTTGGATGAGGCCTTGAAGCGGATTGAGGCGCGGGTGTTGCTGATGCCGTGTCAGACGGACCAGTACTTTCGCCCTGACGCTAGCGAGCGTGAGGTCAATATGCTGAAGAAAGCGAGCTTGAAGGTGATTCAGTCTGTTTGGGGGCATTTAGCGGGTGCAGGGTCAAACCCGGCGGATGTAAAGTGGATGGATGAGCAGATCACTGCCTTCTTACAAGGTGCAGATGCAGAGGTAAAGGCAAAAGCATAGTCTGAAGCAGAATAATCATTTCTATTCTGTTCAGTAACTTGACTTCACATATGTGCCAGCCTCTTCTGTCCGGCTTCAAATACTATTGCCGCCTTCATTACCATCTCATCCACCCACCTCCTACCAACAACCTGCATTCCTACTGGCATCTTCACACCCGGCCTCTCCGTCAGCGGAATCTCCCCACACGGCACGCTCATCGCCGGATGTCCCGTAATATTGAACGGGCACGTATTGCTCGTCAGACCGATGGCGGGCTTCAGCCTCTCCAGTATCGACGCACCCGGGTCGGGATGGGGCTTGGAGACGGTCGGCGCGCAGGGCGTGACCAACACGTCGACCTGCGCAAAGGCCGCGTCGTAGGCGGCGCGCAGCTGGAAGACTTTACGGTGGGCTTTGGCTTCGACGGACGGAGGCAGATGGGATTTGTCAAAGACTTGGCTGAGGAGAATGTTGACGACGGCCGGGTTGGACTGGGTAAGAAGCTGGTAAGTGTCCTGATCCGGAGGCCACTGCGCCTTGATGTGAGGCGATAGATACGACAGATGGCCTGATGGCTTCCCTTGAACCAGACCCAGAGACATGGATGGACGCGTGGCAGCCGTCCAGATGATGGGGCCTTCAGAGTGCATGGGGACCGAGATGTTGACGACCTCTGCGCCGGCGGCTTCGAAGCCTTCTCTCGCTGCGTTGCGCACCAGATCACGTACTTCCGGCGACAGACCCTGCACGTCGAACGACTCGGTCAGTAATCCCACCCTTATGACAGGTCGTCCACCCTCGGGGTTTGCATGACGGTATTCGGCGACTAGGGCGGGATAGTCCTTGACGTTAGCCACGAGAGGCGTCTCAGGCGTCATCCGGGGATCGATGCCGTCCCATCCCGCCATGACTTTGAGTAACGTCGCAATATCTTCTACACTTGACGCAATAGGACCCAGATGGTCAATCATGGGCGTCATGGAAGCAGCACCTGTGTACGGAACGAGTCCAAATGTCGGCTTCAGCCCGTAGATGCCCGTGTAACACGCCGGTATGCGGATAGAACCTGCCTGGTCGCCGCCAATCGCCAGCTCTGCCGTCTCCCCAAAGACGCCCTTTCCTAACCTGAGCAGAGCATCTGAAGAGACGAGGGCGCATGAGCCGCTGCTGCTGCCGCCTGTCGTATACCCGTGCAGTAGCGGGTGATGCACCGGTCCGGTGACTGACGTACAAGCCAAGGGCGAGGCGCAAAAGTTTTCACACGTCGAGGAGCCCTTGATCACGGCACCCGCGCATAGCAAGCGCGACACGACAGTTGCGTCGATGGGCGAGACTGGAAGAGGTCCGTCCTTGGACAGAATCTCGGGATGCGTGCCCAGCGTGGTGGGCAGGCCGCCGACGCACACATTGTCCTTGACCGCGACGCTTCGATCCCTGAGCAGACTACTACTTGGTTGAGCGGCAGCAATGTCGCAACGGTGACTCCAGGCATTCAAGGGGTTATCCTTGGCATCCGGTGTCCAGAATGAACGAGGTTTGGTGGTGAGCACTGGAGTTAGGGCGGGGTGGACAAAGTCGTCGCCGGTGTCCACTTGATGCATGACAGCCTCAAATGACTTGAGCAAGAGGAGGTACGACTGCGCATCTTGGGAGTTGGGTATGGTGAAGCCGAGTTCGGCGGCGAGGCGATGCGTTTCTTCTTCGTTAAGAACAGACCTGAAGCTGTCAGAGAGGGTTAGAGTTCAGACTAGCGGTGTACGTACGGTGCGTCTTCGCTTGCTAATGCGACGATGGACATTTTTCTTTTGTCCAAGGTTGATGTGCAGAGTGGTCAGGAGCTTT